AAAAAAAAAAAAAAAAAAAAAAAGATATAAACAATATGACATGGTAACTGCCATACGTATAGATACGTAGTCCCTCCTAAGAAAGGAATGGACGAAGCATAATTAATTTATCAAAACCAGTCAATTAGAGAGTGCAAGAAGAGAGTACATATTGTTGTCATTGCGAAGCAACTTTTATCGTGTATAATAAGAAAAGACAATCATCTTAAATTGTAGTTAGGTAGCAAGCGATATTATTAAGAAAATACTGTAAGGACTTCCTCTATTAGAACGCCATTAAAGATAATATAATATGTGTGTGATAAAAAAGATAATAATAATATATAAACATTTATTCACCTTACTTAAAACTTGTACAAATATATATTACAAACAATAGAGATACTGGGGTAAATCACTGGAATGCATGGGATTTAATTGTTTAACAGAGAAGATATTAAAACTTTAAAGATAATAATAACGAGAGGGAATTGTCTTCTTTTTTCAATTTTTTAATGTAACAATCCTAAATAGGGCCACCTTTATCTATGTCGGAAAATATTTGAAGAGAAAGGGCTGCAGTTAAGACGCACAGCGAACAAAAAATAAAGTTTTTTTTTATTTTTTTTATTTCTCTAATATCAGGGCACCCTACAACGACATTATATGAGGAACGCTTAGTGTCCAGAAATGTAGAGGTGTCAAGCAGAATATCATTTGACCAAACTAGGAATGGTTCTAAGAAAAGGTTTCCTCCTAATGGTTAACTGTAGAAAAAATCGTTACTTTTGAAAGAAAAATAAATAAAAAATGTACAGACAATATCGCGAGAAATATTATGTATTGTTTAATATTATTTGGTCCCATGGGATCTTCTCAAGTTGAAGGACTTTAAAAATAATATTTTAACGAAAAAGTAACAACCGTAGCGGTGAAGAACACTAATATGTAGCAACCAATACGTTTATTAAGGTGTTCGGTTGGTGCAATGAAATGCACGTAAAGGTATTCATGTATCCTAATTCATCATAATAATATATAGCACCATAAATTGTTTCTTTAATCGTATGGTAAATAACGTACTAGTTAAAGAATAAAAAAAAAAAGAGATGCGTATTTGATACTTATTTGATATATGATACGACATTTTCTTTGAACATTTTTTTTACGTTTGTGCCCTTTTCTTCTTTAACAAGAATGCTTTTAGTGTGTCTTCATATTTTCTACGTAGTAAAATTAAAAATAAAGTGCATTGAGGACATCTATTTTTTTGTATGAGTTAGTCATAGCGCGATATATATTCCTATATGTTACCTACAGATACTATCGCAGAAACTTGCTTTGGTTCATACAGTTCGAGAGGGATGAATATCAATCACATTCTAGAATTTAATATTGTACGAGACTTTCTTTAAATTGATGCAAGTATTCAAATTCGTCCATTACTTGTAAATTAAAAGTAAGTATTTTGACCATCCCTCACAAATATCAACTTTTCATTTGAGTGGTTAATTTGATATGTAAACATAGTAAGCACTAAAAGAAAAAAGAAAAAAATCTAAGAATATTGAAGTAATTGCGAACAACATAATGGTCAATCTCTTTTTTGTAATACTCCTTCAAGAAGACTGTGTAAGTTAAGTTTATTACTAGAAGTAAACACTAAAGATAAGAACTATTTATGTAATATGCTGTTTAAGTATCCTTTCTTATTATGAAGTGGAAGCTGGACGTCCACTTTTTCAATCATAACTATGTGTCACAGACTAAATAACGACTGTGATATTCGAAATCCTTTATTGGTACAGTGATTAATATAGTTACAAGAATATTAATTTCGGAAGAGATCTGTCATTAATTGTTCAATCTTTTGTGAAACTATTATTAAGAGAGCAGTATGATCCTAGAAATTGAAAAGTGTGATATACATGTGTGTGTGTTTTTGATGTAATGGGCCCTTATTGGTTGCTCAGGAAAATAAAATAAAGTAAGTGCTTAGAACAACATGAATCTAAAGAAACTTTAATCTGCTCTCATACTACCTCGTATTAAGGTGTCCGTAACAGTCAATATATTTCTAATATATTTGCTTATTTTCAATTATGAATGCAAAAGGGCAATATTTAAAATATATTGTCCTCTTAAGTTTCTTTAACTTCTTCTTGATAACGTTCCTGAAACGTTGTTCAATTCATGCTCTACAGGCTTTTTACCCATTTCTGTCATCGGCAGAATTGAATGAAAAAAAATGAAAAAAAATCGCTTTCAAGAGGAAAAAGAAAAAGAAGAAAAGTAGATGTTTACTTCATCAATTGCTACTGGGATTATTAATATCAACTCTTTCACTTTTATATAGCAATTGAGAGAGGTTAAAAACAACAGCTTTAGCGGGATGGGAAATTCTTATGCAAAAAATTTGAACTGAAAACCTACATCAAATGACATAGAGTCATTATTAAAGGATTATATACTAAGGATATGTGTAGATACAAAAGGATTTGTCCATTGCACAGTACTAGTCGGAGTTTATTTTGTATTTACGTAAACTAAGCTCTCATTTCCTTTTTTTCCCGTGGCTACATATCGATAATTTAGACTCTTTTTTGTTTTCTTTAACATCCGTATATTTCCGATGTATTATAGGAAGTCGTTGATTAATAGAGATAAGCTTTCAAAGACCGATGTGAAGCTGTCTTCGTATTTTAGAACCGAAAAGGGTTTATTTTTATCTCAATTGTAATGGAAGATCTTTTATAGTATTGATAAGGACTATGTTTTTTCTCTCTTGCGATATAAAAAACCACAAGAGAGAAAATCATGGGTTCGTTAATCCGAGAATTTAACCCTATTTTCAAGAGAGGGAGAAAAACCCTACAATAATATTAGTAAATAGGTTTCCCTTTGGGGTTTATATCTGAAAGTATCTTTACAAAAAATTATCCTCTTCTGGTTGTGTTTAACATTGAAAGGGGAAGAGTATTGTTGTTCTTACAAGTTAATCACTCTATCTTTTTGAGCTTTGTTTACTTTTATTCCATTAGATGAACAAGAATTTTTGTCATTCCAAAAGTAAATCACTTTACGGTTAGAATATACAACAATAAACATTATGCATATCATATATCTGAATGTTATGGATCATTGGTTTCTATAGATTTAAAGTAGGGTAATTTGAGAGCAATTATTCCCCTTCCCTAAATACTTCGAAAAATTATGTTGTATTGGTTGCAATATGATGGGCGGTTAACTAAGACCGTTACGAATTTCTTGTATATATACGCAAACTGAACTTACTTTAATATAAATCTAGGTTAAATAATGAATCAGTACAAACGTGACGTTAAATTGTCAATCTTTCACATAGTTGAACAACTCGAAGCTTGTTGCTCATTCAAAAAGTTGATTTTCATTGCCTTGATTAACAACAGCTCAGGTATCTATATAACATAATGTATCAAAGGAAAAGGTATTGTAATATTACTGAACCAAATGTAAATATTGTTTTTCTGTTATGTACATAACGCACTTTGAAAAACAATTTTCAATAAGATTTATACATTATAGAACACGTATACTATACACTAATTTGGAAGGATATCAGTAAGAATGTGAACAAGTCAATGTTCCCTCTATATTAAACATACACCTACTGTGTAGGCAACTTTGGGTCTTAGTAGATATTACAAAGAAGCATTTATGTACACACATTCGGTAGAGTAGTATAAGCATATTTATCCATTAATTACTCCTATCGATTATTGTTAGTTATTTTCTCAGATAGGATATAATCAAGTAGTATGCACACTTATTGGAGAAGTATAGCGCCGCTACACATGATCCAACTTTGTATTGTTGTCTTCGATTCTTGTCATTATATCTTTTAGTTATGGTCACTTTGACATAATTATCATACTTTAGTCGACTCCACCTCCCCCTTTCTTTCTTGTGTTACTTTGTTGGTGTGAACTGAGCCGGGGCTGAACTATTTATTTTGCTGCCCTGTTGGCTTTAGAAAATTCGACAGCGGGAAAAATAAATCCCCTAACATTTTATATGAAACTGAGATGAGGCTATTTATATTGATAAGACATACATATTCTCAGAGAGAAAAGATTAGGATGTCTTATTAGTTATCGATAAAATCGTGTCAAGTGTATAATAATTAATCATATCTTAAAGTTAAACTATTAAAGTTAAGATCCACAAAAGAAAATAAGTGTTATCATTTAAAAGAAAAATGTTTCTATTTATACCTTTAATTTGTGGTACCAGAGAATTCAATTCTGCGTACGATAATAAACCTGAGCATGTGGGTCTGTATTGCCCACACTGTCATAATAATAGTGTCGCTGCGGTGAAAAGCAAAGAATTTTTCACTTTTTATTATATTCCTTTAGTGCCTGTACATTGGGGTAAACAATTACGTTGTTCTATCTGTAGCTGGAAACAAGATTTTACTGGTGATGCAGAATTAGATAATATGACTGGGTATCAAAAACCACAATAATAATTAATATTAACTTAATCTTTTAATTTAAATTTAATTCTTCTCCTTTTTCGAATATAACTAAACTACATAAAAATGTTAAATATAATTATTAAAAATATCTAATAGCGTGGAAGTTATGTAGATAAATATATAACTTCAAACCGGTAAAAAAACAACAATACATAAATATTTTCAAAATGTAAACAAAATGAAGATAAGAAATACATACTTATAAAATTTCTCAAATCGGTTAGGAATATGAATATCTTCTGATAAATATGTAATCATGTATATATATATAGGTATGAATATATTAAATTTAAATTATCCTTTTACTGTGCTTCTTCATTTTCTAATCTATCCTGACGCCTTTGCATTTCTGTTTCTAAATTTTTAATTAACATCGACTCTGCCATCAGAACATTTTTCATAGTATTCCCAGTAATTGTAAAAAAATAAACATGGTCGTCTTTAGTCTCTGTTGATTTTGCTGCGATAATCTTAGTATTTGTATATTTTCTTAAACTATTTAATCTTTTTCCTTTTTTACCTAACATTGCTCCAACAAAATTTTCTGGAACCAATACTGTAGCTTTAACCTCATCATTATCAATTGGGGTTTTCAAATGTGGATAATAAAGTTTACCTCCTTGTAATCCATTTGTGTCACTGGTTTCCCTATCGTCAATCAGAATTTTACCAATATCTTTAATTGTACTAGTTATTGACTTTGGTAACCCTTGAATCTCTAAAATTCTTTCATTGCTGTCCGGCAAAAAATCCTTTGAGGCAACAATTTTAACACCATTTTTCCCAATTAATGATTTAATCTTAATACCTTGTTTCCCAATAATAGATGATAATTGAGAATTCAGTAATAATAATCTAATATAACCAATATTTTTAAGTTGTAATGGATCTTTAATTTCATTTAATGAAGGTAACGGTAAAATATGATTTAAAAACGGGAAAGAAAATTTTTTCTTTTGCATAATAGAAACATCATTCTCCTCTTGTTCCTTTTCATTATTGTAACTCAATAATAATACTTCAATTAAATCCCCAAGCGATTTAGAAACGTGATCAATTTCCCCTGTTGATGTCAAAATCCGATCTGAACATCCTGGAACCATCTTTGAAATACCTATCTTTACATCGTTATTATCTCTCACCTTTGAGATGATACTACCTTTGGTACCAATAATCCTCGAGGCCTCATCTAAAGAGATAAGCGCTCTAATTTCCAAAAATAATTCATCTTCTATATTATTATTATGATTCTTATCAATCCAATGATTATTTTCCATTTTTGTGCCAAATTTGAAACTCTTTTATAATTATGGTTGTGTATTCACAGTCGGTTGTAATAGAATGATATAATATATCGCCGAATTGAATTAATAAGTTGTTTTAAGTACTTTTTCAAAATTTTTTTAAAACAATCCAAAGTTCACTAATATATAGATATAGTAGTATTTGCTATTTTAAATTGATTAACTTATAGCGGTACTCAATAATAATATCAAATATCTAAAATAATCAAATAAATTTATAAATGTGGTTGTTTTCAAAATAACTCCGAATATCAATGATAAAAACCCACTTTAACAAAAGACAGAAAGTAGATTAAAACAGAAATAGTATTATAATTTTTTATTATTAAAATATTAAAATGAACAGTAAAACGGTTAGATATATTAATTGATTGACTTGAAAATGACTTAGAAACCAATGGATATTTAGCAAAACAAACAGACAAACTAACCAGCTTAAAACCAAAACCACAAGAAAAGTACCTTGAAACAAAACAACAAGATGAAGAAAATTAAACAAACGACACAACTACATAGTAAGTTATACATCAATAAACGAAAAATATTTCTCGACACTATTCTCAATTAAAGAAATCTATGCATTTAAAAAAAATAACGACAAGAGATTAAAACTTTAGTTCAATCTTCTTCTACTGTTGAACCCCGGAGATTATCGGTACATGAAATATTTGCAGCACACTCAACCATGTGTGTGGTACGATCCGTCACATACACACGCAGACACATACATATATATATATGTGCCATACTAAACACTTCATTCAACCCCAATCTCTCTCTTTCCTGTATACATGCATTAATATAAGACAGTTTACAAGATCACTCCAGACAAATATGATACAAGAGCACGAAAAGAAGAGAGTGAGGTGGCTAACGAAAACAATAACCTATGTGGAGATTGAAATAAAATGATCTCATTAGCCAATCAATTGTCATCTTTATAAAACTGAAAACTTGAAAATACGTAGTTATAGATTTAATGCCCGGTGTCTGCGGAAACCACGGAATATTTCAGATGAGAAGGACGGAAAAGGGAAAGACGGAACGGATCATACTAATAAAACACTTGGTGTATATATATATATATATCTGCTGTATATTATATGAATCACACTGTCCATTCGGACAAAGAACCAATCAGAGCAATTTGAGTGTACATACAAATGGGACAGTTGGTTCGTTCATTTGAAAGATTCTATTTCTTCTCTTCTCTCCGTAATAAGTGTGTTCTTTTTGCTAAGAGAAAATGATGCACCCAAAATATTTATATATATTTTATTTGTCGATTGGCCAAGAGTAATAAATTAATTATTAATTTATTACTCATCAAACGTTACCCTACTGGCAGGTTAAAAATATACTGTAGCTACGACAATTTCATAGCTGTTTTCTGTATGTATTTCCGTCTTCCACCCACCTCTGCCTTTGCCTCACCCCACTGCTACTGCTACTCCCCGCGACAGCCAAAAGCCAGAAAAAAAGAAAGCACCGCTGGTCTCACTGAGTAATTCCAATAGAAAAGAAGAGAACCGCCTCAGAACACTTTCAATAAATTTGCTGACAAATTATGTAATCTGAAATTTATTTAGGAATGAGCAATAAAATTGTGTATGAGTAAGAGTGAATGGGTGGAACAAAATGATTTCCATCTGTTTTTGGTCCGTCTTATCCGTCTCATTTGGATTCTACATACTAGTTTACAAGCCACTCACTCTTTCCACGTATCCATCCACTGTTAAGGTTCTCACCACACCATTCATTCTCCCCCCCGTTAATAATCATATACTAATATCTGCTAAAGTAATCAACTTGATGGTAAATAGTAATACTAATATATTATTCAAAAGTCATCCACACCCATATTTTTTTTTCTTTTTTGCTTTTTTTTGCTTTCTAATTATTATATAAACTACAATCATTTTCATTTACTGCTATACATCTCTCTCTCTCTATTATTACATTAATCATTATATTATATTATTAATACTACAACTACATCAAAGGCAGAAAAACGGTGAAAGCTTATTAACTTATAATTTACTTTTTAACTCCCTAAATTAAATTTCATAAAAACAAAAATCACATAAAATGACTGCTACAAAGACAGATTTACCTATTGTGCAATGTATTGCTAGAGCTCGTATACCTACTACACAAGGTCCGGATATTTTCCTACATTTATACGCTAACAACAGAGACAATAAAGAACATTTAGCTATTGTCTTTGGTGAGGATATTAGGTCTCGTTCTTTATTCAAGAGACGTCCCGGTGAGACTCAAAACGATAGAATGATTAGAGGTGCTTATGTAGGTAAATTACATCCAGGTAGAACTGTTGCTGATACCGATGATAGATTAGGTTTAACTTTACATTTTGATGAAAAGACTGGCGATTTATTATATGAATCAAAGACAACTTGGGATCCAAAAAATAATACTTTAGTTAGAATACATAGTGAATGTTACACTGGTGAAAACGCTTGGTCTGCTAGATGTGATTGTGGTGAACAATTCGATAGAGCAGGCAGATTGATTGCTTGTGAACATGAAAAGGAAACTGGTATCATTGGTGGTAATGGACATGGTGTCATTGTCTATTTAAGACAAGAAGGTAGAGGTATTGGTCTAGGTGAAAAATTAAAAGCGTACAATTTACAAGATTTAGGTGCTGACACTGTTCAAGCAAATATAATGTTGAAACATCCTGTCGATGCTAGAGATTTCTCTATCGGTAAAGCTATTATAATGGATCTAGGTATCTCTAATGTTAGACTTTTAACTAATAACCCAGATAAAATTGTACAAGTTGAATATGAACCATACATTAGATGTGTAGAAAGAGTACCAATGGTTCCAATACACTGGACTAATGAAAATGCAGGTATTAAATCAAAGGAAATCGAAGGTTATTTGAGAACGAAAATTGAAAGAATGGGACATTTATTACAAGAACCAATTAAATTACATTCTACAACTACTACAACATCAACAACCACTACTACTGAGTAATTTCAAATAAATTATTCAATCAACGCTCATTTATTACGTACTCCACAAATAGTCATTGCATATTATTAACACTCATCTCGTTTAATTATTTCTATTACAAATAACGAAACATTCGGTAACATAACTTTTTTTTAAACCTTTACTTTTATTAATATTATCATCTTATAAACCAGAAAGAAACTATGCCTTTTATAAATAGATTCATATATTTGTTTATTTATTTTATTTTATTTTATATAGATAAAGTTACAATTTTAATGTAAGAAAAAACAAAAATTAAATCGGTTATAATGTATGGATTATAATAATCAACATTGTTTATACCTCTTGAATGGCGTATATAACGTTCATTCCATTTCATATCTTATCTAGTCTAAATCTATTTCATTTAAAAAGGGAAAGGCAAATGGTGCATATTCTTATACCTAAAATAAGCACAGAGCGAAATCAAGAATGAAAACATTTAGACACGAAAAATTATACAAATTTGCTATAAGGTAAAATATATATTAACGAATTAATTTTTTTGGACTTGAATATATATAAAGAGAGACACATTAAAACAACTCTGAAAAATCTTTAACCATATAGGTTTAATTATATTTGTACAGAACCAGCACTTTCTGATATCTATTACTAAATCATTGTCATTATTAGAAAATAGCTTAGAACTGTGCCGCCAATGCCTAATATGAATAATGGCTCATCAAAGGATCCACATTTTATATCTCTATATTCAACATTAGATGATCCAAAAATAGATATAAAACAAAAATTGGACATACTTACAAAATTTAAAGGTCATGTCAAAAAAGAATTTATTAATATTGAAAATATACCTACTTATATCGATGCCCTTTTACTTATTTCTCAAAAGTTTAAAGATTCCATAGATACTTTATTCTTAGGACATTCCTGTTTATGTTATCTAATTAAAAGGATAGCAATCCAATCGCCGGAATCATTATCACAACCTTTAATTACCAATTTAATCAACGGTATTATTGAATTGCATACTTTAACAAATATGCAGAATCCAATATCATCACACAATATGAAAAAATTCTGGCTTTTAACTATAAAGATTTTAGAATCATGTTATACAATAAATCCGATATATACTGAAGATTCAATCAAACAAAGTTTAGAAGGAGAAATTACCAGTATGATAGACAATTCTTCAAATAATATTCATATATTGAATAGGATAAAAGTTATATTATTTATTATAAACGAATTATGTCAAATAAAACAAAACAATGATCAGAACCCTCTATCTTCACTAAGATTCTTCAATCCTGTGGTACTGAGGTTTTTAAATACTATAACAGAACAAAGTTTCAATGATAAGAATAGTGTTAACAGTATTGTCGAATTAATAAGCGATATATTTAGAAAATATGTTGACCAAACGAATTTCGAAGAATTTGTTAAGAATATAACTAACAACTCAATTAGGAACATCTTTTCACAAGAGTATCAACAACCTGATGTTCGCCTCAACAATACATTTGATACAGAGAATGAATTACAATCAATACTTAATGATGCCAAGCCACCCAGCCAGCTATTATCCAGAAATGTCGATATGTCCCACAATTCATCGTTACTATACACATCATTAGATCAACTATCTGATGATTTGGAAAATGCACTTGAACCTTTTCACAATCCAAAGGAAACAGAAAAAAATTGGAAAATTAGACAAAGTAACATTATAAAAATTAAAAACATATTTCTTTTAAATGAAAAACTAATCCTGGAAGAAAAAACTGAGTTTGTAAACATTTTGAAGACTCTAAATTTTGTCGATTGCATATCGAAAACTGCGTTATCCTTGAGAACAACCCTTTCCCTTAATACATGTCAACTAATAAAAGATTTAATACTGTTATTGAAAGACAGTCTCACTATACCGCTACTAGACCATATATTTACCACTTTGAAAATATTATTAGCATCCACAAAGAAATTATCTTCCCAGATGGGTTACTTCTGTCTGCTCATTATGTTTTTAAATGTAGACTTCCATAGTAAATTGTTCCATGATAGTCTTTTACTTATCAGTGAAAAAAATGTTATCCAGAGAAACACATCTGCAATTATACTAAGAATCATTTTAATAAAAGCCAACCACACATCAAAGCTGGATAGTAATCTTGTTTACATCGAGGAGTGGATACGAAAAGGGATATCTGATGCTCAGACACAAGTAAGGGAGGCTATGAGGATTACCTTTTGGTACTACTACAAAGCATATCCAGTAAATGCGAAAAATCTACTTAATAACTCATTCTCTGCGCAACTTAAGAAAGCTATTGAGCTCGCTATTCCTGAACATCTAGATATAGATTATAGAAGACAATATCAAGGTACATTTTCAAATTCATCCTCCAGAAATAGTTCGCGAAGATCTAGTTTGTTAAGCTCCCATCTTCAAAATAATACATCATTAAATCGAAAATTCCCAAGTTATGCACAACCAACACAATCATCTATTTCACAGAAAAATAAAGCTGGAATGACTCGTACCAATAGGTCCACAAGCGAGATGGTAACAAGTAATAAAGGATCAACAATTGCAGACACTGTGGAAAATAAGCGACTCAAGACTAATGATGGTACGATAATCAAAAGAAAAATAAGTGCACCTATATCCAGTAATAAGACACATTATGATTCTAATTTGAACCAACTAGACCTCACTGGAGAACTTCCAAACTCCCAATCAATATCACTGATTAATAAATATATGGATATGAATATCCCCGATAATAATTCAACAAGTATTGAAAGTCCTGATGAAAATCAAAATAACGAAGCCTTGGAAAAATTATATTCATCTTCACGTAATGAAAAACAATACAAAGAGTTCTTACAGTTACTACAGAACTATATACTAATACCCCAAAGTAACGAAACAGATAAACTTGATTTTAAGAAAATTATACCCTCTCTCAGAAAATTAATTATAAAACACCCATCTGATTTCAAACCATTGCTTTCCATTCAACGGTTCGTTACTAATACTCCTATATCATGCGTAATAGAACTATTCGCCATAAATAATATAGACCCAAACGAACTCATTAGTACACTTGATATAACAACCATTCCAGATACGACTAAGATATTAGACGATATTGGAAAATTATTAGTTAGTCTAACTATTTCGTCAGATCCTTCTACATCTATTTTTTATATGAAATATAGACGTACCATTTTCGATTTTGTTTTAAATGTATTACACAAATTATTATCAGATAATGGTACGACAGAATTAATTAAAGAAAATACATTCGAAAATATCCTTTCTAATTTATTTAAAATATATGGTAATGAGATGGATAACCAACAATATTTTGATATATTGTACAGATGTTACCTTTTCAATAACCAGGCATTCATTAAACGTTTAAAAGAACTCCAATTCGTATCAATTAAATTAAAAATTTGCGAAGAATTACAACAAAAAGACAACAATTTGAAATTAAATAACATCATTTTGGGTAACAAACAAGATGATAACAACAACGATATTCAAGTACGCGAAAATGAACATCCCAAGTTCGTTGAGGAACAACTGAAACATAATAAAATGGACAATTTAAGCGATAACGAAGTCGAAGAAAATGATCCAGAAATACGAAAATATATGGAAATGACAATGGTGAACCCTTTCAAGCAACAAAGATCAATTAGCAGTGAGAGTGTTGTTCATAATCCCGAGCTGACAACAAAAAATAACGGACACGAGCATGACACATTCAATCCAGACCAAACAGGTTTAACAACTTTGAATCCTAGACTGTATGAAATGACAAAAATTGTTAGTGTTTATCAAACTACAGATCAGCCTTGTTCCACGACAGTGGATCTTGACACCGAATCAGATAATATGAAAATCAAAGAGAATAAAGTCTCACATATAGGACTCAGTGACATTTTCCAAGACGGATCCAAGAAAATCAAACAAGAAAATGCAGATTTTAAGCCGATATCAAGTATATTGAATGAAAACAGTAAGATTAAGTCGGAGGAAGATGAACATACTGTGAAATTCACTGACAATTCGCCGGAAATTATAGGAGAAGAAAATAAAGTACCTCATCTGGAATCCAAAGAAATGTCGGATTCAAATAGAGCAATAAAAAGAACTGGTGCCCCAACACCTTCTGTTGTTGATATGAATAATATGTCCAGTGAAGAAACAAAAGATAATTCGTCATCTTTTATTATAACCTACCCAATCTTACACAAGTTTGAAAATTGCCCTATTACATTATACGAGTTGGCTAAAGTTATTAGTAGAAGAAAACCTCTTTCTGAAAATGTAAGTAAATTTGAATCTGCCAACATTGATTTAAAGCAACTCCAGAACGGTGTCAGCAGAATACAAAGTGGAACATTTACTATTAAACATCTAAACCATTTGATCGAGCCTTTGGTAACGCTCTGCTCATCAAACACTGTTTTATTGTCATGGTTGGACGATGAATCTGGTTATGATCAACTTTTGGCATTATCGTTGATGTTACTCCAATCGATGGATGAGGCTTCTCTAATACCAACAACCATGACGAGGAAAGCTATTCTGTTGATCCAATGTGTTTTGGCTGTTAATGAATATAATGGAAGGAGTATCAATGACTTCGATGTCGGCACTATAAATGGAATATGGGCACAGTTCACAATAATGGTTGATAAATTATTACATTTTACAAATGAAATATATCTCTTAATATGCGAAACGAGATCTACATTAATCAAGCTGAATTATTTTAAACCCAAATCGATTACAAGTATTCTTAGTTCTCTGGTTACAGAATTACCGGAAGACATAACCGATAATGACTACAGAAATGAATTTGATGAAACCAAGATAATAGGGAACTTATTAACAGAAAATAATATTAGCTATAACGCTATTGATAAATTGAGATTAAAAATCGGCTTAAAACAATCTTTTATGATAAGCACGATTATTGGTGTACTACAAACGAAACCAAGTGAATTCAAGACATTCCAATTATCAGAAATTATCCAAACGATGTCATTCTTTGTTAGAAAGACTAATTCGGATTGGAGATACAATAGTATATCAGTAGCGGTAGAAATATTCAAGATATTATACTCAAGGGAGAACAAAAATCTGCAAGAAATTAACCAAATATTTTCCTGCCTTGACGCAGAAACATATAAACTTATCAAAATAATGGGACAGCCTATGTGAATTGCCATTGAGGTTCCCTACTTTTTTTATAAAGCGTAAATTCATAAATCGAGCAATACTCCAACTTATAATATTATAAATAAATGAAAGAAAGAAATAATTATAATCTTTAATGAAATAGTTACGACAAATAGTCCTATGTATTTTGCCTCCGTCCTAATGCTACCTTAAGGAATTTCGGTGCCAACAATATGACGCGTCAATAAAAGAAAAATATAAACCGGCCAGGAAAATAAATATAATGCCCATATATCGTGTTAGTTGAATCCAAACAACATATATGATAGGATTGAAATGATTTTTTAATTGCCAACACAACCAAGACAGATAATTAAATACGCTATCTCAACCATTCTATAACATAATAGCGACAATAATAATTCCTTGAGCACGAGAACTATTTGAAATGGAAATGATCCAAGACCCTGAGGAAATTATAGTCAAATTTGGGAATGAGGCAAATCAACCTGAGATAATATCTGGACTACAGGACCTGGCTAAATTACATGCTATTTCTATAGAGGATTTATATATCAAATGGGAACAATTTGCCTGCCAGAAGCCGCATGTTTTGACCAGGGTGACTGCAAAAAGTCTCGATCCATTCAAGCGCTTCCTACAAGAGGAAATAGAGAAACGTGCAAACTCTTCAGTGGGCAATGTATCAAACAACATTAATCATTTATCAGGCACAAAGAGACCAAAAATGCTGAAGGGAATTAATAATAATTCTTCATTATTTGGGTTTAACATATCTAAAACTCCAATATCGGGCAAAAAGAGAAAATTAGGAGCTTTCAACGATGCCCATAATAGTGACGGTTCTATTAAACTAGAATTTCATGTTGATGATGTGAATTCCACACCTAAATCGAAGAGTGAAATGAATACCATTTCTATCAAATCTGAATCGAGCGTTGGTATACCTCTAACAAATACTATATATTCATCTGACAAAACGGGTAAAATTTTGGACTCTTTGAACCCAGAAAATATGGATATATCTGAAGGCTTTACACTTCAAGATGACGATACCATTGATACACATGTCAGAATTCAACTATTAAACGACCCCGAAAAGTACAAGTTTAGAACCATGAGACAAAAGCTTATTGAATGTTCTGATGTATTGGATGAGCAAATTGAGTTATTTACTAAATTTGCTAAAGAACATTTAAATATTCCAGATACTGAATTTGGTGACCCAACTATTCAATCACAAGCGGATGTATATGCTATTGGAAGAATCGTACCAGACTCACCCCAATATGACGGATTTTTAAATACTGAGTCTCTAGCGTTCGAAACTTCTAGATTGAACGGTATTGGTAGAAGAATTCGTCTAAATCTTGAACAAGTCGAAGAAGTTTCTTTGTTCTGTGGTCAAATCGCTTTGTTAAAGGGGAAAAATGCAAATGGAGATTACTTCTTGGTAGACAAGATTCTAGATATTCCCTATCCTGATTTCCCACTGAGCTCCTCTGATGAACTTTCGGAATACTCTGATTTATTAAATAAAAAATCTTCTAAGGTTATCGTTACTAGTGGACCATATATTCCAGAAAATAATTTTGATTTAAGTTACCTAACGAAATTTGTTGAAAAAATAAATATTGATATCAGGCCACATATTTTAATTATGGCTGGCCCATTTATTGATACTACTAATTCTATGGTTATGTCAGGTAATCTACCACATTTTGACAATTTAAAGATTCAACCAACTACACTGAACGAATTATTTGTAAAATTAATTTCCCCAATTTTGAAAAAAATCAACCCTTCAATTCAGGTAATACTAACACCTTCAACTAGAGATGTTATGTCGACACATGCATCATATCCTCAAGAATCCTTCGATAGAAAGGCTTTACAATTACCTAAAAATTTCAAATGTTTTACGAACCCCTCTACGTTTCAACTCAATGAAACATACTTCGGTAACTCTAACTTAGATATATTTAAGGATATGAAAGAGGTTACAAAAGGTGGAAAAACTACAATGTCAAATAGATTTGACAGGGTCGCGGAACATGTATTACAACAACGTCGTTATTACCCTCAATTCCCTGGTTCCATTAAGAAGATGACAATTGCTAAACCCAAATCAGAGGATAGCAGAAGTGCAGATTCTAAAATCTACAAACACATTTCAGGTGCGGATCTTGAGGTAGCATACCTAGGTTTGACGGAATTTGTTAGTAACATTTCTCCTGATATAATAATCATCCCTAGTGAATTACTCCCATTTGCAAGGGTAGTAAAGAATGTGATTATGATAAATCCTGGTAAATTTGTCAAACCGAATGGAGCTAATGGTACATATGCTCAAATTTCGATAAAAAGTCCTGATGTGAAAGATGGTTCGTTAACCGAAATACCCGGAGAAGAAAGCTTATATCTCCATAATGTTTGGAAGAGATCGAGAGTTGACGTTGTGACAAATTGAATATATGAACGTAAGTATGTTATAAATAATTAGTTAACCGATAAAAACACCAAGAATAAAAATATATATGTATTAGTCAGTAATAGAAGCAAAATACGAAAAAACATTATAAAAATAAAAAAGAATTGAGATTAAATGCCGGTTTCCTAATGACCAGAACAATAAATATCATTCCTAAACCTTTTTCCTAAATCTACTAAACAGATCTTTCTTTTTTTTACTATCATTTTCTAATATTTTAACTTCATGTTTGGTTACAGTTTCTGGCTTGGAAATATGATTCTTTTTAGGTCGATCGTTTTTCTGTGATCTTTGTCTTAATATTTTTGAGGACTGTTTTTCTGTATTTGTTATGTTCCTTAATATATTTTCGTATTTCTTAGGCTTTCCTAATGGTTTAGCTGATGATGGAACTCTAGTTTCTTGATTTATATGTTTCCTTTTCCCGGATAATGCTGTCTGAGCAGCTGTTGCCGCCAATGAATTTGGCGAAACAGAAGGCATATGTGTCGACGAACTAAGACTAGTAGAGCGATGCTCGCGTTGTTTATCAATATTCCTCAAAGTTTGTGGGAAGTGATTTTCATTCATTTCATGATATTTGCCAGAAACATAGACCTCCGGTAGAGGATGTTCCACATCTCCATGTGGAGTTTGATGTGGTTTCAATTTTGTAAGAAATCTTTCCATTGATATGATGGAGTTTCTATGTTTTACTGGGGTATCATTTGAGGCTATTGATTGGGAAATATCAGAAATAATAGGAGACTCATCATTTGACGTAATGGTGGTTGACCTTTGTCTTTCAATATGCACCTGATTATTAGTTGGTAAAGTAGTATTTCTCTTATGAATATGAGACTCATCGGTTTCTCCCAAACGATTGAGATCTGTTTTGTTTCTATTTGGAGATATTTGAGGAACTAGAGTTAAATCATTGTCCGTTGACTCATTATTTACCCATTTATTATTCCTAGAAGAAACTACTGTACTGCTGTTAATCGGTATACCCATTTCTCTTTTTCTGGTAACATTTATTTCTGAAATCTCTCTATTATCCACTTTAGATTTGCTTCTCCGATTAGAACGAACTCGATATAAGATAAAAATCAACAACAGTGATATTTGTTCTATACCAATTGTAATAGGAATATTTGATTTAGATTCCACAAATGTCTTTAAATAACGAATACATCGTTTGATTCTCGTGCCCAAATTCGTCGTTGATATCACTTGATGAGTTTTGTGATAATACAATAAAGATATTAATGGGTTTATAATTGTCCCCAACCAAGTAATAATTTGAAGAATAATATCCCAGGAGCCCAAAGAAGAGTGATGTTGCATGTACATCGGATGTGGAGCTACAGTGTTGTTGGGGATTGAGGATGGAGTGCATTTCTGTAAACTGCGCACAAAATCAGTCCTAAAAATAACTAAATTAAAGACAAAATATATCAATGGAGTTAATGGCCATATATTAGAAAAAAACATCACAAACCCCAATTGAAAGATTAATTTTTTCATATTTTCATCAACATCAAAATTTCCCCATGCATTATTTTTATAAAATTCATGTTGTTCCCAATATTCAAGCTCTGATGGGTTTATTCTCTTAATGTGTGACTTTATGAGATTTTTTTTTGAAGTTTGTTTGTTTGAACCTGATAAAAATTGCTTAACTTTATTCAAAAACATTGGTAACAGATTATCCATTGCTAACAAAAGTGCTTGGTTAGTAATCGTAAAATAAATAATTTGAGCATTGTGCCGATTTTTATCTGCCATAAAATCAATTTGCTTCAATGGCAACGTATAATCATTCATCAATTGAGGTCTAAATTCATTAGTCCATTTTTTTGCAAAAAAAGTACTATAAGGGTAATATAAAAATAGTGTTATTAACAAAGGTGAAAAATTCATTAAGAATAATAAAGGCATATTTTTTTCCAATTTTGAACTATTTGGCGCTGGTCCATTTTCTAACATAACACATGGGTCGACAAATAATAAATTGTAAATTGTTAACAATATCGGCGTGATCGTTGATAATAATACTGGTGGTAATAGAGAAAACAAACTTATATAATTTCCATCATATAACTGTGTAACAAATATTTCCAATGAGAAACATGATAATTGGAAGAAAAACAAACCGATTATGAATATTATTGCAATAGGTACAAAAACGATTTTTTTCAATAATATAGAATTATGAGAATTCTCTTTCCTTACCTTATTTTTGTTTGTCATATCACGTATCGATATCTTTTGGGTCTTATATACCTTATTAATATAATAAGGTTTCAAATGATATACCCAATTAATTGTAAACCCTATACTCCATAATACAATACTCACGGTGTATGACAGATTGAATTCTGAATCCTGGCTACCATAGTAGAATCTGAAACAAAGTCCCATTATACCAGCCAATAACAGAGCTTTCATATAATAGGCGAAATATGTTAAATATAACCCCAGATCTGGATCTCCACTTAATACAGTCAACATAAGCAATTCCCTTTCATTTGGTATACCAAATATATTTTTCATTATTCTTCTGATTGAGTGACTAATCAGTTTTTGAGTTTTTTGATCGTATATAGGAACTACCTTCTTAATACAATTCAAATTTGTGGTAATATCAAATAAATCTAGCAATCTGTCTTCAGTAGGGTCTAACCTCACATACGCAAAAGTTTCCTTCCCACTCACATCTGTGCTTCCAATGATAGGAATATCTTTAGTTTGAAATTCATTAATAAGATGATTCCGATTACTTTCATTGTTTTCAAAGTATACAATAAAATTTGGATCCAATTCTTTCAATGACATATCCATGATTACTTAAATAGGAAGTTAATGTTCTGACAGTTCAGCTACTAAGTATATTGTTTTCAATACCTTCTTTTCTCAATTAAAATACTCTAAAATTTTAATAGTGACAAATAATTTTCTTGAATTATTGTGGTTCAAGTGGCTACCGTACATATATATGTATATGGCTTTATATCCTTGGATGAGATACTCCGGTGATGTTCCAAATCGTGTCTGTCTCTTAATCAGGGTTCTTCATCCCCTTAAAATTTCCGACATTTCAAAAGGTTTCTTCCCTGACTCTTTCTGCGCCACTTTCACTGCCTTTATTCTTTCCTTATTTGTTACAGTTCCCTTCAAAAGAGACGATCTAAATGAAATCAGAATTTTCAGCAGTTGTAATGGAACGATTACATCCAAAGAATGAAAAGATAATATACCCTTTGCAACTAGAGTTCACCTACAGTTAGATGCGATATAACTGTTCATTAATTTGCTGTTATTTAGGGATATCAAATTTTGAATTACGTACTTATTTATTTGTTTATCGCAAAAATGATACAATCAACAATATATTGTGCCAATGGTCCTCCAGTAGTAGTCTTACATGTAATATTCAGTTTTCCTGTGTCTAAATATGACAATTTCAACAGACAACCAAAATTTCCATCTGTCTTAGTATGAACGATACCTGCTAGAAATAACGTTTGTGACAACGTAGTTTGTTCCACTACATCAAATCCCATTTTCATGATAATATTTGTAAGTTTTGTAAGATTGGTGTCTGGGGTATCATTCCCAAATAAACTCACAACAATATCATTAGATTGATATTCACCTTCTTTACCCATTGCGTCACTCAATGTTTTCCAACGCTTAACAAATTGTGTTAAAGTTACAGCGCCATTAGTGCTTAAAGTACTAGTTACACCCAATCCCATTCTCAAATTTAAGGTATTCACACTACCACCACATTTGAAATATATACTAGCAACAGGAGCCTCATTACAAGAAAATGGTTTTCTTATCACAATTTCAAATTTTTGTTCCACTTTACGGTGAGGAATAATCATTGGACTCCCTGGTGGTTGAATATTTTGTAAGAAATATTCTGGATTATTATTTGTACGCGATGCTATTATTTCACTTGTTAATGCACTGATATCCCATTCGGTTTGATTTACAAACGTCAAGGTAATTTCCAATTTGGTAGGCTCAAGAACCAAGATTTTATATAAAATCTTAAGTAACGGAGAAGATAATAAGATACCTTGGTTAAATTGAAACATTCTTGAAGAGCCCTCTCTCCAATTATTTGATAATTTTAGTTCACCATATTTTATATCTACTACTGGATTTTTGTTTAGCAACTCCGAAAATGTTGAAGATGATCTGGTCTTTCTTGATGGAGGTGGACGCGGGACTACAGTTACGTCTGTACCTTGTGATGTTGTTTGCATTATGTTACCATTATCTGATTCATCATTCGAAGTATTCTTTAATATCATACTCGAACTCCTACTACGACTCGAGGATAACGCCATCGTAGATAGCGAGGCAACTGGAAGACTACCTAATCTCTTTAATAATGGGTTAGATTTATTATTAAAAGGAGGTAATGGTTGGAACAATGTATCCAATAAATCCAAATTTTGACTCATCTTCGATATTTGAATTAATTTAAGATATTCATATGAACGTGTTTGCAGTTCAATATCTAGTGAATTTAATTCTAATTGATAGAATTTGATTACTGCGGACCCAATATCAGGCTGACATTTATATAATTTTATCATCGTGGTAAGTATCATGGCTTTTGTTCCATTTTGCAAAGTAAAATACTTTTCAGTAAATATATTAAATAAGTCGGGAATTGGAACATTATCTGATATCATATATGTATATTCACCCAGTATAAAAGCAGCAACTTTAACAATATATTCAGATGTCTGATTGGAACGTAAATATTCTATCAACTTTTGACACGTTAAAACTTGTAATTGTGGGTTATTCACAACAATTTGACATAATCTTCTCCATATTTCTTCATCCTTTGTGGAGGTATTGACAGATAAAGATAATATCTTCAACGAGATACTGACATACCAACTAGGATCTATTGAGAAGTTTTCAGTTAAAATTGCTGCTTTAATAACAATATCTGATTTAAGATGGGGGTCTGACAAATGCTTAGAGCTGAGGATAAAACTTAACAGTTGCTCTACAATAGTTTTCACATTATCAATATCAGTAAAAGTATACAACAAATCAACAACTTTCCTAATGATCGAGGAATCTCTTTCACTATTCAATATATGGAAAATAAGATCTAAATTTTTACCACGGATACTATCAAAGGCCGTCTTCCCACTGAAGGAACATAATCTAATTAGAGAATCTAAAGTTAGATATCTAACATTGATATCATTTGAGTTCAAAAGCTCACATAAAGCGGTTGCCGAGTTAACAATAGCCTCATGAGATGGATCCAATTTAGAGGCAAAATTTATTAGGGAAAAAAGGATTGTATTCTGAACTGTTTTTTCCATTGGATCAGAAGTCCTTCTCGTACCCAAATTAATAGTCTCCATAACACACATTCTTAACCGTCCCAAAGTTTCACAATCAATATTATCTGTATGCAGTAAACTGGATTCGAACAAACCATTATTATCTTCAGTTTCAGATGGCGATATTATAAGAACATTCAGTAAAGATACAATTTTGGTAATTAACCACGGGTTTGGCATATTTGCAAATTTATATTCATCTGGAAAGGAACTTCTTCCAGTGTTAGATCCGCCGATCACCACACATTTGTATAATATGTCACTTAATTGAGGAACTAATCTCGTAAAAAATGAAGGATCGATATTTTTAGCAATGTATTCTACCAAAGGTAACGTTGTGAGCGTCAATCTATAATTATCTGTATCATCCAACAAACTTAGAATTCTTTGAATCCACAATTGTTTACGTTGGAGATCATCTGCTAAAATTGAATTTTTACTTTTCAATAAAGTTAAAAATGCCAATGTCGATTTTTTCTTTAAATATAAGGATGAAGTTGGTGATCTTAATACCTGAAAAACTTCCGATACTAGATCTTGATTTGATGCAAGAGCCTTAGTAAGTGTACCTGTGACACCAACAAAATTTAACCCCAATTCTGTGAAATCATCTTTGGAACTTGAAATATCATTTATCAGTTGTATTACAACCTCATCATTAACTCTTTCGACAACTATTTTGTGCCTATATAAAAGTTCTAATGTCATATACCCTATAAATTTTTCAGAAAATATATTTGATTTAATTAATTTAACGACTTCATCCAATCCAAAAAGAATATCATTAAGCATAGTGGTATTGGATGTGATATATATGTATGCCAATTTGGCTACGTACTTTTTCCGTTGATACCCATCAAATTTATCATTATTCAGTATACGTCCATTAGATGTTCCTTTTTTATTAGAAGTATTGAAATGTTGTTTTATCTTTACAATTTCAGAGTGAATTCTCTTTAGTTGATCTTCTGATTGTTGGGATGCCCTTAGATCAGCAATAAATAATTGTAGTCCTTTTATATTACTACCTGTATTAGAGACTGTCGAATCAGCAAAGGTCTTTCGGCGATCCATATTTGATGATATATATCTGCAATCAAAGTTCAAATCTTAAACTCTAAAATGAAAAGGTCTAGAACAACTATGAATGCTTTAACGTGAGTGAATAATTCAAACAGATTAGCAGCGATACAATTGATCCAAAACAGAATATGATCCAAACGCTGTTTTAAGGTATGAGTATCCTTGGAAGTCAACTCAAATATACTTTGTCTAACTATGCCAAATTAAAAATAAACTATTGGATTCTTAGTTCTCTTTATCCAACTGCATCACAAGTTGCAGAAGTAAATCTATATTCTTGTTCTTGAGAGGAGAAGCATTAAACTGAAATTTGGAAAATCTTAAAATGGGGGAAACGCGAACCGAAAAAATAATATTAAATGGTAAGTGATGATCTTTCTTTGTTTCACTGACGTGATTTAAGAACTGATATTTAAAAGAATAGTGCTACATTTGCAGAGAGAAGGCAAACATATTCGATCTTTCTCAAGAAGTAACCGCATTTGTTTCTCATTGAAAGTACATAAAATTAACTCTGGTTATAATTGAATATTTTTTGCACCTCTAATAGTATAACGAAAAAAAATCAGAAAAAATGTCTTTGTGGGTCGATAAATACCGTCCAAAGACTTTGAAGTCTCTAAACCATTCCGACGATCTAACCCATTTCTTATTATCATTATCGCAACAATCTAGAGATCTACCTCACTTGCTCCTATATGGGCCAAACGGTTCTGGTAAAAAAACGAGATGCATGTCGTTATTAGCGGCACTCTTTGGTCAAGGTGTCTATAGATTAAAAATTGATGTGAGACAATTTGTTACACCATCCAACAGAAAACTTGAATTGAATGTTGTTAGTTCTCCGTATCATTTAGAAATAACACCAAGTGATATGGGTAATAATGATAGAATTGTTATACAAGAATTATTAAAGGAGGTGGCACAGATGGAACAAGTTGATTTCCAGGATTCAAAGGGTGGGCTTGCTCATAGGTATAAATGTGTTGTCATTAATGAAGCTGACTCACTAACTAGAGATGCACAGGCTGCATTGAGACGTACAATGGAAAAATACTCTAAAAATATTAGATTAATCATGGTTTGTGATTCGATGTCTTCTATCATTGCTCCAATTAAATCACGTTGTCTCTTGGTGCGTTGTCCTGCACCAACTAATTCCGACATTATTAAGATCTTGAGTGAAGTTGCTACTGAAGAAAAAGTTGAACTAGAATCAGGAGCAATTTTAAATATTATCGCAAAGGAGTGTGATGGTAATTTAAGAGTTGCCTTGTTAATGCTAGAATCTATGGCATTGAACAACGAAATGCATTTAAAAAATAATACTACTTTAATAAAACCCGATTGGAAAGTTGTAATCATTAAGACAGCCAATAAAATCCAAAGAGAAAGGTCTGTGGGTTCTCTTGTTGAATGTCGTACGATATTATATGATCTACTCTCTCACTGTATCCCAGCAAAAGTTATATTACAAGAACTAATGTCATCACTACTAGCAAGTGCAAGTCTAGATGATTCTGTTAAGATTAATATTGTGGAGGCATCCAGTATATTCGATGAAAGACTTTCATTAGGTAACAAAGCCATATATCATCTGGAGGGTTTCGTGGCGAAAGTTATGTGTATCATTGACGGACAATGAACGATAAATACCATCATATGTAGTATTTTCCAAAAGGAACATCTGAAATAAGAATATCGATCATGAATATATATAAATATTATGAAGATTTATACATGGGAAGCATACGTGCTATATATACAAGTATATGTATGGTAGGTAAATAAAGGAGAGATATATATATGAAAAAATGATTCCATATAACAATTTTATAGTTAATCATTAACGACCTCTGTATAGTCTATATTGATCCTCCTGAGATTTCAAAATGTTGATACGTTTTTTGATTGATCTTTGAGATAATTTGGACAAGGGATCTATTTTAATCTCCTTCTTAGGAGCAAGTTCCTTGAAAGCATTTAAACCTACCCTAATAGGTGAGTTTCTAGACACAAACTCAAATACACCAGGTAACTTTGTTCCAGCCTTTCTGAAAGCTTCACGGGCCACTCTTTCATGAAGGTTGTCACCATACATTTCAAATAGAATCTTACCGGTTGGGACACGAACCATCCAATGATCGAATGCACCTTTACCTTTACCCATTCTGGTTTCATTACCTTTAATACAAACAGCTATATCAGTAACTAGGCGTCTCCATAACATACCATTATTGAGTGGTCTTACATATCTCATCAGGGCATTGTCAGCCTCTTTTAATTGTTGTGCTTTCATTCTTGTACCTTCTGATTTTAAACGAATACCGTATGTACCAAACTGTAAAGTAGAACCCTTTGTAGAACCACCAGTACGTACAGCAACTCTCCCCTTTTGTTTCTTACTTTGGAATGTAAACCTCGGAGCGTATTCATGTGTCCATCTTACCGATGTTTTCAGTAATTGAACTATGGGTTGTTTACTATTAGAAATTCCAGAGGTTCTAAACATTGTGTAACTAATAAATTGTGTTCCTCTTTGCTGATCTATCCTGCAGTTTTCCTTTATTTCTTCTATTTCTTCTCTCATTAAACATGTTTCTTTTAATTTGGGAGTATCTTTTGAAGGGAAGTTCTCTGTTTAAAGTTTCATGTTCGGAGACTCACATAGTCTCCGTATTTCGCGATTTAAATTGCCCCTACAATAAATAAGATAAATAACGGATATATCTACTTCAAGGAATATTAAAATACACTACATGATCCCGTTGTTGATTTTTAGCTCGACATTAAACATAAACAGTAACCAAATCTAGTTCAATTGTGTATTCAGTTGTTGAATATTTTTAATATACTGAGTAATAACCTATATATTTTAGAAGAAATGTTCAGCGTAAGCAGATTATGTGCATTGAAGACTACTCCTCGACTGTTTCTGAGATGTGAATCCACAAAGGCCGATCAACTTATAACAATAAATAATAAGACATATAAGAGTGATCCGGAATTTACAAATGTGACACCATCAATTATCGCCCATGTGAACAGGTCGCTGCACAAAAAACCTAACCATCCTGTAAATATTCTACGTGATTTAATTGAAAAGAAACTTTCTTCGGTGGATAATGCCTTCACCACCTATAACAATTTTGCCCCTGTTGTAAGTACTTTCGAAAATTTTGATTCCTTGGGGTTTCCAGCTGACCATCCAGGTAGATCAAAGTCGGATACGTATTATGTTAATGATAAAACGTTATTGAGAACACATACATCTGCACATGAGATGGAATGTTATAACAAGATCGACTTAACTGGTAAGCCCGGATTCTTAATTTCGGCAGATGTGTATCGCCGTGATGAAATCGACAAGACACATTATCCGGTGTTTCACCAAATGGAAGGGTGTAGAATATGGAAGAATAGATCAATTGATGAAGTAAAAGTTGACCTTAAAGTATTACAAAAGAAATTGGATGAACATGAAATGAATTTAATAGTAGAAGATCAATCTTTGGACAATACCCCAGAGAAGAATCCTAAACAACAATACATGACAGATCAAGAAGTTGACTTAGTGTCCCAACATTTGAAAAGATCCCTAGAGTTGGTTATTAGTGAAGTCTTTAATCAAAAGATTAACAGTATGAAAAAGGAAAAAAAATCTGTAAATATCCCTAACGAATTAAAAGTAAGGTGGGTCAATGCTTATTTCCCATGGACAGCACCTTCTTGGGAAATTGAAGTATGGTGGAATAATGATTGGTTAGAAATTTGTGGTTGTGGTATTGTTCAACAACAAGTCCTGTTGAATGCAGGTTATAAGAAGGATAGCACCATTTCTTGGGCATTCGGGTTAGGTCTTGACCGTATTGCTATGTTATTATTTGAAATTCCAGATATAAGATTATTGTGGTCCGAGGATAATAGATTTATTAATCAATTTAAAGATGGCCAAATCAATACTTTCAAACCTTATTCAAAATACCCGGGTACGACTAGAGATGTGGCATTTTGGTTGCCCGATTCTTCTGAAGTTTCTACTGAGATTCATGAGAATGATTTGATGGAGATCGTTAGAAATGCGGCTGGAAGTTTAGTGGAAAGTGTAAAGTTGATTGATCGTTTTCAAAGTACCCAAACAAACAAAACATCTCTTTGTTACAGAATTAACTATCAATCGATGGATCGAAACATCACAAATGATGAAGTAAATGAAATTCAAAAACAGGTTGAAGCAGAACTAATTGATAAATTTCATGTCTCATTGAGATAAATACCTTGTACATAGTATATCAAAAACAAAAATCTAAATAAATATGATTCTAACTTTGAATACGTTACTTCTAGACGTAAACTTAATTCATTTCATATTTGGGTACGGTAGTTAAGTTGACTACCACTAGATTGTATCTTCTGGGATCCTCGTTTCCTTATTAAACATATAAGGAGTATTACATGTCTACACTCGTCATCTTAATCTACAGTAGGATGTAAAATAATTTGCGCTTTCACTTGATACCAGATGATTCCTATTGATAACTTATAAGGGTTTGTTTTAGGGTTATTGAACGAGTCATCGGTAACTATATTCTTTTCCATATCAGTAATTTTACCAATAAACCATTCCTCGTTACGTAAATTTGGTGGATGATCTTTGTTACAATAAAAGTATTTTATGTCTTTCTCAAATGCTGTAAATGCCGCCCAAGGTTGCAATGTTTTACTCTCATCTGGTATCTTTGCTAGAGTTAGTACATTTGTTCTATCATCACTATTTCTAACAGGAGGAGGTGTCGATATGTCAATTGAAGAAAACGAAGAATTTAGAGAAGATATAGAATATCCATTAGCTAAAGGGTGATTATCACTAGTTGGTAAGAATAATGCAGTATCTCCTAGTTGGAAATCTTTTACGGTTATTTTTTCAGCTTGATATCTATCTATTAAGCTCTTCTTTGACTTTACTTCCTTAGTCATTTTCTTTGCTAATAACTCTATGTCATTAAATCTTCTAATTACAGAATTCTCATATAAACCACTGTCGTATATTTGTTTAATGTAATGAAGCATTTTTTCTTCGACCATTAAATTCTTCTTACTGTCTATATTATGATATAATTTATCGATCGTATGATAAACGGAACTTTGAATAACTTTACCTGGGAGAGCAGTATTAGAGGCTTCTATCTTTGAAGAATTTTGATGTACTGAGCTTTTTTCCATACTCTTCTTTAGTCCCTTAACTCTTTTAATAGAAAGGTTTTCACTAGATATACTCATAATTGCAGTTGTATCATATTTATCGTCAATATCTTGATTCTTTGGTACAAGTAGTAATCCAATATTTTCCAAAATATAGATGTTTCTTTGGAACATTCGAAAAATCATATTTTGTAAATTCTTGTTTTGTAATTGTAATTCAATGTTGAAGGATTTATTTTTCGTTTCTTCAGTATCTGGTTGAATACTTGAATTTATTTCATAATTAGAAGTTTGTACAGATACATTGGAAGTATTTGTATCCAAATATTCTTGTTCAAAACCTTTTTCTATTTCATTTTTCCCATTCTTCAAATCATCTATTTTTCTTTGTAACTGTAGACGTTCTAGATCCCATTCTTCTGATTTCATAGTTTGTTTCTTAGTCGTTTCTTCGTGTTCTTTTTTAAAACGTGCTGATTCCTCTTCTAATCTATTTACTTTATTAGCATATTCGACATTTTGATCAATCAATTTCTCTAAGCTCGTTTTGTACTCTAAAGCCCTATCAACATTAGCATTCTCGGACTCTTCTTGTAATGTTGTCAACCTTAAGAGTTCTTTGTTGAGATGGTGAAGTGTTTCTCTGCATGCACTATTTTCCAATTGTAAATCACTTACTCGTGAGTTCTGTTTATTTATCTCCTTTCTTTGGTCTTCTTCAATTCTAGTAAGCCTATTTAATTCTTCTTTTGATGCAGAGAGTATGTTTTCTTTACTTTCAGGATCTGTAGGCAACACGATAGGTAGCTCATTGATTGACGTTGATGATAATTCTGTATTTTGAATTCCATACGTGCAAAAAGGTGACGATAAAATTCCTGTCGGCCATCGTTGACTGTTATTAATATATGTATCATGAAGAATAGATTCTAATTTAATGACACGATTTCTATAGTATTTGATTCTTTCGTCAGGATTTTTAAAATTTTCAGCTGTACTGTCACATAACGATGCATTTATGGAATTAATTTCTTTCAATTTATTTTTTAAAAGAATGTGTACATCAGTTATAATATCTACTTCCGTTAAGTTTTGTAGATACTTGTTTATTGTATTAAACAAATGTTTCGTTTCATCCTGACATTTGGGTATTATAACATTTTCTATTTCTGAAAGAAATTTGGCACTTAGTATCATTTCCTTCAGACGATCAAGATCACAAGTGCCTGTATCATTGTCTGTAAATAAGGATGCCACTAATCCGTACATACTTGCCCAATCATTTCTTGTGCTTCTTTCTTTATCAGTCGTGACTGAGAATCCATGGGTAAAAGACTTTATATCATTTAATGTTCTTAAAAGCCATAAATTTCTACGGTATAATTCTATAATGTATAAGCCATATATTATAGGGAAATCTTCTACTTGAGTGAATTGTTTTATTGTGTTCTGATAAGTTTTCAAATTCATGTTGCAACTATTCACAAGAATTTTCTTCATCTTTAATGTTTCAATCTGACAATATGATACTTGTCCTAAAATTATAACCGTTTGTTCTTGTAATGAACGTTTCAAAGAAAGAAAATCTTCAACTTTAGTATACAAAGCCTGAGAAATAGTGTATAATTTACTCACAGTTGATTTATGATTGGATTCGATTGTATTGCTCACCATAGTCTCTATATCTCCAACATTAAACTCTTCTGATTTTTTGTTCAAAATAGATCTACTATCTGACTTGATTTCATCCATTAATTCATTGAATTTTAAAAGCATTTCATCTTCAAGTTCATACTTATCGTTTTTAGGTCTGAAATTAACATTTGCATTTTGTATATTTTCTAAGATAAAATTTCTTTGTTGGAAGTTTACATCCATGTCATTCTTGATGTTAATTAAATCTGAATTTATTTTTGTATCTAGTTCTTTTATTGTTTCAAAATCATTATCAAGTTTTATCTTGTTAATATAATGTTGTAAAGGTTCATCATTTAATCCATTTAGGTTATTTAAGATATTATCATAATAATGAACCCATTTGGAATCATTTTTCACCCCAGATAATTGACCTAAAAATGATACGTTAGAATTATATAATTCCTCTACATCAAAAGTATATTTTTTCAAATATTGATCTGCCATAAACAAGCATTGAATAATGGATACTATATCTTTAGATATATCCTTGATTAGTTGTTCTAAATAATGGACATCAATCTCCAATGCACTTAACCATCCAATATTAGTCACTAATGTAGTAATTATATTATGATATGATTTGGAGTCTAGCCCCTTAAAATTTGTTTCCATCAAAGGGGAGGGTACTGGTCTAATGAGAGCTAATTCAGTTGACAAAATATTTTCAAACACTACACTTTTCACTATTTGTCTAGCATTTAATATTAATTCTTCTTTCTCAGAAGAAAAAGATAAAGAAGAAGTCTGTGTATACTTCCCTTTTTCATTAGATATCAAATTTGGTTTATTGACCAAAGAAAATAAGCGCCGATCATAAACATAAAATTCTTTTTGCAAGAATATTGAGCTTACTATATTATTATTATTATTATTATTATTCTGATATAATGTTTGTAACTCTGAATTATCGAAGGATAAATAACTTTCTAAAGTTGATTGTTTTAATTTTGTACCATAGGGGAGTAAGATCAAAATTTCTTCTGTTGGTATACCCCATTTTATATGAATGAAATCCTTTAAGTTGTTATATGAAGTAAAGTACCTAATATTAGTAGATATGGTTTTCCCTGAGATGGCATTAATTATCCTAGTATCCTCAGACATGACCTAAAGAGTTATTTTATATCTTAGATGTTTCATTCATTTATCTGATATGTTAGTTTGAAAACAAATTGCAGTTTAACTAAGAACTTTTCTGTCAGAATTAAGGATGCCTATCAGTATGAGGCTATACTTAATTTAAAATCTAGCTACAAGAACTGTTTAAACTAATCATAAAACGAACAAAAAAAGGTAAATAAATAACTCTTTTGCTTTGAAAGGAATGTCTTTAGTGATGAGCCCTTCATATTGCTAATACAATAAAAGGGTGTCTCACACGAACAGGTAATCAATCCACTGACTGAACGTTTCCTTTTTCTCTCTTGTTGTACGTTCGTTTTTCGGCGATTATTTAATACTGCTAAATATTTGTTGTTGGGGAAGCAGTTCTTTTTTTGCAATTAAAGCTGTCATGATGAAGAAAAAAAGATGATTATGATGATATAATCTTGTTGTAATAAAGAGTTTGGCTGGCGAACGTTTGATAATTAGCTTAGTTTACTTGTATATTTACAGTTAGGATTTCTACTGGGCTCATTAAACAAATTGTCATATGCATATGCTCCTATTACCTTTTACTTTCTAAATGACGATTACTTACAAAGAACTAGATATAAATAATATCAGATACTTTACAAGATTAAAAGAACTTATCGATGCAGATCTTTCTGAACCATATTCGATATATGTGTATCGATATTTTCTAAATCAATGGCCACAATTGGCTTATTTAGCCTTTGATAGCGATTCCAAGGATAATCTACCAATAGGTTGTATTATATGTAAGAATGAAATACATCGAAATTCAAGAATGAGAGGATATATTGGAATGCTAGCTGTTCAAAAGGAATATCGTAGCCAGGGAATTGCTAAGAAACTTGTTGAACAAGCTATTGAAAGGATGATTCTAAATGGTTGTGATGAAATTATGCTTGAAACAGAAGTTGAAAATATGGCTGCATTGAATCTATATGAAGGATTGGGATTCATTAGAATGAAAAGAATGTTTAGATATTATTTAAATGAAGGTGATGCATTTAAATTGATATTGCCAATAACAGAAAGGAGTAGTGTACGATCTACTTTCCTTATGAATCAAGACCCAGTAGTTGAATCTAATGCACACTCAAATCTAATTGTATAACCCATTTGATCGCTTGCTTATAGAAGATGAAATATAATAAAAATTGCATAGAATGGAACGGAATGGAATTATTAAAACATTATGCATAGTCGTTTATTAGTCTGTTATAAGGCAAGGGGTTTTGAGTTTAAATTGTTATTGTTTTTTGTAATTACCAACATATAACTCTAATTTTAAATTTTATTAGTTTATTATTATAATAAAATATGGATATAATGTTTAAGATATATAGGGGTAATATAATACTGTGATATCTTTACGAACTGTATCTAAACGTGCCCTTTATTTTGTTTTTTGTTTTGTCGTTATACTGCCTATGGTGCCTCTTAGCAGGCGTCACAAAATAATTCTAATATATTTACAATAATAAGAATAGAAAAGAGGAAGCACATTAGGTATAAGTACTATATATAAATGATTTGACAATTAGATATCCCAACCGAAGACAAGAAATATCTAAGATTATAAATATATACAATGGCCAATTCATTACCTCTCCATAATAATCAATCTTTGCTAAATCAAAGGTTATCCAATGATGGAGGGTATAGTAGCAAAAAATCAACCCCAAGTACTACAACTTCAAATCAGGAGAGAGATGATGTGGAACAAAGAAATGTATATGTGAATGGTTCGATTCAGTTTTCTCTTCCAAGTAAATATGCTGCTATCCAAGTTTTGGGTAAAGGGTCCTATGGCACTGTCTGTTCTGCAAGAGATTTGACTGCTAAAAAAACAATTGGCAATAAAGAACCTCTTTTGGCAATTAAAAAGATAACCAATATTTTGACAAGAGAAATACTTTTGAAAAGATCCATAAGAGAATTGAAATTCATGACTTTTTTCCAAGGTCATAAGAATATTGTCAATCTAATTGATGTTGAGTTAATTTTGGAGAAACCTTATGATGGGTTGTATTGTTACCAAGAATTAATAGATTATGATTTATCCAAAGTGATTCATTCCTCCGTTCAATTAACCGAATTTCATATCAGATACTTTACTTATCAGATTTTTTGTGGATTAAAATATATTCATAGTGCAGGTGTCATACATCGGGATTTGAAACCTGGCAATATTCTATGTACAGTTAATGGATGTCTGAAGATATGTGATTTTGGTCTAGCAAGAGGTATCGAACAGATAGAGGTGACAAAATTTCAACAACAAGATATAACAAACTATGTTGCGACGAGATGGTATAGAGCCCCTGAGATTATTCTATCTAGAAAACCATATGATAAATCCATTGATATGTGGGCTGTCGGATGCATTTTAGCAGAATTTTATAATAGAAAACCAATATTTATGGGAAATGACTCTATGCACCAGATTTATGAGGTGATTAAGATTTTAGGATATCCACCAAGTCACCTGTTGGTTAGTTTTGGCTCAGTTAAAGCATGGAATCTAGTAAATAATAATTCGTTTAATAATTCAGATAAGAAAGATTGGGATACTATCCTTCCCGGTGTCTCAATAGAGGCCATCAGTTTATTGGACCAACTTCTTTGTTGGGAACCAGATAAACGTATCAGTGTTGTCGATGCATTAGATCACAAATTTGTTGATAATGTAAGGCGGAATAATGATGAGCCAGTTTGTCCCCATGGAATATTTGATTTTTCCTATGAATCAGAATTAAAATCAATGAACAACCTAAAGGATTATTTAATCAAAGATATATCCCTATTCAAGATCAACCGTAAGTAGTTTTATCATCCAAAATATTTATATATTTGTTTCTGTTGTTCCTGGGGTTTTCCTTAGTATACATATATATATTTCGCAAATTCCCTAATGAACTCGCGCTTTATTTAATCTCGCCGTTCTCGAACAAAGTTCGTCGTTCATGTACTTTTCTTGAACATAGAACAATCCATATTCCAGTATATTATAAATACATCCCACATCAACAATAGGCAACATCCAAAGGAGTGGTTAAATATAAAGAAATTTTGTTTATTTTAAGGCATTTAAAAGTATCAATAGTGATAACGATTACCTCCTACTCCGACGCTATTTTATAACGCACATTCACAGCAATGAGTAATTTAAATGTTCTGGAAACAAAAGGACGGAGACGTGCTTTATCCATCAACAGCATAGACGCAGATCATCAACACGCAATGGATAGTTCTCTTGACAATCTACAACAAGATCTGTCATTAATTAGTTCACAATGGAACAAAGTAATCAATGAGCATTCTAACCCCTTAGAGTTATCTCTGGCCTTCCTAGATGACACATCAGTCGGTCTTAGCCACAGGTATCAAGAATTTACTCAATTAAAAGAAAAAATAGGATCTCATTTAAGATTAGTAGTTGGTGAGCATAGTCAAGCATTTAATTCTAACGTGGCATCATACAGTAAAACTGTACTAGCATTAACAGATGCTCAGGAGAATACGACTCAAATCAAAAAGAACTTAAATGAAGCAAACGAAAAGATCACTGTACAAAAAGAATCTCTGATGGAATTAAATAACGAAAGTCTAAAATTGACAAACTCTATAGAATCGCTTTCTTACATTGAAGAATTGTTACAAATACCTGAGAAAATCGAAGGATGTATGAGAAAAGAAGATTTTAAAGAGGTACAAAATCTTTTGGAAAGGGGATTTGTACTAAGTAATACAAATTCATTGAAATCTTTAGAACAATTGAAACCCATTCATCAACAACTAGAAATCCAAGAACATGTTCTATTCCAAAATATGATAGATGAAATCCACGATATAGTTTATTCCAAAAAGGGTAATCTTACTCTAGATACGAATATTTTAGAGACCATTAGTGTATCTCAGAATGGCTTCACAAGTTTAGAAAATTATCTCTACAATATTGTAAATATCGATCTAATGAAGCAGTCTGTAGATTTGAACAAAAAATTATTAAATTTTATCACCAATGTCAAAATACCAGGATTTTTTCAAACTATTGCTACAGTGAATTCTGGTAGTAATTCGGATTACACTCAGTTATTTGCTCTATTATCTATGTTGAAAGATATTAATAAATTGCCATTAGCACTTAATATATTGGTGGATAGAGCAAGTGTTGAAATACATAATATCATGATTAAAGCAACTGAAGCTGTACGTTCAAAACACCCGACATTATTGAAAATGGTTAAAAGTATCGCGAATGAAAATAGTTTTGGTCTTTCTATTAAAAATTTACTTTCCTTGATAATGAGGGAATGTTTCTGGGAAATATTCATCAAATATTTGTTGGTAATTCAGAAACATAGAGCTATATATGAGATAGTTAACGTCCTTCAAACTTCTTCTGCTAGCTCTATAAATAAAAATTATTATAGATTTGACCTAATTTGGAGTAAACTTTTGCATGAAGTGGAACAACTGATAACTAAATATATATATAACCCTTTATTGATTCTGGGAGGAGATATGCATAGATTGGGAAGACAGGCACCAGTTTTACCGAAAAGAAAAGGACAGAAGCTATTTCTACTTCAAAATAATGTAACTGATGCATCATACACTAAAGAGCACATTGGGGATTTAAAGGCACTTCTAAAAGATATATTTGTAGGATTTACTGTTCCTCAAAATATAAAACTAGATTCTATTTACATCGAAGATGAATCTTTTGAAGAGGAGGAACCTCTTATTCCTGCTTCTGTTTTCAACATGAAAGTCTTGTTGGAACCATTGTTACTTTTCGTTCAAGCTTCTTCGAATTTAATTCCTGTGGATATATCACAAAATTCTACGCCATCAATAGCTTTCTTTTCTAGTTTTATGGAGAAGAATTTTTATCCAAGAATTGGTTTGACATTGGATTATGTCTTTTCAACTGATGTTGAAAGTCTGAATCCTTACACATTAGAAAATATAAATGAAAATCAAAATATATTCAAATCAGCAATTGATTTCCAAATATTTTTTTACAATATGCTTTATGTGTTCAATTCTTCAAATAGTTTTAGGCCACAGATGGTTAAAATAATTCTGCATACACTTGAAAAGTTTTTCCAATATTATTCTAGCATTTTTAACTCGATCATTGGATCATCTGCTAGTGAAAGAAGTAATAGATTGACAACGGCTTGGTTTAATGACGAACATTTGAAAGCCTGTGAGAGACATTTATTGAAGGGAGACAACTCCAATATTGTAGATGAATCTAAAAATTTATTTAAGTTTTGTCCCAAATTTCATGAAAGGGGGAATGATATCGGGGAAGATAGTACCTTAAATTTACTCACCTTAGATACGGTAATTTACTTTACGAGCACGGTTTCTTGGATTATGACGTGGTTACCATCATTGAAAAGCTTAATCGAAAGTTCAAGTAATACTGAAATCGTGTCATTAATGAATGCAGACGAATTGAGGTCTCATTGGTCATTTTTTGAGTATATGGATATAGAGAATTCAAACAAAATGATGTCACTTAGAATATTGTTGGATTCTGAAAATAGTGAGAAGTTTGACTCAATTGTGCAAGGTTTTGAAGGTCTAGAGTTGGATCTGATGACTCTGTTACGATTTGATATTAGGGCGGAGTCTATTTACAATATTGGTAAATTTTTCCAGGAGACAACATCTTGGGATTTGGAAGTTGGTAGTATCGAACTTTACCATTCCATCAGTTCACTAATTTCGCGATTAAGGACAACTGAAAACAAACTAAGTCAACAGTTATCTGAGGATGGGAAGGATAAAATATTTGCTGGTATTGATGTTGTAAGTAGTCAAGCTTTCATATTAGGAGCCTTTTCCATTAATGTAATTAACGAAAACGGTATAAAGAAAATATTAAGGAATGTGAATCTGCTTCAACACACTATTAGAAACCTATGCAGTGAACCATCAAATATATCGATGGCAAATACGATTGCATTTTACAGTCTAATATCTCAGACAGAAAATGTTTTGATTCAAAAAATTAATGACAAAGAGCTCCCACTCTTAACCAAAGACGATTTTAAAAATATCCTGAGGTTGCAGTTCAGTGAGGAAATAGATCAACAAGTAAAGCGTCAAAATTCTATGTCTGCTAATAATGCATCTAAACCAGTAAATAGAAGATATAACGAAGCACTGAAGAAAATCGAAGCATTAAACATATAGAAGTACATAAATTAGTGATTATTTAAATAACGTACATAAATTACTTTGTTATTTCATATATATCAATGCATATAGTTAAATAGAGTGATCCTTAAGTAGTCTATATATATATATATATATATAATTTGGCACTGGGAAATTCATTTAGTACATTATTTAGAGTCTTTTTATAAATGATCCCAGTTATCGTATATTGGTGCGGGGGTGTGTGTGTGTCGAAGAGTCTTCCTTCTTAGGGAACGGTAAATATAATTTTCTATGAAAAATTTAGTTCCGGTTAGAGCTATATAAAATTTAGAATGGGAAATATAAATTAGTGCGTTATTGGGAAATATACTAGGTTTTGATCTCTTCTCTGATATCAGGAATAACTATAGTTTACTATCAACCAAACAACTAATTAATTATTTAATTAACCATCATGGATGCCATCGCAGATCCGAACTTTAAGCACCAAACGAGTAAAATAAACGCTACTGAGGAGTCGCCCTCCTTGTTGACTGTTATCATAGATATAACCCCGCAACTATGGACTGAATTTGATGGGAAAACTGGTAAGAAAGGTAATATCCTAGACGTTCTAAGGTCATTGATTGTATTTTTGAATGCCCACTTGGCATTTAACATATCAAATCAAGTTGCCGTTATCGCAGCTCATTCGCAAGGGATCAAATATTTGTACCCAAAAAACAGTAGTAATACAGAATCAAATGGTTCAGACAACAACAACGATAAAAAAAGTAATGATCTTTCAATTATAAGCAAAAATATGTATAGACGATTTAGAAATGTAGATGAAACTTTGGTTGAGGAGTTATATACATTATTCAAAGGGGAAGAAAAGAATATTGGAAAACTGGTGCAAAAAAGTACACTGGCAGGAGCTATGTCTGCAGCATTGGCATATACTGATCGAATAACTAGAGAAATGGAGAGTATATCTTTAAAATCGAGAATAATGGTTATCACTTGTGGTAGTGATAAGGGTAACAGAGAGGAAATCTTTCAATACATTCCGATCATGAATTGTATCTTTTCTGCTACGAAAATTAAGTGTCCAATTGACGTCGTAAAAGTTGGTGGTCCAAAGGAAAGTACATTTTTGCAACAGACTACGGATGCTACGAATGGTATTTATTTGCATGTTATCTCAACTGATGGGTTATTACAATATTTTTCAACCGCTATGTTCATTAATCCTTCCTTACGTCAAATAATCGTTAAACCTAATAAGGGTTCTGTTGATTTCAGAACATCATGTTACATAACAGGTAGAGTTGTTGCTATTGGTTATATTTGTTCAGTTTGTCTTTGTGTTTTATCCATTATACCTCCTGGAAATAAATGTCCTGCTTGTGATTCTGAATTTGACGAACGAGTAATAGCTAAGTTAAAAAAGAGACCAGTAGTTCCAAGATTAGCAAGAAAGAAGAGTTCAGGTCATGTATCTAAATAAGAATATAGTTTATAAGCATCTCATACATTTTATGTGTGATTCAATAAAACAACTGATGATTATTGTCATATTTGTCCCTGTAAATAATTTTATTTTTTCCTCAAAAGCTATTAAGGTATTTGGAAGTATACATAGATTCATGACTATCTTATGATGTAATCGTTGAGATTGGTCTTGTTTCTGAAATTATTTTATTTGAAAATGTTGATTATTCCAGGATTGTCACACAGTAGGCGATGATTGTTTATACTGAAAAAATATTATTCAAAAATACTTTAATTACGTTTATTTAAAGAATAAAATATTTTAGAACTATAACAGTATCAAAGACATTCAACTTACTATCAGAACCTTGAATAATGGAAAATAAGAAATCCTCAGCTTCAGTGGATCCAACCTTTGGTCAAGCACCCGTATTTGCATTAAATGATGAGGATGTCAATCCTCTGGCGATCCAATATTTGAAAGATGTAAGGAGAGAAGCCCTGACAACAAATGCAACTAATTACAAGGGAGTGAGTCAAAGAAGCTCTAAGTTTCTAGCAGATATATATGACGATGAACCCAATTCAAACCCTAAATTAAACTCTGAATCTCAAGATATTGTTAATCTAGGCGAAAGAAGTGTTGATGATCTCGTAACAGATGCTACATTTAACACACCAGATACTATGAGAAACTATCCAACTGAACAAACCTCATCTGAATTACCTACGAGATTGAAAAAATTCAATGAGAATTCAGGTCAATGGTTGGCATGGTTCAAGAAAAGTAAGACTAAAATATTGGATTCAGCATTCACTACACAAGGATATGATGATGATATTTTAAACCTATTACTTTTTTATTTAAAACAGCATTTAAATGAATCAAAGGACAGAAACACAGGTATTGAAACGCATTTGCACAATTTGTTGAAAGATCATAACGTGAGTGACGAGATTCTGTCGAGTAATTCATGGACCATTGATGAAACATGGATTACTCCCACTTTATCAAGGTTGCGATCCATGCGAATCAGAGATATTGATGATATAAAGGCATGTCTTCTTGGAGACTATAGGAGCAAGAAACCTAGAAATTATGATCAATGGACTCGTTTCATTCGTGAAAATGAGCCAAATAGTTCGATGTTCACTACTATGGTTACGCAGGATGATATTTGGATTATATTCAAATTTATGAAACAAAATTGGTTAAAAGTAATGATGAAAACGCCTGAAAATTTTGCAAGGACTGGAATGTGGCTTTTATATTCAATGTTCTATCTTTCAGAGGACCTCAATTCCACTCAAATAAGTACATTACGTGATTTTGCTAAGAAATGTCAGCGCCTCTATTTAGATAAATTGGTACTTCACTCACAGGCAGGTGAAGGAGATCAAATATCGTTACACGAGATCAAACTTCCATCAGAGATGATTGTTCTTGGTATTCTACCACCTATAAGCGGACTTGCTGTAATCGAACTAGTAATGGTAGTAATATCCCAAATATTCGGACAAAAGGATTTAGTAGCATGGACCGCTATAGTGCAAATGGGCTGATCTACGAATTAATATTTCCGGACTTCCAAGGCTTGGTGAGTGTGCGTAAAAGGTAACGCAACAATATAGATAGCTTTACAAAATACGTAATTAACCCTCTAATTTGAGAATCATGCAAAATCTTCCGTACTTATCTCTCCACTCCCACTATCTATCTCACCCGCCGTGTAAATCGTTGATGAACCATGTCACAATCACTATTATTTATTAAAGAGAGTGAGACAATGAGATTGGAATTTTCTTGAAGAACAATCACAACCCGAGTCAAATTTTCAATACGGAAATATTATTTCTATTAATGTGAAGAAGCAACGCGATGAGTGCCGTTCATTCATTGAATGAGATTTCCATTTCAGAGTATTGATAACGGCTTCCAATTGAATCTATTTGAAAGATTTTATGGTGTCTTATAGTACTTCAGAAGTTTTACATATATATATATGTATATTAATTTATTATCGTATTCATCTCTAGCTTTTTTTTTGATTCAAGTTGTTTACTCCTAAGGTCAGGTCTTTTCTAATCTGAAATCTCAACACTAAATATCTATAATCAGTATTCTGGAGAATTCGAAGTAAATTGGTTTATCATGTCCGAAGAATTTCCAACTCCTCAGTTGATCGATGATTTAGATATACAGCATTCGACGGATAATACAAGAGTCTTTAAAGACTTGTTAGCGGGTACTGCTGGTGGGATCGCACAAGTTCTAGTGGGTCAGCCGTTTGATACTACAAAAGTTCGTTTACAGACAGCTACAACTCAGACATCTGCTATAGATGTCGTGAAAACCCTTTTAAAGAATGAAGGACCTAAAGGTTTTTACAAAGGTACTTTGACTCCATTGATTGGTGTAGGTGCATGTGTATCTATCCAATTTGGTGTTAATGAAGCAATGAAGAGATTCTTTCATACTATGAATAAGAATACAACCAATTCAACATTATCTTTACCTCAATACTACATGTGTGGTGTAGCTGGGGGGTTCAGTAACTCTTTTCTAGCTGCTCCTATTGAACATGTCAGAATCAGATTACAAACGCAGACATCATCAGGACCAAATGCAGAATTTAAAGGACCATTGGATTGTATACGGAAACTGAGAGCTCAAAATGGTCTAATGAGAGGTTTCAACGCTACTTTATTAAGGGAAGGACACGGTTGTGGTACTTATTTCTTAGTTTACGAAGCGTTAGTGGCTAATGAGATTAATAAAGGTTTGAAAAGAACTGAAGTTCCAACTTGGAAACTTTGTATGTTTGGTGCTTTATCAGGTACAACACTATGGATCATGGTTTATCCTATAGATGTGATAAAATCTGTTATGCAAACAGATAATTTAAAACAACCAAAGTACGGGAAGTCGATTCTTACAGTTGGGAAGCAATTATATGCTAAGCATGGTATGTCTGCATTTTTAAAGGGTTTCGGTCCAACGATTATAAGAGCAGCTCCAGCCAATGGTGCTACATTTGCTACATTTGAGATTATGATGAGAATGTTAGGTTAATATCAATAATAATAATTTATATACGTATGTGTTGCTGTGACTTTTTCTTTATATAAATGAACATGTAGAAATATGTATAAGAATTGCAATTTTTATATAAAGTTCTTATTTAACTGTTATGTTGTTATGTTTATGTATCATATCTTCCATAGAGGGATCCTCGTGTCATTTATTGTTTCTTAGTTTTCAATCTAATCTTCTTAGTAAGTATTCAACTTCGACTTCCTTAGTTAAAGGAATAACGAATTCCTTGTAAATTTTAACAAGATATTCAGGTGTGATTTTTCTTTGACTTTCTTTATTTGTTGGATCAACACCATATACTTCAGCTTTCGTGGTTAATCTTTGTAGAATCTTTTCCTCAACAGCAGAATTTGTAATATGTTCCATAATGCTGTCTATATCTTTCTCTTTAATCAATTTTGTGTACAACTCTTCATCAGATCTAAATTTGGCTTCTGCGACAAACTTACCAAAATGAATTCTTCTACTCAGACTTTGCAAACATTGTATATCTGTCATAGCCACAGAACCGTAGTTATTGGCATCATCACCATCATATTTTGAAATCAATGGAACGATTTCTTTGATGTAGACACCTTTGATCTTATTATTATAGTTTACATTTTCTGCACTTGGAGCCAGGATTTGAGGAAAGTTTATACTTGGTAGTATTGAATCTAAAATTCTATCTGGGAAGAAGGGAGTTTCATCTGGTGATTCGAATCTTCTCAATTGTGATTCGGTAACTTCTAGATGCATCAAGGCCCAGTCCAAGAAAGAACCATCGAAATCGCCTAAGGGAAGCTTAGCATTGTTTTCTATGTAAACATTACCATTGGTTGGGAAATGTGATCTCTCGATGAATTGGAAAATAATGGAATCTTCCATTTTGACCAATTCATTTCTAATATTTTCTAGTTTGAAAACTGTCTCTGGTTTAGTAAAATCCATTCTTGACTTGATTCAATCTTTTTTATTTTTGGATATATAGATATATATTTGTGGCAACGGTGCTACAAACATATTGTTTTTATATATGATATATTGTTGCTCCAGTTGGTGAATCCATTTCATAGAGATAAGTTCGCTTGCAAACATCGATCCCATCGGATATCATCATTAATTATTGTTACTCATAATTTTTTTTTCCAGTATCAATGGCAAACGCGCGACTGAGATCCACTCATCTGTATAGTGAATAGATTGTTGTATGAATATTGATGTGAGTCGTTTTCTTGGTCCAATGTTGTCGATAGAGAAATAAGGCAAAATCCTGATAAGAATAATTGGTTAATTATTATGTTCGCAATATATGTTGCCCTGGAGTATAGAGAGGTGGATATTATTGACGATAATAAATAAAAATTTCAATAAAAAAAAGTGTATATTTGCTTAGTTCAAGAATATTATTAAATAGTATTATTTTTGGTTAAAGTTCTGAATTATTTTAAAGAACTGGTATGGCGTCATTGCTTATGAGTTATCATTTTATGGCATCTTCAGATATCTTTTCGTCTGTACTATCTGGCACATCCTTGTCTTTCTTATTTACATTAATTAATTCTCCAGTTTCAGGATCAGAAATTGAATTCAATAAAGTTTCGTTTGCCTTTGCTTCTCTGTCTAGTTCATCCTGATTGGTGTAGAGCCCCCATGATCTGAACCATAAAAATCTTTTAATCCTTGATAATTTGTCGTCATCTAATCCATAATTTTCGTAAGAACTGTATAAACCTTTTTCTACATCATCTTCTGTAATGCCATAGTCTACTTTTCCGACCAAAGAATTTTCTATCTTACTCAATAGAACACTTCCCTCGATACATATCAACATACCGATAGCCCAAAAAATCACGTATTTTATTTGTTCGGTTGAATCGTCCTCGCCATTTTTATTTCTTTCGTTAAATTCATTCATATCTTCCCATGTCCCTGCATGCCAATATCTAGAAGTATCATCCGATGAGAAATTTCTAGATCGAAAGAGATCGTTCAAGTCATTACTTGATGGTGTACCATGAGACCAGTTTGATCTATTTAAATCATATAATCTTTTTTTGTGCTGATTAGTCAATATGTCATAAGCCTGTGATATTACCTTGAATCTATTGACTTTCTCTTCCATCGTCAAGATTTTACCGGTTATAATTGGATCTAGTATATCTCTTGAGAGAGAAAGATCTGGGTGGTATATTTTCACATATTTATGGTATTTTTTCTTTAATTCTCTTAATTGATCATTGGTTAAACGAGATGTTATATTTGTATTTAGTCCAAATATTTCATAAGGGGTGGGATATTTCATGCCGGGCCATTGTAAATCTTTTAGTGGTTCATTACTTTGATTCGATCTCCTTGCTAACTCCAAGTCATCATTATCTATCATTCTTGCATAAAATCGATAGGTTTGGAAAGGCGTGAACTTTCTCATTCTACTGATAAAAGTTTTTTTTGTATTCATCCTCGTTACATCTGTGAAAGCTATCATTGTATATAAAATGTTGTTATATTCCTTTTCCAATGATTCAATGTGTTGTACATAAAAGATGTATGTTGTTACTGTAAAAAAAATAGTAACAGACAATATGAATAAGGTGTTCTAGAATCAGAAGGATGTTTACTTGTAATGGCTATATGTTATCTGTTATAATGATAAGACAAGTTCGACTATATGCATGGTAAGGCTTACCGATAAACGCTGCCGCATTATGGTGTCGTGCCCTGGAAACTAAAGTCCGTTCATGTAAATAATGAGCAAATAAAAAATATATATATAGACATACTATACGCTCGTAAACAAAAGTGATACGACGATAGTTACACTTGAATTAAAGTTAGGAACGCTACTCAGCGATTCGATAATGAATTGATTAGGTGCCAACTACAACCTGGAATCACAAGTTGAAAAGTACATAGCATCTATTATTCTCCTAATATGAAATAAGTCATCCTAAAAAGGTATTTTAAATAATTCAAATTAAAAAGTAACGCCGAATGACGTTTTAGGATGTTAAGAATTTGATATTTTTAGGTTATCGTATATTTTAGTAACTGCAATTAAAAGTAAAGAACCATTAATTAAAAAAAAAACATTGTAAAAGCTATTGTACTTAATAATTTCTACCTGTTCAGTACGATAATCTCAAAATAAAATTACAAAAAATTAATGGACGAGTTGGGAATCGAACCCAAGACCTCTCCCATGCTAAGGGAGCGCGCTACCAACTACGCCACACGCCCTATTAATTAGGTATTGTGTTGTATTGGGATCTCGGATGATTGAAGACAAACATATAACAGACGGTTATATTTAATTACTACTACTATGTTGTTAACTAATTAGAACTTATTTCAATAAATCGTTGTTTCTTTTTGTTTTATAAAGTAAGTTTATATACGGAAGATTATATATTTAAAGTTAGCATATGTGGTCTGACAGAAATTATGTGGGATCAATATATCTCGAATGTGTTATGAAGCGCGTTATAGTATGAAACAAAGTTAATCGCATTATGAAACAAAACGTAATTCCAACCTCAATTGATATTGGAATAAAAATATATATAAAGACAAATAATTCTGAACTTACATTCTGAGTTAGATTCTATTCGTTCTATAAATTATATACAATACAAATAATCACTTACAAATATAAGAAAAAGATAAGAATTATATTTTGCTTACCTAACATTAAAACTCAAGCTATGCCATCAACCTCTCTACCTGCCACTATATTGTAAACGTAAGTTTGAAATCGAGAATATACGATTAGTATTCGAGTTGAAATTATCGGACAGAGTTATAGATATTCAAATGTATAATCTTGTGGTTTATTTTATGTTATATAAAGTAAGTCTATATAAGGAAAATTGTATATATATAAAGTTAGAATATGTGTTCCTTTTATACTTTTGGGAAAGGAAAGCAGTCTACCAATTAGTAATACTTGCTTACTAATCATTCTTAAAGAATGTTCTAGAATCATATTGAACAGTTAGTAATAATTTCTTACTAAACATAAAATTGTAATAACTAAGTATTGCTACTTTCTATATTATAACATATATAATATGAACGAATATAAGTCTAACCACAGTATGTCTGCTTCAGCTCATGGTCCTTTTATACTTTTGGAAAAGGAAAACAGTCTACCAAATATTGATAGTATTCTTACTAAACATTCTAGAAACATGTTCTAGACACTTATGAAACAATTAGTAATACTTGCTTACTAATCATGTGTTATTATATATACGACAGTGCAGCACACTCTAAATTCTACTTATATTAGCTACCTTCACCTTCAGTTAGGTTAAGCTAATGTTAGCCTTTTTAGTGCTGCCGCTACATATTCAACATGTTACCATAATAAGTATCGCTACTTAATATTCCCACAACAAGTATTGCTACTTTCTATATTATAACAGATAGTATTATTTGCGTTACCCGGGTATTTCATATTAGTAATACACTATAACATTTTCCCGGTTTTTAAGAAATTGAGCTCGCATGGCGTAATGGCAACGCGTCTGACTTCTAATCAGAAGATTCTGGGTTCGACCCCCAGTGTGAGTGCTTACTTTCTTTTTTTGAAAATTTTTGTTTAGGAATATCCACAAGTGTGATGTCTAACATTCGATTTTTTATGGTTATTGTTTTATTTAAACCATATATCAGATTATCAGTTTTCTCTTTACAAATTTAAATAATACAATGTGGCCAACTCTGTTCATTCTTATATCAAGTGTGATCCAACATTATCAGGAATGTCCCAGAATGCCTTTGACCAGAAGAAGGCTAGTATCCTTAACGAGATTAATTCGCCTCAGCCTGATCTGTCCCCAAAGGGTTCAATTGATGAATTATGCATACCTATTATGGAACTAATCAACTCGCACAAAGATATGGTCACTACGTCTTCTTGTAGTGGAAGAGTCAGTGTATTTGCTGAAGGAACAAAAAATTACAATGAAGAAACAAAGGTTGGCGGTAAAGGTCAAGGTGGACGTTGGTTGTTTGTGTCACACGACTCAACAAATGTTATTGGATGGCTAGATAGACTAATACATGATTCAGAAGTTGACGATATTATTGTGAATACGAATGATTCTGAAGATAATTCTAAATTTGATGGTGCTACCAGATATATTTTATATAAATATGAACCTTTTATTCTGCATGTTAAATGTCGCAATTTTGAAATTGCATCGAAGTTATATAATACTTCAATGGGCTGTGGTTTTCGTGAAAGTGGTATTGGATCAAATAATATAGTGGCTATTAGAATTAATATTAAATTAGACACTCCTATTGGGTTTATTAATGAAGGTTCTAACCGACTGGCATTTTTTGTAACAGAACGGTATATTAGACTACTAGATAATATAACTCTGACTAAGTTTAGTGATAATGCCAAGAAGATCAAACAACTTTATAATAAAATTGAGAGTGATATAATACAAAAACGTGACCCAGGTAATGCAGTCGAAAAGAAACTGACAGAGACTAAGGAGGAGAGAAGACAAAGAAAGATGAAAGAAGGTCTTGAAAGACAACGTTTATTAAATGAAACCAAAAGTAATGAGTTATAACTATTTATTTATCGTTTGTTAGTTCTTTTTAATAGTGTTTTTGGATTTTAAATACAATATTATGTCATTTCTTATGTAAATTTTATTATCTTACTTAAACATCATATAATACAGGATACAAATAATTCTCCAATTTTACCGAAAATCGTCAATAGCATGCATATATAGTGTTATTGATCTTTCAATTGGATAGGTGTTTGTTTTTATTAATCATCTTCACTATCATGCATTAATGCGCTAAATCTGTTTGTCTGGGTAGGTTGGCTTTTGGGTTCTTCCTTAGACATGTTTCCTCCCTTGCTATATCTGCTAGATGTCGTCCTTGTCGAAGTAAAGCTATCTCTTGGTGCATCTCTTCTACGGCTGTTGCCACCGAAGTGGTTTTGTCTGGAGTAATTACTATTGTTGTTGTATGAACCCCCAGTACCACGTCTCTGTGGTGGCCCTCTTGAGGTTTTCAATTGACGGGCAATCTCCTCCTCGCGATGGATTTCCTGAATAGTCTTCGGTCCTGCATTCTTCTTTTCACTATTCCAATTTTTTTTTTCTCTTAGTTCCTTGATATCTATCATTTTGAATTTAATTCTACTGGAAACTTGGTCGCCATCAATAATACTAGTCATTAAACTGAATAGACTGTCTAATAGTACGGAGCCCTCCAGCGTACCTTTGCCGACATTAAATGAGTCATCTTCAAATTGTTCACCAACCGTGCTCAACAATTCGATCACAGATTCTAACACTTCCTCGGATGGATTGTCAGTTAAATCCTTCATTAATCTACGGAAACATTCGAACATCATCTTCCCTGATAATAGATTTAGACGATATAAGAAACCAATAAAACGGACAAGACCTAACCCTCTTCTCTTAGCTGTTGCCATTTCGTAGTACTCGTCAGACATCATTTCAGGTGCTAATGGGGTTCCATCCTCGTTAGTTGGCAATTTATCAATCCAACCCTTTTCAAATTCTGTATGACATATATCCACTAAGTAATGCAATATCAATTTTGGACCTGATTTACCTTTTTGATTTTCATCGGTGATTTCAGGGTCCAGTTCTTTAACTAGTTTACCGCATAACTGAGCATACATAGATGACCAATATGGTTCATCAGTAGCCTTGTTGAATATTTGTGTAATAACATTTTGTAGTGTAGCACTGTCTGTTTCCCATTTGGATAAATTTCCAATTTCAAGAATATCAGCGGAAATTGTGTCAAATTTTTCTAATGTTAGTTTATTCAATAACGATTTCATTTTGCTGACTACCTCATCGGGTGTTAATAACTCAGTAACACCGTCTGGTGCAAATTTCCTTTCAGTCTTCTTTTGTTTAGATTTTGGTACCCATCTGTTAGCTGTTGGGACTAGTGGAGCAACTTCTTCCTTTGGTTGCTGAGGATGATGGTGGTTGTCCCTATTGTTACCCATAGCAGCCCTTTCGCGATCTCTGCGGGAAGTATATGTTGTCCTATTAGATCTTCTGTCATCAAATCTCTTTGATTGTCTCCTAGACGAATCACGAGAATTCATCATTCTATCATCAGTATTTCTCCCTGAAGGGTTTCTTCTGGAATTATCTCTGCCCTTGAAGCGATTGTCGCTACCCACGGGAATCACGATTTTTGACCTTGTTGATGTAATCCACTCTGGATCAACATTTACTTTAATTCTGTCTTTGAATTGTAGTAAGAAGAGAGGACCATATGTATATTTAATATGCTCTTTTTTATACTGACTTTCAGATGGTATGAATGGTTTTGGATATGCAAATTCGTAAACATCTTCTATCGCAGGGATTTCTTTTAATCTTTGTAACATTTGGGAGATACTCAATTTTTCGATATCATCATCGACATCAGGATGTACACTCTCGTTGTTTAATTCAGAAATATTTATACTTTCTTTAGTTCCTACGATTTCATTCTTTTTGGTGTTTTCCTCTACTTCTTCGTTCTGCTCAACATCTGATCCAGGTGAAGGGGTTTCAATTTGAACATGTTTATCAGTTGTACGCAATTGTTCTTTCTGGGTTTCTCTGGATATTTCAAAATTGTTTTCTTCCTCTTCTTCCGCTAGAGATTTTTCATCTTTTTCGACGGCATTTTCGATTTCATCGTTCGACTTAATTGCCTCTTTAATCTCTGTCTTTAGAACAGTTTCGACTTCTTTTTGGGCTGCAGTAGTATTTGGTACTTTGTTTTTGGCATCCAAGGCAAGTTTACGTAGTCTGACTTGTTCCAAGAACATTTTCTTATTCTTCTCAGCTTCGGTCTCTTTGTCTCTAACGGTTTCTTTTTGGCTGGTTACATCAGGATTCCCTTCTTTGTTCTCAGCGACAGTATGAGTGTCATCTTTTGAATTTACAGCATCCTTATGATTATTAGTAGTAGTAGGAGTAGGAGTAGGAGTAGGAGTATTATTATTATCATCATTCTCATCTTGGTGGGAGTTTCCTTCGTGGATCTTTTTCAGATTTAGTAATTCACCTGTCTTTGTAGTGATTTCAATCTTTGTACGTGGCTTTTCCACATTTTCTGTTTCTATTTTCATGGTATCTGGGGAGCCGTCATTAGATGGAGAGGTATCTTTATTCATTGATTCTCTAGGATTTGAGTTTTGGCTTTGAGGAACATATTGATTAGGATCCATGTACATGGCACCGTTCATCATGGACATTTGTTGTGGAACATAGTACATTGGTTGCATATAATAATTATTCCAGCCCATATTATTAGAAGAAACTGGTACATTTTGATGATCATAATTCATTGGGTTTCTATTATAACCGTTTACACCATTATTATAGTATGGCCCATTAGCATTTATATATCTGTTTCCTTTCTGTTGAGATGAACGGTTATTATTGTAGCCAGAAGAATTACCATTATACGAATTTCGTTTATTGTTATAGTTATTATTGTTATTATAACGGTTGTTGTAGTTGTTAGTTCTTTCAGCCTTATTATAAACTGGTTTTGTAGGAACCTTTTTGGAGTCGTCTTCTTGAGGTAATGGTGGTGTATTTGAAATCTTAGGCGATAAATTGTTGTTTACTTCATTTTCCTTTGCCTCAGGTCGGTTAGTCACCTCTGTCTTGGGTGATTCATTATCAGACATCTAAAATGGTTAATATTTGATAGGTTTCAAATAATCAAAATATTTTCTATTTAGTTTTCTTTTCCTTCTTGTATTGGAAGAATCAAAATATTTTTCAGTGGCCCTTAAAGTTCAATGAATTTTGAAAATATATATTCAAAAATTCCCCAAAGAAAATATAATGATTTAATGGTGAATGTTTATCTTTCACTTTGAGTATAACAAAATATCCTAAATTCTTAGAATGTTGAAGTTAAATGGCAAGAACTGAGATCTCGTGTTTTCCTACTATAGAGTTTCAGTTTCTTCATAGCTGCTGTCAACTTATATAATTTATTATATGTAACCAATTTCGTATTGTCGCGGTTGTTTGCCAGTTTTCGTGTACCTTTCGGAGGCCCGCAATAGAGACGACGGGCTAGTAAGCAACAAGGAGACAACAGGTGTTTCGTGTATAGTGAGATGAATCAGAATATTAATGGATATTCAGTAGATAATTAAAAGATATTACATTAACGATAAAATCTGACATCCGGTTAGTATATAAGGTACTTTTTAAAATGATGGAGGTATTAATCGTTATTTAGACGTCGTTATACTTATTACTGTGCTGGATATATTGTTTCTATTGTACATTACATTAAACGAGTAGATATATATTTGCGAACAGAGAAATGGATGCAAAAAACAACCTTTTTCTTTCATTTTTGATGCAAAATGTCAACGATGAATGTATTTGGCAATTAATATTAAAAGGTATGTATATATTTGAATCTATCCCACTACTTAAATAATTTAGCCTCAGAAATTGCAGTTTCTTGGTTTTTGTTCATGACCTTACCAACTGCTAATTCAAAATCTTCTTGAGTAACATGTATTCTTCTTTCTCTTAAAGCATACATACCGGCTTCGGTACATACACCCTTCACATCAGCACCAGAGCATCCATTCATTTTATCTGCGATCTTTCTTAAGTTAATACCACGAGTCAAGTTCATCTTTCTTGAGTGAATTCTTAAAATTTCAGTTCTAGCAGCTACAGTTGGAGGCGGAAATTCAATTTTTCTATCTATTCTACCAGGCCTTAGTAATGCAGGATCTAGGATGTCAAGTCTATTTGTAGCCATGATGATCTTAATATTTTTCGATGTCTCAAACCCATCCAATTGATTCAGTAATTCCAACATAGTTCTTTGCACTTCGGAATCACCACCACCAGAACCTTCAACACGACTAGACCCAATAGAATCAATTTCATCCATGAATATGATAGATGGTGCATGTTCTCTTGCCATCACAAACAACTCACGAACCATACGTGAACCTTCACCGATATATTTTTGTACTAATTCGGCACCACTAACTCTAATAAACTTACAGTCAGTATGATGTGCTACAGCTCTCGCTAGTAAGGTCTTACCAGTACCTGGAGGACCATACAATATGACACCCTTTGGTTGAGCAATACCCAAACTCTCAAATAATTCAGGATGCTTCACTGGCAATTCAATTACCTCCTTAATCTCTTTGATTTGTTTAGTTAGACCACCAACCATGTCGTATGTTGAATCGGGTACTTTTTCGACCATCATTAGAGACACTAAGGGATCGGCTTTATTTTCTAGGATTTTATGTAACATGTAAGAATCGCTTTTCAAGCATACTCTTTGTGATACTTTTAGATCTTTAACATTGATATCCTTTGCAACATCCACAATATATTTCCCTTCAGGTTGAACTTTAACTAGTACCTTCTTGTCAGAGACAACTTTTAGAACCTCGCCGACATAGGAACCAGGTTCTTGTAATAAACGAAGTTCATCCTTTATGAAACGAACCCTATCATTTAGTGCATTTCTCTGTGCCTCTAATCTTCTCACGTTATCGTTTTTAGCTCTAATATTTAATTCAGTTTCTTGAATTTTTTGTTCGAAATATGGTTTGATACCACTCTCATGAGAGAGTACGTTGTTTTCTTGGGCCTGTGTAGCTGCAACCCCAGAAGACATAATGTAACAGAAAGGTAGTTCAAAAAAAAAAGATATATATATACCTTGAACAGTGGATATGTATAGTTATAGTACTTTCCTTATCGAAATGTGAATACACACCCTTGTATAGCTGTGGAGTTGTTTTTTCTATTATAATTAAGTCAACTATATTTCACTTTACTTATTTTGCCACTGTGTTTCCAGGAATATGCTGCTGTTTGTCCTTCTCTCTTTTGACAAAATTGAAATTTAATGAAGCGAGCAAAGAAAAATGGAAAAGAAAGCTGTGACAGTGAACAGGCAGTTTAAAATCAGTAATCTGACTACCTAGTATTATAATTAGAACGTTTATCGAGAGGGTGGGATGTAAACTTATTAGCAAGCTATTCTCTGTTTAATTCGGTGGAGATAATATAATTGTAATACTATAATTTTTCTAAGGTGACCTTTTATAATAAACCTGGGATAAAATACTAGTTATGAAAACGATATTTGTTACATGTGGTGCTACGGTCCCTTTCCCTGATCTAATAAATTCGATCCTAAGTAAGAATTTTATTGACTGTGCTGTGGAAAATGGTTTTACACGTATAATTGCTCAAATTGGTAATGGTTATACAGAAACATTAGTTAACCAAGTTGCCAAACTAAGCATGGCGGACGATTATATGTGTCATGTGATGGCAGATGAGTTAGGTTGTAACTCTATAGCCAGCTCATTTAAATTCGAATCAAATGGTTTAGAGTTCATCGCGATTGAGTATTCTTCCAAGATCGAGGATCTAATCACTATACATGGGGACCTAGTGATATCGCATGGTGGGACTGGTTCTATCTTAGATTCATTACGATTAAGGAAACCTTTGATCGTATGCGTTAATGATAACTTAATGGATAATCATCAACAACAAATTGCTGATAAGTTTGAAAATTCAGGATATATAGTTTCATGTACAGCCACACCCTCGTCATTAACGAAAAGTTTGACTACAATACAGGGTACGACCCTTAAACAATTTCCTACAGCACATAATGTCATATTTGAACAAAAATTAGTAGACATAGCATTTTCCTTTTAAAACATAGCAACACACGTATGTCAATTCATATATATATTGTGTTAGTGGGTTAAAAACGGAGAGAGCCTCTTTTTATTAAGTAATAGTTTTATGATTCAGATTATAATTACACATTCGATATAAATATATATATATATGGTAGTAGTACAATTGTGTATATGAGGTAAAAGGTTATAACTTTTTCTAATTTTGTTTTTCATATAGAATGTAAAACCGTGAACAGACTCAAAATTGACGTATTGTCATCTTATTCTTTCAATAACATTTTAATCATCGTAATTTTCGTCCTCTTCAACTTGTCTAGCGACACCTTCCCTTGGTGGTTCGGTAGTCTTATCATCGATAGAATTGGAACTGGTACCATCCTTAGTGGACGCATCCTTTTCAGAATCACCAGAACGACCGTTTGTATTGTTTCTTTCATGTTCTTCCTCTTCTCTAATTCTGGCTTCTTCAGCTAAAGCTTCCATAGCCTCAGCAGATGGTTTGATAACGGTTTCTTCAGCAGCTTCTGATATAGATTCTTTACCATTTTGGTCTTCAGTAGTTTTTTCGGAATCAATTGCCACATCATCACCATGCGGTTGAGTTACTTCCGTGGAGTCCTTAGTTCCTTCTGTTTTCTCTGTTTCTTCATGTTTGGCAACGGAATCGCAAGAAGCTTCAGCTGTAACTTCTTTCACTGGTTCCTTCAATTCGTCTTTGATCGAGGTCGGTTCACCGGTAGAAACGTCGGTGGTTGTTTCGACGGTGGCGTCTTTAACAGTGGCCAGATCTGAAGTGGCCGTTCTCTCTTTGCTAGTTTCAATGATGTTGTCACCACTTGTTACAGACTCCACCAAAGTTGAAGGAAGTTGTTCAGTTGAAGTAGCGGTTATAGGTATTGGTGTGGAGTCGGTTACAGAGGGTGTAGTCTCAGGTGGTGGGCTTACACTATTATTGGTTGCAACCGGAATGTTAGTATCCTCTATTTTTTGTTTCTTGGATTCTGGCTCTTCAGATTTATCTTCCTGAAGGTTTTCCTCGGTGGTTATCGTTGCAACATTAACAAGGGTATGTATGGTGCTGTCACTCAGTCTTTTTTGTGGTAAAGTTGAAGTAGTATCTTGAGTTTGAGTTGTACTGGTTGATTCAGGTGTGCTAATACCTACTTCAGTAGCAGTAGTATTAGCAACTACTGGAGTATTCATGGTAGATAAGTTCATTGAATCCTGGTTTTGAGTTATTTCGCTGGCATCTGCAGGAGATATTTTTTGTGATTCAAATTTATCTCCTGAAGCTAACTTCGAGATTGGAGGGATCGAGACTGCAGAAGATGTTTCTGCTGAACTTTGTAACTGTTGTATTTGAGGTAATTGAGGAGGCTGGCTTTGTGCCTTGGCTTGTTCGTCCGCTTCCGATTTCTCTTTACTTTCAGCTGCAGTCAGAACTTTGGCATCAGCTTCGGTTTTGGCTTGTGCTTCGGCCAATACTTGAGCTTGTAATTTCGTTTGCTCTTCGGCTTTAAGTCTTGTTTGTTCTTCGGCTTCTGTTTGAGCTTGTGCTTGGAGTCTTGCTTGTTCTTCGGCTTCCGCTTGGGCCTGAGCCTGTTGTTGTTGTTGAGCCTGGACCCTTGCATGAGCCTCTGCTTGTGCCCTTGCTTGTGCCTCTGCTTGAGCTTGGGCTTGGGCTTGGGCTTGGGCTTGTTGTGCTTGTGCTTGAGCTTGAGCTTGTGCTTGAGCTTGAGCTTGGGCTTGGGCTTGTGCTTGGGCTTGTGCTTGGGCTTGGGCTTGGGCTTGGGCTTGGGCTTGTGCTTGGGCTTGGGCTTGGGCTTGTTGAGCTTGAGCTTGTTGAACTTGAGCTTGTTGAGCTTGAGCTTGGGCTTGGGCTTGTTGAACTTGAGCCTCTGCTTGGGCTCTTGCTTGAGCTTCCATTTGTGCTTGGGCTTGGGCTTGTGCTTGGGCTTGGGCTTGGGCTTGTTGAGCTTGAGCTTGTTGAACTTGAGCTTGTTGAGCTTGAGCTTGGGCTTGGGCTTGTTGAACTTGAGCCTCTGCTTGGGCTCTTGCTTGAGCTTCCATTTGTGCTTGGGCCTGAGCTTGTGCTTGAGCTTGAGCTTGAGCTTGAGCTTGAGCTTGAACTTGCGCTTGAACTTCAGCCTGCTGTTGTTGTTGTTGTTGAGCCTGTACTTGCTGTAACAATTGCGATTGGTTCTGCATTTGGGGATCCATCGTCAAAGCAACATTATTTTGGGGTGGTTGTAACAAAGGTTGACCTGTTTGTTGTTGAGGTGTTTGGCCTTGCTGTTGTTGTTGATTCAATGGACCGGTTGCATACATAGTTGAGTTTGGAGGTCTCACATTCAATGGGTTTGCATTGTCTGTTTGTTGCAAAGTTGGTTGCAACATAATTGGTACCTGTTCCCCATTTTCGTTTTGTTGACCAGTTGTAGTATTTACACCTAATTGTCCTGGTTGTTGACCTGGTATTTGAGGTTGTTGTGGCACTTGTAACTGTTGTGGCACTTGTAATGGTTGCGGAGGATTGTTTCCATTTTGACCCTGTTGTTGTTGTGGGTTTGACAATTGTTGAGTTAAGGCCTCTAATCTCTTTCTAATATGGATATTTTCAGGATCTAATCTTGCAGCTTGTTTATAAGCATCCAGAGCATCAGTCAATTGATTGTTACAAGTTTCATATAAAGTACCCAAATCGTACCAGACTTCACTGATGTAAGGGTTCAATCTAATGGCTCTAGTGTAAGCGTCCAACGCATCTCTATATTGTGAGATTTGGTAGTAAAGCACACCAATAGAACACCAAAAGATAGGGTTTCTTGAGTCTCTGTTGACAGCTTGTTGGAATGCATCATAGGCTGCGGTGTAATCAGATCTAATCATATGGACTCTACCAAGATGATACCAAGTAGTGGCATCAGAGGGGTCTACTTCCAAAGATTTTAATAGATAATTCAAGGCCTTTTGTGGGTCATAAAATTGAACGTTGTTCATACCATACAAACAACCTAATTGTTGAAGGACCTTTGCGTGATGTTCGTTTTGTAACAGGACATGTTCGTAGGCCTCTCTTGCACCTTGCCATTCATTCATGGATTCCAGGACGGACCCTAGTTGAAACCAGATATCCCATTCTTGTAAAGGAGCAGGAGGTTGAGATAAGATATATCTGAAACATTCAAGAGCTTGGTTCCATTTTGATTGATGTTTATAGATTATCCCTAATCTGAAGTAAATCTCATTAGCCTTTTCGAAATGTGGATCCAATTCCAATACTTTAGCAAAAGCTTCTTCAGCATAATCCAAAGATCCATAACGATCATAAAGGATCCCGATACCATGCCATAATTTAGGGACATTAGGGTTAGACGAATGGTATAAAGCTTGTTGATAAGCGTTATAAGCTCTTTGTAAATCGTCTAGCATTAAATAACAATGACCTAGAGTTGCCCAAACGTCAGATAATTCTGGATTCACAGCTAAAGCACGTTCATATAGTTCAGCAGCTCTTTGGAACATATCGCGAGATCTATACAAATCTGCCAAAGAGGTCAACGCTTTAGTCGAAGATTGATTAAATTGTAAAGTAGCGTCATAGGCCATAGCGGCACGATCGACATCACCTAATGTTTCAGCTAAGGAAGCAATTGAAAGCCAAGTTTCAGCAGTAGATTGAGCCAAATGGTCTATTTGCTCATTAGCAGCTGAACCGGTTGCACCAGTAGTAGTTGCAACTGCATTTGGATTATTAGTAACATTGTTGTTGTTGTTATCATGATCAGGTCCATTTTGAACCATTTGAGGACTGTGTAACTTAACAGCTTGGTTTGCACTAGCTGCAGTAGTCATCATATATTTCTTCTTCTTGTTGTAGTTGTTGTTTTTATTTTAAATACAGGGAGAATAACGAAGAAAAACAGTAAGAGTAAAGTCACAGATAGCAAATATTAAAAGTAGTCTATTTTATAAATTATATTATAATATTTAAATTTATTTATTTTTCTCCTTTGTAAACAAGTAATAAATGTAATTATTGTTATGATACGTTAAAGTAAGTAAAAATACAGAAAGAAAGAAAATTAAAATTTAATTCGAAAAAAATATAAAAATATAAAAAAGTGGTTTAATTTATTGTTCCAGCAACAGTTGTTGTTTGTTGTTTTCAATCTACAATTTTTTTTATTTTCTATTTCCCCCTTCCGAAATGGAACAAAATAAAATAAAATAAAATAAACTGGAACTACATTCAACAGACGGATTCAAAGCAAGCAATCAAGTGAAATGGACGCTACACCACTCATTCAGTCAATGAATCAGTCTGACAATAGTGACAATATGCAAGTACGTATAATTATAAGAATCACAATATGAAGAATATGCAAACAATAGAAATGTTACCAAATTTTCAAGTATTTACTATTATTATTACTACTATCAAATATATGTTATTACATCAAATAAACTTAATATTTCCCAGATAGACGAGAGAAAGAGAAACAGAGTGAGATCTTCGTTGTCGTTTCTTCTTTATACGTAATAACATTTCTTGTATAGCAATAATAAAAGCATTGCAGTATGCATTTTCCGCACGTAAGGACAGCTACAGGGGAAGAGAAATAAGAAATAAGAACAGTATCCTTTTGCGTAGGAACCACATTTTATATTTCACGTAAATTTTATTTAGAGCAGAAAAATAGACGTACCGAACGGTGCTATGCATATCTATCTGTTCTGTCTCTCCCGACTTCTCTCTGGATTCAGAACTGAGGGAGACAGAGGACACGTTTCTTTTTTGGATTGTGTCTTAGCCGATCGTCTTGTACGGCAGGACACATATTACCCGGCTAGAACCACGTGATCTGGAAAATCCGGGTAATCCTACATTTTATTGATATTTTTTATTTTTTTGGTTGGTTTTCAATTTTAAAAAAATCAACACTGTGTAGAACAATATTAGTTATAGAAACAAAAGAATTTGAAATTTATGAAAATAAGGCATATCGAGAGGAACAGCAATTAATTCGAAGAAAATATATATATATTTTAGGGGTCAACTTAATGTTTCACTATTATTAAGACATATCTTCGTTATATTCAATTAATTTAATAATAATATCAACAACAACAAATATAATATTATAGTATTTTTTTTTTTGGTTATACGTTACAGATGTCTCAAAAGAAATTGAATCAAGAAATTGATAAACTTTTGAAAAAGGTTAAAGAGGGATTAGAAGAATTTGATATCATTCATGATAAATTTCAAATTACAGATCCCCAAAATACTTCATATAGAGAAAAATTAGAAAGTGATCTAAAGAGAGAAATTAAAAAATTACAAAAACATAGAGAACAAATTAAGACTTGGATTAGTAAAGAAGATGTTAAAGATAAAGCATCGATATTATTGGAACATAGACGACTTGTAGAAAATGATATGGAAAGATTTAAAACAATTGAAAAATTGATGAAAACAAAACAATTCTCAAAGGAAGCTTTATCAAATCCTGATATTATCTTAGATCCAAGAGATGCTCATAAGAATAACCAAATGCAATTCATACAGGATTCTTTAAACGAACTACAGAAACAAACTGAAATATATGAAGGTCAATTGGAAGCTAATAATGATGGTGATGGAGATTTGGATGAAGACGATGTTTCATCTGTGGAATTTCAAATTTCAAGGCATGAATTTCATATTGCAAATTTAGAAAACATTTTAAAACTTTTACAAAATAATGAAATGGATCCAAAAAAGGTTGACGAATTTCAAGAAGATATTACTTATTATGTTGAAAATAATGATGATCCAGATTTTGTAGAATATGATACATTATATGAAGATATGGGTTGTGAAGTTTCAACAAATGGTGTATCAAAGACTAACATTGATGATATAAACATAGATGAATCCACAATAGTTGCAACTACCCATAATAATAATACTAATACCAATAATGGTACTGGTATTACCCCTGTTACAACTGCTACTACTGCAGCATCTACAAAAAATGACGAACCAGCAACGACTACGGCAACTATAACTACAACTACAACTACAAAATCAGAAAAGTCACCAAGAAAGAAAAAACAAGTGTTAAAGGATTTTGCTAGTAATGCATCTACACTAAGTAAACTAGAAGCTGAAAAAACAACTACTGGTCCTACTAATGATGGTTCTCAACCATCCACATCAGTAGCAACTTCATCAAATATGAAATCCAAACCAGAAGTTAAAGATCAATTAGAATTGGAATTTCCAAAGGATAAATCAGAAGAAATTGAAAAACAATTACAAAATGATATTGAAAGTAATGATGCATTCAAAAATCCTTTATTTAGTGAAGAATTGAAATTTTGGCTAAATTCTAAAAGAGCTTTATTACAACCTCATCAAGATATGCCATCCACAATGTTACAACAATTAGAATCCTCACTGTTGAATTGTCCAGATTCATTAGATGCAGACTCTCCCTATTTATACAAAAAACCATTATCATTACCTCATCCAACATCGATTTTCTTCCCAAGTGAACCAATTAGATTCACACATCAAGTAGAAATTAAGCCAATAACAAATGATTCTAAAGATAATGAACATCAAAATAATATATCCACTGATAATAATAGTAATAATAATAACATTGATGAAGATAATAACCGTAGATTGAAAAAGACAGAAACACAAACTAACGATATTTATTCAAATACTTCAATGGCAAGAATCCTAACAAAGTTCGATCTAGACACTTTATTTTTCATCTTTTATCATTATCAAGGAACATATGAACAGTTCCTGTCTGCAAGAGAATTACATAGAAACAGAAACTGGGTATTTAATAAAGTAGATCGTTGTTGGTATTACAAGGAAATTGAAAAATTACCACCTGGAATGAATAGATCTGAAGAAGAATCGTGGAGATATTTTGATTACAAAAAGAGTTGGTTATCTAGAAGATGTGGTCCTGGATTTGTCTACAAAGAAGAAGAATTTGAAAAATTATAAATTATTTCCACTTGTAACTAATTATTTAAATCCATTTTGGCTCTATTTAGAATATCAAAAGTACATAATATTAAGCATTTAAAAAATCATAAATCATTACTAATTATTTTTTTCATTTTCTATTATAGTTTTTGTATTTATTTATTTATTTTTATTGGACTGTTTGTATCTTAAGATACTTATCTTATTGTATTAGATGAATTTATATATGGGTATAATGATGAAATATAAAACTATCATCATACCACCATATTCATCAAAAGTTTAACAATTTCTATAGCTCTTTTTTTAAAAATTGCTCACTGAAATATGCGATTTGTTTCATATTATAGTCGAAACCTTCATCCCCACCATAATAAGGATCCTCGACGATAGTATCAAATTTACCATCAGTGTTCCATTCTCCAAAGAGGCATAGTTTAGCCTTTGAACCCTTCGGTTGAATTTTTTTTAGATTCTTCATGTTCATTTCATCCATTCCAATGATATAATCGAACTTATCGAATGTAGTGGTCTTAATTTGCTGACCACGATGGTCGATAGGAATACCGTACTTCTTACAGGTCGATACAGTACGACTGTCTGGTGTATTGCCAACATGATAATTACTAGTAGCAAATGAATCGATTACATCGAAGCAATCTTCTACATTATTTTGTTTAACAGTGTGGTGGAATACTGCTTCAGCCATAGGAGAACGGCAATAGTTACCTAAACAAATAAAGGCAACTGATATTTTTTTATCTTGAGTCATATTTTGTGTTGTTATTGTATTATTCTCGAAAAAGGTAGTAAGGAAATTAAAAAAATTCTAAATATTTTAAAAATAAGTCAGAGTCTATATATAATTGAACCAAAACTTTAAAACACCCTTAGGTTAGTTAATTATGCTCATTTGGTAAATTTCTCATCTTAATTTTGAAATCAAAAACAGGAAGCGTTGTAAAAACAATACCAAATTATCAAGGTCTCGAGGTGAAAAAAAGAAAATAATGATATGAAATTGCTGTGAGCATTTATTACCAAGATATGATTGTAGAACAGTTTCTCTTTTTCCAATTTTTCATAAAATATTAAACGTAATAATTTATCAAATTGCTATAATATTTATATGTACATATATATTAGCTACATAATTGAGTACCGGTCTAGTTTGTCCCAAGAAAAAACAATAAAAGTGATTATGATAAGCATCTCAAAATATATTGTAATAAATTCAAGACTCTTTTTTTAATGATGATTTTCTTGAGCGAACAGCAACAAAAACCCTTCTTTTTGTTTCATTTTAATTTATTGTTTAAATAATTCATTATAATTTTTTTATTTTTCATAGGTAAGCTTAGAAAGCAGATCTAATTGGAGAAATTAGGTCCTTACCCTTGTAGAAGGCAATAGTCTTTTCAGCTCTAGAGACAACACCTTCTGGGACGAAATCGAAGTATTTGAAGACTTCTGGAGCCTTACCTGAAGCACCAAATCTGTTTAGACCGAAGGATTGGTGAGCGTACTTCTTCCAACCGAAAGAGGTTAGAACTTCAACGGACATAATTGGTACACCATCTGGTAGAACGGATAGCTTGTATTCTTCTGATTGATGATCGAAAGTGAATTCATCTGGTAGGGAGACAACTCTAGCATTAAGACCCTTGTCGGCCAATATCTTAGCAGCATCAACAGACAGAGAGACTTCGGAACCAGTGGCAACAATAACAATATCTGGGTTGGTAGCATCCTTTAGAATGTAACCACCCTTGGCAGCCTTTTCCAAGGAGGAACCTTCTAATTGAGGCAAGTTTTGTCTAGTTAAAGCAATAATACTTGGAGTGGTGGTAGATTCAATAGCAACCTTGTAAGCAGCAGAGGTTTCGTTACCATCCGCTGGTCTCCAGACATGCATGTTTGGTAGAGCTCTGAAGTGAGCAAGAGTTTCGATAGGTTCGTGAGTTGGACCATCCTCACCGACACCGATGGAGTCGTGAGTGGCAACCCAGATAACTGGGTGACCAGATAGAGCAGACAATCTGACTGCACCAGCAGCGTAAGAGACGAAGTTCAAGAAAGTACCGGAGTAAACCTTGTAGTGAGCACCGTAAGCGGAGATACCATTCATGATAGCACCCATGGCATGTTCTCTAATACCGTATCTGATGTATCTACCGGCATAAGAACCCAATTTGTTGGCAGGTGGTTGGAAGTCTTCAGCATCCTTAGCTCTAGTCAAGTTAGATGGGGTTAAATCAGCAGAACCACCTAGCAACTCTGGTAATTCATCACAAATCTTATCTAGGACCATTTCGGATAATTTTCTAGTAGCAAGGGCAGAGTCAGATGGAGTGTAAGTTGGCAAAACCTTTTCCCAACCAGCTGGTAATTGACCTGCTAGTCTTCTCTTCAATTCAGCACCGACTTCTGGGAATTTTTGTTGGTATTGAGCGAACAATTGGTTCCATTTCTTTTCGGCTTCAACACCTGGGTTTAGGATCTTAGCTTGGTAGAAATCGTATACTTCTTGTGGAACAACGAAAGATTTGTCTGGGTTGAAACCAAACTTAGTCTTCAATTGTTTGACATCGTCGGCCTTCAATGGAGAACCGTGGACGGAGTGATCACCGGCATTTAGAGAACCGTAACCAATTGTAGTCTTCATCTTAATCAAAGTTGGCTTGTTGTGAGACTTCTTTGCTTGAGCAATGGCGTTAGCAATGGCGTCTAAGTCAGTGTTACCGTCTTCGACGTATAGAACTTCCCAACCGTAGGCTTCGTATCTCTTGGCGACATCTTCATCGAAGGAAACTTCGGTGGCACCATCGATAGTGATAGAGTTGTCATCGTAGACACAGATCAAGTTACCTAGTTGCAAATGACCGGCCAAAGAAGAAGCTTCAGAAGAGATACCTTCTTCTAGACAACCGTCACCAAGGAAGACATAAGTATAATTGTCAGACAAAGTGAAGCCTGGCTTGTTGTAAGTAGCAGCTAAGTTAGCTTGAGCAATGGCTAGGCCGACAGCGTTAGTGACACCTTGACCTAATGGACCAGTAGTGACTTCGACACCTGGCAATTCGAATTCTGGATGACCTGGACATTTGGAACCCAATTGTCTGAAAGACTTCAAGTCATCGATGGAGAAGTCGTAACCGGTCAAATGTAGCATTGAGTATAACAAAGCGACAGCATGACCGTTAGATAGAACAAATCTATCTCTGTTAATCCAGTCTGGGTTCTTTGGGTTCATTCTCATTTGAGAGAATAAAACATGAGCAGCAGGAGCCAAACCTAGAGGAGCACCTGGATGACCAGAGTTAGCTTTACTGACTTGGTCTACAGCTAGAAGTCTAATAGTAGAGATAGCTAATCTATCAATATCACCGAAAGCCATAGTGTATTTTTGTTTGTTGTTTGTTTGTATATATGAGTGGAAAGGTTTTTTCTGTTTTAAGAGATAAACTTTTCCTTAGTGATGATGATTTATATTATGAAAGAACAAGAAGAAATGTTAAAAATTGTGATATATAGGAAAGAAATACGTATGCAATAAAGGGTATAATTAAATGAATGCACTTAAGAAGAAAAAACGAGAAGATCATTAAAGAATCCTCTATATATATATTCTTATAATTATATGTAAATTGAACGAAATCATTTAAATGCCCAAAAAAAGATTATTAAATTTTTCAGTTTAATAATCACACTTCCCAAACAGCAAAAAAAGTAAGAAAGAGCGAGTCCAGTCATCCATCACACCTTACTTTGGCTAACAGTGTGTAAGCGACCGACAGTGTAAAAGCAACAGAGCGGGATATTAAAATTAGTGCGAGAGCAGAATAAACCCTAATGTAGGGGAAAACCTGATTAGCTGAAACTGTTCAATAATTAAGAGAGAAAAGCCCACCCATCTTAATTTATCTCAGTTTATCTCCCAATTTTTCAGTTTGGTAAAGAATAATTAGATAGGGCGGGGGCTGTGGGATGTGTCTGGCATGTGCAGTGTGCTCTGAGAACTTGGCGGACGTTTCGCCATGTGGGGGCAACGAGAGAGAGAGAGACGGAACACCGCATGTTCCGCGAAACAGTGAACACTGCGTACAAGTAAACTTTTATGAGTAATAATGAAATTGAAGGCGGATACAGAGAGAAAGAGAGATGGCCGTAGAAGTGAACATCAGTATGTTCGCTATATTAAGCAGTTATGTCATGTTGCACGGAGGCGGTTCTTTCTTTCTTTCTTTCCTTTTCTTTCCTTCTCTGTCCGGCGGTGTGGCGGTGTTATACAACAATAGAAAGCGGTGATATTATTATCACTGTCTACGAACACGGAACGGCGGTTTGTTCTTTCCTCAGTTTGCCTTTCATGACACCGATAGCGGTAATATAATATATACGTATTTACTGAACTTGACTTGGTACTTATCATTATTATATACTGTTTATTATTAACTCAAGGTAATATGATGTAAACTTCGAAAGAGTTTTTTTCTAAAATTATTGACAGAAACAGAGTAGATATTAGAGAATGAAAGACTCAAGTGCCTCTCCTATAGAATAGTTTATCTATTTTGTGCTCATTCTCTGATTGTAGTTATTATATATAACACCATCCATTATGAAGGGAAATGTAACATCTGCGTAAGCACATGTGTGATGAGGGGTATTTGATGTTATTGTTTTTATTAGTAATGTTTATGCTTTATATTTGTAATTATTTAATAATATTATTAAGGAATTGAGGGGGGGTGCTAAGTATGTATATTTATTTATATGTGTAATGAATGGGATTATTCAGAGTCTATCTCAAAGGCATCATCAAAAGGACTTTTAAAGTCTTCATTATTCTTTATTGATGCTGACGCTGATGATATTTTGTTTTGACTTGGATCAAGAGATGAATGAGGTGGGTTTTTTTCATTGCGTAAGGATGGAGGCATTTCAACATCTAATAGGAAACTCCCATTATCATCGTCAACTTCATCTTCATCTTCATCATGGTTATTATTAGTGTACTCATGTAATTCATATTGATCATTATGATCAATGATATCCTTGTTACTATCTTCTTCTTCATTAATTTGGATCAATTTTGGTTTGGCCTTGATTGCAGTCATTAGATTATTACCTAATCCTATCTTGATTGTTCCTAGACTTGAATCCATTGCACTCTCCATATCGTCACCAATCTCTTCATCTAATGTATTATCTTGTTCAGCAGATTCCATCGTCGTTGTAGCAGATTCACCAATATGTTGCTGTTGCTGCTGTTGTATTGAAAATTGTGGTGTTGATTCTATATTGATACTCATATCATCGAAATCTTCATCTAATCCACCTAAGATAGATGATCCTAATGTGATATGGGATCCAGTGTCACCAACAACATTCAAACTACTACCACTGTCAAGTTGGTGACGAGAAGGTTTATTTAGACGATGTAATCCACTATTGCTACTATTTAATGATGTAGGCGTGCGTCTTGAGTTACCATTGTTATTATTATTATTATTATTATTATTATTATTACTATTTCCACTTCCAATAGTACCACCATGACCTGCACTTGTGACACCAGGAATATACGCAATAGGTAGCACATTGGATGCATTCGTCCTGATAGTAGAAGTAGTGCTAGTACGGTTCCCTGGTATTAGCATCGATCTACGTAGAGACTCTTGGGAGCCTTGATGTTCCAAGGAGGAGGGAATCCAAGGTGTTTTGTTCTTAATCGCATTTCTTTGTAGATTGTTTGAACTGCTATGGTTGCTTAAGTCTCTTAATTGAACTATATCATCAACTCCCAATGGAGATTGATGATTACGGTTATGACGATGATTATGGCCACTTACGTTTGCGTTCCTCTTGTAACCGTAATCGTTTAAACTTGTCAATTCATCAAGTGCTTCGTCGTCTAAGGCAATGCCTCTTCCACCTTTCATACGTTCGTTATTATTTCTGCTTCCCTCATCTTCGTCACTATACTCGTCATCATCTTCATCAGTGAATTCACCATCAAGCTCATCATCGATCCCATTATGATCACCAAACATATTCATATCATCCTTTAATTGCAGTTGATTATGCTTTCTACGAGGTTTCCAGTACCATTGGTATACTAAAGCAGTAACTAATATTAATAAAGCAGCAATACCACCAATGACACTACCAACTACGATCTTTGTTACGTGACTGGTACCCCCATCATTACCCGAACTATTATTACTACTGGTGGTACTAGTTGAGTTGTTCAAAGAACTGAACTGACTCGATGATCGAGGTGAACAGTACGTGGTCGGACATTTATCACATGTTATTGATGTCATGACACAATATTCATCGTCTGCACAAGTAGGACATGCAGGCGTAGTAGGACATAAAACACATCCATCTGATGAGGTTGTACTCGTCGAGTTACTCATATTTGCAGTATAACACTTATATCTCGAAATTATCTTGTATTATCGTATTGACAAAATTTGTTCTTTTCCTATTTTGTTTTTATTTTCCCAGTATCTGCCAACACTTGTTTACTTATATATCTATCTGATCAAATGGAAATGAAATTAAATTATTCCTGATATGTGATCGTATCATTATAATAATAGTATATGCATTTTAATTTACACTTTTCAGATCTCAACGTCATTTGCTCTTCTTTTTTTTTTCGAGTTTTTCGGTGGTTTCGTGTTTGCTTAGTGGCCGGCCATTTGGTTAAAAATTTCCTCTCTGGGCGTAGTGCGATGCTCTGCCATTCATGATTTTTTGAGAATGACAGAAATAAGCTTGATTGACTGTCATAAAACATAAGTATAATGCAATCGGACTAGTAATGCCAACTAAGATATCTTATTTTATACGTATTTATACAATTATAGAAAGCTGCTGTAAGGATAATATAATGTGAAGGTACTGCATTTAGTATTTACCTAATTATTCTGAAGATAATAATTTCAAAAACTAATAAATAGCATGATTTTGAGAGGAAAATATAATCGAATAAAAGATATGTTTGTAAAGGTTATTTGGTTATATTACTATTTTAGTTATTGAAGTATATGTTTTATATAATTATGTACGATTATTTATTTTATCAAACTTATTTTTTCATTTCGAATAAGGAAGGATGTAACAAAATGTTAAAATGTAGGGAAATTTTTTTATTTAATTAATAAGTTCATGTTAGTTGTTCTAATCTATTTCGTAATTCTTGCCTTGTAGTTTTATTCTCAAAATGGATTGGAGTATCTACTCCATCGGTTTTAACATAGAGTAGGTATGGTGAACATACATCTTCACTTTCTTTCATATACACCAGATCATCTCGTTTCGTTGTTGACAAGTAATTCATTAGTTTATATTTCACGTAACTACTATAACCTCTACGTCCTTTGTAAGGAGACTCACTAAGAACACTTTCCACATTACTATCACTTCCGTTCTGGAAGACTTCATCTTCTAGTGTCCTTGCAAGAGGAAGATCCGATGTGGAACCACATGTTCCATTTTCTTCTATCCCATATTTTGAAGTTCTTTCTAATTCAGATACTGATCTTGAAAATTCGTTGAAAAGAAGACTTGAGTTCTTCCTTCTTGTAACTGGTTTTGTAAAGCATCTTTTAGTAAAATTATTAAAATGTTTTAATTTGTTTCTAAAATAACGACATGTAAAATAATTTCTATTATGACTACCGTCAATATTATAATAATTATAATCGTTATCGTTTTGAGGATCCCTTGCAAATGTATCCAGTACTCTTTCTAATCTCAATACTTCTCGTTCTGTTTGATCCTCAATGTTATCAACCAAGAGAGCTAGTCTTTCCGTCTCTAATAACAGTCTATCCATATCCATTTCAAGATCCTGAACTTTTCCAATTTTTGGATGGTTTTCTTGTTTAATATTGTTATTATATGATGCAGTTCCTTCCATAGTAGAATGATAACCTAAATATATATTCGTAATACTATTATCTTTACAAAAAACAACTATAAGTTAATTCAATTTTTTTTGTTACGAATTATTTTACGAAATACTGTTTTTTAAACCGTTACAGTATTATTGGGATTATAAAAGAATTAACATTTCCATTTTTTTTTGTACTTCAGTTTGTCAAGGTATAACCAAATAATTAATTTGACTTTTAATTTCCAAACGTCGGATTGAATGTGGCACCTCTGACACAACAGCAATTGTGAGAATGTTATGACCAAAGGCAAGAATATCAGAGAAAATTGTAACCAACAAACATGGTAAGTTCTTTCTTTTCTATTTTGGTAAGTTTATACACTCAAGAATTGCAAACTAGCGGTCCATTCCCTTGTATATCGTTGACTGTCACAATAAATAGTCGATTAATCATTTGACTATAGTATAAATATACGGCGCTGCATAAAATTATGTCTAAGTCAGAAAAAAAGAACAACAACCAACCTAGCGTAATATAAAAATAAGCTACATAAACGCAGCAAAATAATTCCAATAAATACCAAATAGGCAAAAAAAGGAAGGGAAGGGACAAGGAAACGTTCCTATAGTATAGACGAGCATTCAATCAAGTTCATTTGAACATTAACTGTGCATTCAGGGAGATATTTTTTAGGGACAGTTTGCGAACAAAGATTATTATAGAAACACATATACAGTCATGATCTGGTATATAAGGTTATACACCCTACTACCACTGCTGCTCATAAGTACAGAGCTTATTCAATGCCAAAAAGATAATAATATAGGTAAGGACCCTAATAACGACTTATTCTGTGCAGTATTGAACCCTCACACAGGCCAATATATAGATCTTTCTCAGTTGTCGCCGACTCCTAATGAAGTGATGGATCCAAAGAAGAGACGTAAAGAGTCTTCAAAGATGAAATGGTTGGTTAAAGGGTGGGGTGATGACAAAGATAAAAATTTCACATTAAGTATATGTTCTAGTCCGATTAGTGATGACAATTCAAACAATAATATCCCATCAATGGGCCAGTTGACCAATTTTACAGGAGCATATTATACCGAACGTACAAAGAGTCATAACTCAGGAGATCAGGATAATGATGATGATACTTATATTGAAATACTTAGCTCTATTGGAGATTTTAGTGTTAAACCACAGTTACATAATGTGAACAATAGAAAATTAATCTTAAAATATGAAAATGGTAGTTATTGTCCCGATGGTCACTATAAGAAATCTTCATTATTAAATTTTGTATGTGATCGAGAGATTACCACCAAGGCGCAAATCAGTTACATTGGTAATTTAAACAATTGTGCATATTTTTTTGAAGTACGAAGTGTGTATGCATGTCCAACATCAAACAAGACCAACGAGATAAATGTAGTAGGAATATTTGTCGGGATCGGTATTGTATTTATCTTAGTACAATATTTAAGGCGTAGTATGCAAAGACGTATCATGTTAAAGGATAACAATACAAGTTCTTTGGATAGAGACAATAATAACACTATCAGGGATAATAGTTATTTTGGAGGAGGTGCTACTATAGACAGATCATCTTCACAAATTGGATTGGATCAACCTAATTGGGAATTTTTTGATAATAGATCAATATTAACTAAATTTCTAAATGTTGCACAACGTAGTATACGAACAATAGTATCTCCCATTGCTCAAGCATTAGATAACAATAAAAGACGACATACCAGAAATGGTGGAGGTAATTCTAACGGAAGTTCTAGACCAATAAGATTATATTCATCACCATTTGCAAGTAATAGTCAAACCTCGTTTTTAAGAGATATGGAGATACAGAACAATATATTAGATAGTTTAGAAGTAACAAGTGAAACTACTACTAATGGAAATAGTGTGGATTCTACTGCAGATGATAACAACAACAACAACAGTAGTAATTCATATAATGATAATCTATAAGGAAGAAGTATATAAAAGTACGTAGTTATATGCCTACTTCAAGAAAAAGAAAAGAATCAGTAACTTCAGCTACCATTGCTCAAAGCACTTTAAAATAAACAAACTCCGAACATTTCTAGTATGTTATGTAAATAATAGAACCATTAAGAATATTCATAGAGTTGAATAGAATTGCAACAATATTAAACCTCTATTTTTTGGACTGACAGTTGTAGTACATCCGTACATGCCTTTACTTGCAGAACACCTGAACACCGCATACAAACAGTCCTGTTGGCCCAACCAAACTGAAGATATACAGATATAATATTCATAATTTTTCTTTGGCTACGCATATTACTGCAAATGCAGACTCGCTGTCCCGGGATGACCTGCACTGCTGCTCTTCTGTGTGCGACCCAGTCATTGCTAATAAATACCAACACTTGATGCCCTGTTACCCGCCACAACTGCTTTATTCTTTCTTTTTTTCCATTCGGGACCCATCAAGTTCTGCCGAAGAAAACACCGCAGCAGCCCTCCCCCTCATCGTTGGACCAAATTATTTTTCAATGAATTTAGTCGTCGTTTCTTGTTTCTGCGGGTCGTACAGAATTACATTGCGCGCATCGATATTATTATTTCTATAGACATAACCGTACAAGACTTAAAATTAAATAGAATTAAATAGAAAAGGACTACAATTTTACCATTTTTTTTACCTTAATTGGTATATTTCTTTCGGTTTTGGTTGAAAAAAGTGAAAATTTTTTCTAGAAAAAAAATAAAATAAAAATGAAAATTTTTTTCTTTTGGGTCATTTCTTTTGGAGTATATAATAAATGATTTATTCACCTATATTACATGTATTAAATTCCCTTGCTTCAATTAACTATTAATTCTATTTTTCTCAGTTCTAATTCTTTTTTTTACTTGTAATACGTAATCACAGCAAACCAACTATATATTATTCACAATGGGTAAAGATAAGTCTCATATTAACGTCGTCGTCATCGGTCATGTCGATTCTGGTAAGTCTACTACCACCGGTCATTTGATTTTCAAGTGTGGTGGTATTGACAAGAGAACCATCGAAAAGTTTGAAAAGGAAGCCGCCGAATTAGGTAAGGGTTCTTTCAAGTACGCTTGGGTTCTTGACAAGTTAAAGGCTGAAAGAGAAAGAGGTATCACCATTGATATCGCTCTATGGAAGTTCGAAACTCCAAAGTACCACGTCACCGTTATTGACGCTCCAGGTCACAGAGATTTCATCAAGAACATGATTACTGGTACCTCTCAAGCTGATTGTGCTATCTTAATCATTGCTGGTGGTGTCGGTGAATTCGAAGCTGGTATCTCCAAGGATGGTCAAACCAGAGAACACGCTCTATTGGCTTTCACCCTAGGTGTTAGACAATTAATTGTTGCTGTCAACAAGATGGATTCCGTTAACTGGGACCAATCCAGATTCCAAGAAATCTGTAAGGAAACTGCTAACTTCATCAAGAAGGTCGGTTACAACCCAAAGACTGTTCCATTCGTCCCAATCTCTGGTTGGAACGGTGACAACATGATTGAAGCTACTACTAACGCTTCTTGGTACAAGGGTTGGGAAAAGGAAACCAAGGCCGGTGTCGTCAAGGGTAAGACTCTATTAGAAGCCATTGACGCCATTGAAGAACCATCCAGACCAACTGACAAGCCATTGAGATTACCTCTACAAGATGTCTACAAGATTGGTGGTATCGGAACTGTGCCAGTCGGTAGAGTTGAAACCGGTATTATCAAGCCAGGTATGATTGTTACCTTCGCCCCAGCCGGTGTTACTACTGAAGTTAAGTCCGTCGAAATGCATCACGAACAACTAGAAGAAGGTGTTCCAGGTGACAACGTCGGTTTCAACGTCAAGAATGTTTCCGTTAAGGAAATCAGAAGAGGTAACGTCTGTGGTGACTCCAAGAACGATCCACCAATGGCCGCCGCTTCTTTCAACGCCACTGTTATTGTCCTAAACCATCCAGGTCAAATTTCTGCCGGTTACTCTCCAGTTTTGGATTGTCACACTGCTCATATTGCTTGTAAGTTCGATGAACTTCTAGAAAAGAACGACAGAAGATCTGGTAAGAAGCTAGAAGACCATCCAAAGTTCCTAAAGTCCGGTGATGCTGCTCTTGTTAAGTTCATTCCATCCAAGCCAATGTGTGTTGAAGCTTTCTCTGACTACCCACCTCTAGGTAGATTCGCTGTCAGAGACATGAGACAAACCGTTGCTGTTGGTGTCATCAAGTCTGTTGAAAAGTCTGCTGCTGCCGGTAAGGTTACCAAGTCTGCTGCTAAGGCTGCTAAATAAGATGTTTAATTTTTGAATTTCCATTTATTTGACTCTAATCTTATTTTCTCAATTGTATACGTAAAATCTATAAATATTTTATATATTACTTTACTCATTTCTAGTTTAATAATATTTTAAACCGATGTTAAAAACATAATCTTTTGATGTTATATTATATATATATATACATTTTTGTAAGGTGAATATATCATTTCAATCTTCCACACGTTTGTCATTGTAATCATACGGTGAAATTACCAAACCCTTGTTCTTTCTGGCTCCACGAAATATCGTCTCTAAGATATCGATCATCTCTTGTTCATCATCTATGACAAAGTTCATCTTATTATTATTACCTGTACCAAAATCACACATCATATGCTTATTTCCATAGAAAAACATCACACACATTGGATCTGTCAATTCATACATCTCATTAAAATCAGGCACCCGTGTTATATCACAAGTATATATCACTGCAAAATTCTTTACTTTACCACCAATGGAATACAGCAGTTCATCCATTAAAACACATTGGCGGTCATTCTCTTGTCCAAATCGTATCACAACAAGACGCTCTTTCTCAGTAACAATAGCCTGGTCTACGTGCCAGCCAGTAGGTAGATCATTTAATAAATGACTACTCATTTCTTTTTTTATAGTAATAATGTATTTATGGTTGTTGTCTGAGGGATGATAATCGACGTTGTAGTAGTATGAGATGAGTTAACTTTTTTTCTTTTAAGTTTTAAGTTTCACGCGGTGTTCAATAATTTTATTTTGAAAGAAGGTACTATTGATGATCAGCAAAGACTAAGACATTGGAACGACATTTGATTTCTAAAGATTTGGATATATGTAAGGAGTAACATTATTGAATTGAAAGGAATGCGTAAGTTAGATTCAAATTCTATTTCATAGATATGAACGAATATATTATTCAAAAATAATTAAGAAACGTGGTTTGGATGGATGGGGCACAATTTTAGTGGACATCGCAAGTTCCTGACAACAGTATCTGAGTTTTTTCATTTATAATACCAGAGTTTCGATTCTATTAGTATGAAATCACAAAATAATGTAAGAAATAATATTAATAATTTCAATGATAGTATATATATATATATATATATTATCCCAAATGGAGGTAATTATGTTTCAATTCTCTACTGATTATTCAAACCTGTAATATAAAAGCTTATTAAGATTCATTTTTTGTTAAACAAGGACCGAATATAGATATTACTCCTTTCACCATTGATTTTTCAAAGTAATGTCGAGAAGTAAATCTTATGTCCAACCAAATGACCTTACTTTGTTTGATTCGAATAGTTCAATCTGAGATATGAGGTGACTTTGGGATTCGCATAGAAGAGATTGATAAACCAATCAATTCGAATTCTTGAAAACTTTAGATGTCAAATTTAAAATTTCGTAATTTCACAATTCTATAAGCCAGTTTTATCTTTAAATTGAATATAACACGAAACGATAATCTGTAAGAAAAAACATACGTATTTTAATCGAGAACAAAAAAAAGATGGTGTAATAAGTTTTTTATAACTCTTTGTTTCCACTTTTATCTCTGTGTTATCTTCATTGTTGATTTTATTTTAATTTATTTGAGAGATTTTAGATACCAGATCTATCCTTCTTAAGTTAGCAATGCTCGTAACAGTATTTGAAAATGATGTCAGAGAGTGGTTTCATTGTAACAATTCTATACATTATCAACTCTCACAATATAAGCTTTTATGCTTCATTTCTTCCATTTTGTTTTGTTTTGCAGTGTATTTCCGGTAGTCGATTCTTTAAAACTTCACTCAATGATATAAGTTGGACCATTATCATAATTTTTTGTTATTTCGAAATCGTCATTTAGAAAATAATAAATTTCAATAAGTTTAACAAATCTTACATCAGGTAATCTAATGATCCCAAATTTATATTTACCTTGTAAAATTTTCTCTTTATTTGTTTCAGTTATTACACCAATACAAATAAAGTATTCTTTTTTATTTACTGCTAGGGTGTTGTAAATGTTGAAATGTAGCGGCAGCACTACAAAGGCTAACATTAGCTTAACCTATCTGAAGGAGAGGGTAGCTAATATAAGTAGAATTTTAGAGTGTACTGCACTGCCGTATATATAACAACACGTGATGTATACTGCATAATGTAGTATTTGTTCCCCCTACATTGGGTTTATTGGAGCTACATTGTCCAACGTTACTATGCACAAAAGATGAGCAATTTAACAACAGCACCTCTGTTTAACAGTAAATACTTGATTTTAAATCTCCTCAATATTACTAGTTTATTAAAATGTTCTTTAATCTTTTAGTATTAAGTTCTCTAGAAATATTTTTTTACCGACAAATGATATTCCAATGAAAAATTCTCCGGAACAATCAAAATACTTTTGTTTTCGAAGTTAACCGCTTTACAAAAGATTACAGTACGCTAACAACGTATATTTTGTGCCTATAAATGAGGAGTAACATTTAAATTTTCCTGAATGGCAAAATAATGGAAATTAACCTTTTATCATAAAAAAGTTTTCCTTTATTATATTTTTAAATAGTTCATTGAATATTTCTTTGAATGGTTTAAAAATCAAATTTATTAATAGGTATTATCAAAGAGATAGTATAAACTGTATATAAAAACTAAAAGTTGCCTTAGATAACCCAAATTTGCCTCAATTTAATATTTTTGAATAATACAATACTTAAATGTTTAGTTACGTAAAATATTAAAATATTTTCCTGCTTTTAATAATAATTGGAAGTTTGGCCGAGTGGTTTAAGGCGCCAGATTTAGGTTCTGGTATCTTCGGATGCATGAGTTCGAATCTCATAGCTTTCATTATTTTTTGAACTAGTTTTGTTTTCAGTCACGTGACAATAGCGTTTTAATTTACAAAAAGACTTGTTGCACAACGAACCACCCAGCAAGAGAAACTGTGACTCAACACGAACCCATCAAAACTGTGGGAAGGTGAAAAATAATAATTTTGAGAGAGACAATTGACTGTACCAATCACAAACTGTGTAATGTCGAAAGCGAAATATGTCGTGACTGATATACAATTGCCGCCCCTAAAAACGGCAAAATACTTTCAACTTTCTTTCGAGTAATGAATGATTGCTCCGCCAAATTTATTGACATTTTTACAATGGGGTTGGACTGGGGACTAAACTTCATTAAATAATTAAGAGAACTGTGAATGAGAAAAGGCGGACAACTGCTAATGGGATAAGGTGCAAGAGAGAGAGAGAGAGAGAGAGAGAGATGACCATTTCCACGTGAACTGAGCCTTCAAATAATGCATTACAATTGCAACTAGATGGTAAACGTAACAGTTAGTGAATGAATTTGGTGTGTATCATCAGAGATCGTTATCATTACTGTAAATGATAATTGAGATGTTGTGATTCACGTCCACAATACTTGTCTGTCTATCTATCAACGATCAGTAACCAGTGTAACCAGTGCAAATAATCGAACCTTGACTCTCGAGTGTGTAACGATTACACACACAGCACTGGTTGATTGGTAGGTAATGCATGAAAATGTTGAATTTATATCAAGGGTGGCTTGATGTCTAACTGTCTCACTTCATTCCAAGTGTGTAGTTTACTCAAATATCTATTGCTAATTGATTCGCTGTTTGTAGTTAGTCAAGTCATAAAATAGTATTTTCTTGAACGTGAGATGAATCCTGAATAGTTCACTCCGGGGAGAGACGGAAACATGTTCTTGAAATACTTATAATTGTGGTAGATTGCAACATTTGATTCAAATCTGAAATATATATAAGGTGTAAGATGTCTTGGTTATATTTTTATATTTTTATATTTTTTATTATTGAAGGTTTCTTTTCCTATTGTTTACATCAATTGTTTAAAATATATGTTCTTTCCACTTCTTAGCAATATAAGACGAAAATAAATATAAACTAGCTAACTTAGTTCTGTTTGTTTATTCCCATTATATATAACTATTAAAAACAATGCCTTCTCACTTTGACACTGTCCAATTACACGCTGGTCAAGAAAATCCAAGTGATAACAATCACAGACCAAGAGCCGTTCCAATTTATTCTACCACTTCTTATGTTTTTGAAAACTCTAAACATGGTGCTCAATTGTTCGGCCTAGAAGTTCCAGGTTACGTTTACTCTAGATTCCAAAATCCAACCTCCGCAGTCCTTGAAGATAGAATTGCTGCTTTGGAAGGTGGTGCTGCAGGTCTTGCTGTTGCATCTGGTCAAGCTGCTCAAACTTTGGCTATCCAAGGTCTAGCTCATAATGGTGATAACATTGTCTCCACTTCTTTCCTATACGGTGGTACTTATAATCAATTCAAAGTTACTTTTAAAAGATTTGGTATTGAAGCTAGATTTGTTGAAGGTGATGATCCATCTGATTTTGAAAAATTGTTCGATGAAAGAACTAAATGTGTTTATTTAGAATCTATTGGTAATCCAAAATATAACGTTCCAGATTTTGAAAAAATTTGTGAAGTGGCTCATAAACATGGTATTCCAGTCGTTGTCGACAACACCTTTGGTGCTGGTGGTTACTTCTGTCAACCAATTAAATGGGGCGCTGATATTGTTACACACTCTGCCACTAAATGGATTGGTGGTCATGGTACTACTATTGGTGGTTTAATCGTCGATTCTGGTAAATTTCCATGGAAGGATTATCCAAAGAAATTCCCACAATTTTCTGAACCAGCTGAAGGTTATCACGGTACTATCTATAACGAAGCATATGGTAACTTAGCTTACATCGTTCACGTTAGAACTGAATTACTAAGAGATTTAGGTGCTCTACAAAATCCATTCGCTTCCTTCTTATTGTTACAAGGTGTTGAAACATTGTCCTTAAGAGGTGAAAGACACGGTCAAAATGCTTTGGCTCTAGCTAAATGGTTAGATGCCTCTCCATACGTTTCTTGGGTCTCTTACCCTGGTCTAGAATCTCACTCCCATCACAAAAACGCAAAGAAATATTTAACTAACGGTTTTGGGGGTGTATTATCCTTCGGTGTCAAGGACTTGCCAAACTCCGAAAAGGAAACTGATCCATTCAAACTGGCAGGTGCTCAATGTGTCGATAACTTGAAGTTGGCATCTAACTTGGCTAACGTCGGTGACTGTAAGACTTTGGTTATTGCCCCATACTTTACCACTCATCAACAATTATCCGAAGAAGCTAAACTAGCTTCTGGTGTCACCAAGGACTTGATTCGTGTCTCTGTTGGTACAGAGTTTATCGATGACATCATCGCCGATTTCGAACAATCTTTCGAAAAGATCTTCGAAGGTAAGATTCCAAACTAATGCCCCTTCATTAACATTGTTAATATATAAATAAATAAATAAACTGTAATACAAATATATATAAATATATATATTAAAACACATTCAATATTAGATATAACGTGAATTTTAAAGATGGACAGTTTAAAATCCTTTGTTACTTTATTACTCAAAGATGGTAAATTATATTCAATGAAAAAGTAATGTAAAATAAAAATCCAATAATATTACAAATATACATACCTGTTTATATTTTTCAGTATGGTATACCATTGGTGAGCCTTTGGAATTCATCGTAACCTTTTGTAAACATACTTTCGAAACTCTTTCTGATAAGGCCCTTCATATACATTGCGGCCTCATGATCAGTCCTTTGAGGTTGAAATCTTGCTTCCAGGTTCTTAATGGTCTTACCACCTTTGAAACATGGCAAACCACTCCCTAACATTGGTTCAATACATTCAATGATAGAATCCATATGTGGTCTAGCAGCCATATATGCCTTGATACACAATTCTTCAAAAGCATAGTAAGCTGGTGTCTCATCAGAACCACCCATTACTCTAACCATCTCTTTAGTTAATTTAAATGGCACTGCTTCAAATTTGACACCACCTGGGACAATATCAAAAATGAATCCAAAATCAATATGTAAACAATGACCTTGATCATCATACATAATGTTACCATTATGTCTATCCTTGAATTGTAACAAATATGAAATAACACTATACCCAGCAAGGGATTTAACAAAATTGTTTCTTGCACGTTGAAACTCAATTGTACTTTCATCACCAAACTTACTAACAAAATATTCATATAATCCATTGACGGCCTCACGACCTAACATATCTCTAGAGACTGAATTAGGTAACACATCAATAACACCACAGCCAGGAGCCGTAGCTGTGACACGGTAAGGAAACACATAGACATCTAAGCCAATATCAGACCATATTGTTCTGAACATAGATATTAATTGTAAGGCTAAGACATCTTGTCTACAATCATCACCAACCTTGAAGATAGCGGCTTGCCATTTTTCGACTTCTATTTGTTCCCCAGAACTTTGATCTTCCATTGTTTTTTTGATCTTAAAAGTAGCCATGAATGGTGCTTTTGCATGAGATTGTAACGGTTTACCACTAGTACGATTAATATCAATAACAATACCATCTGGGTTGGAGGGTAAGTATGCACCAGGCCTGACTATAATTTTTTTCATTTCTTCATCAATTTTTTGCTTCTTTTCAGCTTTACTTTTCTTAATATATGGTTTCAATTTACCTGAGATTGAGGTAACATCACTGAAGAATCCAAATTCTTCTTTATAAAAGTCATAATGTTTCTTGGAAAATGTTTTGACCATCTTTTCACGAACACGATCCAATGTTGGTTTAATGGCATCTTCAACTAGCCCATCATCACCAATGTAACAATTTGCCAGCATATTCCAGATAATTTGATGAGAAAATAAAACACTAATTTTTGCGGTATCTAATATTAATTTTTCGACGTAGCCTGTATGATCATATCTTAAACATTGCACAATTTGAGGGACGTAAAAGAATGTAACGTTAACATCATGTGACTCCAGGGAATAAATACCATATTGCAGAATAAATTCATTTTTATTCCATTTCTGTAGGAATAGGCCAATAGACTTCAAGGGACTAACTGGTGTCCAATAAACTATTGGGTGTAAGTCTTTCTTTGTAAATGCTGTATCTAGATATATATCTAATGCTTCAGGTACACCAACACACATTAATGGATCCTTCGCAACCAATGTCTCCAGAATTCTCACTAGTTTATCCTTTGGATATCTTTTCACTAGATTCACAGCTAATGATGGCATCTTGTTAAAAGCAACTGTTACTAATGCTTCTGAAGGATCATTCTTGTTAGCCCCTTCAATTTTTGACAATGGAGCTAACCATGTTTCGATAATCTGAATTTCATTTGCTAAGAAATACTTCAACAATTCAAATTCTTTACCACAGGTACGTTGTAAAATATCGGATAGTTCATCGACCTTTTTATAAAGTTCCAATAAAACTGTTAAGTCAGCATTGTTTTTCAACTCATTGGAACCAAATGGCCACGATGGTAAAGCGACAAACCACGACAAAGCAGCATCAACTATTGAATGGCATAGTCTATCAACATGTATTGTACCTTGTTTTTGATTAGCCTTTAAAATTGCTAAACCAAACACTAGAAATTCATTACGAATCATACGCGCAAATGGATGATATGAGGCTCCATTCAATTTGGAAAGACCATATTCAACTGTCCTAGTAAATATTCTTAAAAGAGATTTACTCTCAAACCTGGTACCTTCGAAATGAGACGAAAAAAATTTAACAATATATCTGTGAGGCTTCAATGAGTCAGCTGCTAATTTTGCAGCTCTATCAATTCCCTTCTTATTATACGGGGAATATTCCATCATCTGATTATCAGTAGGTACTACGTCAAATTCTTGTGAATACAAACCACGGCCAGCATCAATAGAATTCATCCAACAAAATGCAACTTCTGATAATAAAATATGAGCCATATCAGGTCTTTCTTTTATCACTGTTAACCAAACATTGGTTGCAATTTCTAGTGCGTCAGATGAAAATATCTCGAAAGGAACGTGTACAATATCTGAAATAATAGAGCCAGCCTTTGCTGTACTTAAGATTAGTAGCGCAGCTGACATATCCAAAAAGTCTGTAATTTCCTTGATAGAAATTTTAATGTTATTGTCCAGTTTTTGTCTAATAGATTTCACTTGCCTATCCAGTGATCTTGAAATGTCTTCCTTGGATGAAGCAATAGCAGTATCCACCAGAAACTTAGACCTCCAAGAATGTTGTGCTATAAAGGATGCAATTGTATTTGGTCTGTTCGATCCCTTATATGAAATTCTATACAATTCTTTATCTGCAGGAATAATAAGTCCTGCCATCTCAATGGCAAATGACACACCGTACTCAACTTTATTGGTTTTTCTTGACTGCCCAATATCAGACACATATGATTGTAACAAAATTTTTGTATCTTGATTAGCACAATTCAATAAAAATCTCAACCAATCTTTAGCAGCTCTCCGTAGCCCAGAAAGTGTTGCAGTCCTCCAAGATTTTGAACCGGGTATAAGTATTTTTCTTTGAGAATGATTTAGATAGAATTCATATTTCACATCAAATTTGTTTGTCTGACAGTTAACAACACTGTCGAATAATGTAGTCAGTAGATCCAGCAAGGTATACAATGAATTATGGTGACATAGGGAAGATGGGATAGACTTTATAAATAAATCACAACACTGGAATGATGCATCTTGCAACAACGTATTCTTATCTGCCATGCATAAAAATATGTCATTCAGTTGAGATGCGATAGATTTTGAGTTAAATAGCTGAAGGTTACCAACTTCTGTTAATTTGACGAACTTTTTAACCATATCAATCGACATAGATATTATTGACTTGTCAATATTACTTGAACCCACCGAAGGATCGGTTAGATACAATAGAATTTTTGAACAATCGCCGGCTTCACATCTTATGGTTTCTAAAAGGATTGTTGCTGCTAGGAACATAACTTTTGAATTGGAAAATGTCCGTTGCTGAACAGCATTTGCATTCAGATAGCGAGAAATAATTTGCTTTTGTTGCTTAATATTAGAATTGGAAGAACCCCTACGCAAAATTGTGTTCATATCTAATGACATTTCTTTATTGTTCGCGGGAAAGTTTGAAGCAAGTGGGGGACTATTAAATGCAATGGTGGAGAGCGCATCATAATTAACTTTCACAATTTCTGAATCATAGAAAAAACCATGGACAACCATATTAAACCAAACATTCCTGAACATGTTAGTCAATGCTTCATCCGTTCTTAGGTCAATTGGTGTTTTTCCTGGTTTAGGAAGCAGCGTAGCAAGTGGCTTTAGATAACCAGTAATTTGATCTGCCACACGAGAAATTTCTGTATGAGGTCTATGGTGCTCTGGCTTCTCAACTTCACCGCTAGATATAATGCTATCCAATAAATCTATCAGGTACATCTTATAGATTTCATCTTCAAAAGTCTTTGATTCCAATAACTTCGATGACATCACATTCTTAGATACACTTATGGCATCTATCAACTTATGATTATCATTTTTTGTAGCAATCGCATCAATGGATCTAAAAAACTTCAGAATCATCGAAAATTGACTTGTTGTACAACACGGTGTTATATCTGCCAGTGCCTTAAGGACAATTTCATCCAAATCGTCACTAATTACACCTACTTTTTGAGTAAGAATTGTTATAGTTAAATTAGTGATAGTATGATTATCATATTTAGAAGCAATTGTAGTGGTTGCTGTGACACAGTTCTCAAATAGATCCTTTTGATATTTAACTTCCGATTTTCTATCTAGTTTTCCATTGTTTGGCGGAGTTATTATCTGGTTTTTCAATTGCCTTAATGCGTCAAAGGAGTTTGATCTAGGAATATCATCAAATCGGAAAGAACTTCCAGAAGTTACGGTCAATTGACGTTCTTTAATTAGATTATTACTAAATTTGTCATTAGCATTAGTTAATAGGTTATTAATTGAATAAATTGTGCTAACAATAGAATCTTCATTGAGAGGCAATAAACCAATACTGAATGTCTCGCAAATGTCTTTAATATTTGTCGGTTTCATATGTTCTGAGCCAACTAATAAAGGTAATGAACGAAGTAAGGCCTCTGATAATTCTTCTGTTAGGAAGTTAAGTAGTGATGCTGCTGTAACAATGCTGCTGACAAATTGAGGTGTTATAGTATCTGATAAGAAATAGCGATCCATGCATAAACCCAATAAATCAACATAGTCCTTCATGAGGGTCGCATCTTGGAGATATGGGGTCAAACATAAGAATTGAACGAAGTAAGCTCTAGTGTCAAATGAGAATTTAGCTCTTGAGTCATCTGACATCTCGAATGAGGACTCTTCCATGGAGAGAGAATAACTTAAAATAAATTTACAGACCTCTTGGAGTAAAGGTCTATGATTTTCTACATCCTTTAAGACATGACTTGGAAGAGTAAATCTTTTATCAGAATTCGATAAATTTGCCTGATTCTTAAAAAATGTGACTTGTTGTTCAACTAGGTAATTCATCAGAGAATCTTGTTTGTATTGAATACCAAGTACTCTACACGCCAGACTAACTTGCATTTTAGATAACAAATTAATAAAAAGAGGTCCTGATATTTCATACCCTGCCGCAAAATATTGAACAATAGAGTCGTTCATGAACGAAGGAGATGATGCTAGATTTGTTTCAATGTGTGATAAGAAATCTTCTTTCGTAAATAAGGTAGATAATTTTTTCCACATGAAAGTAGACAATTCCAAACAAGAATTGTCTTGGATGAAGGCATTCATTAACCCTAGCAAGGAAAATATACTAGATGGTTTTGTCATGTACAAGTTCTTTATTTCTTCCAGGTAACGATCAAACAAACCTAAACAATTGTTAACAGTACTACTGAACTTACTACTAATTGTAATCAAATACTTGGTAAGTTGGAATGTGATAATTTCATTAGGGTTTCTCATATCATTCAACCTGAATTTAGCTAATAGAACATCAGACACTCTTTGTCGAGGGGAATCAGTGAAATATTTTGAGATTACATTGTCTAATAAATCAATTGCATGGGCCTCAGAGTCTGAAACGGAACTACTTATGGCTAAAATTATTTCCCACTCATTCAATGTAAGTGGAATGGTGTATATTCTCGATGTATCAGAAGAATAAAAAATAGGAAGGGAACGTGTAATTATATCCAAATTATTTCCAACTTTATTGGAGGAAGCTTCCTCAGTTGTCTCTGATTGTCCAATATCAGGCTCATTGACATAAGTCTTTGCGAGTTTACTCAAAGCTCTTGCTCTGAGTGATAATATCTTACTGCTATCCCCAATCATTTTATAGTGAATTGTAAGTAAGACGGTCAATCAACTATGGAGTGATGCTTTAATAGATAAAAAGCAAAAAAATACCAAACGCACACAAAGATCAATTGCTACCCAAATAACAAATAAAAAGTATATGAAGGTAGTTCTGATTTATTGTCCTCTTTAAGTAGATATATTTACTTTAAATATTAGCTGTCTCCTTGTTAACCTTATATCTAACACGTTCGACTTTTTCCACTTACTGAAAAGTTTTAACCTCTCTTAAAGAGTTTGTCTATCGCGAAGCTTTAATTGAAGGAAAAGGCGAGGATATTCCTGCAATGTGCGGTCAAGGGGAATAATAGTATCATCATTTATAATACAAATAGACAGAAACCCATAAGAGGGTTCATTCCGACACAATCGAAGAACTTTCACAAGCACGTTCAATAGTTAAAACCGTACTGATTACCTATCTGATATATATATATCCGTAAGAATAACATCAAAACAGAATACATTTACAAATATTGATGGTTTGTATATTTGCATATATATACCAGACGACATCCTTCTTTACTCGAATCTGGTTAAGGGTGACCATAGAAATAATATATTTACTAACATAAGATAATAATTCTAACATAAAGTCTCAGGTATGTTCTTATAATGCATAACATAGCAACCTGTTCAATGCCATATAGGTTGCCTGAAAAAAAAATTGTTAGATTAATTCTTAATTACATTGATAAAAGCTTAAATTACGCCAGTTACAGAAGAAAAAACAAGAAGAACTTGCAAATGCAAGTTCTTTACAAACAACTAACCTACTACCTGCATCTAGAATTAGATTACAGCGTGATCTCGAAACATTAGATTTACCTCCATTTGTGGATCTTCAAATAATAAACCAGATAGACCAAATGAATGAACTTCCTTTAATACAACTCAAAATATCACCCGACGAAAACATGTATAAGGATGGTCATTTTTTATTTAACATTGAATTTGGAGATAATTATCCAATAGAGGCCCCTAAAGTGAAATGTCTCAACAGGATATACCACCCAAATATAAATTTAAACGGAAATGTCTGCCTCAATATATTACGAGAAGATTGGTCACCAGCTTTAGATCTTCAAAGCATTGTAATAGGGTTATTGTTTTTATTTCTAGAGCCAAATCCTAAGGACCCATTAAACAAAGCAGCTGCTCAACAACTAATTGTTAACAAAGGGCTTTTCATTCAAAAGGTAAGATCCGCGATGGAAGGTGGCTTTGTAGATAATGAGATGTTTGACTACGTTTTATGAGCACGATAATGTACAAAATTATTTTGAAAATGTATAGTTCTACATATTTAGTACCCTTAATTTTATAACATTTTCTCTTTCTCGCAGACCTGAAAATGTAAGAGGTTTTGCGTCACATAATATTCATGAACAAACAATAATTTTAAAGACAGATTAAAATTTATCTTAAACAAATTTTGAAACAGATAGTTTACAAAAATAAATGTGTATTTTCTATATTCTCATATTAGTATAAATAACCATTCGAAATGGTAAAACTATTAAATCTCTTACTCAGTGCAGTAACATTCGAAACAGCAGTATACGGTTCCGAGGTCGAATTTCGTAAAAAGACAGGCGGTGTTGCTTTTATTGGTGACGAACTAAATCAGACTCCCTTCCCACAATGGCTTACAGATTTTACAGGAATGACACAATGGCCAGGATTGGTTCCACCGTACATTCCTCTGGACTTTATTGATATGGATAAAATACCGCCATATAATCGTTATCAACAAGGCGTATGTGACGCAAATCCACGTGAGGCGTGTTCTTTTGATTGTGATCAGTGTATTGCCCATGATGATGTCAGTACATGTAGGAAATTATCCCAAACATTTGATGATGGCCCTTCCCCTGCAACATTAAAATTACTTCAATATTTAAACCATAAGGCTACTTTCTTTACATTGGGTATCAATAGTGTTAACCATCCTGATATTTATCACGAAATACAAGATGCAGGTCACTTAATAGGCTCCCACACATGGTCACATGCATACCTACCAAGCTTGAGTAATGAAGATATTATTGCTCAAGTGGAATGGTCTATATGGGCAATGAATGCAACTGGAAACCATATTCCAAAATGGTTTAGACCTCCATATGGTGGTATTGACAATAGAATAAGAGCCATCACAAGACAGTTTGGGTTACAAGCCGTTCTATGGGATCATGATACCTTCGATTGGAGTTTGGTCACTAATGACCCTTTCAAGACTGAGCAGGAAATCTATAATGACGTAGCACTATGGAAATTGATAGAAAATAGAGGATTAATCCTCGAACACGATGGTGCTCGGAAAACTGTAGATGTGGCCATTAATGTATTAGATTTATTAGGGGATGACCAACTAGCTGTATCACAATGTGTTAATGGTATCGACTATATTCGTGAATTCTAATTTTTTAATTAAATACGAACTCTGGTTCGCCGATACTTGCTATGTTAACGGTTTTCTTTATAAATCATTTGTTTTAAAGTTCATTAACAATTAGATACTACTTGATGAGGTATTTCAACCGTATATACATATATTGAATTATTTCCTTATAAAACTTATTTAATGCTATCTATCTTAATGCCATAACTAATCTCTTTTCGTCATTACTATCAAATTGTAGTAACATAGAAATTACAGGTAATAATTGATTTCTTTGATCCTTGTGTTCCAAAAACCCTAACAACACATTTTTCACATATGCAAGTTTCTCATTTTGTGATTGAGCTCCTGTTATACTCTCAGAACTGTTCACTTCCTTCAAGGTCGAAACATCCTTAGATGAGGATGAAGAACGAGGTATAGGCTCAGGAACGTTAATACTGGTCGTAGATATGGAGTTGCTATTCGACAACTGAGAGCTTACAGAACCTGATCTATCAGATCGTGTAGTAACGGAACTCTCTTTGAGTGTGTTTAATTGATTCGAGAGAACCCTATAGTTCTTTGTCAACCTCTCTAGCTTTTTGTTTAGATCATTATTTAGAGATAACAGTTCATCGTTATTCAATTGCAAATCATGAATCTTAACATCAGATTTTGACAATAAATCTTTCAAATTCTTTTTTATTTTGTTGAAGTCTTCAGTATTCTCATTATCTATTTCATCTTTACGTTTATAGTTTACGTTAGATTTTTTCAATTCTTCCACTTCTGAACTTAAAGATTTCTCTTTAAGTTTCAGATTATTGAGTTCAATGGTTAATTGATGGTTGGTGTTTGTCAGATTTTGAAGTTCCACGTTTTGTTTCGAAGATTGAAGACTTAATTGATTTTGAAGGTTATTTTTTTCTTCAATTACTGTTTGAATTTTTGTGTCATAATCATTACCTTTATTTGAATTATCATTTAATGTTTCATTTAGGAGTCTTCTCATTGTTTCAGACTCTCTTGTTTTATCTTGGATAATGTTAGAATAGTCATTAATTTCGTCCTCTAAGGATCTAATTTTTTTTGATGATTCTTTCAATTTCAGATTTAGCTCTTCACATTGTTTCTTTATAGAGTATACTTGATCACTAGAATTCGATTTTAGATCCTCTAAAGCGTTGTACTTTTCCTGTAATATAGATATCCTTTCTGTTAGTTTACCATTTTCTTTGACATAATTCTCATACATCGAACTATTTTTATTAACATTTGTGTTCAACGTATTATTCTCCTTCTTTAATAATAATATTCTGCTATTTAATTGAGAATTCTCAGTCTCAAGTGATATGAATTTTTTCTGTAATGTTTCCTGTTTTTCACTATATTCTTTGACTTGGTTTTCCATGTAAAGAATGGTCTTTTCTTTTTGTGTGACCAAGTTTTTAACACTTTTATAATCTTTAAGATCATTGATCATGTTTCTGCTTTCATTTTGGATCTTTTTAAATTTAATATTCAACTCTTCTTTCTCTGTCGTCAATTGAGTAATACTCTTTTGAAGAGTAGCACGAGTCGCATCTATTTCCTTTATTTTTTTCTCAGAAAGTTCATTTGTTCTCTTTAACATCTCTATTTGCCTTTTAGTTTCATCATTAACTGTTTGCGCTTGAGCCGATGTTTTTAATTGATCTTTAGCGTCAACAAGTTCGTTTCCAACATCTCTTAGCATATCTCTAACTTCTTCTATTTCGGAGTCCTTTTTCTTTAGAGATTTTTTGGCATCCATCAACTGTCCATTGACATTGTCATAATCTTTTTGCAATTCTTCAAGAGAATGATCTGCTTCTCTTTTGTCAGACGTTTCCTTTAGGGAGTTGAATTTAGTTTTCCATTCTTCACAATGAGAATGCTCATCTTTTAGGGATTCGTAATCCTTTTCCAATAATTCGAATTTCAATTTGAGTCCGTCGAATACTTCAGAATTTCTCTGTTCAATTTGCGTAGGTGTAGCAACCTGTTGCTGTTGTTGTTGTTGCTTCTTTTTTTTGTTGTTCTTCTTATTTTTCTTTGAATTATTATTTTCTGTAACAGGAGTATCAATGATTGTTTTGGATTCACTTAATAGGGTTGGTTCGGCAGCGTTCTTTGCATCATTTTGTAAGGCCTGGATCGTTTCATCTTTCGATGTGATGTCCAGATTCAATGATTTAATAATTTTATCCTTAGAAATAATATCTTCTTTTAAATCTATTATCACACATTCCTTTTCTTTAATTTGGTTCTTTGTATTTTCTAATTGAGTAACATTTTCTTGAACTTGTGATTCCAATTTCTTGTTATCAGTAGTCTTCTCAACTAATTCCTTCGAAATCAACTCGATCTTAGCGTCTTTATCTTTTATATCAGATTCACATTTTGATACAGATTCATTTAATGTATTAATATTATCATGCGCAGTATCTAGCTCCTTAGCAGTAATTAAAGATATATCATTGTTATCTCCAGTTACAGTTTCATTTTCTTCAGATTTTACTTCTTCCATCTCTTCCAATTTTTTCTTTAATTCCATATTTTCATCACTATATTTATTCAGTCTCTTAATCTCATTATTTAAGATTGCTGTTCTATTATTAATATCTTGAAAAAATGCAGGTAAAGTCTCTTCAATATCATTAATATCAGAGATTGGAGTATTTTCTGTCAAAATTTTCTTAATAGATTCGAATTTTATATTTTTCCCCTTTTCATTCTTATAAGCATTTAATAATAAAGGATATTTAGATTCATATTTATCATATTTACGTAATTTTCCTTGTACATCCTTTGGTAAATCAATAAATTTGGTACCATCTGCAAAAATAGTTTCATCTATCTTATTGTTAGAATTATTCGTAGAGTCATTCATAAAACTCTCATCAGTAAGTCCCTTTTGTAACTCATCTGTGAGATTCTTACTCAACTGAGATAATTGCTTAAACATTTGGTTCCTCTAGGGAAGGGCTTATTACTATTATTAATTATTTTCCCACCAAAAAGCCTCAACAGATATCACTTATATGCACGAATATATATGATTAAATGAAAAAAGAAAACCTTCACTCAATTTAATATCAAATGGTATTATTAGAAACTTCTGGGAACCTTTCGCACGAAACAATCATTTTAAAATACATCAACTTGAAGTCTTATTGGTTCCACTATCAGATATCTAATTAATTTCACCCACGCAAATTGGCGTTTGAGATTGATGTCCCTAAGTATATCGCCGCCCCCGCGAATAATTAGTAGTTTGTTTTTTCTTCTGGAAATATACAAGAAATTGGAATATTTTCACTGAATAGAGAAGAAATGGTTAAGATATAGATGTCAAAATTGTATGCAGTTTCAAAGTAACGTCAATTACATCTGGAGATATATTATTTTATCAAATTTAACAACACTTGCTAAATTGTTTCTTTCTAATAATCTGTATACACGTATATATATATTTATTACCATATATAAATGTGTCGCAAGACGTACAACATGATCTTTCACAGGAAATAAAGAAAAATAACGCTGGGAAAAAAATTTTCAGATAATTCCCTGTTTGTTGGGAGGGAAACGAATGAGTAACTTGAGAGAGAGAGACAGCAAAAATGACAACGATTACGTAACTTGTTATCATCGTCGAATTTATTTAGATATATATAGATCTCTAAAAAGTATTTACCGTCCGTCAATTACTTATACAATAAAGATATATATTAAAATAGATCATAAATAATCAATTGTGAGAATGTCTGAAGAAGCTGCCTCTCAAGCTCCTGCTGCCGCCCCAGCTGGTGAACAGCAACCTGTCATCCTAGGTGAAGATGGTAAACCACTATCCAAGAAGGGTCTAAAGAAGTATTTGAAGGAACAAGAGAAATTGAAGAAGAAACAAGAAAGAGAAGCTAAGGAAGCCAAAGAAAAGGAAGAAAGAGAACGTGCTGCTGCTGCTAGTGACACTGCCAAGGAACATTATGGTAAATTCCCATTGATTCAATCCACTATTCGTACTGGTGAGCCAAGAGTCAAATTTTATGATCTAGATGATGAAAAGGACAACGGTAAAGAGATGTTATTCAGAGCTAGAATCCATAACAAGAGACAACAAGGTGCTACTTTGACTTTCTTGACATTGAGACAACAAAATGAATTGATGCAAGCTTTAGTTAAATTCAACAAAGATGATGGTAGTGTTTCAAAACAAATGGTTAAATGGTGTGCCAATTTGAACTTAGAAAGTATTGTTCTTGTTAGAGGTACTGTTGTTAAGGTTGAAGAAGCTATCACTAGTGCCACTAAGCAATACTTGGAAATTCATATCAAGGACATCCATACTATCAGTGAAACCCCTGAATCTTTACCAATTTTAATTGAAGATGCCTCTAGGTCTGAAGCTGAAGCTGAAGCTGCTGGTTTACCAGTAGTTAATCTAGATACTAGACTTGATGCTAGAGTTATTGATTTAAGAACTGTTACTAATCAAGCTATCTTTAAGATTCAAAGTGGTGTTTGTTCTTTGTTTAGAGAATTTTTAACCAACCGTAAGTTCACTGAAATCCATACTCCAAAATTACTTGGATCTCCAACTGAAGGTGGTTCCAATGTCTTTGAAGTTAGTTATTTCAAGAACAAAGCTTATTTGGCTCAATCTCCTCAATTTTATAAACAACAATTGATGATTGCTGATTTTGAACGTGTCTTTGAAGTTGGTCCAGTCTTCCGTGCTGAAAACTCTAATACTCATCGTCATATGACTGAATTTACTGGTCTTGATTTAGAGATGACATTTGAAGAACATTACCATGAAGTCCTAGATGTATTAAGTGAATTATTTGTTTTCATCTTTGGTGAATTAAAGACAAGATATGCTAAAGAGATTGAATTAGTTCGTAAACAATATCCAGTAGAAGATTTCAAATTACCAAAGGATGGTAAGATGATTAAGTTAACTTATAAAGAAGGTATTGCTATGTTAAGAGAAGCCGGTAAAGATATTGGTGATTATGAAGATTTAAGTACTGAAAATGAGAAATTTTTAGGTAAATTAGTTCGTGAGAAATATGATACTGATTTTTATATTTTGGATAAATTCCCATTAGAGATTAGACCATTTTATACTATGCCAGATGCCCAAGATGATAAATATTCCAATTCTTATGATTTTTTCATGAGAGGTGAAGAAATTTTAAGTGGTGCTCAACGTATTCATGATCATGATTTATTAAAGAAACGTATGGAATTCCATGGGTTGTCTACTGAAGATGCAGGTTTCAAAGATTATGTTGATGCATTTAGTTATGGTTGTGCGCCACATGCCGGTGGTGGTATTGGTTTAGAAAGAGTTGTGATGTTTTTCTTAGATTTGAAGAATATTAGAAGAGCTTCTTTGTTCCCAAGAGATCCAAAGAGATTAAGACCATAGAAAAGCAAACAAAGGGTAATTGAATATCTTTATATTACTATATATGTTTTTGCAATAATATATTATTATATAATAAATAATATACCATAGCCGCTACTATAGCTACTACTATTTAAGTACCATCGCACGAAAACACCAAAAAACATACGTATACAGATAATACTTACAACGCGCAAAATTCAATTTTAATATAATAAAATGTGAAATGTGAAATGTGGGTATGTATATATTTATTAGAGATATAAGGGGAGAGAGTAAAGTAAAATAAAGAAAAAATAAATATATTAGAGAGAGAGATATAGTTTCATTTGTTTACTACTATTACCATAACAGTATCATCTCACTCACTCACTCGCCACAGTATCATCCCTCACACACATCAATACAAATATCGAATGTCCGGTAATCCAGGTAATTCATTAAGGGCGTTATCGCCTACTCCACCTGAACGTGGATCCTTTCCTTTAGATCATGATAATGAATGTGTTACACAAATGCAAAAATATTTAAATTGTATGAAACTTGTTGGTAATGAGAATGCACCAAATTGTAGATTATTAGCTAAAGAGTATTTACGGTGTCGGATGGATCATAAATTAATGGATAGAGATGATTGGAATCATTTGGGCCTTCCACGTGATATAGGAGAAAAAGATGATAAGACAACAGCCGCCGAACATAAAGATGAGCGTTATTTCGGTGAGGGTAAATAAATAGTAAATAAGGTCATGCCACCCACCATACCATGTATATAATAATGCAATACAATAATACAATCCTATCAGTAGTAGTAGGCCTACGCGCCGTCTGCAATGACGACCCAATACAATAAGAAGGTCCGGCCCAATCCATTCGCTCTACGTCTCGTCCCGTCACCTGATTAGAGAGGGGGGAAGCAGAACTGGGCGCTTTATATGTTCACGATCTCCGCGCCGACCCACCACCACCACCGCCTGGCCCCGCACAGCCGTATAATTTGCATTTTGTATCCGCAAAAACTACGGAAAATGAAGCAATGGTGATATCACCATTGCTTCTTCTACGGGGGAATTACTCCTGCCAGCCCTTCCAGCAACAACAACAAAACGTGGGCATAATACCTTCACCTTCACATTCACGATTCGCAGTAATTTAGAATAATTGAAGTACCTCCTTCGCCTCCCCCCTCTTAATGAAACGAAGTGAAAGGGAATGCGGTGCCGTGATGAAAACCAGAAACAGACAGCGTGTGTGTGTGGCTGCTATTGTTAATTTGTATTTTGAGACATTCACACTAATAATAATTATTGCAACTGATGAATTTTATCTCCACTTCGTATCGTCCTTTCGCAACGTTGTGCTGTGATGAAAGGGGTAATTATTAATTTATTTAACAATGCTTGTAAATAATAATAATAATAATAAGGAAATACATGATACGTTCCTCTTTATTTTAATATATCGTATATATATATATTTATATAAATTTAAGAATCTTATTACAATTCCGTGCTATGAGATTTAATATTTATTTACTTATTCTTTGGTTATCTAATCTCTTTCGGGTAGATCTCTCGTTATTTTAATTCATTTTATTTTTTGATTTTTTTATCGGAGTACATACATACATATATATATATATATATACTAGGAAGTCTGATTAATTTAGATAATAAAAGAGTCAACCAAAATACAATACGACAATACGACAATACGACAACTACAATACTATAATGGCACGCTCAGAAATATTATCGGCTGCCACTACAAATACAAGGAAACGTCAAAGAAATAACGTGTTAATACCTCAGAAACATACTACTACTACTATTAGAAATGAAGATGACAATGATGATATTTATCAAGATAGTTTAATTAATGAAATGTTGGAGAAACAATCTGAATATCTTAACAATAATTTGACATTTAATAATACGAATACAAATAATACAAATAATACGAAGAATGGTGATGACGACGACGACGACGTAGTCTTTATTAAAGAACAACCGGTTCAACAACCAAGATATGCAACTACTTCAAATTATAATTATAATGGAATTAATTCAAATACCAATATTATTATACCTAATGGTAGTATAACAACTAAAAAAAAACAAAGGACGATATCATTACCTCAATTACCACTTTCAAAATTGGATTTATTATCATTAAGTAATACAACTAATCTTACAAATAGTAATAATAATAGTGCAATAGATATTATACCAAGAACACAAAATGATAATGAATTATTAAACTTAACAGGTTCTTCAACAAAGACTTTAGCATCAAATAAAACTGTACCTTTGAGAGTATTACAACAACCACAGATTAATAATAATATTCATGATATAAATGAACAACATTCTTCAATCTTTACAAGGAAAATTAAAAATTATCATAATCAGTTTAAAACAGATAAAGATGGGCATTATATCTATCACGATAATGATACCTTTGGTGAAAATAATAAATTCGTAGCTCATGGACTATTAGGACAAGGAACTTTTGGGAAAGTCCTTAAATGTTACGATCAACAAGATCAAAAATTTGTCGCAGTGAAAATTATTAGAGCCATTGATCGTTACAGAGAAGCTGCAAAGACAGAATTAAGAGTGTTAAATACAATTGCTCAACAAGATATTACGGGATCCTTTCAATGCCTTCTATTATTAGATTATTTCGATTATAAAAACCATATTTGCCTCATTACAAACTTACATGGGAAATCTATATACGATTTCATGTGTGCAAATGGGATCGGGAGATTTCCAGGATCTCATATTCAAGCTATTGCTAGACAATTGATTAGATCGATTTGTTTCTTACATGAACTTAATATTATTCATACAGATATTAAACCAGAAAATATTTTATTATGTGATGATCAAAATTATGCTCAATATCAATTACCTGATAAAATTCTGTCAGGTTTATCCAAGAGAAGAAAAACTGCTTCGAATAATGGTTTAAGAAAAATATTACAAACCCCAGAGATTAAAATAATTGATTTTGGAAGTGCTGTCTTCTTTGATGAATATCATCCTCCAATCATTTCAACAAGACATTATAGGGCTCCTGAGATTGTCTTAGGGTTAAGTTGGTCTTACCCATGTGATATTTGGTCAATTGCGTGTGTCCTAGTAGAATTAGCTACAGGTGAATCTTTATATCCAATTCATAACAATTTTGAACATTTAACTATGATGCAAAGAATTAATAATAAACCTGTCCCTGAAAAATTGGTTGATACAATGTTTTATAAATATGATAATAATATTGGTAATTTACCTTCAGATTTAAATTCTACAGTAATAAAGCATTTCAATAGAGATACTAAAAAATTAATATGGCCAGAAATAGATCCTTTTACACAGACTGTCCTTACAGAACCAAAAGTTATTAAAAGAATAGAAAATAATTGTTTTAGCCTCGATATTTTGATTTGCAAATTCCTAAAGATTGACATGAACGATATGAATTTCCAAATAGATACAACTTTATCTGCAGATGAAAATTGGAATCATTTGGAACCTTTAACTTCTGCATCAAAGGAAACATTTTTATTCTGGTATTATTTCTTAGATTTGTTAAATAAAATGTTCGAATTCGATCCAACTCAAAGAATTACCGCAAGGGACGCTTTGGATCATGAATGGTTCAATCTAGGTATTTTAGATGAAGGTATCACTAGTTTCTACTAATTTATAACTTCATATCACTCCACTCCACTCCACTCCGAAACTTGTTGCATAAAGACCAACCGACAAACACACTCATAACACTCACATCGTTTATATTCCATTCCATTCATCTCATTATGATTATTTATCCTATTTTTTTTTTTCCTGTTTTTATCATCGTTTTAAATTTCAAGGTTTAGATTTATGTGTTTTTTTAATGTTCTGTTATTATTCTGTTTTTTCTTATGTTCAATAGTAACAGTTACTTATATCATTACTTAGTACTCACACATATATCCCTTATTATTCTCATCTATATTCATAACTAACGATATGCTTGCCATATCGATCTATATTCTTCATTACCTATTCATTAAATTTCATAAATTTAAACAATATCAATAATATTCAATTTTGAAATAAAAGGTAATACCTTAAATGATACAATTGTAATCAGTAGCATACCTAGTACTATTTTGGAAAGAAAAAATGATTAACATCTCTAAATGACCAGTTATATTATTCGGAGTTTGTCAACCAACTGAAAAGTAAACATTCTATAATACAATTAGAGTCTATATAGTTACAAACATTATATGATATCTCGATTATTTAAAGTAGCATTCTCGCAATTTTTAAAGATTAATGAGTAAAACCACTATTATTATTTTTTATTTAATTTTTTTTGTCGTCCTTTTTTAATGAATTCTTGAGTTCAAAAATTCAATTTCTTCTTTCAAACTAGCCTCTTCCACTGTCTTGACTAATTCCTTTGTACATTTAGCAACATCAAATGCAATACCAGCCAATCTTTGCTTGAAATTCTTATCAGCATAATTATCATCAGATTTTTCGTTCTTCAGAATACCATTCTTATCTAATTGACATAACGTAGTCATTCTACGAGCACAATCTTCCAAACTTTGTACAACCCAACTACCATGCTCCTTCAAATTCGCATTACGGCTTTGATTCATAGAAATGCTTGTAGCGTCCACCATTTGTCCAATCACTTGATTAATAGCATTAGATTCTCTTCTTAAACTACCTTTAGTAGATTGAGGTTCCTTAATTGAGCTCAATAATGACTGGATAGTAGAAATGACATCGACAGTTTGATGTTCCAAATATAATAGAAGATCAGATAATGTGTTATCTGGATTTTCGATATCAAATGCATCAACATCAAAATCATCCTCATCTTCGGACTCGGCAGATTCATAACTACTATCGGAACTTTCTGTTTCGTCCTCGGAGTTAGCTTTTGGTAAAGTTGGTGATTGGGGGACTTCCGATTTCAAAGGTATGAATTGATAGCTCGAATCTTCTTCTGTATCGTCTTCTTCAGGGATAGATAATCGAGGCGAATCAGTCTTCTTTCCTGGTAACAATTTTTCTTCCAGTGGTTCTTTCTTTACAAAAACCTCATCTATCATATTATTGGAAGATCCGCTAGTTTCATTAACCTCTGGTTTAGGAATAATAGGTTCTTTGTCTTCTTCTTCTTCTTCTTCTTCTTCTTCTTTAATCTTAGGATGTTCAACCAGTTTTGGAGTTTCATTCAAGGATGAAGCACTTGGCTTTCTCAGTCTAGATTCATGTCTCTTCGGTATTTCTACTAGTTGAGGGGTTTTAGTTACAATTTGCTTAGCTGACTCATCTTTGAAATTACTGGCGGTTGATGGTTTCGGACTTTGGTTGTTTAAATTCACTTTATTCAAATTCACTTTCTTCAATGATGCACTTTCTAATTTGTTTATTTTCAGCGGTTTGAAAGTAGGTGTAGTGGAACTTTGAACAGGTGTCTGTGCCTCAACCTTCTCTGGAGCTGGTTCAGATTCTGAAGACTTCTTGTTATTAACAACTTCCATTCCAGGGGTGTTTGCATCCAATTTGTTCACTTCAATTAGATTTTCGTCCTTGGTCTCATCTTTAATGTCTTGGTGGTCCTTAGCATTTTCGTTTTGTTTTAATTTGTCATTTTCAAGTTTCTTAGTCTCTTGGACCTTCCTCAATGCTAAAAATGTTTCGTCATTATCAGAGTCATTAACCAATACATTTGGCGATTTGTTTAAGTTTTCATCGCTTTCAGAATTGACAAATCTTGATAAAGATTGGTTTGATTCATTGCGTACTTCAGGTACAGAATTTAGGTCATGTTGTTCTCCTTGTTCTGTATGTTTGATTAATTCATCGTCGTTAGTCTTTTCAGAACCAAAGATATTATCGATAGATAACGCTAATCCCGCAGATGATCTTGAACCTCTAGTATTTGAGTTTTTATTATCAATTTCTTTTTCAGATGGCTCAGGAAGGATTATATCTTCTGGTTTACTGTTATCAGTATTTTCAGGAACTGGAATGGTATTCAATGATTCCAGCTTCTCTAAATTTGGAACTTTTTTCTCTAGATCTGATATCTGAATTTTTTCGATAGCAGGCTTTACTTCCTCTGTTTGTAAAATATTCTTGGTATCTTTTTTATCGGATATCGTGTTATTATTCAAAGAAGATCGTACTGTTGGAATATTGGAAGTATTGCTGACAATACTTGGCGATTTGCTATGATTACGTTCCTGGTCGATCATTAATGAGAAGAGACCACTACCAGATGGTTGTCTCATCCTTGTATTTATCTTTGGTACAAGATTCGGCGATTGATTTCCAACCTTTTGTGTAATCTTCAACGGCTTGACAGGTGAATTCTCCCCGATTTCGTTATCCTCTCCTATTATGTCGGAGGGGTTAGCATATATTGAAGTTAATGTCGGAGTGGATATATCCTTGGAGGATACATTAATCGGCAGAGGAGATGCAGATTTAGAAACAGATATTCCTAAGTCACTTGAATTTGGTATATCGATAGCAAGTCCCTTTTTCTTTGGTAGCTTTAAATCATCAGTTTCTTTTATATGAGCAACATCAATTAAATTACATGAGGCAAATGCTAACTCTGTGACAGCTGCGTATATTATGATCCTTGGTAGCAAAGTATGATATAGGGAATAATATCTTACAGTTGATATTAGATGCGAAAATGATGCCTTCAATAAAAGAACTTGATCCTTGAAAGTTGGGAGATCAACGAGGGACAATATTTGAGAAATTACATTCGAGGTTTCTCCCAGAGCTCTGAACAAATTATCACCTATCGGATTATTGTTATCATTTTCCGTAGATTGTATAACAGAAAAAAATGATTTAATTTGATTATTCAGTAAAGCAATAAGGTCCAATGGAATAATACCATCAAGGCTAATAAATTTCTGTATATGTTCAGAATCCAGTAAATTTGGTTCTGTCACTTGTAAATTATTCGATTTATCATCATTAGTATTGTTACTTTGATTCGATTTAAATCTTGCTTCCATTTCTAATACAGTAATCTTTTGCTTTAAATTTTCATTTTCAATGGATAAATTACGGATTTCACTATTTAAATTCATAAATTCACTTTGTCTGTGAGTTGAACTTACCGGTGTAGGTACAATTGGAGATGTATTATCTTGTTTCAATGTTACATTGTCATTATTTTCTAATGTTGTACTTTGCATTGTAATATCATCTAGCTTATTTTTCTTACCCACAATATTCTTCATATCTTCGTATGCAACATCTTTTTCCAAAGGCGTCTCAATTGAGGTATCATTTTCTGGAAATGGTTCCATATATGGTTCAGGTTCAGATTCCTTTGGTTCAGAATCTCTACCGGTAGTTAATTCTGGTGGTAAGATATTCTTCCCTAATGGTTGTAAGACAGGTGTTGGAATATTTATCGTTGGATCATTCATACTACCGAATGTATTTTCTAGTTTCTCTTGTAAAGTACCTGTATGACTAACATTGTTCAAATCATCTTCCAACATGACATTCTGATTTAAATCGTGGGCTTTGTTTTGCGGTATTGGGGTAACGAATTCGTTATTATTGTAAGTATTATTATTATTATTATTATTATTATTATCTTCATTATTCTGGTCCATTTGTAAGGTATTGTTTAAATCTGACGATTCGGATATGTTTGTTGGTTTAATCTCGAGGCCAAAAGGAGCATCGTTCATATCCACTGAAGGGGGATGTGCAGATGATACCATGACATCATTATCGTTGTTTTCACCTGGAATTTCATCTTCTTCAGATGAAGACCAATCAATTGATGCTTTCTTTGGAATTACCAAGGACGGTTGGATTGACGTTGTCGTAGCTGGTACTTGACTTGCATTTGAATTTCTTTCGTTTGATCCAGATTCTTTATTATTTATCGCAATATCGGGAATAGTTTCAGAAACAATATTCTCTGCTGCTGGTTCGATAGAGGAAAAGCTATCACTATTAGGTACTTGATCTAATGATTCTGAATTCTTTTGTGGTGGTGTATAAGTATCAAACCTTCTTCTTCTAATTTCATATAGGATATCATCGACTAGTTCATTAAATCTAGTTTGTGATAAATTAGCAAGTTTTTGTCTTGCTTGGTTTCTTTTCATATGGAAATTAGCCTTTGGTAATAAATAATCTGGTTTATTTTGATCTTCATTAATTCTTCTCTTTAATTCATCCGAGACATCTGTACTTAATTCATAAAATTGAGAAAATGATAATTTTAATAATTTACTTCTAGCCTTTTGAGCCCTAGGGGATGTCTCTCTATTAAGTTGCTGCACACCTGTGACATCAAAAAATGTCTTTAGGGAAGAATAATATTGTTGAATATCACGCTTATGAGCTTCTTGTTGGTCCTGGCTCATCATGTTACAATTTGGATATGTAGTGTATGAGAAAAGAAAGAAAAAGACTGTAAAAATGAAAATAAATTAACTTATTTTAGTGGGTATTCTGACTGTTTTAATTATTTATTTTTCTTTCGGTAATCAAATAGATGGTTACAGGTAACGTTATAGTTCTATTTATCCTTTGCTTCAAAATATCTTGTTTTTGTTTCCCTCTGTCTTTTAAATTGGTATATTGCAATAACTAACCTAACGCTATCGCATGAGATATACTTAACTGACGTTAATGGTAGCGGTTATGTAGATTGAACTATGATTATTCCACAACAATAAAAAAAGATAAAAACAAATTTTAAATGTAAATAAAAATAAATAACCAAATCCTATTGTGTGAGATGGATGGATGTCATTTGCTTGTTTGTTTGTCGATGGCTGTTCCTCTCGCCCTCTCGCTCACTCGAAGTTTTGTATACCGTATAGACTTAGTTAAATTAGAGACCGAGTGAAAAACGACGGAGAAGAAAAATATACAAGAAAATTTGATGTCTTTTTGCGAAGAAGAACCCGCAGTCCACCAGAGAAACGCCATAATTTTTAAAGATTATTTTATTAGTGTGCGTCGTACATAGTGATGCGGTTTGGCTAATGATTATTATATAATTGTATTTATGATTGATTATAGACGAGTTATTAATTGACGTCTGTATTCATGTAAAGATTCAGTGGATATGTTGTGATTCGTTATCAGACCAATTATACTAATATTATTGAGATGGCTCTTAACGTTGAGAAGATGTTGGGTTCACTCTTTCTCACAGGCATACAAAATGTGAGACGCGTCTTACCTTTCTCGCGTTTTTCTCAAATAATAAGAAGAAGAAGAAGAAAAGCTATATACAATATTGTATCCTTTGGGAATGATATTTTTCAAAAGGTTTAGGGTACTTCTAACGTTCTTTAAAAGAATCGATGATTGCTACATAGCAACGGTGTATAAACAGTAGTTTGTTCCTTTTTTACATGTATATATAGATAGTAATAATCTCTGCTTGAGTGAGAGGATATTATTATAGTCTAGATAGCAAAATAGAAATAGAATTAATGACATCCCAATCAGTAACAAATATGAGTGGTATGAAGGATATTTCACCGGAAGAAATGGCTGTTATGAATCAGATTGCAGAATTGAGTAAACAATATGGTAGCGATGTAGGTATATCCACTGTTAATCCGGATCAATTGTTGAAGTTAGCTACAGCTTTGTATAAGCATGGTATTGCATCTAATGACTTATTAGCAGGTGGTGATGACGATGAAGATGATGATGATGATGAAGACGAAGAAGAAGAAGACGACGATGACGATGAGGACGATAACGAAGACCAAGAAGAAGACGAAGTGCGTCAAAATGAAGAGAGACAAGAAGGAGCTCCTATGGATGAAAAATTCTACCAGTTCGGTCATGATGAAGAAGAGGATCTGTTAGAAGAGGAAGATGCATATGCAGCTGATAATAATGAAGAAGATGCATTTGGATTTGAACAATTTATCATTGGTAGTCCCTTTGAAAATTCATTGAATTTACTGGATGTGATCATAAAATCTCCAAAGAATGATATATTGACATCTTTATTATTAAGTGATGTGTATGATTTGGCGGGTAATAATCATTTAGAATTAGAAAATTTTGATGAAGCAATTCCTTCGTATGAAAAAGCATTAAGATTATTAGAAGAACATTATAAAGATGATAACACTCATGAAGATATAACAGAGGGATTATTGAAATTATGTGAAGCATTGAAATGGGCTCAAGATACTGATAATTATGAAAAGTATTTAAAGAAGACAATAAAGTTAATTGAAACAAGAGTAGATAAAAGAAAATCAAAGGATATTGAAAAGGATAAAGAAACATTGCAAGAATTGAAAGATGATCTTGATGATATTAAGGAATCACAGATGGATATTAGACAAAAACATCCTGAATTTGATAGTATATTGAAACGTGCATTAGGCCAATTGTTAAGTCCAGACGAAATATCCGCAGAAGCAGGATCTGCAATTAATGATTTGTCTTCTATGATCAAGAAGAAGAAACCAAAACACAAATAAGACAAGATGTATATATACATCAATATATATAAATAAATATAGCAAAAAATGTAATATATAATCAGTTATTCATATCTCATATTTTCTACGTTATGCCATCAACACCCTTTCCATAGGCAAAAGAAAAAAATAAAAAAGGAAGATGAAGTGGCGAAACATTGAAAAAAAAAAAAGAGGGAGAGATAGATAGATATGTACACAGACAAATTGGTGGAAGTGAAAATAAATATTTCTTTAGGGGGAGAACTATCAAATTATTTCGTTCATTCAACTTTCAAAAGATAACCTTTATTCAGGGTTCTACAATTACTTAATTTTTACTTCATCTTATCAATTATCTGATAAATAAGAGTTAAGTAACAGATATTAGATTCTCTTCATTAGTTTATCAAGAGACGATTATAAATCATATTTTTTAAGTTTCCCGTTACACAGATCTATTACCAATTGTATTACCCAGGTTAATAAAAATTGTTATATCGTTTTCATATTATCAAACTAAATTACTATGACTGAAACAAAGAAAGAAACCCCGGTTCCTCAAGAACTAAAAGGAACTATCAAAGATAGATTTATCTCATTGACTGAAAATTTGCAATTTGCATGGTTTTCAGGACATGCAGTTGTCTTATTATGTTCCTTCATCTATTTATTCTCTTTCAATAAAATAATTTATAGAATTGCTTATTTGGGTGTTCTACACTCATTCGGTATTATTGTTTATCAACAATATTATCAAAATGTCAAGACTGCTGTATCTGCCAATAACAACGGTGGTGCATCACCAAATTCAAGTACTTCATTTCCAAAACTTTCCGTTAACGCATTAATCAACGATGAAAATGTTTTATATTTTGTTTTAGCAGCTATGTGGTTAATAACTCCAGTATTTTCCTTATCATTAGTTCCATACTCCCTTTTCTCTTTGTTTCATGTATTGAAATATTTACAAAATATTCTACTACCAGTTGTGTTCGGTATTTCCAAAGAAAATAACAAGAGAGTATCTACTGTTGCCAAATTCACCCATACTTATAATGAAAAATGCATGTATTGGGTCGGTTCATCCGAAATTATTATTGTCGTTCTATTATTCGTGAGGGCATTGTTATGGTACCCAAGTTCCTGTATTATTCTATTGACCTTTATTCTCTTTTTGAAATTGAGGTATGAAAACTCCAAGTACACTAAATCTGCATTTTCTCAATGTAGAGTAAGATTGGATGGTATGATCAGTCATCCATCTATTCCAGCACCTGTCAAGGGTGCTTATAACACCGCAAAGGCCAAATTGATTGAACTTTCTCGTTATCAATTAACCAAACCGATGGAGACTGAGAAGAAGGCTATTTAGATCAACTTTGAAGCCTTTTTAATGTTTGTTTGCTACAGTGTTATATAATTTATATGTATGTCATTTCTTTTTAAGTAAGTAAAAATCATTTTGTTTAATTTTCTAATATATATATATATGTGTGTGTTGACTCGCACCAGAATAAATGCATTAACAACACAAACTGCGATATACAAAAAACCTATTTAATGAATAAAATATTAAAAAGAAACAAAAAAATATGCATTCTTTGTGGTTTATATGAATTAACAGAGGAGAAGACGGAAAAGAACATTAAAAAACAGAATAAGAAAATGGAAATTATGTATCTTAATTTGAAGAAAAATGCCATTGAATAAATGGATGGTATCGAATTTAAAAACAGATCACCTCATCTGGAACCTAATGTTGCATAGCGATAAGAATATAAAAACAAATAATTCATAATAACAAAAAGAAAATCTGGATTAATAGTCTAAATATTCTTTATCTCTTGGTGGTTGGGGTGGAATGTATGGAGTGAATCCATTAGGAGACGCAGCACCAGATGTGTTTGCCTTCATATTCATTTGAAAATTCATTGGAACTAGTGGGCCATCAGATATTGGCATCCCTTGCGGTGGTAACGGATAGTACATCATGTATGGTGGGCTTTGCATAGCACCTTGAGAATTTTGGTTATTACCCATATGGTACGGTAATGGAGGATAATAATAGTGTTGGAAAAGATATGGGTTTACAGGATCATTATATTCAATACTGTCATTACTCCCATTTCTACTTTTGGTTAATCCCATTCTTTCTATACGATTTTTGTAATCGTTTACCATACTACCTGCAGATGAATTGTTGTACGTTGTAGTTGAATTAACAGCAGCATGTGTACCTTCACCTTTATCTAATGAATCAGAAACATCAGAGGCAATTTCAGTCATAGTATCCGTAGTACGTAGTGTATTATCGGCTTCTTGTTTCTTTGATTCAGACCTCTTACTCCTGGTGGTATTTGAATTATGTTCCTTATTCAATAATTCTCTTCTTGATGCCATCCAATTATCTGGCATTGAACCTCTTCTAAAATTATGAGGTAAGGATCCATTCATATAAGGATACATGTTTCCATCGAAATTTGGGACACCATTATGAGGTAAATTTGGTGGCATGCAATGTAAATATGATAATGAGCCATTTGGAGAGGTATTACCTGTAACCATATTTGGATTACCGTAACTCATAACGGGATTCATGTCGCTAGAGTGTCTTCTATACATACTAATTGGAGGAGGCGCTAGATTTAATTGAGGACCACTAAAATGATTAGATCTATGATTATTTCCCGCATAGTTGCTATTCCGTCTAAAGACACGTTTACCATGATAACCACCAAGTTCTTTATATTGGACATGAATTGTTTTCTCTAAGAAAGTAGAGTGGTTTTCCTTTTCTAAGGCGGCAGCAGCAGCCTTTTCTGTGTCAAACTGAATAAAAGTGAATACATTTGTTGGCTTGTGAATCAAATTAACATCTACAATAGTACCGTACTTAGCAAAATGTTCTTTAATGTTTTCACTTGTAGTTTCCTTTGGAAGCTGGCCAACAAATATTGATTTTTTGTCTATAGTTATGTTGTTATTTTGATGATCACCAGAATTTGAATACGAGTCATGCATTTCTTCCTTCTTTGAAAAGGATCTATTGTTATCATTACCATCAGGCAGCTCCTGGCCATTATTTTCTTCAAATTTGAATAACATATTGAACCTTCTTGGTACATTAACGTTTTGCGCCCATTGAACTGTCCAATGAGAATCCATTTTTAAGTTAGCAAAGGCTCTAATAGCGTCATCTCTATACACAAATCTAATAAACCATGAATTCGAGATAGTAACAGGATAGGAATATCTTTGAGAGAACTGGTTTTTATCTTTATTTGGAACTAGTTGTTCTAATTTACCAAAAGACCCACAAAGTTGTTTAATATCGATGTATGAGACTGGGTTAGCATTAGTAATGAACAAAGTACGGTTAACTCTTGCCGGTTCACAACGAATCACTCTACCGTCTAAAATGGTACCATGAGCATTCTCTAGAGCCCTTGTTGCATCATGATCATTATTGTATTGAACAAAAGCATATGGTCTATTTTCTTGATCACGTAGTACCTTAACACCATTCAATTCTCCGAATTCTTTAAATCTATTTTTTACGGATAAACATAATTTATCATCAGATAAGCTTGCAGTTAAACTTGCAACAAAGATACAAGAAGATGGTAAACCACGACCATTATCTGGGAGTGAACTATTAGAGTGATTATCTAAATTTTCAGAGGATGTTGATGAAGAAATCGACATTGAATTTTCATGATCAATTTTATTAAATTTTTCTTTGTTGGAATCATTTAATTCATTATTAACGTTATCTCTTATATTTTCCATTTCATTTGAATCAGATTTATTATCTGAATCATCTGAATCATCATTAAATTCAAATGATGACACGTCACTGTAAGAAGTTTCAACAACACGTTGTTTCATAGAAAGGTCTTCTTCGCTAATTTTAAAATTTGAAGTGCTATCAAGTGAGATAGATCTTGTTAATTTAAGGGATCCCATATATTAAAAAGGACAAAGGTAATACTTGACAGTATTAATAAAAATATTAATAATGATAAAATGGAAATAATGTGACTACAGCAATAATATTCCAGATATATGAAGATGTCACAAAATTAGGATAAAAAAATATGAATCAACAATTTATTCTCTTTTTTTTATTTAAAAAATTAAAAAGATAATATTTTAATAATTAGGTTTGATATATGGATGGGTGTTTTAAAAATAGCTGCAATAATTTTTAATTAGATTATATTTTTTCTCGAGAAAATAAAAATGATAATTCAAAGAAATAATAGTATATTAGATGATATTTTGTTAATAATAGGAAAAAATAATTTAGAGTATTAATATTAAATGAAGATATTTAGTTAATTTTTATCTTTTTAAAAAAAAAGTATCGAACAGTATTAGAAATAAAATAAAATAAGTAATAAAGTTTAGAATTGGAAATAAGAATATATTATTATTATAAATATGGAAACCCCCAAAAAGAAAAAGGAAATGGAAAGAAAAAATAATAATAAATATATAAAAAGACTCAAAATCCCTTTAGTATTTATACTCCAAATTGGAAACGATCATGACTCCAACATTTGTTCAACTGCATCACTCATTCTGACAGTTGCATAGGTTTTCTATCATTGGAGTGGCAAAAAAATAAAAAAATATCAAGGTTACAGAGAAAACATCAAGAGAATAAAAAATGAGGAGGTGAAGTAAAAGCTGTAACACTTTTACAGTCGGCGGCTATTTTTTTTGCTTAATGAGGAAAGAGGATTAAAAGAATCAGAGATCAAAAAACAAAAATTAAGACATTTCTAAGATTTCTGCGTAGTTTAAATTATTTCTATATAATAAACTAAAATCTGATTGTGATGCAACATATACATTCAATAAAGTGACCGTAGAAAAGCTATATATATTCAATTTGAGATTTATTGGACAATGTCCTACCTAACTCTACATAAAATTAGAGAGCCATTGAAGAAAAAGATATATATAATGTGAAAGTGTTTTAGAAAGAAGAAGGAGTAACTTGTATTTAAGTTTGAAAAGTAGAATTTTGGTTCATCTCTTATTGAAAAAAAAAACAAATTCTCGAATCATGGCTTATAATTCTTTTATCATTATAAAGACGCAGTCCCCCTCCTGTACATCTATACATATTTATTACTTGCCATACTGCATCGAACCTTTTTTTAATTTATTTCTTTATTTTATTTCGGGACTTCTACAGGATTTGAATGGCCTATTTAAAATAATTGAAATATTACATATATCAGTCTAGTCTTTCTCCCTTTATTGTCATTTTTTTAGAACTCATTAGTTGGAGTAATAGAAACTTAAAATAAATTTTTGCAACATAAAATAATTGATATTACTCTACTTTACCTTAGAAAATAATAAAGAAAGGTCGGGGATAAATCGAAAAATCTATATTATTTGATTCCGAACACTCCAGCAAATTGATTGAAGTACTTGTAACTAATTTATTCGCTAGTTGATTTGTGAAATGAAAGAATGTAACTAATGACAATTAATGACAAAATACTATTATTCAAAAAGAAAATAAATACTTTTGGTACTGAAAATTGATAAGTATTCAATATACAGGTTTACTAAAGATTTTTCTGGATAAGATCCTATTAATTTTTATCTGGAGAAGAAATAATTGCAAGTCGTTTATTATTATGATTTTATGATTTTATGATATTTTGGTTGCTTTATGCTTGTTTACTCGATTTATCAATTCCTTTAAAAGTGTGGTTCTTCATGAAAAGAATATATATTTTTGTTGTTTTCAGATTAGTCTCTTTAAAATAAATAAATTTACTATGGGCATTTATTTAATTTCTAAGAAGAAACTAGCTCCACGGTAATTTCTTTGTAATTCACTATACACAGGTACCCGTTATAGTTTATTTTTTCTTTTTTCAACTGTAGTGCAGTACATTCCTAGAAAACAAAAGGAATGATACACAGATACCTAAATGGATATATAACATATGATTATGTCTATTAGGGTGTATAAATATATATTTTCAGTTCGTTTGTACGATTCTTTGGTTGTTTGTCGAATGAACTTCGAAAAAAAGTATTAAAAAAAAAACATCTTTACTTAGTTTGTGTGTCCTTTTTTTGTTCTTCATTGAAAGACAGTGATAATAAATGGCTGCAAGTAATACATATTTTAAATGTCTTCTCTCTCAATCCTTTTGTAAGGCAAGATGACTAGGTAATTAGAGATACAATGCAATTGTTCATGAATTCTCGCGTCAAGCGACATACGCGGTTTCCTTTTTAGGTAACTAGAGACGCTCGGTAAGGTAGGTGTTTGCGCATAACTCACATCTTCTCTACGATCAAATATAAGTAATATAATTGATTTTTTTGCCGCACGAATAGAAATATCATTACTATTGGAAAATAATACAAAGAGGGGGGGAGTGCAGAGGAGAAAGAAGGAAAGAATCAGAAACCAGCCGGCCCGTAAAAAAAGAAGATAAAGTTTACATATATTTTGTTTTTTTCTTTTTAATTTCTTTAGTCAATTTTATCTTTACTTCGTCGTTTATTTATAATATTCTCATTATTGTCACTTTGTTCTCGTTCTCTCTCTATCCCTCTCTCTTTCATAACTTCCTCCCTCTTCACATCCCTGAATATAAATAAAAAATCAAACAATCAATGGAAATAATTTGAAAATCTATCGACACTCCCAAAGTATTCTTGTCTAACATATTAACTTTTTAATTTTTTTATTTTTTATTCCTCTTACTGATTTGAGATTTCTAAAAATGCCATTACAGTTGATGGATACGGGTTCATAATTTGTCATTGTTAATAATGTACTTATTTTATTTATAAAAAATAAAAAATAATTCTTATAGTATGAGTTGCTCCGGTAAATAATAATAAAAAAATTGGTGTCGTGTTGACTATATCAATACGTAACATTCAAATTATGTTGCTTCGAATTCTGATAAGGCAATAAAATGCAAAAAGAAATTAGAATACAATGACAATACAAGATGATCCTCTAAGGTTCTTTAAGGACTAGAGTGACGTGAGGAAGGGAGATAAATCTTCATTGGAAATATCACAATATAAAATAAATATTTAATCTTTGTCTTGCAGTTTATGTTGTTTTGTAGTTTTATTATTATTATTATTATCATTTTCCTTTGAAAAAGACCTCCAATCTTCTTTACTGTCCGTGACGTCCGTGTTTTTTATTGTTCTCCGGGCTATTTTTCGCCATTATTTGCTCGATGTTCCTCACATCCGAAAATCTCCTTTCCTGCGATGTTTCCATCTGTTATGTGAGTCTTTCCCAATATTTCGTTGGTTGAATTGATATTGAGTAGTTTAAAATAATAAAACGGTACTTTTTCTTAGGTGAAAATATTTAAAATTATCATGCCAATTACACACTATAGTACCCCTCCCTTCCCCCTCCCCTCTTTTAAGGGAATTCAAGATACTACTTAATTTAAATATAACCACCTAATTTTTGTTCTCATATGAACGTCATTATAACGGATCTTATCACAACATTAATTTAGTTTCATTGACGAAATGTTATCTTTACCTTTTTCGTTGGAGATTAATAACTATACTAATAAATTAAATTAAAATATAAACTTTGGTATATATGTTTTATGTATTAATTATACAATTATAGGACATCATCATTTATACATTTACTCTCCTTGCCAGTAACAAAAAATGGGGATGTCGTAGATAAAGTTTGATAATATCAAATTCTTAATTGAGGAAATAGAAAATCATAACGACTTTCGCCAAGTAGCTTAAACATATTGAACTCTTGGCTGGTATAATTACCCTTTAGTCATATGTCGAGAAAATGAATAATAACATTTATGTTTTGTTTTTTTCTCCGATAAAATTAATATAGTTTAAAAAAACTTGAAACTACTCCACATATTTCATTAATTAGTTTTGAATACCTATATATTTTTAGTTGGGAAAATTAGAGGGTTATTTCCTTATTTCTATTTAACTACTACAGTTGAATCGATATATTAAAAGTTAGAAAGGTTAAAAATTTATTAATTGTTTATTAATTATAGACGAAAAATATATATGACACCAAAATAGCATTATGTTTTTATTCTGTGTCTTTGTTGAACTAAAATATGGTAAAACTGTGGCTCTGTTTTGGTAAATCTTAATCGAAATCATCGATATCCATATTGTCATCGACATAGTTTTCACCACCTGGAACAGTCTTTGCTTCATGATTGGCTAAAACATCTAAACGTTCTTCGGTTTCTTCAGTAGAATTCTCAGCATTACGGTCTAGACCAGCATGGTACTCGACTTTAACATCCTCCTTGTCAAGGATTTCACCCTTTAGGATTCTTAGAGCTAGTCTATTTAAGATTTCATTTTGAATTAATCTGTTTAATGGACGAGCACCCATATCATCAGAATAACCATATTTGGCTAAGAAATCCTTAGCCTCCTTACTAACCACTAGTTTGTAATGTTTATCATTTGCTTCGAACCTTTCTTCAATTTCCTTTAATCTAATATCTACAATTTTGATGATAGCCTTCTTGGATAACTTATTGAAAACAACAGTAGATGAGATTCTGTTCAAAAATTCTGGTCTAAAATGTGCTTTAACGGCAGTCATGACTAATTGTTTTGTTTCATCCTTAATCTTCGAACCTTCTTGGCCAATAATGAATTGTGCACCTAAGTTTGATGTCATAATAACAATACAGTTCGAACAATCAATGGTCTTACCTTGACCAGATGTAATTCTACCATCATCTAGCATTTGTAACAAAACAGTTAAGACATCAGGATGAGCCTTTTCCACTTCATCAAATAATATCACAGAATATGGCTTGTATTGTAATTGATTAGTTAAGAAACCACCTTCTTCAAAACCGACATAACCAGCTGTAGTACCTAATAATTTAGAAGAAGAATGTTTTTCACTTAGTTCTGAACAATCGATTCTAATCATCATATCTTTATCATTGAATAAAAAGTTGGCAATTGTCTTGGCTAATTCAGTCTTACCACTACCAGAGAGGCCTAAGAATAAGAAAGAGGCAGGTTGTCTAGGGTTAGCTAAACCAGATCTAGATAATCTAACAGCATTTGCGACTGCTTTAACAGCCTCGGATTGACCAACAACTTGTTCCGCTAGATCCTTTTCCATATGAATCAATTTTTCATTTTCAGATTCAGTTAGCTTCTTAACTGGGATACCAGTTAATCTAGCTGCTGTCTCTGCAATAGTGTCAGAATCGACGACATTAGAAATCATTGAGTTATCACCAACACGTTTTTGTTCTTCAGCTACTTCATTTTCTAACTTATCAATTTGCTTCTTAACATCTGGAATAGCAAAATATCTCAAATCGGCAGCAGTAGCTGTATCATATCTTCTTTCAGCATCTAAAGCTTTATTTTCTAAGTCTTCCAACTTCTTCTTGGCGTTAGTTAATTCTTCATGACCATGTTTCTCTTGGTTGTAACGTTGTCTCAAAGGTTCTAACTCTTCCTTCAAAGAGGCTTCCTTCTTTCTAGCAGTTTGTAATCTTTCCTTGGTGGTACTATCAGTATCAATATCTCTCTCTAGAGCCTTGATTTCAACTTCAATCAATTGTAATTGACGTTCTTTTGAATCCAATTCTTCAGGTTTAGAGTCTCTGGCAACAGCAACACCAGCACATGAAATATCAACTAAATCTAATGCCGAATCGGGTAATCTTCTATATGGTAGATAACGCTTAGCCAATTGTGCAGCAGTAACCAGTGCACTATCTAAGATTCTAACACCGTGATGAATTTCATACTTCTGTTGTAGACCTCTTAGAATAGCAACAGCTTGTCTGGTAGTTGGCTCTAAGACTTCAATTTTTTGGAATCTTCTTTCAAAGGCACCATCCTTTTCTATAATGGCTCTGTATTCATTATTAGTAGTGGCACCAATAACTTTTAAATGACCTCTTGATAAAGCTGGCTTTAAAATATTAGCAGCATCATCCTTACCATTACCCATTAGCATATGGATTTCATCAATGAAAAGTATGATTAAAGTTTTTGATTCCTCAACTTCCTTTAAAACACCCTTCAATCTTTCTTCGAAATCACCTTTATACTTAGCACCGGCAGTCAAGGCTGCAAGATCTAAACTGTAAAGCTTACAACCTTGTAAAATAGTTGGAACATCGTTGTCGATGATTCTAGCTGCAATTCCTTCGATAATAGCAGTTTTACCAATACCTGGTTCACCGATCAAACATGGGTTAGACTTAATTCTTCTAGCAAGAACTCTAATTGTACTTCTAATTTCTTCTTCTCTACCGATAACAGGGTCTAATTTACCCAATCTGGCTTGTTCGGTCATATTAATGGCATACTTTGATAAGTTTTCTAATGGTGTATTAGTATCGGCACCACGAGAATCTATCTTCTGATTACCTCTCAATACTAAAGCTTGTTGTTTGACGGCTTCAATATCAACTTGGGCCTCTTTAAACAATTGTTGGATTGAGGAATCGGTAAATAAAGCAAATAACAAATGGTCCTGAGCAATAAAAGAATCCTTTTGTTGTTTCTGTATCTTGGCAGCTTCTTGAAGAACTTGACCGAATGCGTAACTTGGAGTTACTTGTGATGGAGCAGGGTGTTGTTGGGGAACACGTACTAAAGTTCTGTTAACAATTTTCTTGAATCCTTCGTAGTCATAACGTGCTTGGTCAATTAAATTTTGTAGGTACGCAATGGACCCATCTTCTGGAGTTTCAATGAAGGCGGCTAATAAATGAATTGGTTGGATTTGTGGATGTTGATGATCCTGAGCCAATTTTTGAGCAATTGTAACTAGGTTTAAAGCCTTGTCTGTAAAGTTTGTTTCGTCACTCATTGGAATCTATATTCGTTTGTTTCTGTTAGATATGTATTTATTCTAATAAGACTTTGCTTAATAATCTGTTCTCTTCTTTATCAAAAGGATAATAGATGTAGAATGGGAAATATTGAATTTGACAAAACTAAAAACTTGGAAAATGTAGTTCCTTATATACGTTAGAGGTATTATATGAAAATCGTGAAACATTTTAGAGATGCTCACTCTCTCTATTCTCCGGAATTTACCTAATATCTTAAGCTGTAATATGCCATAATTACTATAAAATTCACTCTCTCCCCATCCCTTACAATATACTCACAAAGCTTATGTGAGGAACATAATCATACATAATTTTCAGGCGTGGAAGTTCCGGAGACTACGCGATTTTTCTAGAACCTCCTGGAAAAAAAGCTCGAAAATTAAATAAGGGATATTTCTATTATAATATAATATCATATAAGATAATATAATGTAGAGTTCATTTAAGATACGGAGAGAAGACTTGCCAAATCAAGGATTCTTGTATGTTTTGAACGAGCAATGGTTGTATGTTTCGGAGAAGGGGAGTAGTAAGAGATGATTGGGTAGGTGCTTAATGTTACTATATGCTACCTTGATTAAATATTATCTTGGCGTATAATTATATACTTCGGAACGAGTAAGCTTGTCAAAGGAAGAGATAAATTCCAATATATTTGTTGAGTTGAAGTGTATTTATATAAAAGAGGTTATTTCGAAGTAGTGAATATGTAGCGCTACTTGTGTTCTGTACTTCTTTATATATCTATATTGAAAGTACTAAATATCAAAGTCGATAACCTTTTCGGTATTTAATTTAAGAAGTAATTTGAAATATGAGATGTCAATGTTTGCATTGAATAAATATGTTTAAAATGTGTCAGATAAATCTGATAAAATAAGTAGTCGGTCCCCTTCAAGAAAGGATCTTAATAAATATGTTGTAAAATTATATACGTGTATGAAATGTTCCTTTTTTATTTCATTTCTATTTCCTATTATACCATGAAACTTTCACCACATCCACAAGTACCCTTTGAGTTTGGATTCTTAAAGACAAATTTTGACTGTAACTTTTCATCTACCCAGTCCATTTCAGATCCGACAACACTAAATAATGCCTTGGAGTCAATGACAACTTTGACACCATCTTGCTCAATGATTTCATCAAATTTACCAGGTTCTGAAATATATTGTAAGTCATAAGTAGTTCCTGAGCAACCACGGTTTCTTGTGCCAACACGGATCATCTGTGGATTTGGCTGATCTAGTAACGCCTTCAAATGAAGGATGGCCTTAGGAGATAATGTAATGATGGCTTTACGTGGTCTTAGCGTTCTCTTTCTCTTTTTCGTCTTTAATGTAGTGGAGTTGGCTGTGGATGTGGATGTGGATGTATATTTAGTTTCATTTGTAATTGATGTAGGATTAGATTTAGCTTCTTCGATAATTTTTTTAGCAACTTCTAATTTCTCTTCTTTTAACTTCTCTTCTTTTAGAGTATTTTCATGTTGTTCCTTTAAGAATGTTTGAGATGGTAATGCATGGCTTGACCATTTTGATGGTTTAATTGAATTATCTTTGTTTTGTAATGTCTGTGATTGGTTTATAAATTTAAATTTGAAATCCTTTTGTTGATACTGATTCGAATCTGAAGTCGAAGTAGATGAATCAGTATTGTTAGCGGTAATTACATTTGGAATAAATTTCAATTTTGAGAGGTTATTTGATCCATTTGATGTTGAACTGTTAAATGCAAGGTTCGTATTATTTCTTCGTATTATTTGTGTATTGGAATAATATTTTTTATTTGTTACAATAAGGATATTGGAAAGTTTATTTGATATAGAAATACAGCAACTTTGGCTTGTTATTCTCGATGGCAAAAGCATTTTTTTTTTTGTCTAATTAAATATTAAAATATGTGTGTGATTGGAATATGATGAGGTGAACTAATAATATGAATAAATAAATAAATAAATAATGGAGGTGATAGATTTCTTTGGATAGCTGAAGTCCTATTAATATCTGGAAGATATTTGTTTATGAACTATTAGAAAAAGAAAATTTTGTAATAAATAATAAATAAGAATATTGATGTGAATGGAAGTTAAACAAAGTAACGTTCAGTTTATGGTTCCTTTGATATTTTATTGTTGTAACATATATATATATATATATATATGTCCTCTAAAAAAAAGTTGAGATGGATGTAAAGGACTATGTCAATAAAACAATTTCAGCATTTGTCATCATCTATTGATGTATGAGTTCTTCTATATATAAATTAAAAACAGGAATTAGAGTCACTGACTGGTATTTAGCATCTTTTTTTTTCTTATCCTATTTACCTAGAAACGATATATGTTATTATTTCTTCAATCAAACATATTGGAATCACCCATATGTGAGTACAGCGACATGCTTTGTGAGGAGTTCACAATTTCCGAAGCTAAAACAAACGAATTGGATAGATGGAAAATAACTGGTCAGTTTAGAAATTGTTCCTCTCAATTTTTTACTTCCCCAGGGAAAGTTGTTCCAGTGCTCGTAAACAGTGATTGCATATGATTCGTTTTGTCTTTCTACGAACAATATACTAGGCTAGTTTGACGAGAGAGGGGAGGAAACAAATATTCTCTTTGTGGTTTGCACTTTTTCGTTTTTGGTTTTCACGGAGGAATAATGGCGTTAATCGATTTCTCTGTGGTTTGGTGAGCCAATCATATTGGACTTCATTACTATACCAAATATGACTAACACCCATACACTTAGCCGATATGTCGGCTAACATGTGACTTCAAAAAAATTTAAGAATACATACGTATGAATCTATTTAAATATATTGAGTTGGTTGTTGACACTTATTGTAGTGTGATGCAATTCCAAATTTTGTCGATTACCTCAATCAATTATTTGGTAGGAACATCGTATATATTCGAATTTTATTTTTGACATTTGTATAATAAATAAAAGGAATACATTAATAGTGGTTGGCTTGCTACAAAAATGGTTAGCATTTCATACTATGATAAATACTTATACAGCTTTATATCTAATAATTAACAATATAGGTACTATCTTTTAACAATGTAGTTAGTTATAGAGATTGATCACCTTTGGTTTCCCTATATGGAATCATTCGCCCAGTAATCACTTTCCACGATGATGGTGTAAGGGTAACCCCAGCAACCATAGAATTAATAGAAAGAGACACACAGAAAAAAAGAGGGGGGACCAAAATGCGATGAATCAATTTTTTTTCTAACTAGAAACAAGATAGAAAGAAAAAAAGGACGATAAAATATATATCTATGCACTTTGTTGGATGATTTCCCCATCTCTCTTAAGGTATGAACGAAGCCTTACCCGCCCAATAATTTAATAATATATTTACACTCTTAAAATCAGGTTCTTGAGTTGAAGTATATTTATTTCAGTTTATTGATTTTATTTTATTTTATTTTTTATATTAAATATTATATTTTAGATAAAAGTTTCCTATTCTCTACATTTTGCAATATTTGATACCATTTATTGCTTAAAACTAACAAAGTACAAGAACAAATTTTATTGCGTTAGCATACACTTATTGATTTAGAAATATAACAATCCAGTTATTTTTTTATACAAAATTATTATAAGCTCACCCTTTTACCATCTGCAAATTTACGCCTTTGCATTTTTTTAGAACAACTATCCTTTTATTTTCTTATTAACCCTTTTTAGAAGTGTTATTTTTTGTTTTTAGAAAAATTTTTATTTTGTTGGCAGTATTTGTAAGCAATAATTTGAACAATTTTGTTAACTAATAATAATCGTTTTATTGGAAAAATTTTGTTTTCTAATTGCAAAAAACTTTCCATTAAGAAACATAAATCAAACTTAGCATTTACACAACCAACTTCAACCAACTTCCTTATCAAAAAATTAAATACTATGACTCAAAGAACTACTACAACTGCAACTGTTACCAGTTTAGCTCGTGGATCTATCTCAGGTAGATTCAGACCATGTGATGACTGTACCTGTTCTCCAGGTTTATTATCAAGACAAGGTAGAAGAGCATCCTTATTTTTAAGACAGATTGAAAGTAGTCGTAGAAAGACACATTCTCATAAAAGAAACTCTATCGCTGGTCTTGATAATGCCTCCATCTATTCTTCTGATTCTTTATGTCAATCTAATAAAGAAGTTAACACAAGTCAAAGATTACATGCTTTACGTTCAGAGATGGAGAAACATGATCTAGCGTGTTATATTGTACCAAGTGAGGACGAACATCAATCTGAATATGTCGCAGCTATTGATCAAAGAAGAAGTTTCATATCTGGATTTTCAGGTTCTGCAGGTATTGCATGTATAACTAGAGATCTATTGAATTTCAATACGGGACATCATGAAGGTAAATCTGTACTAAGTACCGATGGTAGATATTTTAATCAAGCTTTACAAGAATTAGATTTTAATTGGTCTTTATTAAGACAAGGTGTCGACCAAACAACTTGGCAAGAATGGTGTATTAAGGAATGTCAAGATATGTCTGAAGGTTTGGGTAATAAAGAAGTTAAAATTGGCGTTGATCCAAAGTTATTCAGTTATCATCAAATTATTCAAATACAAAAATTGATTAATGTCAAATTAGCTGAATCTAAAGCTAATGTCATTTTAATTCCAATCAAAGATAATCTAATTGATGCCATTTGGAATGAATTTGAAGTGGTTCCGGAAAGAGAAACGAATGAGTTGTTGATGTTACATTATGAATTCCATGGTGAAGAATTCCAATCTAAACGAGATCGTTTGATGAAAAGTCTGCAAGAAAAATATGCAACTACTGATAATACTAAACACACTTTTGTAGTTGTCGCATTGGATGAGATTTGTTGGTTATTGAATCTACGTGGTTCTGATATTGAATATAATCCAGTCTTTAATGCATACTTGTTAATGAATGACGATGGTGAAACCATTTTGTTTTGTGATAACCCTACTAGTGGAGATATTAAAATATTCTTTTCCGAAAATGGTATTACTGTGAAACCTTATAATGAGATTTGGGGATTCCTTGATATTTATACAAATGGATTACAATCTCAATCAAATGGATCTGACGAAAATTATTCTATTTTCCTACCTGATACCTCCTCATGGCAAATAGTCCGTTCTGTTGAAAATATTCCATATAAGATCATCCACTCTCCTATTGATTTCTTTAAATCTGTAAAGAATGATATCGAGTTGGGTAATGCGCATAGAGCACAAGTTAAGGATGCTCTGTCTATCATACAGTACTTTTCCTGGTTAGAACAACAATTAGTTGAAAAGGAAGCCTTAATAGATGAATATAAAGCAGGTGAAAAGTTGATTGAAATTAGGAAAGCACAAAAGCATTATATGGGTAATTCATTTGAAACTATATCATCCACCGGTGCTAATGCTGCAGTTATTCATTATGCTCCACCAAAGGAAAATTCCTCTATGATTGATCCATCAAAGATCTATCTATGTGACACTGGTTCTCAATTCTTAGAAGGTACGACGGATATTACAAGGACGTTACATTTCACAAAACCTACACAGGAACAAATAGACAATTACACAGCTGTTTTGAAGGGTAATTTAGCTATAGAAAGGCTCGTGGTTCCTGAGGGCACTACTGGTTATAGTATTGATGCTATTGCTAGACAATTCTTATGGGGAAGAGGATTGGATTATAGACATGGTACTGGGCATGGTATTGGTTCGTTCTTAAACGTCCATGAGGGACCTATTGGTATTGGATTTAAACCACATTTAGCCAATTTTCCATTACAAGTAGGTAATATTATTAGTAATGAACCTGGTTATTACAAAGATGGTGAATATGGTATTAGAATTGAAAATGATATGGCTGTTAAAAGAGCAGAAGGTTTACACTTTGGTGACCGTAAATTTTTAAAGTTCGAAAATATTACGTTAGTACCATACTGTAAGAAATTAATCAACGCAAAGATGTTAACCACAGAAGAATTAGAACAAATAAATGCATACCATTCAAGAATCTGGAATACTTTAGTTCAATCTCTTCAACCTCAAAGTATTACTTTCAAATGGTTAAAGGAAGAAGTGAGACCATTGTGAGGCGGAGCACATATATAGTTCTTTAAATATATACATATATATATTTACTAAAAGTCAATTGCAAAATTTTATTCTTAATAATTGAAATGATTTAAATACTGATATTTGGAATTAAATCGAGAATAAAGTATAAATGTATTACAAAGAAAAAGAAAATAATGATACGGAAGAAATTTTGAATATCTTTTTCTGTCACTTTAAGAAAAAGTCATGGGTATCTTTTATATAGAGAGTAATAAAAGTTTGCCCTCTTTATATATAAAATATAAAGAACAAAAAGTCATCTAAAAAATGGAATGACTGACTCTACTGCATCAAAGAAATGCAAAAAATGTATATATTTTGAACGAACGTCAGGTTCATCTATTATCCGAAGTATCGAGATGCAAGACTAAAACAGCAAATAATTAAATGATTTTATATTGATGTCATTTATCGTCTAAATAATCCCCTCGGATCATAGAACTGACCAATAAGAATGATGTTAAGGAAAAATAAGTAATCACGACTAAGTTCGTTAATCATGTTACATATTATTAAACTTAAATCAGAATTATTTTCAATTGTAAGACTATCAAAGTGCATTTCACATATATGGTCGTTTTTTTCAATAATGTGTCAGTTTGAATGTATTAAAATGTCATTCATATGTGTACGCAAAATGATCTCTTCCTATAATTAATAGATGATTTCTAAATTATTTATACTATCCGTCTCTCCGGTAAAAGTTTGGGAGGATGTGATCAAAATAAGAAAAAAAAACTAAGTGATTGAGAGAAGCACATTATTTAAAACCTTTTTTTCTTTCTTATTTGTTCAAGTCTGCACTACAACTACGTATATTTTTGAAAATACTCATATGAGTATTTCGAGCTAACATTATTATTGAAAAATCAATCCGTGAACCCGCACGCCGCGGAATCCAACCCACGGAATGAGGTTACTTGAGGGTTTGGGGGCTTTTATCGAATCAGTAACTTCACTTTTGATCAAGATATTTGAATCATAATAGAGGGTTCTACGTGTAACTTTGATGATTACATCTGAACTTTTTCATAATAACTATCCATTTTTGTCGTTATTAGTAGACTACATGATCAATTCATTTCTGTCTCGTGCTATCTTACTTAGACATTTTTTAGTTAGTAGTCATTAGGGTTACGTAGGTATTTCTTAAAAACTTCATAGTAATATTATTTAGGGTTGTAAATCCTTCATGCTTAAAAAGAAAAAAAAAAGAATTCTCAAATTTGGCTCTTCCGTTTCTAACGGTAATTTCTCCTTTCTCGTTTACAGGCCGACAAAGCTTATTAGTAAGGCTTTTTTTTCCTCCCAGAACTTCTCTGCAGGGAATACTCTGTAAAGAAAAAAAGAAAGAAAAAACTGGGAAATATTTCATTGTCTAATTTATTTATCCCGCCGTTCTTCGTGAGATCCTTTCGTAAATTTATACATAATTTTTGTTTTTGTTTGTTTGTTTATTTGTTTGTGTTTTTTCATAATAACAGAAGAGAACAAGCATAAAAAAAACATTTAAGACTTAAAGCGGTAAATGATAATAACAAACAGACAGTAAAATTACAGCAGCCGTTTCTTATATTTAAAAAGACAGTCATCATCTTCTAACTAAAAGGAAAACGAAAAAAATAAAAAAATAATTAAATAAAAAATCAAAAAATTAACGATATGGAAGAAGAAAAATATATATATTCTATTTCATATGATTGACTATATATAAAGTATAGACCCTTTTTTATCATCTTCATATTTCTTTCTTTCTCTCCCTTTAGTTTAAATAGTCTTTAAGTATTTGTTTTGTGTTATCTTCTTGTTTAGAGTCTCCATTTCAATAAGGTTCTAATTTATCTTTCTATATAAACATTATAGTAAATCTACTAGACAAATTAACAACAAAATAGTATTATATTTGAGAATATTAGCTTGTTAATTTCCTCTGTCTTTGCTTTTATTTATTTCCATCTCATTTTAAAAGAGAATTAAAAAATTAATTCAAGGGATTTATTTAAAAAGAAAGAGATTGCTTTCAACCTACTCTAGCATTTTTTTTATTTTTCATATTATCATTTGGTTTTTTGCATCATCATCATCATCATCTCTTATCGATTTTTGTTTCTTTAAAAGATATACCAAGAGTAATAGAATAAATTATCAATATTCAAGTATTGTTTTAATACACAGTTGCATAAGAATAAGAAAATAAAATAAAAATGACTACATTTACAGACGCTAACAGTAGAACATCTGTTTCTGACTCTCCAAGATCCTCTATTTCTTCTCAAAAGGAAGTTGTTAATTCATCTTCTTCATTATCCGGTCCAGAAGAATTCAGAGGTGAACTTGGTTCAACATCTGCTGATTTAGAAGCTGATTTAGATCAATTATCCAAAATTAACTCAAGGTCTGAATCTGCTTTAGATGCTAATAGAACTTTGTCTCGTATCTTAACAGGTACTCAAGACATTCCAGAAAAAACTGCAGTTGATTATTCGAATACTTTACCAATGGGTGGTGATAGACCATACCCACCTGGATTACCAGATAGAGATGCATTTGAAGTGACTTTCGATGGTCCAAATGACCCTATGCATCCTTTCAATTGGACAATGAAAAAAAAAATTATTATATGTGTTGTCTTATGTCTAGATTGTATCTGTATCTCTATGACAAGTAGTATTTTTGCCTCCGGTGTTCTTCAAATTTGTGAAATTTACCATGTTATTCAAGTTGTTGCCATTTTAGGTGTCACTTTATTCGTTTTAGGGTTCGCTGCATCTCCTATCATTTATGCGCCATTATCAGAAATTTATGGTAGAAAAGGTGTCTTAGTTATTTCAGCATTTGGTTTCACTTTGTTTCAATTTGCCGTCGCTACAGCAGAAAACTTACAAACTATTATGATTTGTAGATTTTTTGGTGGGTTAATTGGTGCCGCTCCAATGGCTGTCGTTCCAGCTGCCTTTGCTGATATGTTTGACACAGATATGAGAGGTAAAGCTATTTGTTTATTCTCTTTAGGTGTCTTCGTTGGTCCTATTTTAGCTCCAGTTATGGGTTCATATATTACCCAACATACTACTTGGAGATGGTTAGAATATGTTGTTGGTTGTTTTGCTGCTGCAGTCTTCGTTGCCACTGTATTTTTCTTCGAAGAAACTCATCATCCAACAATTTTGGTCTCTAAGGCTAAACAAATGAGAAAGGATACAGGTAATTGGGGTATTCATGCTGCTCATGAAAATGTCGAATTATCTATTCGTGATATTGTTCAAAATACTATCACTAGACCTATTGTTATGCTTGCTACTGAACCAGTATTATTAGTTGTTACAATATATAACTCCTTCGTTTATGGTATCTTATATCTGATGTTGGAAGCTTACCCAATTGTCTTTGTTGAAGGTTACGGTTTCTACACCAATGGTGAATTACCTTATATTGCTTTGATTATTGGTATGTTAGTTTGTGCTATCTTTATTTGGTATATGGATAGTGACTATCTAAAAAGAGTTCGTGCAAAGGGTGGATTGGTTCCAGAAGCAAGATTATATCCAATGATTGTTGCTGGTGTTGTTTTCCCTATTGGTATTCTATGGTTCTGTTGGACCGGTAACTACCCAGATAAGATTCATTGGATTTGTCCAACTATTGCTGGTTCTTTCATTGGTTTCGGTCTAATGGGTATTTTCTTACCATGTCTAAACTATATCATTGAGTCATACTTATTAGTCGCAGCATCTGCTGTTGCTGGTAACACTTTCCTAAGATCAGGTTTTGGTGCTGCATTCCCATTGTTTGCAGGTTACATGTTCCATGGTATGGGTACTGGTTGGGCTGGTCTACTTTTAGGTCTGTTCTCCGCTGCATTGATTCCAGTTCCATTATTGTTACTAAAATACGGTCCTGGTATCAGAAAGAGATCCAAGTTTGCTTATTCTGGTTGATCTTTGTTTTTTAAAAGAAAATATTTTGCCACATTGAAGCTTTATCACTTATATTCTTCATCATCTTTAAACTCCTCCATCACGGAAAAAAGCCATTATAAAGACGCTATAATAACATACGTTGTTTTGCGCTGTTCTACTTTATTTTTCCCTAGTATAGAACATTCCAAAAATTAAAAAAAACTTCTATTTTATTTTTCTGTCTATCAAAGTTGCATTAAGTCATTGAACATAGACTCTTAATACCCATATTGACTTCGTTATGTCTCTGTGGTAGTCTGACATTCTAAAATAGTCATAAACAAAAAGGGAATAAGTGAGTTACATTAAATAATTCCTAATATTAACCTCCTACATATAAAAGTATATAAAAGATATTATAAACATTTTAAAATAATTATAGGGTTGGGACGTTTATTAGCTTTTATGGATGATCTGTCATTTAATGACAATTGATTAACATGATCGCTTCTTTCATATGTACAGTGATAAATATTGACTCCGTTGAGTGCGATTTATTTGGTCTGCTGCACTTGTATTTTAGCAATCCATCGTTTTCTTTTTTTGTTATTTCACTTCTCATCCGATTAAGTAATTTTTCCAGTATTGAATCACTCGGCAATCCCCGAAACTGAGGCCATCGATAAAGTGAAAAATTTTATGCTAGTATTTAAGGATAGCTCCCTGATGGAAATAGAAACCATTTAAGACCATCTGGAGTTGTTTTTTTTGTATGACTGTCTTTTAAAATACTTTTTATATCAAAACCTTCATCTATCATCCACTATAATTTTAGGGTTCCATTAAAAGAATATAAAAGAATATACAAAAATCAAATATGTCTGCTTCCCTAAAAACTCACTTCCTAGGTTTTAACTACGAAAACCCATTAATGAATGCCTCGGGTGTCCACTGTATGAGTACTACTGAACTAAATGAATTAGCTAACAGTAAAGCTGGTGCCTTCATCACAAAAAGTAGCACTCCTAATGACAGAGCTGGTAACCCATCCCCACGTTATTATTCAGTTCCTTTAGGTAGTATTAACTCTATGGGTCTACCTAATAAAGGTATCGACTACTATCTAGAATATGTTCTTGATCGTCAAACAAAATATCCAGATGCTGGTCCTATCTTCTTCTCTGTTGCAGGTATGAGTGTCGATGACAACTTAAACATGTTACATAAAATTCAAGATAGTGCTTTCAATGGTGTTACTGAACTAAATTTGTCCTGTCCAAACGTTCCTGGTAAACCACAAGTGGCATATGATTTCGAATTAACTATTGAAATTTTAACTAAAGTTTTTGCTTTCTTTAAGAAGCCATTAGGTGTGAAGTTACCTCCATATTTCGATTTTGCCCATTTTGAGATTATGTCCGACATTCTAAATAAGTTCCCCTTGACTTATGTTAACTCGATAAACAGTGTGGGTAATGGTCTCTACATTGATGTTGAGAAAGAAAGTGTTGTCATTAAGCCAAAGGACGGTTTTGGTGGTATTGGTGGTGAATATGTTAAGCCAACTGCCCTTGCTAACGTCCGTGCATTTTATACTCGTCTTAACCCAAGTATTAAGATCATTGGTACTGGTGGTATTAGAACTGGACAAGATGCATTCGAACATTTATTATGTGGTGCTACTATGTTACAAATTGGTACTGAATTACAAAAGGAAGGTGTACCTGTATTCGACCGTGTGGCGAAGGAATTACAAGAAATTATGGACAAAAAAGGTTACAAAACTATTGATGAATTCCGTGGTAAATTAAACAGCTTATAAGAGTATTAGTTTACACATATGTATGTATGTATACAAACGGTGGTTATGTATAATAAGTACCTAATTAATTTATGAAAATGTTTAATAACGAAGAAATTGAGAAATGGAGATAAAAGAAATATATAGATGAAAAATTAATTTTCAGGAGATATAATATAGACGCTCAAAATATTCAAAAGTTTGCAGCCATATCTTCAAGATCTTTGTATGTACATGTAGATCCACCACAAGCAATAATGATAATAATATCATTCTTGTCAAGTTTATGACCTAATGTTCTTTCTGTAATTTCAGGATAGAATCCTAAATGAATAGCCGCAGCACAAGCTGGTTCAGTGATGTAGTTGGAAAAATCAGTGTATTTCAAACTCGTCTTAACAACTTCATCATCAGTTAAGGCTATTGACTTGGTAGAATATTTCTTTGCAAATTCAAACGTCTCTGGAGTGACATATACAGAGCCCAAAGAGCTTGCAACGCTGCGGATCTTATCCAATGTAATCATTTCATCACGTTTCAAAGATTGGTACAGAGCATCTGTACCTACGGTTTCTACAGCAATTACTGGAATTTTATCTGCTAAGTTATGTCTGCATAGCCCTGTCATAATACCGTTGTAAAGACCGCCACCTCCGATACTACAAACAATACCTTTAACTCTGGAGAAATCAATTTTATCTTCTTTCAGAGACTCTACAATTTCATCAACCATGGTAGAGTGTCCTTCCCAGATAACAGGATCGTTGAATGGATGAACATAAATTGCTTCAGTCTTACTTTTGTCAATTTTACCAATAATCTCATTAGTTAGGTGTGAGTCTGCCTCTTTCCAATGTTCCCCAATAACAACTACCTCTGCCCCCACATCTCTGATTTTTTTAATCATATGAATCTTAGTAGTTAGAGGAACGACAACCGTACAAGGTAAAGATAGTCTACTACATGTTACAGCTGCAGCATAACCAGCATTACCTCCCGAACTAGAAAACACATGGACAGACTTATTACCCGATTTTCTGGTTTCATTTACCCTAGAGCGTATTAATGTTCCAATACCTCTACTCTTAAAACTTCTTCCAGGCTGTAATGTTTCATATTTAATATATGTCTGTGGAGATTCTGGGTCAGTCGACAAGAATTCACGGATCAAGGGTGTCTTATTGTACACCGGTACGTTTTCTAGTGCATTGGTCATTAGGTGCAATTAATTTTGATAACGAGAACGCCTTGGTAGACCTAACAGAGCGTAAAGTGAAAATTGTTAAACAGAAGAGAACTTTTAAACTACATTATAATATTTTAATTTCGACCAACATCTGTTATATACATGACACACGGCATAACTTACAGATTGATTATGTAAAGAAAATTTATCAAAACTACACCGAGAACGGCCTGGATATCGCTCCCAAAATGAAAATCATAACTCATCTGGAAGATAAGGTGTCTTAACTACCCGTGGATTATCTTTAATAGAAATATGGTATGTCGTTCCTTTCATTGCTATCTTCTTGGTATAAATGAGGCATAGTTCAAGCAACTCAGATAACTTCTTAACATATCTCGACTAGTTGAATTAAGTGTGTGAGATTATACCATTTCCTTTTTGAATTTTTCAATGTTGCTAGAAGAAGTTTATCTATCATTTTTTTGATTCTGTTGGCCTAAGGGGGTCCTGTAATATTTGTTTTTATCATTACGATTGTTCATTACATCAGATGAATTATGATTGTAAGTATATATATATATAATGTTCTTTAGTAATTGTTCCTATTGCACTCATTATATATGTTCGCTAAGCTAAGTGGCTGAAAGGAAATATCATTTTGCATTCCCAAAGTACTCTATTAAATGTTATTACTGGCATATATCTATGCTAGCTATACTATTTAAATATATATACATATGTATCAATATGCGGAAGCCAGTTGATTATGGAATAGACTATAGTATCAATTGACTCTTGACGACTTTGAATAAGTAGGTATTTGAATGATAACTTCTCTCCAAATGATTCTACACTTCGTAATAAGTTAATTTATCAAAGCTATTATTTATTTTCTTACTTTTCGTATATATTATTTTGTATCCTCATGATATTTTTGTTTCTCTAAGTCTACAAAAATATGCTCCTCCTCTGTGGTCTGATCATCAACAGTTGTAAACTCATCGTTACTCTCGTTTTCGACGGATTCCTGGGTATGACCCTTTCTGAACCATCTAAACCGGAATAACCAAATAAACTGAGAAACAAATATGCCTAATTCTAAGAAACCAACTATGGCATATAAAATTAAACTAAGAACATTTCTATCTCCTACAGCAACACTAGCAATAGAGAAATAAGCGCCCATACTATCCAATGTGAGAAATATAAAATTGATTCCTACTACCCTTCCTTTCCTTTTTGCTAGTTCAAAATAAGGTGGTAAGAGACCTATCGCCAACAAAATGGATGCTAATATACCAAATATTAATGCGGGCCAATGAGTACCATTTTTGTAAACAGGCTTCAACCAAAGAATAAACCCCAATTCTGTTGCTAAATCAACCACCAAAAGTGAGCCAGCAATTGCAAGGATTTTCCATTTTGGTAATTTGACCGGTGGATAGTATATTGTTTGAAAGAAACTTATGCTGCAAAAAAACATAAATAAATGAGGTTGAATTTGGAAAATAATTTCTGTATTCATTATACAAAAATAGATACCAAACGGTATACCCGACACAACCCATAAGAACATCATTAAGGGCGGAAGCCCTGTGCAATCTTTTTTTCTATAATTTGAAATAATTTGTGGGATCAATTGAACACACCACAGTATCGTACCGACTGTTGCCAACCCTGTTACAATTCCACTATTTGAATTCATTTAATAATATTTATGTGTTTGGTGGAACTTATTAAATCAATTATATGTATATGCTTCTACTGCTGTTTTATTTTCATTCATATGTACAGGTAGTCTAACATAAAATCTGAGTTTATTAATTAGTAATAAACTGAAACTGAAATAAAACTGAGTGATAGATAGTTGTAAAAATGTGAATCTTCATGTCTTCATCTACTAATTATATATTAATTGAAATAGTTACTTTCATTGAAGAGACACAATGTTTTCATACTAGACAATTGGTTCATAGCTACACTCGAGAATTTAACAATATGAAAAGATCCTTTTCACCCAGTTTCCTTGTCCTACCATAACATACGATGTTTGTTTCTGTATTGTTATGGAGTACGCCATCGCTATCTTGGAATATCTTCTTTTTTTCTAATTAGTTATGAGGATAGATGATGGTTTTCAGTTTCATCAAATGTCAAGTTGTACTCCCTGCTGCGTTTTTTTTCTTTGAGTGTTCTTTCTTATCAAAACTGACTCAGTGACTATGCGATGATCTATCAAAAATTTTGATAGTTTCAGAAAATAAATTTCGCGATAGAAGCGTTTAAAAATTCCAAATTTGGAAGTTGGTCCCGAGAGACAGGGGTAGCTTATCAATTCCGGTTACAACTGCCCTAATAGGAATATTTTGCCGAGATCGCTATTCATTCAAGAAAAGATACAGAGATATGGAATATAGTGAAAAAAATCATTTTCTCAATTGTTGATAAATAAAATAAATGAATACTTATGTATACATGTTAAAGGTTATCGAATATATTAGATCCATCTATTGTCCCTGAAATTTAAGTGTGAAACATTACTGCATTTCGTTGGGTGTTTCTTCTCCTTCTGTTTTCCTTTTGTCTTTCTATCACATGTAATACCAAGGCTTGGCACGCAAATATTTGTGTTAGTTTTGGTACGTTGGATATACCCAAATTTGCTACAGAGCCTTGTTCACCTATAAAAAAATCAGCATCCTTTTCGATTATATGTGGAAGAATATCATCATCTTCTGATGTATAATGACCTATAACAGTAACGTATGGATCTATCTTTGTTAAATTTTCCTTCTTTTTTTGGGCTCTAACAGAAGGAGAATCCATCAAGGAAATCTCCCTAGGATTTAAAAGTGCCAACTTGTAATGATCGTTCTCTAAGGGACTGTAACGTACATGCCATCTAAATGATACATTCATTACGCTTGTATCCATATCCCTGAATTCTCTTTTATGTACCATATATGAGGAATTTTCCTTATCATCATTGAACACAAATTGTAGAGCTATTTGACTTAATTTAGAAGCCTTGTAGATTTTACAATAGACATATTTGTAGACTTTAAAATTGGTGTTTTGTGCAATAATTTCAAAATCACCGTAAGGTGGTACATCATCTATTTTTTTAATTTCATATTTGAATATCTTGTAAGTTAATTCTGTATCTATCATAGTCATACCATGAGTTAGTAATTGACGTTCAATCAGAAATAAGGGAATCCCCATACCATTCTCATCTATATTATCAATATCTCTACTTCTGTTTGTCTTAAATTTATCAAATGATTGTACTGATGGAAATATTAGGTAACCTCGACGAGCTGGAATATCTACGATGGGCATATGTCTTTCGGTATTAAAATGTAAAAACTCCGGTATACTTTTATCGTTTCTCTTTTCAATTCTCAATCTTCTATCGTCATCTAACATTTTAAATGCCAATTTTCTAATTAATCCCATAATCGATATGCTTTTACGAGTGTTCAGAATACTAGTTCTTTAAATTACTTATACCTAAATGTCTGATATAAAAATTAATGTTGGTTACTTTGGCCAATATAATTAAAGTTTAAAAAGTGAAAATTAATTATTCAGTATCCTCAATAATTAATCAATGCTACAAATCTTTTCTTTAAGATGTTTTATTTAAATGAAACTTTTAAATAATTCATTTTTAGCAACTGACGGTTAATCTCATGCATGACTCGATCAAAATTTTTTTTTCCAAGAGGGGCGAAGCCCATCGATCGAAGAGATAGGCGCAGCGCATAATATTGCTTCTTCATAAATACGCAGGTTCTTAGCTAAATGTAGGTGCTCATCTCTCTGAAACTTGGAATAAAACTCAATAAATTAACAAATCCTTTAATTATAAGCCTCAGAAAATGTATGAATAATAGATAGATGTTATAATTCGTTCCGAAGTTTCAACAGGTGAAAATATATCAAAACGTGTTCTTAGATATTAAGTGGCAGAGAATGTAGAACCTACCGTTGTCAGGATTAATATTAGTGTACTGCTAATATTAGAAACCTGGTGGTATCCAACATTTTAAAAATATTCTTTAGTTCATTTGTAAAAGACCTCCTTCTGTTGAACATATCTTTGTGTGTGTTTTTGAAGATGAAATTAAGATTGGAGCCTTAGTACTATCATCGGTAGCTTTTTTTATCCTTATATATTTCCCTAGGCAGATGAGGGGAAGATAAAATATATTCTGTCTGAGACAATAAATGTAATCACCCAATGTGTCCTTTTAAAAGACAGTAAAGATAACATGGTAAAATTTAAAATGTTTATATATATATATATTACAAGAAGATAAAATATAAAGAAAATAGTCATAATATTCTATGCGTCAGCAGAAGAGATTTCAAAAATAAGGAGATATTTTACCTTCGACAAAATCCCATAGTTTGCTATAGACACCATTGGTTAGACCCAGTTTTATGTCTTCTCTTGGGTCATGGATTTCACCAAATGGAACTATGTACGCACCGGAATCCTTTGGTTTTAAGGTTGGAGATAATGCACCGTATAACTCTGAATATGCACCGTAGACACCATCCCAGAATAGATACTTTATAATAGTCATTGAAAACCCCCAACCTCTTTGTAAGTCAGTCTTCAAATTACCAGGGTAACAAGAGACAGATACACATCCAATTTCATCACAGATGTTTTTGTTCTCTTCATACCATGCTTTAGCTTGATAGATATTAGCAGCCTTAGACTGACCATATAAAATACCTTGGTTTGGTCTATCCTTTGTTGGACAATTTTCAAACAAAGGATCTTCCCAATTAATACCATAAGTATTAAAGGCTAATAGATGAGAAGCAGAAGTAACCCAAACAATTCTTTTCAATGAAGTGTCATCATGCTTCAGGAACAATGGGTCAATGAAATGTTGTAGCAATTGTGGACCTAAGACGTTAGTTTGGAACATAGCCTCATAACCTTGGAAAGATGTACCTTCATTATCTGGAGCCATTAGACCAGCATTATGGATGATGATATTTAGTGGTTTATCATTTAAAACTTCTTTGATCTTAGCACCAACAGCTGGAATTTTTGATAAGTCCAAGTAATCGCAACCACTGACAATGGTTATAGTACCTTTAGATTCAGGGTTGTTGTTAACAATATCATCACGGGCTTGGTCACCTTTAGCCTGGTTTCTCACAACACCAATTACGTTACAATTCTTCTGATACAGTAATTCAAGCGAATGTTTACCGATACCGGTGTTGCAACCAGTGACAATGGCAGTCTTGCCGGTCAAATCTGGATAATCAGCTGGGGTAAAACTTGGCTTGTTTGGTCTGAAACCATAGTAAAGTTCACGTACTAATGTAATCTTACTGTATCCTGGAGCTGGAGCAATTAATGTATTCATTGTTTGGTTTGGTTTGGTTTGATTTTCTGAAAAAAAAATTATGTTAAATTGAGTATAAATATACGAATGTTATTATGGGTATAATACTCTTTATATAGATATAGGTATGTTTTTAATAATATATTATATTCAATAATAAAGGGGAGTATCAGAAGAAAAGAATAACTGAAAAACATAATTATTTCAAAATATCTTGTTTCCTTTTATAAATAAATTAGTTAACGAATGGCTAAGCATCCCTTGAAAAATTTATCAAATTGAAATTTAATTACCTAAACACCTCCAGCAACCCTTTCCAAGGGTCGCGGATCTGCTTTCCACCCAGTCTTTGTCTTTCTCCGAAATAAATGAAAAATATATATTATGTTACTGGCAATCGGAGAAATGTGAAATTGACTATGTGTTAGTTAATGCATAGTTAAGTAACCAAAAAAAACCGACCAGAATTGAAGTTAAAGCGCTTTGAGCTTGGTTATATTTTACGGCCGAATAATTAGGTTATATTTTGTTATTATACTAATTTTTCTGGCTTGTGTCGGCCGAAAATATATATATGTACCATTTAAATATTATACTAATTAAAGAATTTCACTGATATTTTTCTTATTAAATGGTTGTTTCGGCCGAGATTGATGTACCTATTATTATTTTGGTAGGTAATCCGAGGGTATCACTGTGTCAATTTTCAGTCTTTCAATATCCGACCTGAATGTGTGGGGTAAAGGAACCGCCATATCCAATTGTTTTCTCTATGACGTTTATTTCTATTATTATTATTATTGGCGCTCATCTCTTTCGGGGCGCAACCAGCTCTTATATGTTCTATACTATGATATTTCCATCATAGAACGTATTAACTTTCAAAAAGGAATGAAAAGAAACTTTCAAAATACACCTAATAAATCTTTCCATACTCGCTACTAGCTTTATTTTGTTTTATTTTCATTTAGTTTTAACAAGTTGATATTTACCGGTGTTAAATTAATAAAAAGCATTTATATCTTTATCCGAAGCCTTCCCAAATTATATTTAGTGGTAAGAAAGTAAAAAAAAGTCTCAAAGAATTGAATTTTAAGATATTATTATATAATTATGTATGAGCAAATATTTAATTAACTAGGAAAACTTATAATGTACGTTGTGTTAGTTGTGATTTGATTAGAGTGATTAGTTGGAAACCAAATACCCCATTAGTTTTCTACATTGATCTGGGGTAGTAGTATTTGTACCAAATATATCAGTTAAAAATACTACAGAATGAATGTATGCTCATCTGAACTTAAACGATTCGATAAAAGATTCAAAAAAGTTTTATAGTTTGATGTTATGAAGTATTTCGGTTTAAATTTATTTCCGAGGTAAATAGTTTGATAATTGGTGTACATTATAAGTTTCTTAGTTCCCAAAACTTTCTTTTAGGAATAAAGTATACACCCTCTCTATTGATTGAAGATTTGCAAAAACATTTGTGTGTCACTTCGGACATTAAAGATTATCACTTTTAACTTTTTGTTTACGGAAAGCGATATTCAGTTACGGTTCGACATATATAGTAAAAGTAAAAAAAAATTATTGCTTTAGTAAAAAGAAAAACATAATTTGAGAAATTATGAAAATTTTGAAAATTTAATTGTTGTCTCAGCTATCCATATGTATTGGTGCAATTATATTTTAAGTTTCCTCTGGAATTCTTTTCTTGCTGACTTCCTAGTCGAGGAAGGGAAAACCAAAGGAAACTGTCAAAATTAAATAAATAGTTGAATGACATCCTTTTTCTTGTAATTTGAAGTATAGGGAGATTTAATATTTTATAAACTATCTAACCTCAGATAATTCAAAGGTTGGAGAACTTAAATGAGAAACACACTTTAAAAATTTTCTTGTTGAGTATATTTTCAAAAGACTTGTTAAAATTTCAAGTAAAATTCTTCTCACCTTAAGTAGACACACTTCAATCTTGAACACATCTTATTTAAGAGTTATTAATATAATGTAAGTACTTCGCTAATTATTTTTCAAAATTATTTTCAACCAGATGGTGTAATTATTCTACTTAACCAAGATATACAAATTGAGCTGAAGCAGACATACTGTGGTTAGACTTATATTCGTTCATATTATATAGTGACAGGTAGAGAGATATATGTATTAGCATGACAACGTGTGTTAAGAAAGCAAAGTGTATATGTTATACTTTTCTTTTATTTGTAAGTGATTTTTTATATTGTATATAATTTTTAGAACGAATAGAATCTAACTCAGAATGTAAGTTCAGAATTCTTTGTCTTTATATATCATTTATTTTATCGAAGTTTCGTTTCTTCTTATTACCTAAACGATTGTTAAGTAGTAAACTGATTATCTAAACGATTGTCAAGTAATTGATTTGTTACCTAAACGATTGCTGGTTAAACGATTGATAAGTAATGAACTTATTTTCTAAACGATTATGGCCTAAACAACTATTACCTAATAAAATGTTTAGTTCTTATTAGGACAGCTTAGATATCTTGATTCCACATAATTTCTGTCAATAATAACTGTGCTTAAAGGTAGTTCTTTACCTATTGAAATTAAGTGTTGTGCATATTACTCTTAATTTCTAACACCATTGTCAGATCATTGAGGGATTAACCTTGATCATTATCCCTCTTATAATATATTTCCGACAGTAACTCTGTTTAAGAAAAAACATATAGAAAATTATTGCCCGGATTATACTAATTTCATTTATATATTATTTTCAACCACCATAATATACAATCATTGGAGGGTTGGCCGAGTGGTCTAAGGCGGCAGACTTAAGATCTGTTGGACGGTGTCCGCGCGAGTTCGAACCTCGCATCCTTCATTATTTTTAGATATTTTTGGGTATATCACGTGATCACACAAACATGTTTTAGATTAAATTATCGTCATAACGAAATTGAGTAATAACTGGGAATGTCAACGGAAGTCACTATGCTCCTCTATTATCTACTAACTCCTTCAACTTTGAATGGGTTTCAACAATGACAGAATTCTTAATTCTCTATTTATAATAAGGAAGATATTATAAACTGAAGTTACGATATTATTATTTTGAATTATCTTCATAGTTAAGTATACAAATTCGTAAAAAGCTTTACTAAATTATTAAGCATTTTGTATCATTTTGATTTGAAAGATAGGTAAGACATTGATGTATAATAGAAATGGTAGAAGGTACTTCAACTCTCAAAAGAGAAAACAAATTATATTTTAAGTTGTAAATACACTTGGGATAAATTTGATCATTTAAATCTATATACATAAACAACTCTATGAATTTTTTGAATTCAAAAAATTGGAAACTTCTAAAAGTATTTCCCTTTTATGGTTATATCTCAAGTAACCGTTAGTTTCCTATTTTTTTCCTCTTTCAGTTCATATTAGAATTCCTCTTAATTCATCTATTATTATAATCATTTGCCAATATTAGAGAGGTTGTTTATAACTCCATGATTTCAAATAAATATACTTTTTTAATTTTTGACAAATGAATGAAATTAAATATTTTCATTCAAAATTGTTCAAGTCAATTCTTAAGAAGGTAATCTAGATTATAATAGAACTTATTTATTTCCTATAAGGTTAAAAATTATTAATTATATATGTATTATATTAGGTGTATTCAAAAAAAACTTAAGTGAAATGCTTCTAGCAAACTCATCGATACTGAAATACTCACTTATTAAAAAACGAATAAAGAGGTGTAAACATTCAGACTTATAACATTATTTTATACCATGGCTTATCATCTTGAGTCAATGCTGCAGCATTATAGGTGGCATCTCTTCTGGATGGTGGAACCCATTGTTGAGACTTCCAAGGTAGTACACCCTCAATCCACATGGTGTTAACTTCCTCAAGGGATAGACCTTTAGTTTCTGGTACAAAAAAGAAAACGTAAAACCATGCAAAAACCAGACAACCCATAAAGACATAACCATAATAAAAATTAATGGCATTTGTGATGAATGGGGTAAAAAAACCTAGTAAGAAGTTCCACATCCAGTTGGCAGCAACAGAAATAGACATACACTTAGCTTTAACTCTTAGAGGGAAGGATTCCGCTATAATGACATAGGCAATTGGAGCCCAGGTAGTTGAGAAACAGAAAATAAAGAAACATGTGAAACAAATCATACAGTTACCAGCACCCTTTGAGGAGATATCTTTATGCTTTGCACCTTCTGGCCATAGCTTAGTGACACCAACCGAAGCAAAAACAACAAAACAACAAATCATACCAACAGCACCCCATAGTAGACATCTACGTCTACCGAATCTTTCAACAAAATAAATACCGACAAAGGTAGAAGCAAAGTTAACAATACCAATAATAATAGAGGTTTGGAAAGAATCTTCTAGACCAATAGACTTGAAAATAGTTGTACCATAGTAGAAGAAATAGTTAGCACCAGTTAATTGTTGTAAAGATTGTAACATGATACCCATGATAAGACGTTGTAAAATTTTCCCATCAGTTGAGAAAAGTTCACCCCAAGAGGCTTCACCAGCGGCCTTTTCACTTTCAATACCTGCTGCTAATAAATCAACTTCGGCTTGAACTGCAGGGTCTTCAACAGTGACTCTGTTTGATTTGGCAACAGATCTCATTGCCTCTTCAATACGTCCCTTTTCAATTAAGTAACGTGGAGATTCTGGAACCATAAACATAGCTGCAACCATAAACAGAGCCCAAGCAAACCCTAAACCAAGAGGAACTCTCCATTGAACAGAATTGCTATAAGTTTTAGTACCGTAGTTAGTACAGTAACCTAAGAAAATACCTAGTGTAATCATCAATTGGAAACATGATATCAAAGTACCTCTAATATGTTTTGGTGAAACTTCAGAAATAAGTAAAGGACTGTAGATAGCGATACCACCAACACCCATACCTGAAATAATTCTACCAATAAAATATTGATACCATTTATCGATAGAGGCAATCGAAATTATTAAACCAACAATGTAAACAACTGTAACAATAACCAAAGCGATTCTTCTACCATAAGTATCACCAAGCTTAGAGAAGGCAATACCACCGATAGCACAACCAATACAAAAGATAGAAACCATCAAACCTGTTCTCACTTTAGACAAGTATGGCTCATCATTGGAATTTAATTGACCGAATCTTCTCTTAAAATCAGTTTGAGCGACAAAACCTGAGATTGTACCAGTATCCCAACCGAAGATAAAGCCACCAAATGCAACCATTAAACAAATAATTGCAACTGAAGTGTAAGCAGAGGCTGGTTTTTTTGGTAATTCTAAAGTTTCATTGGTCTTAGAATTTTCCAAGTTGGAGTTTGAGTCCTCTTTAATAGACGGAGCATTGATAACAGATACGGAATCCGGTTCAGATTCCCTTGTTTCTAAGTTTGTACTCATTATTGTTTATTGAAGTGTCAGTAAACTAATGATTGTCGATAGTTTTTTATTCTTGTTTATTTAAAATTGTTATATAGTAATGTTGAAAATAAATTAAACCAAATCAAAATCAAAACATTAAAAACGTAATTTATAATCTGTTTATATACAAAATGTTGTTTGTTATTAAATGTATCTGAGGTTCCAAACCCTAACGCCAGTTAGATTGTCAAGAAGTAATGAATCAACAACAACAAAAAGTAGTCTGATTCTATTAAACTTAAAGAATGTCACTGAATTGCGGGGTAGTTGACAAACATGTATATAATGACGTAGTATCTCCCTTTAAGTAATATCGAATTTTACTCTATTAGGATACTCCCGAGTACCTACTAAATAAGAATACGGCATGCGTAAGGAGAAAAGAGTAAAATTTGAACTTCGAAAGAATTAAAATACCACGTAATTAAAAGAGGCTAAAACAAAGAGCAATAATAAAAATGACAACCTAAGAAGTATAGGTGCAGGAGTTAAAACCCCAAACTTTCGACAGTTGAATTTTTCATTCTCTCTTTAAAAATCAGGAAACTTATTTCTAGCTCCTACCCCTCCATTCGAGATGTCCATTACCTTTCATCTACACATGCATATTATGTGCTTCCGGTTAGTCTCTTAATGTTATTACTCTTATAAAATTACCTATTTGACATGATGTGGCGCCATTTTTTTTTCTATCTTTTCTCCTGTAACCAGTTCAATATTAAATGTTGAAGCGCGGGGTGCATAAATTTCCATAATGAATGAAATTTATGTTTGATTCCACACAGAATAATAGTAAATATTATATATGAAATGAAAAAAAAAATTTATTGAAATAACTACAAACATTTTCATATATAGTTTTTAATATTCATTGCATAATGATTATTCAAAGTAACTAGCTTTTTTGTTTTTGCTTTTTTATCTATTTTATTTTGTAAAAAAGCTCGATTTCGAAGATAGTAGTTACCACATTATCTACTATTGGAAATTAGATATGTGAAAGTTCGTGATCATCAATGGCAACTCATCACACGCTACTAATTATATTTTTTGGTAATAGGGATTCTTCTCGATATTTTTTAAATTCTTTAAAAAAAATACTAATAATTTCATTATATTCGAAAAGAATTTAATCATACTGTAAAGAGAAGTTAAAAACACCTTTACAGCACTCCTTTCTTTAATTATGTATATACTTATTTATAATTATTATAGGTATGTAGATACATTTTCCCCATCGTACATTGTGAATGGCATGTCTTTACCTACTACAGCGATTGATAGATTATCAACAGTCAAAGTTTCATCCTTTAAAGATTGTCTTAAGGCTTCGATACCGACTTTAATTAATTCATCAGCTGTCTCTACTTCAATAAATTCATCGAGTACTCTCTCTAAATAAGTTTTTGAACCTTGTGACCTAGCACCAATGGCAGCACCATACAATTCTAATGTATTACCAGATGGTTGGAATTCTAATAAGTGTGCTCCACTATTATCATAACCTACAATCAATAACCCAACACCATATGGTCTACCACCGTACGATTGTGTATTTCTTTGAGCTTTATCGGACAATAGATGTCCAGCTTTTTCAACAGAAAGCTTTCTATTATAAACCAACTGAGAATAATTACATTGTTGTCTCAAATAGTTACTCAGCACACGAGCATCTGGTGCCAGACCCGCAAGGGAAAGACCCATATGAGAATCACACTTGATAATCTTCTTTTGGTATGAGGATAATTCATCTGCATTTCTTTTCAAAGCAACTAAAACAGCATGGTTTTTAGACCTTAGACCAACTGTCACACTACCTTGTTTAATTGCCTCTAATGCGTATTCTACCTGGAACAATCTTCCAGTTGGAGAAAATGTAACTGTATCACCGTCATAATTGTTTCTAAACATGATTCCCTATTGTAAATATGTATATAGATATATATATGTGTGTGTGTGTGTTAACAAAGCAGTTCTCGAAAATATATTGTCTGCTGTTGTTCTTCCCTTGTTATAACGTTTCTTGGAATAACCTAACTTTCTTGAAAATAGTCTTTGTGTTAAAGAGATAGTTCAATTACAAGATTATTTATTTAAACTTATCCTTACCTTCTCTGTTCTGTTTTGATATAGTTATTTTCCTCCTAATATGAAAAGAGAGTGAAAACGAATCCAATTTCTTCTTAGTTACTATCCATTACTGTTTCTCTCTATATTTTTTGCCACCCTTATATTGAGACGGAGAGTAAATTTGGCCGTGGGAAAAGCTTGAGAAAGTTTTTTTCCAGATCATGCGGGTAACCTCCACTTGAGATGCGCAAGGCCAAACTCGAAATAGAGTTTTGTATGGGCGGCTATTTGAGAAACGTATTTAAAGGAGGGACGAGGAGGTTAGTGGTTTCAATTTGGGAATTTCCATTCAGAAGCTGGTTATTGTTGTTGAAGTATCCAACCAGTGAACAATGTATGTGTCATGCCATATATTGGAAATGGTTAGTTGAGCTCATCATCCAGTTTATATCATTGCAAGCGTTGACATTACGATTATTTCAATATTTAGAATGATGAACATATACTTGATACTAACTGTAGAGGCTAGTTGAAACGATATTACATGTCCTTTTTCTGTTCTGAATGTCTATAAAATTTGAATATCACACCGTACTTCACGAATATTCATTTTATTTAATATGCGAGAAAATGACCTTAAAAAATTGAAAACTAAATAGAGAGGAAAGGGAACAAAACAAGGAAACAGACTAATTATTCCAGAAAGGAAAAACTGAATCTTACATAACATTAGAATAATAAGAAGAAAACAAACGTAGTTTTAGAATATAATAAAAGCGTGTTACTTATAATTCTAACCAACAAAACAATCTATGCATCCTATACGCATATTTATATCTATATCTATATACATATAGGTTAAGATGTACATTCTGAAGAATACATTTCTTAATATTACATATGCAACGTTGGACCATGTACCACCATTCTTTTGGAATTTATTACATGTAATCGCTGATATTATTTATTTTTGGTACTTTAAATTATTAAATTATTTGAGACCAAAATCTCGTACAGTTTATTATGAAGCTATCCAAAAATTAGATGTATGTGAATCTTATGAACAATGGCAAGAAACTGCAGGAAAAGTTGACGATATTACAGGTGCAAACTTATGGAGAAGAAATTTCTTTTCACGACGTTACGATTTTAATTCAGTATTAGAACAATATTCGATTTTAGTGAAAGCGGTAGAAAGTAATGATTACGATACAGTTAAAGAAAAATGTTCAACCACAGGTCCATGTATGTTAAGAAATTTTGCTGGAATAGCAGATAAAAGATTATTTACAAAATCACTTCTTGGAACAAAACTTTTAATTGAACAATACCTTGAAAGGACAGTTCAAGGGTTAACTATGTTAAATACTCAAACTCTAACTCCAACATCATTTTATCAAAGATGTAAATTCTCTTTGGGAACTACTGCTTTGGTTCTACAAGGTGGCTCATTATTTGGATTGTTTCATTTAGGTGTAATTAAAGGTTTATTGTCTCAAGGATTACTACCAAACATTATTAGTGCTAGTTCCATGGGTGCATGTGTCGCTGCTGTATTTGGATGTCTATCCAATGAAGAGATGTCAGAGTTGCTGGACGACGATGGGATCCTTAATATAATTAAAGATGACCCTGAATTATTAAAACTATGTGGCTATGGTAATGTAGAGCAACATTTAAACCTGGGTACTTTGATACAAAACTTAATCCATCATGGTTACTCACAAGATGTATATTTATTCATGCAATTTGTTCTTAAATATGTCGTTAAGGATATAACTTTCGAAGAAGCATATCAGAAGACTCATAAGATATTCAATGTTGTAATCCACCCAACTGATACTTCATGTCCAAATTTATTGAATTATGTGACTACACCAAACGTTTTAATACGATCTGCTGTAATGTGTAGTCTTGGTTCCGATATTGTTTCCAATGATACCACGTTATTATGCAAAAATTTGAATAATGATATTGTACCATTTTTAACAATAGAAAAATTTAAACATATTAAATTTTTAGCACCAGAAAACTCGATAAATCCAACTCCAAATGATAATGATAATCCATATACAAGGCTGACTGAATTATTTAATGTGAATAATTTTGTTGTATCATTAGCAAGACCTTATTTAGCACCATTTGTAGTGAATGACCTCAAACATGAAATTAAAACCTCAAAATACTATTATTATAAAAATTATCCAGAAACAAAAAATAATATTTTAGAGACTTTACCTGATATAGGGATCTCTCAGATAAATTTTATAGAGATGGAACCTCTTGCATTTAAATTCAAATATCATCTAGAAAGAAAATTGAAAAATATATTAACAATGGAATTTTATCATAGAATGCAAGTCTTGGATAACTTGGGACTATTAAGCTCATGGGTGAAAAGGTTAATCATTGATGAAAGGACACCACGTAGTGCCGTTGAGATAGCTATTGTTCCTAATATCAAATCGTTATCCCTAACGAGGATCGTTGAAGGCCAATTAGATAATATCAAATTCTGGATCAACAGCGGCGAGAGAAGTACATGGCCTATCCTATCATTGATTAAAACAAGGTGTTCTGTAGAGTTTAAATTAGACGAATTAATAAAGGATAGGAAATCCAAGCTATAATATACTCTTGTGCATTATTTTAAGTATTCACCCTAAATTACATAACCAAATATATATTTCTTTCAAAACAACGATAATAATATTAAAAAGTAGATAAAGTACATAAATACAACTACAAACAATTTGTTTATCTATAAAATAATCTGGTGGAATCCCTCTGCGTTAAATATAGATACTCGTTCTCTACCACATGCACAGAAAGTGGTGAATTTGTGGACTGACCACCTCTAGAGATCATCAATGAACCAGTAACATCCTTAGAACGACCAGTATCCAATGATCTCAAATTCATTACAACAATACTATTGTAGATAAGACTGGTTACAAATTTTGTAAATTCTTGGACATCATTATTATTAGAATCCAAAGGTTCATTCTCATTATCTTGGAAAAGATCAATACTTGAGGCAACAATCAATAGTTTACATTTCTTCATCAGTGGTAATATAAACTTCTTGTTTAATTCATCTGCCGTGAGACCACGAATTAATGATAAAAGTAATTCTGGTTGTTCTAATACAATAGTGGATTGAACATCTGTGGGGAATCTTTCCAATAATTCATCTAAAACTTTATCTCTTGGTTTATCATTATTCTTCAATACAAAATCTGTTAAAACATCCAATATTTGATACCCATTAGCATTAACCTTCAATTTCCTTAATGCATTATGATAAAATATTTCCTCATGCACCAAAGACGCGATAGTTGTCAAAGAGTTAGAATTAGCCTTTAATGACACAGATGGTCCATTTAATGAGAAAGGTCCTCCAGAGATACAGGTCTCTACCAAGGCATTAATCAACCAAAGAGGTTGTGTAGCCATGGTAGAAGTAATCAAAAACAAATGATGCTTTGGCTCTACGGTCACTGCCCGCAGCTCTGAAGGCATGACAGATTGATCGCTGAACAGTATAAAGTCTTGTCTTTGAGGAGTAGTCATTTTTAAGTATTGATTTACTTCCGAGCTTGTTCTTGTATAATTGGATAGGTGTGAACAATATATTTGTTCATATCCTGTCTCTCTTTATATATTTATGTATGTACATAAGCAAATTTTCAGCTCATCGCTTATGCAATTCAAAAAGGGTGTCCCATTTTATATAAAGGCTTATCTTAACAATAGCGAAGAACACCAAGCTTGTCTTATTGAAGAATACTATAATATAAACCAGCTCAGATAGCCCATCCAAATTATTGCAATACTCATATTGACTTGATTACTTGTCCATTCTTCACAATATTTGAACTGAATAGTTCCCTCCTCTAGCTTGAGTCTTTCATAAACAATAATTATTCTTCGTACGGACAATTCTCTGTCAATTTCATTTTTCTATTCCTCTCTCTCTCATTTCAACTTCATCGGAAATTATATTTCGCTGCATGAAAATTTTTTTTTCATTTCTTGCAAGTTCGATGAACTGAATTGTCAATACTTCTTTTATTTCTGAATATATATATATTTAGATATATATAATAAGTTCTTTTGTAGTTTGAGTTTGCAATATACTTCCTAGTTTGTTTTCTATATTGTGATAATACGCTGTACATCAGGAAAACTATACGATAATGCTATCCCTACCTGCTCTAACATCTGACATCACTGTCTCTGTCGCTGCTGGCGCTAAATTGACTCCATCTGTTCGTCGTCCAATCGAACCAGTCGGCAAGGACTTTATGCACCATGCTACTAGAACTCTAAGAAACCACACCTGGTCTGAGTTTGAGAAGATTCAAGCTGAACAAAATGTTAAGACTGTTGATGAATCCAACGTTGACCCAGATGAACTATTGTTTGATACTGAATTGGCTGACGAGACTTTACTTGGTCACGATGCTCGTGACTGGAAGACTGCTGATTTGTACGCTGCCATGGGTCTATCTAAGTTACGTTGCAATGCCACTGAAAACCAAATCATTAAGGCTCACAGAAAGCAAGTTGTCAAGTACCATCCAGATAAACAATCTGCTTCCGGTGCTGGTCTAGACCAAGATGGTTTCTTCAAGATCATTCAAAAGGCTTTTGAAACTTTGACTGACAAAAACAAGAGAAAGCAATACGACTCTTGTGATTTCGTTGCTGATGTCGAACAACCAAAGAAGGGCTCTGAATACGATTTCTTCGAAGCCTGGGCTCCTGTCTTTGCCTCCGAAGCTCGTTTCTCTAAGAAGTCTCCAGTTCCAGAATTAGGTACCCTTGAAACTACTCAAAAGGAAGTTGAACAATTCTACTCCTTCTGGCACAGATTTGACTCCTGGAGAACCTTTGAGTTCCTAGATGAAGATGTTCCAGATGATTCCTCTAACAGAGACCACAAGCGTTACATTGAAAGAAAGAACAAGGCCGCTAGAGATAAAAAGAAGACTGCTGACAACGCTAGATTAGTCAAGTTGGTTGAAAGAGCCATGAATGAAGATCCACGTATCAAGATGTTCAAGGATAATGAAAAGAAGGAAAAAGAAAGAAAGAAATGGGAAGCTGGTGCTAGTGCCAGAGCTGAAGCTGAAGCTAAGGTTAAGGCTGAAACTGAAGCCAAGGCTAAGGCCGAAGAAGAAGCCAAGGCTGCTGCCAATGCCAAGGCTGACAAGAAGAAGGGTAAGGAAGCTGCCAAGGCTGCTAAGAAGAAGAACAAGAGAGCTATTCGTAACGCTGGTAAGGACAACGATTACTTCGGTGACTCTGCCCAAGCTGCTGCTATTGACGAACAAATTACTTTGATTGTCGACTCTTTAGATGATGAACAATTAGTTGATGTTGCCGACAAGATTAAAGCCGATGCCTCTGCTTCTAAGACCATCTTAACTGAAACTGCTAAGGGTTTCGTTGAATCTGGTAAACTACCAGCCAGTCTTGTTGCTTACTTTGCTTAAGAAGTAGTATTTATAGATCATGTATAATCTGTTTTTTTAAATGCATTAACAAAATATCAAATTTATTTAATACCGCTTTATTTTTTATTGCTTTCTGAGTTTCTCATATATTTTAATTTTATATGCCACCAAATTAAAATTTCACGAAAATGAAACGACGAAAATCGATTTTGTATGGGGAAACCTAATAAAAAAAGGGCGAAATAACGAACAAGTTAAAGAAGGCACTGGTGGTAAATATTTAAAATGAAAAGAGAAATTAAAACAAAGTGCATATCGGTTTTATATTTATTTGGAAACCAATTGGCTCGTGTTAAATATAATCCATATAGATATAATATTTTGAGAAATGTCATATAGAGGCCCTGGTGAACAGCCCATTCCAAGGCAACAAGAAGAACAACCGCTGCAGCAACAGGAGTTTCGTCCAACACCATTCCATGTTAGTAACGACAATAACAACTACGGTCGAAACCAACCAAACCAACCACCATCTAGTTGGCATCATACATTGAAGAATGTTGCGGTACAGTTTGATAAGTATACTGCTCCTATTGAGGATCTTACTACCACCCCAACTGTGATTGCGGTGAGACCTTTCATTCCCGGAATTGCCAGATTTCTTATCGTTGCTACTTTCTTAGAGGACTCTTTAAGAATTGTGACCCAATGGTCAGACCAAGTGTTTTATCTGAACCAATGGAAACATTACAATTGGGTTTTTGTCGTGTTTTTCCTTGCCACAGTCTCTTTATCGATGTTAATAGGTACCATTATGATCTTAGCTAGGAAGCACGTCAATTATGCAACAGGACTTCTGGTAGGCTGTATTGTTATACAATCAGTAGTTTATGGTCTCTTTAGTGGTTCTTCATTTTTGTTACGTAACATAAGTGTCATTGGTGGTTTACTAATCCAATTTAGTGATTCCATTGCACAGAGCAAGACCACATTTGGTATGCTACCAGAATTGACTGATCGTAATGCCGTTCACAAGGGTTATTTGTTATTGACTGGTCGAATCCTTATAGTGTTAATGTTCATGGCATTCACACTTAAGAAATCATGGGTTACTGTATTCATTACCATCATAAACACTGTTGCATTTGCGATTGGTTATAAAACGAAATTGGCCTCAATTATGCTGGTAACCATCCTGACATTCTACAATTTATACTTGAACAACTACTGGTTTTACAGTGATGCTCAACGTGACTTCTTAAGATATGAATTCTTTCAGAACTTAAGTATCATCGGTGGCCTGTTATTGGTTACTAACACAGGTGCAGGTACCTTATCGGTCGACGAGAAGAAGAAAGTGTATTAATAGCGCATACAAGAGTTTATAGGTATATGTATATAGGTATATGTATATATGTATATATATTTGATATGGTGGTGCAATGTAGATCCGGTTGATATATGCACACATTATTATGAAACGTTTTATATTGAAAGAAGTGTATTTCATTCCCCTTTGATTAATATGCCACTGTGTATGTGTGTGGGGTTCTTCTCTGAAATTTCGGCCTTCCCAATGAGTTGGTTTTTTTTGATGAAGAAATCTGAAATTATGAATACAACAATTAAATAAGGAAACAAGGATTAAAACAAATGATAATAGATTACATTAAAGAGGTAGAAGAAACATAAATAGAAACAGTTTATAAATAAGATATACGTGGAAATTGTGTAAAATATATACATCGGCACTAATATTTATAATTTTTGTTTAACGTGTTTGGGATATATAGAAGATCTACTTCATTAAGGTGTTAAAGTTCAAATTTTTATTTCTTAAGAAAAGAATAGGGGATTAATAACGAATATTTAAACTATGGGAGGTATTTTAAAGAATCCATTAAGCAAAGATGAGGTCAGTCACAAAGATGGCAATGAGAATGTCAGTGAGTTCAGAAAACAAGTGTATAAAAATACGCAATTAAATGCAAAACTCACCTCTGGACAAGGTATCACAACTATGAATAAGCAGTTTGATGGCGATAACATAGAAGATTACCCGAGTGATATGGATGAGAAGGATATAGCTATAAATTCTAAAGGTAACACATTTAGACGTACACCACCAAGTGGTCCTCCGAAAGATGTGCTACAATTGAAGAAAGAAGAGGAAGAGAGATTGCAATGGAACAAGAGAAATTTGGCAGAAAATGAAGTTACAAAACAACAATATTCTGATATTCATATAGATGAACCAAAGACCCCTTACCAAGGGGCTGTTGATCCTCAAGGTGAATATTATAGAGATGATGACGAGGAAGATAATGTTGAGGATAATAATAATGATGATCGTAGTAATAGGGCAGCTGCTTTACCAAATGTGTCTGATTTGGACGATTTTACACTTGGTGAACCAGAATATGACATAAAGGATACTACCGATAATAATGACGTGGAAGTACATATGGCAGATAATGATAACGAAGAGGAAGATATTGAAAGTGAAGATGAATTGGATGAAGGCAAGGCAAAAGAATTAAGACATAAGAAGTTTGAAGAAATGAGAAAGAAACATTACGACCTAAGGGAGATGTTCAAGAACAAAAAGATGCATGAGGAAGAAAACGATGCCAATGTTGATGATAACGAGCAATAAATAATTTCTTCTGTGATTATTAACAGAAATATACGAATGAAACATTTAACTACGTCAAGTCACCACTTTCTAATTGAAAAATTTACGTAATAACTTTTATAAATAACAATTCCAGAAAAGATAATGGGAATGCTAGGGAGCCAAAGTATAAATAGTGGATTCTCTTGAAAGCATAAATGCCAATGAATAGCTTTAGACACGTACCTATGCTGTTTCATATATATCTATACATACGTATATATATATATATATTTGATGTAACAATGATTTGTTCATATCTATTATTACGTACTATAATAAAATATAATTAGGCCGCTGCAAAATTCTGAAAATTTTTTTTCAGTTCAAATTAGAAGAAAATCGATGAGCTTCGAAAGTTAGACGTCATACAGAAATAAAACATATTATATAGTTATTCTTCAATAGTCAAGGAAGACACTTCCATCACATTAGTATCTTATTAACCGTTAAATAACTAAAAGTATAATAACAAAAATGGCTCCAAAGAGAAAGGAAAATGAAACACCAAAGAACAGGTCTAGCAAGAAATTGAAGCTTGACAATAAGACTATCGTTACGAAGAAGAAGAACACGAAGAAAACTCACATCCTAGTAAAGCCAAAAAAGACTCTTCGTGTAGATACCAAGATTTTGAACCATTCGATCTGTGTTCCAACTACTATTTTAAAAAATTGTACCAATTTAGATCAAATAACTCACATCGTGTACCAAATTGCTAAGGCTGCCACTATTTTCAATGTTGGAGAGCTTGTCATTTTAGAACTTGGAGATAGAAAGACAAAACAAAATTCGGACGATAAACAAAGATTATCTGATTCTATGCTAATTGCTTCGTTGTTACAATACTTTGTTACACCGCCCTATTTAGTAAAATCTGTATTTAAGAAACAATATATGAAATATTTTGTTGCAGCTGAAAAATTACCAAGATTAACAGCATTACCATTCATGAGACATTACAATGAGGATGAAGGTAGATATAGAGAAGGGTTAGCTGTAAGGATGGAAAATCCTAGTAACAAAAGTACAAAGGAGTACAAACAGACTAAATATATTAATATTGGTAAAGATGAACTATTGTCATTGAAGACCCAACTGGTTCCTACAAATGTTAGGGTAACGGTAGATGCTGTCGAACGTAAAGTTGTATCACCAGTCGAAGCATACGGAGATTTCGTCGGTGCTCAATCTTCATTTGGTTACCATGTTAGAGTTACAAAGAACTTCGGTTCGATATTCACAGATTGTTCTTTCCCAAATGGTTATTCTCAATGTATTTGGGCCAATTCTGGTGATTTTTTCTACGATGAACAAGAGAAAAAATATTCTAAAGTTGAAACTAAAGTACCTCGGATAACAAAAATTGTTAAACCAGAAACAAATGAGAATGACAGTTCGACGACAACACAACCGGCTAACTTATTGATCGTGTTCGGCAAATGGTATGATATCAAGAAGAGTTTTGATGAATCCAAGGATCAATTCGAAGGCTGTGACGGTGCACATCAATTCTTTGATGGTCAGATCGAAATGCCAGGTGCATCCCCACAAGGAAATATCTGCATTGAGGACAGCTGTATGATCACTCTCTCAGTACTTGATGCCATGGAATGAAGCATTAAATGATAATAACATCTGCCATCTGCCATCGGCGCTTTTAATTTCATAATTATATATTATATTTTACAACTTCCACACTCACCCACTGTAATATCATATCAAATAGATACTCTAAGTAAATCAAACCACTTCGTAACTGATAATATGTTCCAACTCTCGACGTAACTTGACATCAGCAGTTTTTACTGTCATGGAACCTGCTCCCTAGTCGTATAGCGCGATAATATTCATCTGCAAAACAAATATTTTTTTTTTCTGCGAAAGAAAAATTGAAGAAAAATTCGCTAACAAAAATTTAGAATTCGAAAAGAAGAACGCTGCCAAGGGCCAACAGGAATTGGGAAAACTGAAACAATAAGAGATGTGAGAAACGCTTGTGAGTCTTTGACAACCTGATAGTTATGATCTGGTCTTAAGTTTTAATGCTTGGCTCTATGAATCGTTGTGTATTTCAATTTAAATAAATATATATATATTGAATATACTATTCTATTATTCTTGAATTTTGTCGAATTTTACCAAATAACGCATTGGATATAAAGTGAAATTTGAGACCGTCAAACGTTGTAATTTTATTTTAGGATCAAGAGAAGGCAAAGGCTAAAAAAAGTGAAAAAAAACCCCATCCACAAATTCCATTGAATTTGCCAAAAGAATATAACCGTTGTTACATTTCTTTACACTTAATTCACTTCGTTTCTAGGATCTTCGTTTTACTGAATAATTTAAAGAAATTTTATTATTGCTATTTTTTGTTTCGAAAATTTACAATACAGTATACAAATAATCAAAAAAGGTAGACATATCCAACTTTTTAATAGTTAGATAACGCCTTACACTTAAATTATTATTATAATTTTCTAATCATTTTGCAGTTATCCAATATGTCTGCATTATCGGAAGAAATTAATACTACATTAATAGAGATCATCCAAGGCTTCGCCTCACCAAATAATGAAATACGTTCTGCAGCTGAGACTAGATTAAACCAGGATTGGATTACAGCTGTAAATATTGAAGTATTACTGATATTTTTAGCAGAACAGGCCGCATTCTCTCAAGATCTCACAACTGCTGCTATATCTGCAGTCCTCTTCAGAAAACTAGCTTTAAGAGCACCACCTTCATCTAAGACAGTTATCATTGCGAAGAACATCACACATATTAGTGAAAATGCATTGACTCAAATAAGAGCCACTTTATTGAAGGGATTCATGTCTGAGAGACCAAAGGATATAAGGCACAAATTGTCAGATGCTATTGCTGAGTGTGCTCAAGATGAATTACCAGAATGGACAGAATTATTACAAGCATTAGTGGAATTTCTAAAGAATACAGACCCATTCTTTAGAGAGTCGAGTTTTAGAATTCTTGCATCAGTTCCACATTTGATCAACGCTGTCCCAGTTGAAAACATTATTCCAATTTTTGAATCTGGTTTCACCGATGACAATGATGAAGTAAAAATATCTGCGGTAACTGCATTTGTTGGTTACTTTAAGATCTTACCAAAAAAACATTGGTCTAAGATTGGTGTTTTATTACCAAGTTTATTAAACAGTTTACCAAAGTTTTTAGATGATAACAAGGACGATGCTTTAGCTTCTGTATTTGAATCATTAATTGAATTAGCTGAACTGGCTCCAAAATTATTCAAAGATATGTTCGACCAAATCATTCAATTTTCAGATATTGTGATTAAGAATACAGATCTGGAGACACATGCTAGAACCACTGCTTTAGAGTTACTTACAGTGTTCAGTGAGAATGCTCCACATATGTGTAAGTCAAATGGTAATTATGCTCAATCTATAGTCACAAATACTCTGTTAATGATGACCGAAGTCTCTATCGACGACGACGAGGCTGCTGAATGGCATGAAGCAGATGATACCGAGGATGATGAGGAGGTCACCTATGATCATGCTCGTCAAGCTCTAGATCGTGTCTCATTAAAGTTAGGTGGTGAGTTCTTAGCACCAACTCTTTTCCAATACTTACAACAAATGGTAGGCTCTTCCCAATGGAGAGAAAGATTTGGTGCCATGATGGCATTGTCCTCAGCAGCAGAAGGTTGTCAAGATGTTTTAATTGCAGAAATTCCAAAGGTATTGGATATGATTATTCCTTTAATTTCTGACCCACACCCAAGAGTTCAGTACGGTTGTTGTAATGCTTTAGGTCAAATTTCAACTGATTTCAGTCCGTTGATCCAAAGAACTGCTCATGACAGGATTCTACCCGCTTTAATATCTAGATTGACTTCTTCCTCTATTGATAGAGTCCAAACTCATGCAGCAGCAGCATTGGTCAATTTCTCTGAACAAGCTGACCAAAGTATTTTAGAACCTTATCTGGATAGTCTGTTAAATAACTTATTGATTTTATTGCAAAGTAACAAATTATATGTCCAAGAACAGGCTCTAACTACTATTGCATTTATTGCAGAGGCTGCTAAGACTAAATTTATCAAATACTATGACACATTAATGCCTTTGCTATTGAATGTTCTAAAGACAGATAACAGCGATGATAACGGTGTGTTGAAGGGTAAATGTATTGAGTGTGCTACTTTGATTGCTGCAGCTGTCGGTAAGCAAAAATTCTCTGAACACTCTCAAGAATTAATTAACCTATTATTAACCCATCAAAATAGTTTAATAGATGAAGACGATTCCATTAGATCATATTTAGAACATGGTTGGGGTAGAATTTGCCGTATCTTAGGCGACGATTTTGTTCCATTACTACCTATTGTCCTACCACCTTTATTAGAAACAGCTAAGGCCACTCAAGATGTCAGTCTGATTGAAGAAGAGGAGGCAGCTGACTTCCAAAAATACTCTGATTGGGATGTGGTTCAAATCCAAGGTAAGCATATTGCTATCCATACATCAATCTTAGACGATAAAGTTTCAGCAATGGAACTACTGCAATTATATGCTAGTATTTTGAAGACCAAATTTGCAAATTATGTTAAAGATGTTTTAACTGAAATTGCAATTCCATCTATTGATTTTTACTTACATGATGGTGTTCGTGCTACGGGTGCAACTTTGATTCCTGTGTTATTATCATCTATCGTCGGCGCTGTAGGGTTACAAAATGAGGATGTTATGCAGTTATGGAATGTCGCATCCGCTAAATTAATTGGTGGTATTTCTACAGAACCTATGTTAGAAATTACTCAAGCATACCACAGTGCATTGGTTGATAGTATTGCCATTATGCAGTACACTAAATTAGCACCTGAACTTCCAGGCCAATATGCGAAAGGTGTTCAAAACAATCTTTCCGATATATACGAAAGAGTTAAACAACGTCACAGTGAAGCTGACGAGTATAACGAAGAGGTTGATGATGAATTTGATGTATTTTCTGACGAAGATTTGTTGGATGAAATTAACAAGTCATTAGCAGCCGTAATGAAATCTTCAAGTGAAGAATTCTTACCACAACTTCAATCGCTGTGGCCATTAATCCATACTTATTTGATTGAGACAGAAGTTATACTGGTACTATTTGCTTTGGTTGCCCTTGGTGACATAATTCAATATTATGGTGAATTGACAGCTTCATTTAAAGATTCTTTTATCTCCACAGTTCTTACATATTTAGTTTCCCCTGATCCACAAATTCGTCAAGGTGCCGCATATGTTATCGGAGCTTGTAGCCAATATGCCCCAAATACATATGGTGATGTATGCATATCTGCATTAAATACATTAATTCAAGTAATTCAAATTCCTGATGCTAAAACTGAAGAAAACCAAACTGCCACAGAGAACAGCAGTTCTTCCATTGCAAAATTATTATATGCATTCAACTCAAATATCCCTAACGTGGATACATATATATCTAGTTGGTTCAAATCGTTACCTACAACCGTGGATGATGAAGCTGCAGCTTTTAACTATATATACTTGGGTCATCTAATAAATTCCAAGAACCCTGTAATTTGCGAGCATTCTAACATCCCAAATATTGTTGAAGTTGTGATCCAAGCACTACATCATAAGTCAATCACTGGTAAGAATGCAGAGACAATTACCACTTCTGTGAAACAATTATTAGGTACACTACCACCAAATGAGGCCATGGGAATGTTAGAACGGTATCCTGCTGAATACATGCCTACAATTCAAGCCTGGTTTTCTTAAACCAATCCTAATCAATTCTCTGTACATTGACCCATCCTGAATCATTATTATTATATTTGGGTATGGGTACCATCTGCATCTGTTATATAGATTTTAATATTGCTCTTTCATTCAACAATTCAATTTGTTATTTTTATTTAGATTACACCAATATAGAAGTAACATTTAAACCTATTTAATGTTCAAGGAAGTATATAGCAAATTTCTAAAAAGGATGGATAATTAGTATGTCATGACTTTTGATTTTGAGAAATTCAAAATTCTACATCACAGTTTTAAAAGGTATCAATTTAGGCGTCGTTCTGAGAATATAGGAAGGAGCATTTGACCCTGTGTCATTATTATTTTGACTGTTCGGTTGAATCAATACTTCAAATGGAGTATCAATAAGATGCTTGTCAAAATCCGGTATATATTTATAACCCAGTATAGGGGCCAGAATTAGACCTAACATCAGTATCAGATTAAAGATGTAAAAAACAAAATACTTTTGAACCGTTCTATTCCTCCATTTTATTTGTTTTTTAGTGTGTAATTGTTTGTTCCATACAACATGTCTTGGTTTGAGCCAAAATAAAACAATGGAGTGCCAGTAATCAATAAAAGGAACAAATAGTAATGGAGTCTGAAAATAAAGTAAAAAATGACCTAAGAAAAAATCAGCGCTAAAATACGAAGATTCCATAACTTTAACAACGTATTCTCTCATCGGTTGTAGAATAATGTTCCAACCTAGTCCAGTACGATACCACTTCCCATTCCACCACGCCAGATGAGATTTGTCACTTTTGAATTCACGAGTTAAAAATACTAAGGTTACTATTCTGAACAGCAATAGTTGGAGATTTATAGACGTGATAAATAATATCAAAGTTCTTGAAAATGCCAATCCCTCCAAAAACCACATTAATTCAAATGACATAATGTGAAAAATAATTGAAGAGGCATGCGCAATGAATGCAATAGTGGCACCAGTATTAGCGTTGCAACATAATATAATAGGTCCACAAATGAACGAGACAAAGAATAGATTTAATAGGATTGCCATATTTAGAATGATTGGTAACAATGACACCAAAAGTAATCTCACAACAGAATTCGTTGGAAGAGGATTTTTTACACCTGTTTGTGCATTTATAAATGAATAAGCAAAGAAATTGCAAACAAACACAAATAAAGGAATCAACAGTTCTGGAAACAATACATTCCAAAAATTAGCTCTTTTGGCATCGTCTCTACCTTTTTCTGATGAATCTGTTATCAAGAGCTTCTTGTAACCAGTAAAACGGGCTCTTGCAGTTTTGACATATGTAGCCCATGATTCCCTTCTATATCTTGAATTTCCTGAAGATAACCAGAATAAAAAATTCCTATAATCTATAAAGAATTCAGAAAAAGAAAATTGATGAGGGTTGAAAATAAATGGAGCAAAACAAAGTGATATCACAGTCAACCAAAACCACAGTAATGCTGGATGCCAAATTGATGCCGTCGCAAATAATAACATTAAAAAAATTTGCAACCCTGAATAGATAGAAGTTGTAACAAATTTGGAATACAAGTCAGAAAAATTAACCCTTGTTATCGCAAAGCCTCTTCCAGTCGAAATATATTTTGCTCCCCCAAAAGTTAAATCAGTTAATAAAGCATTCGAATATATTTGACAGACAAATACCTCAAACAATGGTGCCATCGAAAATATATGGTGTAGGAATCTAATAAATGCTTTTATTATACCTTTCTCAAGCAATTCTTGAATAAGTAGGGGGGCAAATGCAATGAAGAAAACAATAAATATGGATAAGACAAAGATTGACACCCAATGAAGTGCTGGGTCAATATTATAACACCCAATAGGTCGTTGTAAATCTGTAAGAACTGAGTGTTTTACTTTGTAACAATGAACAGTTTCATAACTTAATGAACCTAAATTTAGTAATAAAAGGAAAAACAGATGTAAAGACATTGAAATAAACAAATTATTCAAATGAAATCCTGGATGTGCATAGAAGAAAGTAAGGAATCTATCCATGGGTAATTGTGTCCCCAAATAATAATATTCCCTTGACAATAATTGCTCACCCATTCCAGCACCAATTTTTGTAGTAAAATTCAAGATAGAACTAAAGCCTAGGTCACGTCCTTTCCCACACTGGTAATAGTCGCTATGTTTTATTCTTCCGCCACGACACAACGCATTCATACCAGCATATATATCTTCATTTAGGTGCAATCCTTTCTGGGCTTTTGACAGACCACCTCTTGTGGTCATGAATATAGCATTAATAAAATCTGGATGACCATAATGTAACTTTCCATCGATTTCTGCCAAGGTTCTGGCAAATAATGTCCCAAATGTTTGTTCTTTCCCGGCCGCTATATCACCTAGTACACCTATGTTTTCCGAGAATATATATTCTCTTGCTCCAAGAATTGCAATTGGAGCTGGTTCCTCTTCATATTGAATACCAGGAATATATGGGACCGGATTTTCAAGGTCCAATTCATCAAATTCACTCAGCAAAGATCTTATTTTGAGGCATTCTTCTAAGTAGTTATCTTGATTGGCATCGACTACCTGTATATACTCTCCGCGGTAAAAAATGATAGCATTGTTTTGGTTGTCAGATTTACCGTCTCCGAGGATTGGATTTCCGGATAGACGAATTTTAAAAATGGGTTCCCTCAATCTTGTTTCATTATTCATTTCAGCGAATCCGTTCGTCAAACAAGAATAATAGATGGGTTGATTTGATATAGGATCCTTTTCAATCGACAGATAAGATATATGTATGTTTGGGTACGACTTTAATAATACTTCCGTGTCCAATATCTCTTCTTTTGAGAATTGAGTATATCGTTGCATTGCAACTAACATGCGAAATTTACGATTCGCAACATTTTCTAAACAATTTTCAAGAGCATCAGAGTCATTATTGAAATATTCTAACAAAGATGGATTTTCAATTCTTTGCAATAATTTAATTGCTTTTCCATAATTCATAAACCCTGAAATTGTTCGATACAAGGTTTGAGTTCTTAACGATGCCCATAATCTAGTTCTAAGGGTATATGACGTATCTGAAGATTTAAATCCAAAAAGTTCAAGAGGAAGCTCATTAATTTTATCTTGGACTAATTTTTCAGCGTCACGGTATTCTTCTTTATTTAAAAAAGTGTTAGTATTTTCAGAGGATGCAGTGTTACTGGATTCTGTAATTATTTTAGATTGACCATCGTTTTCTAGCTTCATTTTCACCTCGTTCTCGATGTTTAACAACTTTGTATCCCGAACAAAGTAACTCCATTCGGATGGATGAAGATGTTTCAAATACTCCAGCACCGTCATTCTACTTCCAGATGATTCTTCCTTGATTATTTCTTTTAAACTCAGAATGATTTTTTCAGAATAGTGTGGCACAATGACGGTAAATGATGGCATATATTCAATTGGTATAGGTTCAGATATAGGAGTAGATAATGATTGTGCAAAAAATGATATTCTTCTTTTAGCCTCTGAATTCTTTGGGAAAAATTCCATTGATTTATATGTTGAATCATCCTGCGCAACGAAAAATGTAGGGGAACGTAATGTTTTACTGTCAAGTAAGGTTGAATCCATTTGTTGATAAAGTAATCTTTGGATATGCTCTATTGAAAGTAAATGTTCACGGTACATCGATATTATAATTGCGTTCCATATTTGAGAAACTAATAACTTTGATTTGAATCTAGCATTCTTTTCGACAGTAGATATGATCTTTGAATAAATTCTTTTGGGTAACCTAGAATATATATTCTTCCAAGGTGTAAAAATAGATGTTCCTAACGATAAAGATAATAATAAGGAAAAGATACAATTGCAAATGATATACCACAAATATGTATCTAAGAAGAATAAACAAAGATCACATAACAACATTAATACCAGTGTAACCTGGGCTTGCCAAACACATAGTGATTTACCGAATATTGCATCACCCCCACACCTTGAAAGATCCATAGTAGACAAGACCCTTATAGGGTCTCTAAGTGATAATGTAAGGAAAAAATAAGATTCCAGATATTTTGCTAAAAAGACAAATATCCATAATCCAATAGAGAACCATTTACTTCTACCAGTTAATTTCGGAAATGATGCAGTAAAAGTTTGTGACGATATGTAACGTCGCTTCTGTACACCCTTCTTGAGATAAGACCCGAAGAAACCACCCAATGGACGAATTGAAAATAATAGTGTGGTTATCAGTGATATAATGAACTGAATCATTGAAACGATATATGCGGATTTCGAATGAGTATGTAAATCAAAGAATCCAAAAATGTAAATTGATGGGCAGAAATTAATAAGTAAACAAAATATCAACCCCGTCATTCTTGTTGATAAATGTTGAGCTCCTGGCCAACGTCTTGGAACAAAACTCCATTCAAATATTGTAGCAAATATCTGTACAAGACAAGTTATAGTTCCACCAAATGCCATTACTGAAAGTCTTGATTGATACGTAGGTTGATTATTCAATAATTGAACATAATTCATTGTGTACAAAGTTGGTGAGTTAAAAGAAGTAAATATCCAAAAAGGTGTAAAATGAATCAACCAAAATCTATTAAAATTTGTAAAACAATGCATCCAACTTCTTCTTTCCTTATAAGTCTTATAAAAAACTTTTGACCAAGTAACATTTTTTAAAGAAAGATATCTGTCCCCTCGTGGAATATCTACTAATCTTTCAGAAGTCTTTAAAACAATTCTTTCAATTCCTTCTGGATACCAGAATAATTGATTCACATCATCATAACCGATTATGTCACGGTGATCATTCTCTCTTTTAATCCATTCTCCATTAGAATTTTTTTTATAAATTTGTTGTTTTAAAAATGTGTACAATGGAGTAATAATGTCATTAAGATAACTGTACTCTTCTATTGTTTGATTCGAATTAGATATTGTTAGTGAATTATCATAGTCCAATGCACATTTAAATATAAAACAAATACATTCAGGTGCAAAACGTACTTGATTCGCTTCTCCCCAACAAAGTAAATAAAGGGCAATTTGTCTAGCCATCTGTTTTGATGTCAATTGTTTCATATTCGACTTCCATTTGTAATCAGCTGTCTTTAAATTATTTTCATTTTCTAATTGATCTCTTGTTAACCCAATCTTTGGATGATTATCTTCAAATTCTTTCTCTCTTTCCTTCCATTCTTCTAATTGTTGATTAATTGAGGTTCCTCTCTTTTTTGCAAATTTAAAATTTCTCTTTCTTGATTCTCCAGTTAATTTCATATTTTGAAAACCAATTTCATCGTCCAGATCTAATTGAGCAGCAAAATACCATTTTCTATAATTCGAATTTTCGCCACCGATATATGATACATGTAAAGATAGCAAAGCCGTATATGTAGTAGTTCTACTTGCTCTTGAGTCCAACTGTGCTAATAAATGATGATACATATTCTCCTTTGATGATTGTTGGAAACCAAACCTTTCAGCCAATTCATCAAATATTTGTCTCAATTCAGCAGTGGTCACTGGCACTTCATCATCTTGACACCACGCAGGATAATCAATATCACTCAATGAAGGGTTTGGACTATTAATATCCATTTTGGTTTAGAAGTGACAGTATCTTTTGGCAAATCTAACCTCCCAGATATTATTACTTTTAGGTCAAATTTTTTACCTAAACTTTAATTCTTAAACCAAATCTAACCTTTCTATCAGTTCTTACTTAGACCAAATTGATGTAAAAGGGTCTATTATAATAAATAGATAAAAGAAGATGTCTCATAACTTACAACTCTATATTTAAATACTTATCAATCTAAAATAGTGACATAGTAGTTGAGAATAAAAACTGTCTATGTGTCCTAACTCGCCTCGGCGGCTAACTCGCTTACTTTTCTTGAACCCCCCTTATTTTTCTTTCTCTTGCCAACTTTCTAGCTGTTTTCGTGCAACCACCGAGATATATATTGAATTTTAAGGGAAATACACAAAATGGTTTTTTATAAAGTAGTAGTAATATATAAAATAATCAGCGAGAAAGAAATATAATGTTTCTTATAAGAGGTATATGTGAGTTAAAACATGTGGCTATTAAAGTATTCTCTCGCCTCAATCACCGAGACAGTACCTTTAGGAAAACTACAATGTTACCACATATATAAATCTTGATTATACTACTAACTAAGATTAATCGCTGATAATGAGATATTAGTTGGTAATCCTTTTTAAAAAAGGTGTTTATATATGTATATTCTCAATATTCATCCAAGTGGTAAAATATTACATGACAATACTATGTTATCTTCATTATTCTTAAAATTTCTGTATAGAAATATGAAATTTTTCGTTTCTTTCATTTTTTAATTATTCTTCAGCCTCTTTTCCTTCCAAGAAATGCCAAGCCTTTTTCTTTGTTTGAGTTTTTACTTGATTCGGTTGTTATATGCACAATTATTTTTCTACGCTAATTTTCTAGAATCATTTTCGGAGATATTGCACTTTAAAGAAAGGGCCGTACAACATTGGGGATAGAAGAAAATAATGAATATAACCATCATTTCTAAACAATAGTAAATGATACCACGCCTGTATAATATAGTTACAAATAGTAAACAAGTTAGCACATGTGATGGTTAAGTTTTAAAACAAATTGTATCTACAGAGTTCCGATAAAATAATAATAAAAAAATACATTTGAAAGATTACGATTAGTTTGCATTATTCTTTAAGCGATAATGTCTAGAACATCTACGAAACAATGACTTGTATAATATACAATGTTTAATCCTGGGAGAGATATCTGTTTCGTTTGACACTATACTTGTTGTCTAGATAGTATTATCCCTAAAGAGTAAACACTCGTTAAGTATACAAGTTTCATACATATGCCTATATTTTATGAAAGATACCTCATTTGTTTTTGAAAAAGGCTAAGCCTCACCTTTAGGTTTTGCTCATTACATAGTTCATTGAAGCTGTTTGACAGCTGTTATGTTAAGCTCGAAGCTTCTTTATAACTATTACCGTAATGCTTGATTTTAACATTTTATACACCAAACAAATGAAAAAACACAAACAAACGTCATTAATATTCTTATTTCATTCTATATAAGTTATTTTCCTAAACAGGGATAATAATTGGAATGCAACCTTTAATTTTGTAAGAACTACATCAATTTGACGAAAGACACCACCACTAAACTTCTAACGATTTAATCAGTAATACATTTTCTTCTCTTAGTAATTACTTTCAATTTATTAATTTAAAAGAATATTAAAAAAAAATTACATCAAAATAATGTGAATTCAGTAACTACAAACCAACCAACCATGACTTTCTGGCGGGGTTTCCCCCACCGCGCTCATCTACTTCCATTCCTTATTCACTATATCCGATGTTAAACAAGATGAACTGAACTGAATGAAATATAAATCAATAAACTGTAAGAGAGAGACGCGTCTTCCCAATTAGAACATATTTCGCGATATCTAACATAACAAAAAATATATATATGTACATTAACAGTAGTTACCTAAACTAAACCGCCATGGAAATTACATCAAAATTGCTACGCCTCACTCTTTTTCTCTGTCATTTTTTTCATTTTTTTCGTATCATCCATCACAATAAGAACAAAGTAGAAACGAGCGCGCCTCCGCTTTAATTCACACACACAAATCAATTTCTTTATCTCTTTTCTATGAAAATAATGTACAAAGACATATATATAAATTTTCGCGTATGGTTTTCATAGATCTCTCCACTTTCTCTTTAAAGAATGGCAGTAACTTTGAAAAAAAAGAGAGGAAGAGAGAAAAGGCAGGGAAAGAAAGTAAAATGAAATATTTATACGCGAAAAACACAACTAAATTGTTTATATAATTCGCTCTAACCCATTATTATATTCATCCTTTCTTCATCAATCATGTCGCAGGTTTGTTTCAAAAGAGGCAATGAGTTCGACTTTAACGATATATTCGTGGATTTACTATACACAAGCCCATTAACAAGTGAACTCTCTCTACTTGTATACAATATAGGTAAAAATTAAACTAAATAAATGTCTCCGTTGTCGTAAAAACATATTTTGGTGTAATTACCTTGAGGGTCCTCTCATTTAATTTCTATATTTTGGAAAACAATGAAAAACAAAATAAATATCAATATGTCAGTAGTAACTACGTTTATTTTCTTTTAAAAAGTCGCATTTCGTGGATAGAAATCAACCATAATATTATATATATATACATATATAATGATATGAATTATATTACTAATTTTTATTAATGTAATTTTTTACTCTTTTCCTAATGTCTTTCAGGTTATTTTAATTATTTCATCATTATTATTCTATTGTTTCACAAAAATTGTACACATATATAGCTGTATTTATTTCTTTATTACAAAAAATAATAACATATTTCCATCCTAACGTGAATTCCAACAATAACAACATATTGCTGTAACTCCACAAGTCACTCATTCGGGAAAAAATAATAAATAAAGCAATGCGTTTATCAAACCTAGTCACCCTTTCTTTGATGGGTGTTGCCTCAGCTGCTCCAGCTCGTCACCATCAACACATCGAAAAGCGTGATGCCGTCACCACTACCGTTAAGACTCAAGTCACCGTCACTCAAGGTATCACCGGCCAAACCAATGCACTATTACAAGAAGACGCTGTTGTCGGTACTACCGCTGCTGCTGCTGTTGCTGTTGCTGCCGCCGCCGGTACTACCTCTACTTTAGAACCATCTTCTGCTGCTGGTTCTTCCTCTAGTTCAGGTTCCTCCCCATCTTCTTCTGTTACCGCTGGTAACGCCAAAGGTATCACTTACTCTCCATACGCTTCCGATGGTACTTGTAAATCTGCTAGTGACGTTGCCTCTGACTTGGCTCAATTGACCAGCTATGGTATTATTAGATTATACGGTGTCGACTGTAGTCAAGTTGAAAATGTTCTAAAGGCTAAGGCCTCTTCTCAAAAGTTGTTCCTAGGTATTTACTACGTCGATCAAATTGCTGATGGTGTCTCTACCATTAAGAATGCCGTCGAATCCTATGGTTCTTGGGATGATATTTCCACTGTCTCCGTCGGTAATGAATTAGTCAACGGTGGCGAAGCCTCCACTGCCCAAGTCGGTGAATACATCTCTACTGCTAGATCTGCTTTAACCGCTGCAGGTTACACTGGTTCAGTTGTCTCCGTTGATACTTTCATTGCTGTTATCAACAACCCAGATCTATGTAATTACTCCGATTACATGGCTGTTAACGCTCATGCTTACTTCGATGAAAACACAACTGCCGAAAATGCTGGTCCATGGGTTCTAGAACAAATTCAAAGAGTTTGGACTGCTTGTGGTGGTAAGAAGGATGTCTTGATTACCGAATCTGGCTGGCCTTCTCAAGGTCAAACTTATGGCCTTGCTGTTCCATCTGAAGCTAACCAAAAGACTGCTATATCTTCTATTGAAGACACTTGTGGTTCTGCTACTATTCTATTCACAGCTTTCAACGATTACTGGAAGGCTGATGGTGCTTACGGTGTTGAAAAATACTTCGGTATTCTATCTGATTAAATTTAATTAAATCTAATATAGATTTCAAATTTTCTTTCTCTTTCTTTATGTGCAATGCAACGCAAAAATATTATATTATTACTAATATTTCGGGATACTATTTTTACAAATTAATAATGTAACGGTTATTGGTAATTGTCTCCATTTTAACTTAAAAATGAAATATTCTACTCTTATTTATGTACTAAAATCAATAAATACATTTTTTTAAAAAAAAACAAGAATAAAATAAACAATGATACCAAATAAAATTGTAAAATATTTAGGAAGTGACTATTTTCGAGTTAAAATTTTCTATCTAGATAGACTCACCAGAATGTTTTATCAAATATTTGCTATAATTTATAAAGATATATATAGATATATATTATTTAGGTTTTAGCTAATTTTTAATTACCATAGGTCTATCCTGTGAATTATGAGATCTCAACCTATCTGGGTGATCCATGAATATAGTATCAAGATTAGACATAACATCGAAAAGTACAATATCTTGTAATTCTTCTTCAGAATAATTTTGAAGTGATTTAAAGGATTTACCTTGAGCCGTCGTGAATAATATCCCTAACTTAATCCTTGAAAATTCCTTTTGACCTAAACCAAATTTTTTATGTAATCTATCTCTAGTATCGGCGAATTTTTCATTCGGAATCAAGTTGAATAAGAATGATATTCCGTGTTTATTATCCATATCTTTGAAATATTGAGAAACAACCACTAAATGACCATCATTCTCTGGATTATTCATATATCTCAGAGAATCTGGAGTAGGTGACACTGATGGTCGATCGCTTATATTACTGACACTTTCTTCAATATCTCTCAATTGTTTACTCACAGTACCAACATTTTCATAATTATCAAATTTCTTAAACAATTCCAATTCATCTGGGAGAATTCGCCCAAAAATTAAGAATTGTTTAGATATTTTTTTGAATAATGTATCCCTAGAGAGAACTCCTTGAAATTCAAAGTCGTAATTTGTCCACAGTAGAATTTTACTTTTCTCTTCATCATTGAAACCTATTTTCTGTTGAATTTTATCTAAAAATTCTGCTACTGAACAATTCCCAGCAACTTCAAATTCATGGCTTTGATAATGTATGTAACTATCCTTTAACCAATAAAATTTAATAGGTCTTAAATGTTCGAATTCCTTCAATGGAATAGATAATTCTTCATATTGGAAAGGAGGAATACTATTACAATTGTAATCCTTCATTAAATAATCGTTTAATGTTGATCTTGAATTTAGAGGGAAACGACCATTACTATAAATTGCAAATATTTTTAAATACTCTGGTTCAATACCCGTCTTCTTAGAAACAACTTCGGCCAATTCAAAATATTTAATATTTGAATGGATCCATATGTCAAATTTCGTTGATGCAGTTGATGATACTAATTTATTATTATTTGGTATTTCAGGAATATCTCCTTCTTCGCTAACAGTGTAATCATCATCTGAATTACTAATCTTGGAGAATCTTAAATTCACTCTATGTTCTAAGAAATTGTAATATTCCAATAGGTTCCCATAAAATGGGGACTCTGCTGAATACTGTCTGATATCTTGACTGTTTCTTATTTCAAATGTTATTATATCACCTAATCCAATTTCAGAATTGTAAAACTGGGATTGAAGAGATAATGGATTAATATTACCTATATTTATCTCTTCAAATAAACTTAAACGCTCAATATCTTTTGCCTCACAGTTACTTAACTGTAAGACAATATATGCGAGCTTTGCAATCGTATCCGCTTCTTCTACCGCTACATAACCAAATCCTGATAATAGTTGCTTCTGTACTTCAAAACGTTTAATGAAAACTAAACGTTGAGACCTTTGTTTAATATTGTTCACGAATGAAGGGTTTTCATCCAATTTGGAAATATAAGAATCAATATTGGCCCTAATTTTATCAATAAGGTTGTCTGTTATATCGTCAAAATTCACAATATTGTTCGTTTTTAATGAATTCAGAAATTGAAGATCTAAGTATGGTTCCTCAACATACATATCAATAGAAGAATAAGATTCATCACCTTCGTTTTCTAGTGCTGTCTCTAAGGTCATATCTCCATCATCCATTTTCAATAGGTCGCATAATCTGATCGTATTATTCTGTCTAGTACCCATTTTCCAGTACCTAACGTTTTGGTTGGTCGGAATATTCAAAACATCTTTAATTTGTTCACATAGAGTTTTAATTTTAGTGGTTCTCTCAATTTTTAATGACAAGGGCTGCTCTTTATTGTTTGTTAAATCTTGGTATGAAAATTTTAGCAGTTCATTGGGTATCGGATCTAAACCATGATAATTAATAAAATTTTTAAGGTTATAAATAACCAGTGTAACATAAAGATGAGCCTCTCTAATTTCTTTTTCCCTTTTTTCTCTTTCTGCAAGTTCTGCCTCTACTTGATCAATAACATGCTGAGGTACATCCGCTTTTGTTACAGGTTGTAATAATTTATCTTCCATATCGCTTCTGATATATACCAACATATATGCACTAGTATGACGGTCTAAAAGATATGCTTGGTATCTCTCACGGGTCATGGTTCTTATTTGTTCTTCTGGTAATCTATTTAAACCAAAGTTCTCTTCAAATACTTGAGATTTGGTTACTCTCCACACTCTTTCATCGTCAAATCTAAACCATTTATCATCTGTTCCTGGTTTAATCATTGTATAATAATGACCTGTTGAAATATCACCAGCATGGACAAGTACCCCATGTAGATTATAAGTTACCGGTCCATTTTGTTTACTATCCTTATCCAAGAAGTTTGAAAGATCAATAGATTCAGGAAATTCATATCTATCATTAATTTTCATTAATTGATCATAATTAAAGTCATATTCAAATCGCTTTAATTGTAAATGTAAAACCGGAGGGAGATATTCGAATATTACACCCTTTTCAGCATCTTGTAGTCCATAATCTTGGGCAGCATATTGATTCTCACCATTCATAAGCTCTAATTCTGTATAAGATTCGAACGATTCAGCCAAATTTTTCATATTCTTCACATTCATTTGCAAATCCCAAAAATCTTCTACCCTAGATGATTCATAATCCACATTAATACATTTAATAAATGACTTCATCTTACCAACAAACATTTCATTCAATTCTCCCTCTACTGGTGTATTTTTCATTTTATTTTCTAATCTATCCATTAAGATTCGATTTAATTCTTGTACATCATGTTGTGTAAACGCATCACCACTATCCCAACCAAAAGACCTTGTTAATTCTAAAGTATCTAATGGATCATCCGATACTTGTAATTGATAAAATGCTTTTTGTAATGCTAGAGGAACACTATTATTTGGTGATTCATTATCTGTTGGAATCTCATAAACTAATTTTCTAAAATATTTTGTGAAAAAATATGATTGTAAAAGAGAATTTAAGTAGCATGTTGCACCTTGATTCTTGAAACCAACATAACCTGTGACTTTTTTAGAATCGTAGTTTAAAAAATTATGCCATAACACACCAGTAGGATCCCTTAAGATCCGTACATATACCGTAACATTTAATCGTCCATCTTTTAACAACGGGCTGTTTCTAGTCTTTGTAGGATACTTTAAATGATTTTGATCTATATAATTAGCAAACCCCCAATCTGTTTCGGTGGCGTTAAATCTATGATGGGATCGATTAATAATATTAATATCATTATCTTCATCTGGTCTGGATAGAACTATAGCAAATTGTGCACAACAATTCCAATTGTTATTATCGGCTTGATTCTCCTGGTCGGTTATTAAAGAATGTGGTTCTAAATAAATGGCAATACCTTTGTTTCTATTTCCATTCGGGAAAAGTAGAACATCCCATTCAAATTCACCAATCTTGAATCTTGGTGAACTATATTTTCCTTCTTTTAAAGAAAACCAATCGTCTATTTGCCATGTAAAAGATCCTTCTAATTCTGTTTCTTCTTCCGGTAAAGGGGGTAATACTTCCTCAAATGTTTTATTCAACTCCACAGGTTCAATTAAGATGTTACCAAGTACTGTTGTTTCTGGTTGATCATCAGACATTCTAATACTTTTTTTGGTATCTTCCTTATGTAGCTTTCCGTCTTGTGTAAGAGTCTTCAGAGAATATCTTTTTTGTAACGATATACATTTTCTATATCAATCAATAAGTTAATTTCCTTAAATTAATAATGTCCCGCTAATAGAATTACATAAAGCCTCTGAAATACCGTAACTAACTCTGCGTAGGTATATTTTCTTTTGTCCGATATGGAAACCCTAATGTCTGTCAACACAGAAAGTCCACATGTATCGCGTTGTGAGAACATAGGGCTTAAATTTTTGAATATATACTATTATTTAGATAATTGACGCAGAACGGTGACAGAGGAGATACATTCAAACTGTTTATAAATAGCTTTACAGTTTGTGATGTTCAATCTCAAACTATTTATATTCTCGTTCCATTGGTTTTAAGATTAGTGGCGAATTGAGCGTTTTATTATGCTTTGGTTTAAATTTATATACATAAATGGGTGTAAATATCAACAATATATTGCAATATTTCATTACTAGAACTGCTTTAGTTTGTAGAATATAATAAGATTATAAGATTACCTCTATATATCAGAATACTGTAGTATAGTAATTCATGTCTTCAATTTAGCTATGCAACAATCTTGTATATGTAATGGGCCATGGTTTTTCATACTTAAACAATCGAAATATAAGAAATTAACCCCCAATAAGCGTTATCTATCACCAGAATAAGTCACTCTATCACCATATTCCAAATGATTAAAAGTAATATACTCTTTACCCTTTTTTTTCTAAAGTATGCCTCTTTTTCTTGTTTCAATCTTCTTTTTATTAATCTCCGGGTGAACTGAACGAAGATGAGATACAATGAGATTAAAAAATAGATAGTAGGATATGTATATATTTTTACACCTCACAAAATTTTGTTTTCCACCTGATATACAAAGTATTAACTAGGTGTTCAACATCCGTCATTAACAAAGTTATATAACAATTTTAGGAACACCTAAGTAACAAATAGAATACAAATGCTGAAGGTAGTTGGTATGAGGAACTCCCCGAGAGTGCTCTCAACTCGATACCTTCAAACTTTGTTGGGGAGACGTTTTGTTTCAAGTGATATCCAGCAGAAAGATCAACAAGCAGGTGAATCAAATACTGCAACCGACACAGGTGTTATTCATAAGACTGAACAAGAAACCCTTTTATTTTTTGACAACGTATACCCACGTCAATTATCTATATGGAGCCCTCTGGGTTGGATGAACACTATCTTTTTCAGTCAATCAAGGGAATCAGTTAGGGCTAAGATTCAAAATTTGGCTTCCCCAAAGGAGAATCCTATACATGGACTTGTTATGCGTTCAACCATTCCTGTCAAGAGAGATGGTGGTGTTTTCGCTACGTTTGTAGTGCCATATCGTTATTCCAAAGCTGAAGTCAACATGATGATATCAAAAAATACAACTTTAGAGTCATCAAAGGGTTTGCTATCTTTTCTAACAACTGTATCTGCTTTCCCTGTTAAAGGTATTCCATGGATTGAAGATTTAAGAAGATTACCAAGCACTACCATTAAAGTAAAATTCCAAGGTCCAGTATTAACTGAAGAAGAAATATATTCATTGTTTAGAAGATATGGTACCATTGTAGATATTTTCCCTTGCAAAGATGGTAATGATTTTGCAATTGTCAGATATAGATCTTACCGAGGAGCCATTTGCGCAAAGAATTGTGTTTCAGGTATTGAAATTAATAACACAGTTTTACATATTCAATATCAAGAAGAAGTAAAGAATACCCTAGTAAGTAATTTTTTTGTTAACCACACAAGAATTGCGGTTCCAGTATTCATTGCTTTGTTGTCTATTGTTGCTGTTCTGATTTTTGATCCTATTAGAGAATTCTTCATTGAGCAAAAAATTACTCATAGATATTCATTATCTATGGACAATTATTGGTTCAAACAATTAAAAGATATTACAAATTCCACAGTTTCTCAATTTAAAAATTATTGGGGTGGCCATGATGAAAATCATGCCAGAAGACATTTGTGGGATGAACGGATGGATAGAGTTAACGATCTTCAGATGTGGCTTGAAGAAAATAACAATACTTTTGTTATAGTTAGAGGCCCAAGAGGTTCTGGTAAACGTGATTTAGTTATGGAACATACACTTCATGATAGGGAAAATGTTCTATACCTGGATTGCGATAGAATTATCAAATCTAGAACTGATGCAAAATTCTTAAGAAATGTTGCACAAGAAATTGGTTATTTCCCAATATTCCCATGGATTGGCTCTGTCACCGGTATCATCGATTTAATGGTCCAAGGTCTTACTGGACAAAAGACCGGTCTATCCGAGTCGAAGGAAACCCAGTTTAGAAATATATTAACTACATCTTTAATGGCTATCAGACGTATTGCTTTAAAAAATTATAAACCTGCAATCAGAGAAGGTGAGACTACTATCAATGTTAAGGAAGAGGATTACTTACAACAGCATCCTGAAGCTAAACCAGTTGTTGTTATAGACCGGTTTGCTGGTAAATCTGATATAAACGGTTTTGTGTACAAAGAGATGGCTGACTGGACTGCAATGCTGGTTCAAATGAATGTTGCACACGTTATTTTCCTTACTGAAACAATAACATCGAATCAAATTTTGAGTGAATCTCTACCAAATCAAGTCTTTAAGACGATGATTCTATCAGATGCATCAAGGGAAAATGCAAGAAGTTATGTTTTATCCCAACTTCATGATAGTTCTGGAGGTCATTTCATAAAACCTCTAATTTCACAAGAGAACAATGAACTTGAAGGAAAGGAAAACAATGGGGAAATAGTAAATAATATAAATGAAGAGGATATCGACCCTCACCTTATTGAAGAACTCGATAATAATTTAGATCCACTAGGTGGTAGAATGTTGGATTTACAAGCTTTTGTCAGAAGAGTTAAGTCAGGCGAAGAACCAAAAAAGGCACTTGAGAAAATGGTAGAACAAGCCAGTGAACAAATTACCCAAATATTTCTCAGTGACAAAATTGAGCAAATTAAGAGTGCACAAGCTTGGGAATTAATTGAACTATTGAATGAAAACCCTGTAGTGAAGTATGAGGACATTGTATTCAGACCCTTATTTAAAGCGGCTCCTGAATTGGGCATTTTGGAATTAGAAAACAACGGATTAGTAAATGTTTCTAGAGATAGAGGTGTACTAAAGGATATTAGACCTGCAAAACCATTATTCAAAGCTGCTTTCCAATATTTGTTAGAGAACCAAGAGCTTTCAACTGTTTTGAAAACGCGTTACTACTTGAAAGTTATTGGGTTTGAAAACGGAAGAATAAAAAAATGGGAAGAAGAACTACCACAATTAGGGAAGATAAAAGATCCAAAATTATTTAAGGCCAGAGTAGATTACTTATCTGGTAAGATTACATTAAGTAGTGATGTGATTAATAATTGTGAGAAAATGATTAAGGAATTATCTCAAAAACCTAAGAATTAAGGGATACGTTTTCCAAATCTTTTTACGTGTCTATATCGTTTGATGACTAAATATTTAAATATTCGCAAATAAATAAAAAGAAAATACTTCCTATTTTCAACATTTTCTTCTTCTTTATATTGAAATGGGACAACGTTTTAAATTTATCACTGCGATTGTATTCAATTTAACTTAATCATTCCCCCTTCAGTTCTTTAGCCAGTCATGACACCCTTTTTATGTTCCGGAAAAGACTGAAAAATATAAAACTATAAATTATTAAAAACATCGAATGAAGATAATTAATTAATCATGATATGGAGAAATATGTGATATATACAAACAAAAGAGCAATTTGTTACTCCATTAGTAATAGTAGTTGGGACACTAAAGAAGAATACAAGAAAGTGATGTTGATCTCTCGTTGTAATCGACAATTTAGTCGTTCAATATATAGCTCGTGCAGTAAAACTCTGTTCAAGAGCAATCCGTTAATAACTGGACATTTTACTTCAGTAAAATATACTAATCAAACTATACCTCACAACTTATGCTTTAAAAGACTGAATCCAAGAAGGTTTACTACTGAAACTATAGTGAAGAAACCAGCCGAACCCATAGTGAAAACTACAACTACACCTACAAAAGCAAACCCACAAACTAAGACTCCAACAATTTCGGAATTGAAGATTCTTAAAGATCTTTTCAAATACATATGGCCTAATGGAGATAATAAAGTTAAATCAAGAGTTTTGATTGCACTTTCCTTATTGATTGGTGCCAAACTTCTAAATGTACAAGTACCATTCTTCTTTAAACAAACCATCGATTCTATGAATGTTGAATGGAGTGACCCAACAATTGCGCTGCCTGCAGCAATTGGTTTAACAATTTTTTCATATGGTGTTGCAAGATTTGGTGCTGTGCTATTAGGTGAATTAAGAAATGCTATTTTTGCAAAAGTAGCTCAAAATGCTATCAGAACTGTTTCGCTGGAGACGTTCCAACATTTAATGAAATTAGATTTAGGATGGCATTTGAGTAGACAGACGGGTGGATTAACGAGAGCAATGGATAGAGGTACTAAAGGTATATCATACGTGTTAAATGCAATGGTGTTCCATATTATTCCAATTACGTTTGAAATATCTGTTGTCTGTGGTATTCTTACTTACCAATTCGGTGCATCATTTGCGGGAATCACATTTACAACGATGTTATTGTATACTATTTTTACAATCCGTACAACGGCATGGAGAACTCAGTTTAGACGTAATGCTAATAAAGCTGATAACAAAGGTGCCAGCATTGCCCTGGATTCATTGATTAATTTTGAAGCTGTAAAATATTTCAACAATGAAAACTATTTGGCCTCTAAATATAACAAATCGTTAGTAAACTATAGGGATTCACAGATTAAAGTATCTCAATCATTGGCATTCTTAAACTCGGGTCAAAATTTTATTTTCACGTCTGCTTTAACCGCTATGATGTATATGGGTTGTACAGGTGTCCTTGGTGGAAGTCTTACTGTTGGTGATTTGGTTTTAATCAACCAATTAGTTTTCCAACTTTCTGTGCCATTGAATTTCTTAGGTAGTGTTTACCGTGAATTGAAACAATCTTTAATTGATATGGAATCATTGTTCAAATTGAGAAAGAATGAAATTCTCATTCAGAATTCCAATAATCCATTGGTAGTAACTCCACAAACTAGTAATAAAAATGGAAATCATGTCCCATTTGAAATCAAGTTTGAAAATGTCACGTTTGGCTACCATCCAGATAGAAAGATATTGAAGAATGCTTCATTTGTCATTCCTGCAGGGTCCAAGGCTGCGGTTGTAGGACCATCAGGTAGTGGTAAATCCACAATTCTAAAATTAGTCTTCCGATTCTATGATCCTCAACAAGGTAAAATACTCATCAATGGGGTAGATATTAGAGATATTGATATCAATTCTCTACGGAAATTGATTGGCGTAGTTCCACAGGATACACCGTTATTTAATGATACCATTTGGGAGAACGTTAAATTCGGTAGAATCGATGCTACTGAAGCAGAAATCAATGGTGTTATTGAAAAGGCTCAATTGAGAGGTTTAATTGACAAGTTACCACAGGGTTTAGAAACCATTGTTGGTGAAAGAGGTTTAATGATTAGTGGTGGTGAAAAACAAAGACTAGCCATTGCGAGAGTACTATTAAAGAATGCAGATATAATGTTCTTTGATGAGGCTACCAGTGCGTTGGACACACATACTGAACAAGCATTATTAAAGACAATCCGTTCTAATTTTAAAGATCGTTCAAGAACAAGTATTTACATTGCCCATAGATTGAGAACCATTGCGGATGCTGATAAAATCATTGTATTAGAAGATGGATCTGTAAAGGAAGAAGGTACACATATCGAATTACTATCAAGAGAACATTCGTTATACAAAGATTTATGGAACATACAAGAAAATTTGGATATGATAGAAGAAGTACTTGAGGAAGAAAAGGCACATGAGACCTGAAATAACTATAATAATAACCTATTTTGGTTTTTTAAGGGAAAGCCCAAAAGCAACAGAAACAATAAGAAAAAGAGGCACACGTCTGTAGATGGATAATGATATAACCTTATTTAGTATTACAATGACTCAAATATAACTAATAACTATCTTAAGAATGAATATTTTTGTTACTGTTGAAATAAAATAAGTTAAATTTAAATATATGACATTGAATCCTTCAGGAGTCAGTCAAAATACAAATTGTATTTTCTTGTTTTATCTCAGTAAAGTTTTACTTGAATATACCGTATGGCGTTACCATTTTCAGATGGGCTCTCTCCCTCTCTTTCTCTTGCTGTGTCTGTAGTGTGACCAATATATAATATATATATTTGACTCGGGTCGGTTTTGAATAGGTTCTGAATAGGTAAATAAATAGCCCTCAAACACCAAAATTTGATTCTGTTTTCCGCTCTCTCGAGACGAATTCAATGCGCACACAATTTTTTTTCGTTTTTTTAACTTTGCGGACAGTAGCAATATAGGGTGACCAATACTAATTAGAGTAATAATAACCACTGATGTTAACGAGGCAACCAGTATTAGATGAGGCCAAGAGTCATTTATTTTACTTCATATATATATACATATATATATTATATGATTACACTAAGGATAAATAATATAAGTATGAGGTATTGAATGGTTTTATATTTGTTTAAGTGATTTATTATATTCCTCTTTATTCTTTTCTCTATTTACATTTATTCATCTAATTTTTATTTTACATTTTTTTTAGCTTGATATTCTATTTATCAACGATTTTTTTAATAACATTCTTGATCATTAAGGTAGCAGATATAACTAATAATTCAGATTTTAATTAAGAAGTAACGGTTTTCATTACTTTGTGTTCAATATCTATACATACATATATATAACACTGAAGGTTTCTAAAGATAACTAGATTTGAGTTGATATATCGAAAATTAGTGATAGTGCACCTTTTTTAATATTAATAATATTTTTTTTTTTACATACAGATATTGAAATACTTAAAATATGTGTGGTATATTAGGTATTGTGTTAGCTAATCAAAAGGATACTGTTGCACCTGAGTTATGCGATGCATGCATATATTTACAACATAGAGGTCAGGATGCTGCTGGTATTGCAACATGTGGTGATCGTGGTAGAATCTTTCAATGTAAAGGTAACGGTTTAGCTCGTGATGTTTTCACTGAAAATAGAGTTGCTGGCTTAGCTGGCTCTATGGGTATTGGTCATTTACGTTATCCTACTGCAGGCTCTTCTGCTAATTCCGAAGCACAACCATTCTATGTTAATAGTCCATATGGTGTGAATATGGCACATAATGGTAATTTAGTTAATACCGTGTCCTTAAAGAGATATATGGATGAAGATGTACATAGACATATTAATACTGATAGTGATTCTGAACTTCTGTTGAATATCTTTGCAGCAGAATTAGAAAAACACAACAAGTACAGAGTTAACAACGAGGATGTGTTCCACGCTTTGGAAGGTGTATACCGTTTGTGCCGTGGTGGGTACGCGTGTGTTGGTATGTTAGCAGGTTTTGCTCTGTTTGGGTTTAGGGATCCAAATGGTATCAGACCTTTACTATATGGTGAAAGAACCAATGAAAATGGATCTATAGATTATATGTTAGCATCAGAAAGTGTTGTCTTGGATGCTCATGGATTCACTAATATTCGTGATTTGAAACCAGGTGAAGCTGTAATTATTCCAAAGAATTGCAATGCCGAAAACAAACCTGAATTTAGACAAGTTGTTGCCATGAATTCTTATAGACCAGATGTCTTTGAATATGTTTATTTTGCCAGACCAGATAGTATTCTTGATGGTATTTCCGTATATGAGACAAGATTGAATATGGGTGTTAAATTGGCAGAAAATGTAAAGAAGACCGTAGATCCTGCTGATATTGATGTTGTTATAGCGGTGCCAGATACTGCTAGAACATGTGCATTACAATGTGCTCATACTCTGGGGAAACCTTACCGTGAGGCATTTGTTAAGAATAGATATGTTGGTAGAACGTTTATTATGCCAAATCAAAAAGAACGTGTTTCCTCAGTAAGACGTAAATTAAACCCTATGAAAACTGAATTTAAAGGAAGAAATGTCCTTATTGTTGATGATTCCATTGTAAGAGGTACAACTTCGATGGAAATCGTTAATATGGCTAAAGATGCTGGTGCAAAAAAGGTATATTTTGCCTCTGCTGCTCCACCTATTCGTTATAATCACATATATGGTATTGATCTGACTGATAACAAGAATTTAATTGCATACAATAAGAGTGAAGATGAAGTTGCCGCCGCATTAGGCTGTGAAAAAGTTATTTTCCAAACTTTAGATGATTTAATAGACTGTTGTAAGAGTCAAAAGATCGATAAATTCGAAGTTGGTGTATTTACTGGGAACTATGTCACCGGCGTAGAAGATGGTTATCTACAAGAACTAGAAAGAGTTCGTGCATTAAACAAAAAACAACAGACTGCCCGCAAATCAGAAGTTGATGTCGGTCTGTATAATCTATGTGATGATTAGATTTTGCTTATATTATTTTGTTTATCATTATGGTATAAGTAAACTTACCTACATACCTTTTTCCTTTACAAATATTTATAAATATTTTTTTATTAAAACAAAACACCAATAATATAAACTGCTTATAGATACAAAAATAATATGATTCGTAAAATTGTCTAGTAAACATAGTATTTCTGATATGATATAAACCTCTCCCAGGCCAATGAGGGCATACATTGAGTTAAATTTTAATATGAAGTATATATCACTTTATACGATTTTCGTCACTTTTTTTGGACCATAGTTAGTAATTTGTTCTGTACTTCCAGACTTAAGGACTCATGCTATAATGACATCGTCAATAGCAAGTTAATTCATTAAAAGAAAACAACGAAAACTAAACCTAAGTTATCTTTGTATGTTGTCGCAATAACAATTATTGCTGATTGTTTATTGAACAAAAACATTGTAGGAAGGACGCACAATTTTTTATTTTTCAAGTCTGAATAATATACACCCAGGTATGGCTGAATTAAAAGGACCAACACCGTCAAAAGGAAGTAGTTCAGAAAAAAAGAATGAGGATGACTTAACAAATGAAGACGACGCTTATAATGCCATCTTTGGTGGAGATTTGGGCTCTCTGGAAATTGGGACCTATATTGGTGCAGGTGGAGATGAAGGGCACACACATCACTTACCAGATGCAATTGACTTTGAAGATGAAGATGAATTGGCAGAGGATGAACTCCCTGAAGAGGAGCCTGTTCAGAATCATACAGAGATAACTAACCATACAGTTCTAACGAAGCAGACTACATCTTCAGATGATCTAGATGCTGAATTATTGCATGCTACATTTGGAGGAATTATCCCCACTAGTAATGACTTTTCAGATACATTACAACAGAATACCGAACAGATAATGGATGGTAACTTACCAAATGACGAATTCCATGCAGGTAACAATGCTTTATTCATGGAAATGGACCACAGTAATCATTTCTTTTCAGATCAACAGACTAGTTTTAATGAATTTTCTAAGGATATTACTGAAGAACATATACAAACTGGCGTGGAAGAATTTGGGAATCAAGTTACAACAATAGGAATAAGTAATAATGAATCTGACGAAAAGCAGCACCAAGAAGAACAAAGAGAATTAGCCCTGAAGAAGAATAGGGAAAAAATAAAGAGAGACAAGTTACTATTGAAATATTATTTTCCTGACTTTAAACCAAATAAAATAATAAAATGGAACAGAGCAATATATAGAAAAAAACATGAATATCTGTGGCATTATAATAAGCTTAATATTGAAGGTCTCGATGAACTTTTCCCAACCGATCTTAAATTGCACGTTCAAACTGACCAAAAAAGATTATTTAAATTAGACACATCTACGAATGAAAACTATCTTACAAATCCTCATTCAAAAAATAAGGTTGATAGAGGTATAGTCAAGGTCTCAATCAATGAATTATACCCAACAGAAATCAAGAAACAAAATAAGGATGAAAATCAACATCAAGAAATATCCGAAGATATATTAATAGCCACAGACGATTGGGACGAGGAAAGAATGATTAATGGCTATTCTTCTGATGAAAGTATACCTGTATCAAATGGCCATGGTCCATCCAAGAGGATATCATTGATAAATAAATTGCAAGATAAAAATAGCGAATGGGAATGGAATGAAGATGACCTAATCGATGCTAAGTTGAGGTCCTCAAGGGTTGCTGAATTAGATATGAATGATGAACAGTTATTGTTATTACTAGAAAATAAGCAGAATGTCGAATCGAAGAAGTTACGTGATGCCATGCGTTCTAGTACGTCTGTCAATGAAAAATTGATTTTACAAAAGTTTAAAATATCCAACGATGAGGAGTATAATGTATTGAGAAGAGCACATCAACCAAGAATACGTGCCACTATATCCAACTTAAACATCGAACACTCTCAACCAGCCATTAATCTACAATCTCCATTTTACAAAGTTAATCCATCTAGAGCATCTTTAAGATATTATCACAGACCTCGTTTCGGTCAACATCTACGTCCCGGGATGGTCATTACGTTTAGTAAGCTGAAAACTAGAAAAAGAAAACGTGATAAGGGTAAAGATATTAAGGAATCATTTGCAACAACTCAAGACTTAACTATCGGTGATACTGCACCTGTTTATTTGATGGAATATTCTGAACAGACACCATTGGCATTATCTAAGTTTGGTATGTCAAACAAATTGATTAATTATTACAGAAAAATTAACGATGGTGACATGATAAGACCAAAGTTGCCAGTTGGTGAAACACATGTATTAGGTGCGCAAGATAAATCGCCATTTTGGAATTTTGGCTTTGTAGAACCTGGCCAAATTGTTCCAACATTGTATAACAACATGATTCGTGCTCCAGTATTTAAACATGAAGTTTCAGGTACTGACTTCCTTCTGGTTAGAAGCACGGGTAATGGTATCAGTAATCGATTCTTTTTAAGAAATATCAATCATTTGTTTGCAGTAGGTCAGACATTTCCAATTGAAGAAATTCCTGGTCCAAATTCAAGAAAGGTTACATCCATGAAGGCAACTAGGTTAAAAATGATCGTTTACAGAATATTGAATAATACACCAAGCAAAGCTATATCTATCGAACCTATTAATAAACATTTTCCAGATCAAGATTACGGTCAGAACAGACAAAAGGTTAAAGAATTTATGAAATACCAAAGAGATGGACCCGATAAGGGGTTGTGGAAATTAAAAGAGGGGGAACCTCTACTAGATAATGAAAGTATCAAGAAATTGATTTTACCCGAACAAGTTTGTGAACTAGAATCAATGAGTCAAGGTTTACAATTCTGGGCCGATAATGAAAACTTTAATTTCGATGATGAAACGTTACAGCTAGAAGAGAGTCTACTGCCTTGGAACTCTACCAAAAATTTTATTAATGCTACCCAATTGAGAGCAATGGTCCAAGTAAGTGGATCTGGTGACCCAACTGGTTGTGGGGAAGGTTTTTCATTCCTTAAGGCATCGATGAAAGGTGGGCATTCAAAGAGTGCAAATGGTAAAGGACCTGGAAGAAAGACTAATAGTACTAGTGCGGGGCATGGCCCTGGTGGAATGACTCAACAACGTATGTATGATCACGAAATTTCCAGGACATGGTATAGACATGCGAAAAGTTTAAGCATCAATAATCCATTTGAAGAGATCAGTGCTCCGGATTCTTCCAATACTTCAAATCGTGAGGTCAACATAAAAAGGAATGATAATAAAGTTTTGAGAATTACTCGTAAGAAACGTGATCAGAATGGTATTATTCAGAGACAGACTATTGTGATCAAGGATCCTAGAGTTATAAAGGGTTATCTGAGGGGTAAAGAAATACGTAAACAAGCCAATTTAGATGTCAATAGATTATTAGAAGAAGATAACCCTAATGTTAATAATGTGGAGGATATTGAAATGCAAAAGAAATTGTTACAAAACGAATTAGCATCTCTAGAAAAGTCGCAACAAAGAAGAGTTGCAAGACAGACATCTAAGAAACCAATTATTGGAGAGGACGGTAAAGTAGTTAAAACAAGAATTAGAAGATGTGCTACTTGCGGGCAACCTGGTCATATTAAGACAAATAAATCATGCCCGATGTATCACTTGAGAAATAGCACTGGAGGAGACACTCCTGCAAGCACGGCTGCTAGTACTGGCCCCGGAACACCTGCCTACATTGCACCCACCCCTGGCAGCACCACTGGCGATCAGCATATAGATCCGTAAATACATATACAATAATAATTAGAGATAATATATGTATATATTTCAATAGGTATATTCGTTGTTGTTTTTTGAATTATCTGACCAATGGTATTTAATAGACGCATATCCAAGTATGCTCAATATATAATTGTATAAAAGTATCAACTAAGATTATTGATTTATCTATTACATATTAAAGATGGTAGATTCCTTACACATTGTTTGAACCAGATCTTCATCTTCATTATAACCAACATAGGCGACGTAACCTGGTTCACCCTTTGGTTCGCCCAATGGGTAGTGAATTGGACCTATATTGACATTTTCTATCATACAAAATTTCAAATGTTGATTATTTGGCTCATAATCTCTGGTAATTCTCTTCATAATGGTCTTATATTCACCTCTTTTATCACAACTTGGACCCCCACGGGCCCATATTTTCAACACGGAGGTATTGGTACCAACCGGCTCCATAATTGGAGTACAATGGAACCATTCATAATTAATCTTCGTACTATATTTGAAGTATTCTACAGCAGCAACCAAACTTAAAGCGATTGTAATGCATTGCAATAGGATAGGAATTCTGCTACGAGGAGATGGTTCTGAAGAGGGCGAAGCTGTACGTGTAATTTTTTCATCTGACATAATTGAAAGTAGGATTGATTTATATTGAAGTGTATAGATTAATAAATCTTAGTTATTTAACTCTTTCTTATATGTTTATATCAAGTTTCGAAAACCTTCTTTCCTTGGGTATCGTTATATTGTTTCCTTGTATAAATATTTTCTCGTTAAAAAGTATAAACAGTGAGAAACAATTTGCTAAACAAACATTGATTCACAGAGCGAGCGATTGTGAGAAGATTATAGGGGACTTTGAAGAATTTTATGGCCTTCTGTGACAGTTTTTTCAAATGGTTTATTATTATTATTATTATTATTATTAAGAGGAACTAGATAAGAAAGAAAGAAAATAAAGAGACCTATATGTATATATATGTATATATATATATTTAAAAAGGATGTTGTATGAATGTATACAAATAACGAGAAATCCTCATTCATTGGATTACGTATTGATACAACTAACTAGCCAGTAGGAGGGAGGATGGGGAAAACTAAAGTAAAATAAAAGATGAAGTAATAACTTAATACAGCGAAGTCCTGGTTGTAGTCCCATTTCTTGTAATTGTTTCATTAAAGTTTTAATTCAGCAATCCATTCGTTAACCATAGATAGAGAGTTAGCAGGTTGGTCATATGGGACCATATGACCACCATCGTAAATTCTTAGATAAGTCAGATTATCGAAACTCTTTACTTGACCTGCTTTTTCACCAGTGATGAAAGCAGTCCAGTCACGGATCTTTTGAGATGTAAATTCTTCATGATGTTCCCATGGTAGTTCATCAGTCCACGCTCTGTTACCTAACCAATTACAAATGAAATCCTTATCACCAGCATAAATTAAGACAGGTAGACCCTTGTCCAATAGGTCAGTAACAGCTCTATGATATGGTTTCATCCAGTCACCATTGAATAAGAAATTTCTATTAATATCAAAATTACAAGATTCAAAATGACTAACTTCGGCACCAATAGCTTCTTGGACGTATTCTTCATTCAAATAAGAATCGATATATTCCATATCGGAATAACATAATTGACCTTCACATTCTTTTCTAACATCATATACATTTTTACCGGTACGTTGGAAAGGTGCTAATTGAGCATTATTACAATAGATAGATGCTGGAACACAAGTCCAAACAGATTCGGATGCATAACATGATTCAATTAGATTCAAACAACGATCCAAAGTATCGTTCATAGCGGCACATTGTTCTTCTGGAAGAACGGCAGGAGCATCACCTCTACCACAAGCCATAGGTTCGTAGTAACTATATTGAGTTAAAGGATCAGTTAAACCATTACCAATCATAACAGAGGTCAAGTTGAAATTTCTTTCCTCATGTGCAAGAATCTCAGAAGCAAACACTGGGATATAATGACCTGCATATGATTCACCTGCAATATGGAAGTCCTGAGTAGAATATTCAGGGAATTGTTTAAAGAATAATTCGAGAAATGCATATACATCTTTACCTGCAGCAACAGTGTTGGATACACCCTTGGAGTCGCCGGAATAAGAAAACCCAACATTAACAGGTTGATCTAAGAAGATAACAGATGCATTTGAGTTCCAAGAAGAGGGATTATAGATAGGTTTAATCTTTGGACCAATGGAAGAAGGGCCTAATTCGAAGAATAAACCTGTCATCGAAGAACAACCAGGTCCACCATTCAACCACAGAATGATAGGGTCATTTGCGGGGTCATTTCTAGATTCGAAGAACCAGTAGAAGAAATGCTTATCTTCGTCTTCTACATCTAGATAACCAGTGTATTGTTTCACGTCTGGGTCGATACCTAATTTTTTTGCGTCCTTAATCTTATTCACACGTAATTGATAGTTTGAGAATTTTGCATCAGTTTGAACAAAATCCCAGTTAAATTTAGGAACGATATCGAATTTAGGTTTAGTAGTAAATTGAATATCAGCAATTAAATTGGGGAATCTTTTTGGGATATCCTTCCATGCATCCAGGACGTCCTTAGATAAGTCTGCTGGTGCACCTGATAATCCTAGGGAGTTGACAACATTGTTTAAAATACTGTTTTCGTTATCGAAAGCAAAAGGTTGTTGAAAGGAGAACCCTGAAACAGCAACAACAGCTGTTGCAAGGGATAAAAGTAGTTTTTGGGTTAGCATTACTTGGAGATAGTTTTTGAAGGGACTCACCAAAAAAAATAAATAGAGAGAGTCTTAAACAGTATATTATCTACAATTAAAAATACTTAGTTTCCAAATCTTAAAACTAAATATAGCAATATAATAACAGAGGTGTTTCGAAAGAAACAAAGAAGATAATACCTGGGATAAAGTGACTAATTATATATAAATATAAATATAAATATATGTGTGTGTATGTGTGTAAGAGGAAGAACGAAAAAAGGAATAGGAACTGTATTATTGTGCGAGAAAAAAAAGGGGCAGCGCAACACAGGGCCCACCAGATAGCGAGTGGGGTGTCTGCAGAGCGATACAATGACTGTGATGTGATGATAACAGGAAGAGCACCCGTACCGACATCGTGACTACATAGCTAAATGAGGATTACAAGAGGTACATCGGCCAGTTCGATAGAGGGTTTTGACGATTTCGTTTGGTCTTTCTTTGTGTGTATCTCTCCATATATTTCTACAATTTATAGTGTAGGACGCAGTTGGGGTTCAACAACATAGCAAGAACGTATAAATAATATATGACTATTAATAATGTACCGGGTCAACCACTCTTATCATTTTTATTGTATATAACGCATTATGATAAGTATTCAGTTTGTAAGTCGTCTCTATGGTAGTAATGGAGCATAATACAAATAGATAAGTAACGAAAGAAGAGAAATAGCATCAAATATATTGTTATGCATTGGTAGCATTGGCTTGCGAAGTATTGTGTTCAGGATAAGTGGTTCATACCTTATAGAAATTTTTGCGAAAGAGGATAACAAAGAAGTGATTTTTAGATATGTCTCTAAAATAACTACTAGCCCGGATAACAACTCATTCATTCATTCAGTTAAATGATTGCGTATGGTGATGGGAGGTATAACGATGCCGCACCGCGGTTGTGAAGCGATCCGGCCTTACGCACAGCCTAAGAAAAAATAGTCACATTTTGTTCGTAACGGGTATTGTAATTAATTGATAAGGAGATGAGAAGTCGTTGAACATGATGTTTAACATTACAAAGAAGAAGTAGCTTCACATCTCTGAGTCGGGTAGCTTGCATTATACACATTATTGTTTCCAATTTGTTTCTTATATGTTTCTCATGTATTTCCGATACCAAATGTGTTATCTCCTGTCAGACAGACAAAAATTGGTAGTGTGGTATAAAGTCAAGAAAGGTGGCATCTGGGAACCGAATTATGGTGTATCTGCCGTACTTAGGCTTGCTTGGAGGAGGCGGGAGCTCGTCTCTTTTCAGGGTGGGTTAGCAGATCTGCTTGTAACTTTATTAGGGTTTCTACGTGACCTGAATTGGGGATAAAAATAATGTGTATAACATTAAATCTGAAAACTGGAGCTCCATTGTTTAAATAACTGACTAATAACCTAGCATTTCAGTGGTAGTGTTGCTTTTATTTACATATTGTTAACCAATTACTAGCTGACAATTTTGATATTTATCTATTTAGTGCTATTAAATCCACCTACGTTATTATATCAGTTGTTTTATGGTGAAAATTCTTTTCTCCCTTGTTCCCGCATTAATATGCATAACTATATAGCATTTTCTTTTCATTACTTTTTGCAAATGATAGATCATGTACAAATTATTCAATTCACATCTGTTTCTTATATACTTCAGATTAGGTGGCATTAATTGTAGTTTTCCTCATCTGGGTCGTCATTTAATCTTATTCAATTGTTATCATCGTATATAATACAAATAAGACTCAAACTAGTTAACAAGAGGGGATACGTATGATTGCAGACGTAAGGAATTAAAATACAGTAATACATGCAGTTAGGTTAACAATGCCCTGATACCACTAAATTAGGGGTTTGATATAGGACGGGACGGGCGCACCCATTACTTTTTAGATACTAAACTGGAAGCGAAACTCTTTTTCAATGCAGCGAGAATTTCAATTTCTCTCCCCGATGCCTAGTCGCGCTGCGGAGTATCACCTCGGACCATAAACCACCATTTTCCATTTTGTTTCCAATGTGTTTCTGATATCCTTCTTTGACCTTATATTAGACAAAAGTCGAATTTGGCAACTTTGTTGAATTCTCGCCAGAGAAATCTTGGTAGAGGGACTCCCGTGCCTATTGTTTTGTTTTTGCTGCCCACCACCACTGCTGGCGGGATAAGATTTAAACTAGACCGGGGCTAGGCAGGCGGATGGAGGGGAACAGCTTATCTGTTTGCTCGACCCGACCAAATGAAATAAAAAGTTTAGCCCCAAGCTACTCTAACTATTCGGATCCTTAACTGAGTTGGCTTCAAGTCAAAGGAGGGGGGGCGCTTATTTCACTTGCAAACGATCCGCTGCCGTGTATATTTCAAAAAACAGGGAAATGAGTAAGTTACCGAGGGCCGGTCGGCGCTCAACGGACAACAAAACGTTTCCATACTGTTTCCAGATCATTTCTGATCCCATATATGTATTTATTTAGCGCAGGTGCGCGGGACACAGGCCAGGGGAAATTCCCAGATTGAAAACCGTTTCCATCCTGTTTCCGTGCGGTCCCGCCCATCAGATCATAGCTTGTTTTTTTTAGACTGAAATATTTTCTCCCTCGGCTGGAAAATGGTTACAAGGAACGGGAGGGGCCAGAGAAGAAGCTGTGGTTAAGCTGAGATGAGCTAGGCGGACTTTGTTGATGTAAATATGTAAACAAAAGTATCCACATTTTGGATAGAACAAGACATTACGGAAACGTACTACTAATTTCAGTAATTGTATGTGTGGGATCCATACAACGATGAGATTATAAAATGAAAAGTAAATCTTAACTAAAATATTTCTATTTTTGTTTCGAAATGGACAATTTCGGCGACCTAGTAAAATAAAAAAAATGATAGATATTGTAACAAACTCTATAATTAATAATTTCGGTCGGTCTCTAATTGGGCTTTCGTATCATACTACTTATACGCTTTGTTCTTCAAACGAATGTTCACATTCTTGGAGGAGAATGAAACAATGCTATTATATATGAGACTCCGTTTCTAAAAAGTTTCTAACCTGTTTCTTTCTGCCAACCATGTTTTACTCCATAGGCTCATGTAATACGCATTATACAAATTAACAGTAGAGAGACATATATATATATATATACGTACGCAATTAGCTCAGCGTGTAGCGTAGCCAATGGAGGGGCAAACTCCGATCGCTTAAGATATCGTGATACACGAGTATCACTTAATACGGGCACACAGCGTATTTTTGTTTATATCTATTTTGTTTATTTTTAATTTTCACTGAAGTGTAAACAACAGGATGGCGCGCGTACGAGACTTTTTGCTCTCTGCGTACTCTGCACTGTGGGACGTTGAGATGGAAATTTTTTTCTTTCTTTCTTTCATAGCTGCATTTTCTTTATACTTTTCTAAAGGAAAGCTTTCAATACTCAAATCAATTTCGTTATAATCTCTCTCTCTCTCATTGCTAGAGTTGTTGATTCCCACGACCTCGGAGGTGTACGGGGGAGGAGGATATGGGTATGTATGTAAGTGTAGACACATACTGTAATATTATTTTTATATTCTTCTAATGTAACTTGATTCTATATTTCCCATTCTGTATTGTGTATTATTTTTTTCATAGTGAAATAAACTGAATGAACCTGTTTGTTCTGTTTTATATTTTTTGACTGATCTACATTTGTATACATTGACTCGTTTGCTCAACATTAGATATCAAGTACTTTAGGTCTCTGCAAGATAAGTAATAACAGCAACAACAACAACCAAAAAGCACTTAGCAAAAAGAAAATATTCAATCTAAATACTCGCTGCCAAGATGATGCATTTTAGAAGGAAGTCTGGGTTGTCCAACCACTCAGATGAAAAACGTCACTCAAAGGTAGAAGTCTCCAAAGAAGATGCCGAGAGATTAAAAGTTAGAACTGCATCTGTGAATGATCCGATCCTAGATGCCGTGCAAGAGGCTCAACCTTTCGAACAAGCTGCTGATACATTCCATGACAACATGAACAGACAATCATATTTCTCCAATGACGGTACCAATATCTTGACTGATGTCTTTGGTCAACCTATTAGTCAACCAGACATCTCAAATCCAACAAGAGCAAGAGATGAAAGACCTTTAGATACTATTAGAAGTTTTGAATATGCCGTATCGGGTGATCCTTATTGGTCACAACAATTAGAGACTCCACAGTATGGGTTCAACGTTAGACCTGATTTCCCATTGGCTCAACCATTTGAATCTAATCCATACGGTCAACAACAACAACAACAACAGCAACAAGCTATATATCAACCACCTCAAGCTCCTGCTGATGATGGTAAAAAAAAGAAGAAGAGGAACTGGTTTGGGAAGAAGAAGAAGAAGAACTAGACCTTTGGATGGTTTAAACCAACCTGTCTTCATAAAATAAAATAAAAAAACACATACCAATTTCTTAACATTCAAACTAATAAATTAAACTTAACGTTTCCTTTTTTCTTAATACTTATCGAAACATTTTATTATTTTCTCTATTACTTTCTCATTTCAAGATAAAATTCACTTTTAATATTACTTGTTCCCGAGTATCATACTCATTCACGCACTTATATATATATATATATAGAAATATATATTTCACCTCTGAAGTGAAATAAGAAATGTCAAAAGATTTCTTCCTTAATATGCAGATCTAAATTTGTTAAATTATATATACTCATAAAACAAGCACTTTTATTTCCCTATTCACCTGAATTATATATATATATATAATATTGATCTATTTATTAATAGTAAGTAATCTAGTATTTTTGAATAACTACAGATTTGTGTATTATAATGTAGTCAACAGTGATCTCATTTTATCCCTTCATCAGTTGAAGTGATTCTAATTTTTCAATCCTTTACTACCTCTAGATATTTTACGTATTGACCAAGCGTAAATCTATTAACATCTCAAGAAAGAAAAAAAATGCAAAAAAAAGGGAGCTAAGACATACTTCATCTAAATGTTATATAAAAACAAACTGTTACAACAAGTACATCCAGTTTGAAAAGAACCAAACTCGATGATATCAACAATATGTCCGTAAAATCAATTATCACTAAAATTCCAACGATTCAAAAAGAATTTAATATTTTTACTTCATATATCAAGAATCCACCTGATGCTACCGTTGAAAATACCCAGTCATCCATTAAGGTTGGCGCAATAAAGGATAATATTGCAACTAAAGATTTTCCCACAACATGCGCATCTGATATACTTAAGAATTACTCTTCTCCATTTGATTCTACTGTTGTATCATTATTGAAAAAGAGTGGTGCTCTAATAATAGGGAAGACGAATCTCGATGAATTTGGAATGGGTTCACTTGGGTTACACACCACTTTCGGCCCAACAAAGAATCCATTGAATAAAGATTGGTGTGTTGGGGGATCATCTTCGGGGTCTGCTGCCGCAGTAGCCTCTGGTATAGCAGATTTTTCTCTAGGAACAGATACAGGTGGTTCTGTAAGGTTACCAGCTGCTTATTCAGCAATATATGGGTTTAAACCATCGTATGGTAGAATATCTAGATGGGGTGTTGTTGCATTCGCTCAATCATTAGATACTGTTGGCATATTTGCAAACAATATTGATACCGTTTCTAAGATCTTCCACATCATAGATCAACACGATCCTCGAGACCCAACGTCTCTGAGTATAGACTTGAGAAAATCACTAATAGATCAGAACAAAAAAAATGAAGAGAGATCAAAACCTAAAATAGGTATTCCAAAAGAGTTTGTCCAATCTGAGCTGGCACCAGAAATCAAAGAATCATTTATGACGTATATTCAAACTCTATTGACGAAAGATTACGAAATATATCCAATATCACTACCATCAATCAAAGATTCCTTATCAGTATATTACACTTTAGCACCTGCTGAAGCGGCGTCAAATCTTTCAAGATATGATGGGATAAGGTATGGTAAGGGGAACAGTACAACCCCAGATATAGTAAATGCTAATTTCTACAATGAATCTAGATCAAATTTTGGTCAAGAGGTTAAAAATAGAATTATATTAGGTAACTACAATTTATGTTCAGATGGATACAGGAATAATTTTATAAAAGCACAACAGCTGAGAGTTCAAATAATTAATCAGTTTGACAAAATATTTAGGTTCAAAAACGTTTTAACAAAGAATGAACCTGAACATGATATAGACATAATTCTTTGCCCGACAAATTTAAATCCACCTCCCCCAATAAATTATATGGTACAGACTCCCAAGAGTAATCCATTACAGGAATACATGAATGATATTTTTACTATACCCATGTCCTTGGCAGGGCTACCAGCTATATCTGTTCCCTTTTCAAAAGGGAAACCATACGGTGTCCAGATTTCAACCCAATATGGTAACGATGAAGCTTTAATGAAATTTGTCAAAGAAACTGTTTTCTAAATTTACTGATAATAATCAAAAACGTTAAGAATGAGAAACTGTGTATCTATTTGTTTTAATTAATTAATTATTATATATTCTTTATACAACTTTGAGCATGTAAATATTATGTACATTGATATGTTGTTATGTTTTTGTACATATACATATAGAATAGTCCCTTATAATGTATATAGATAATCAAATATGCTCATATTGGATAATACATTTACACTGGCAAAACTCTTACACCTGCAAGTTTATCGATAACTGGGGCGATTACAGGATGTGATAGGATTGGTCCAATAATAGGCATGGATCTTAAGAATTGGACAATAACACCAAAGAAATCACCGAATAGACCCACAATACCAAGTGATTCAATTATAAACCCGAGAAATGTCCATTTGATTAGAATTAGAAATATACCGAACAGGAAAAAGATCGACCCACGTCTCTTATTTGGCCTTGTGAAAAATACAACAGTCTTTTGGGAACCAATAATTAATATGACGCCAATCAAAAATAAAAGGTTACCAAGAGCCAGTAAAGCACGATCAAAGAATGTTATTATACCTAATATGAAGAAAAGAAATCCACCGAATGTGAATGCAACACCAAACTCTTCAAGTAAAATAGATATTAAATGATTTATTATCTTGGAGAAAAATCATTCAACGTCGATAGGTTAGTAAAACGAAGCTTTAAATGAGGATACATTCATTATGACAGCTGTCAAAATTGCTGCCTCAATGTTTATGTTGAATTTAGATATTGAGGATACATACTTTGGGATTCAGATAGCCACATAATTAAATATCGGTTAGAACAAAGTTATTGATAGTATGACAAGTTATTGTTTCAGCTAACTAACAACGACTTTTGTTATATAGCGGATGATGACTTTCTTGTTCGAAGAACTCTAAAAATATTTCACTTTCGTGATTATCGATAAATACCGTTCGCGTCGTGTATAGCGACCCATCTTATAATGTGTATATTTATATCTACATTAAGAACAGTGTGCTTGCCATGACGCACAATCAGTATTTAAACCTTATATAACTATAAGTTGTCTAAATTAGTAAAATAACTGAATTCAGAAGCATTATACATACTGAAAATAACATCTATTAAGGTGTTGTGAACAAAATTTGATAGTCATTTGTGGAAACTCAAGAAAACAGCTTAAATAAACTAAATAATAGATGTTTAATTTAAGTTGAGATTTCAAATTTTTTTGTTTTCATATATATATATATATATTTATTTAGCTTTAAAACCTGGTGGAGGTTGAAACTTTTTCGCTTGTACAGGAATGCCACTACTGGTCTTTCCTTTATATTTAGATTCATTTGGCTTACTAATTTTACCATCATTTGAGCCTTTCTTATTTTTGTTTTGTTGTTTCTTTAATACCTTTTGTTGTTGCTTTTCCTTGACTAAACGCTCTCTCTTCGATATGAGTGGTTTATCCTGTACTACTGTAGTCAAAATATGTTCACCTCTTAAGATCACTAAACCTAATGTTCTTTTCTCAACTTTAACTTCATCAATAGTTTTGTTTTGTCTCAATTTCAACTGTTCTTGTTTAGGTATCCTTTCTTCCACACAATCACTCAAAATTACATTCATATGTTTATCAAATGCCATCAACTCCCCGATATATACTCTTCCATCTTCAGTAAGAACCCTTAATTTATATCCTACTAGGTCTGACAACCTACTGTTGTGCTTGACTGATACATGTGACATATTGTTTTTAAATTGTGTAAGGCTTATGCTTTTTAACCGCTCTTTACTTCAGGTTACAATTATCAAAGAAATTTCTCAAAAATAAAATATAATGTACAGTAAATTTAAACTGTTGTAATTCACTATCTATAAAACAGTTTATTTGAAAATCTATTGATTGCAACACTAGCTGTTCTGTTATACTGGTTCATTTTATTTCATAAAATTTTCAAAGTAGTCTTTATCCCCTCCGGTTAGCTCAATATTCGCAGAGTAATTCAATTTTTCACGCTCTGAAATTTTAAATATTGAAAATATAATCCATTTTTAAGGTCAAAATTAAGCAAACTTAATAGATGAAAGCAAAGAATACTCATTTATATCGATTGATTAAATTATAAAAGAAGTATAGGAACTGTAGTTACCATTAGAAAAAGGGACATAATATACCAATAATAACACTATGTCAGAAGCAAGTAAAGTTGTAGACCAAAGTAAGAAGAAACGTAGAAGAAGAAATTACGACGATTACGATAATGAAATAGCTCAAGAGGAAAAGGACCTGAAGCAACAGAAGAAGAATAAAACTTCAGTCCAGGGTAAAGAGGGTGAAGAATTATCCAAATCAGGCTCTACTAATGAAAAGAAAACCTCAGAGGATGACTCTGATTCGGAATTCGATGATGAAAAATTGGACAGATTGATGGGTAATGAGCTAGAAGAAGAAGAAGACGATTTGACTGAAATTGATACAACAAATATTATCACTAGTGGTAGAAGAACTAGGGGGAAAATAATAGATTATAAAAAAGCTGCAAGGGAATTGGATAATGCTGAAAAGAAAACAGACTCATCTACCGAAACAAAGGATCAAGGTGATGATGATAACGACGATGACGAAGAAGCTGACGATGAGGAGTTCAAAGCTTAATAAAGATCATTATAACCTTATTTTATCTATTTCATTTCTATTACTGCTATTTAGTGTATATACATATCTATTCACAGAAATTTAATCTATGTACGTATAGCTGTTTCCTCTTATGGGTGATATACCATTAGATTTATAGTAATTAATAAAGAGAGAACATAAATATTTTTGTTACCCGAACATTGATTTCCCTTTTCGGCAAAGTGTCAACACATCTCGAAAATTATTTCCCATCTCGAAATGTCAATAAAACGAACCTTATGATCTACATAAACATCAAATAACTGATTCATTCAAGGAACAACACGATAACCAAACCGGCATTAGCACTTCGAGAATTGCATTAAATATATATGTATATATTCTATTGAGAGAAACAAATTTTTGTTATATATCCTAATAAGAAAACAAAATTTGAAAACAAAAAGAGAGGACTCCATAGAATGTTGAGCACACAAAGTTTTTCGAAATTGAATCATACTCGATCAGATCAATATGATAACGATGAAAACTTAAACTCAGGACATAATTTATCAGAAAAGTCACCGATTAATATGAGATCTAAAATTAGTAACTTTAACCTTACTACACGTTCGGACCTTTCGTTACCCCCTATTGATAATCGTGTCCCTTACAAAATTACTTCAAAAATAAATAACAACAGGTCTCAAGTTCGATTTTCCATTCCAGACCCAAATTTGGTTAACGATGATTGTTCTTATATATCAATATCAAACTCCCCACAAAAAATTGTGTTTCCTAAAGAACCTATTGAAAATGCAAAATTTGACGACGGAGAATTGACAAGTATATACTCCGACCCTCTAACAACATTTCCAAATTATCATAGAGATCCCAAATCACCAATTAAAAAGGTAAATAAAATTCCGTTGAAGGATAGATTGAACTTAGTAGACTTACAAACAAAAGTGATGATAGATGTACCTGAAAGTATATGGAAGTATCATAGAACCCACAGATCAAAGGAGGATTCCAACAATAATAATAGTAATAATAAAGATAGCATCCGTGGTCATAGGAAAACAAAATCAATGCATAATATTTATAATCCCTATAGAGACGTCGACGCTATCAATAAATCAAACATATCACCGGAGACCCATGAATGGACTCCATTTCACCAGAAATCTAAATCACTACAGTCAATAATTGCAGAAACTGTAAAGATATATAATGAAGAAGAACAGGCTAAATCAAATGAAGACATATCATTATCCACTTTTAACGAAACTGTTAGCACCATATCACCGCTTAATATACGGCAGCCAGGGAGATACACAAAAATTACAAAGAAACATGATTTGTTTTTAACCTCAGAATCTCCATTAAATAAATATAAAGTTTCAGTACCATTGGAGATTAATCTACCTCCATATTTATCACCTCATAATAAAGACAAAAATTACCATAGAAGGAGCTTAATTTATAATGGCCAAGGTTATAGTACGTTTAATACTGACTCAGAAGAGACAATATCAGAATCCGAAATATCAGAATCGATACATGAGGACAGCAAAGAATCTGATTTTGTTACTGATTCACTTATCGGTGACGATTCTCTGCCATATGCAACCAATAATATATCAATTGATGTGGGAAATAAAACTGTAAAAGATACAGACTTATTCCTCGGCATCGATGAAGAAGCTAACGTGAACTTGAAAGTTCAAAACAAAAATATAAGATCAAATTCGAAACCTCCTAAACAACCACCTCTTCCAGCAAAGGATACCCAATTCAAATCTTCAACATCAATCAATAATGATATTACAAGTCCACATACAAAATCCTTGCAACAGAGTTATTCAAGACCTACAAGTGATGCGTTAGAAATTCTTGCGACTCCATCCAAGAGTATAGTCATACCATGCTTAGATGATGAAGATTACCAAACACCAAAAGTCCCAAGTACAAATGGCTCATTGAAATTTTTTGAAAACTTTGAACCTCTTTCCAATGAAGAGCAAGACACCTTTAACACAGATAAATACCCGAGAAGAGTTGAAGGTAAATTGAATCTTGCGTTTAAATTTCCATTCAATGAGACAAATAATCAAGTGGCTGAAAGACGTCAAGTTAATCCAACCGATGAAACTATGGACTTCCTAAAGGTTGCTCAGAAGCCGTCAGATCCAGAATTTGAAAATAGACGACAACGATTAATCCACAATCAATCAGCGAATAACTCACCTGTTCATAAATCGGGGCATGCACATAGAAGAACTCAAAGTATTCATAATATTGAGTTTACCACATTTGATAGCCTGACAACTCCTCAAGCATCAGTTGACGCTGCATCAACTCCACAAAAAGAGAGTACGACAGAATTGGAAATCCCAGTAAGATCTCAATTCAGAAACCAAACTTCAGTAATAGTGGAGTCGCCTATTATTAAAATTACTCCGCCTCACAAGAACACACAAGATAGTATAGTATTTATCTCTGAAAGGATTATATCATCTTCGCCGAAACCTAAAGTATGTAACGGTAGTAGACCCCTATCTTCGATTCAGTCATTCAGTAAGCCGGTATCTTATAAAGATGTTGGAAATATGCACTCAAGCGAAAATATATTGATGCCAGAAGACGTTCTCGACAGTAAAACGGTACCTATTAAAAATTTTAATAGTCTATCTCCCAGACGAAGTTTATCAAATAATGGTAGCCATCAGTCGTCCTCTGTAACATCTTACACGAATTCTCAATTTTCAAAAGCCTCATATAATTCAACCGAAACAGATATGGAGGCTGTTGAAGAGATAGAAGAAATTGAATTAATTAAAAGGAGTAATATTCCTGTTGATGTGTCGTTCTCACTAAAAGAAAAGAAAGAAGAGAATGACATCAGTTTTGAAATAATTAAGGAGTATAAAAATGGTAAAGAGGTTGATGTTATTGTATTAAATGATGTTGAAGAATCTGCGAATGACACATCTAAAAGGAAAAGGAAATTAAAAAGTACGCGAATAACAAAAAATAAGGATTATAATGCGATCCTTGATATGTGTGAAAATACGGCATCTGAAGCAAAAGATATTATCTACAAATTGGTGTCAGAAACAGAACCACTGAATGTGAATGAAAGTGGTAAAAAGAATATGCATCACACCTCTCAAGAAAATGAGCAACGTGAACGTTACTTAAAGAAATTTAACAGGACAATGAGAGTAACATCAAAAATAAAATAGACACTTCATAAATTATAAATAGTATATTTATATAAAATTTACTACTTAGAAAAGTAAATATATCTTTTCTCTAATGAAAACTTGTGGTTGTCATAAATCTTTAAAACACATCTAAGTTGGTATACTGTCTATGTTGAGCAATATCGGTTGCCGATTTAAATTTGTATGATTTAAATTATAAAATTTACACTTTTATTTATATCTAGAAATAAGGAAACTCTTTTGATTGAAATTAAGACATCAAAATTACAATTTATAATTGTTTCATGCAAAACAAGCATATGCGAATGATAGACAACTTGTACTTATGTATTATGTTGTTTCACTTTTGGTGAAGCAGGTGCAGAAGTATTAGAAGCAGCCTCTTGGATTGGGCTCAGCGAATATGTACTACTCCTAACATATGAAGGGGAGGGTGCATAATATGTAGAGGTGTTTTCTTCATTAGTTTCATGTATTATTGGATTAGGTGAAAGGCTGTTGATACTTCTCTTTATAGAAGATTCCCTAGAAGGTTCTATATTATTACTTGCAGCCTCCCATGAGGAATTGAAGAATGTCACTGTTTTATTATCTAATTCCAGCGTATTCTTCATTGGGGTATTTTCCCTTGATATACCCAGTGGTTTATTGTGGTAACTATGCGTCCTTCTAAAGGACTCTCTAGTTCCTAGTGGAGATTTTCTTGATGAAAATGGAAGTCCTTTACTAAAATGTTTTTCAGAAAGTGTTTCTAATTGGTACTCGTCACCATCAGAAAATTCAAAATCTTCAGGAACTGTGTTGATTTCATCCAAATAATCACTATAACTCTCCTCACCTTCAATTTCGCTAGTATTCGTAGTTTCAGTATTATGGTTCTTTAAATTAGTATTATATTCATCCTCTTCTGCCTCATCAATAAAAAATAAATTACTGGTTAGCCCAGGAATTTCTGAGTCCATGTCACTATTTAAATCGTGGAATTTTAAGGACTGGGACCTAGCTGGTGGGGGCAGATGAGAGTGAACGGGACTATTCTCGTTTGGAGTGAGGGACACAGGTGAAAGTTTTAGTAGGTGCTCTTTTGGAGTTCTTAGGTCGACAGTTAATTCGGTTCCAGTGTCACTATCCATCGGAGATAGTAATATATTCGGAATTTTGCTTTTATTTGGTGAGGATGTATGTAAATGATCGAGACGTGGTGGAGACATAAAGTCGATAAATTGTGTGTTTTCATTCAAGACTGGTAATTTATGATTTTGTGGATTCAGTAGATCTACCGCAAGGAAAGGTAATTTGGAATTATTCAATTTTGACCGGTTATTAACTAATTTTTCAGGTCCCTCTTTTAAATCATCTTCTTTTTTATAATATGGGATACTATTACTTAGATTATCTGAGTATATTTGATTAGATCTATCTTCATCACTATCAGAAAGATCAAAAAGATCGTTATATTTCATGATAAGTTTGGGTTTTCCATTCTTGTTGGCAGGCGCAGATATTGGTTCCTTTATGACTTCGTTCTCATGGGAATTTATTGAGCTCAGTTCTCCATCAGAAATGTCAAATAGGTCATTATATTTGGTGACTAATTTTTTTGTTTTATTAAGGTCAGTAAGATTATTACTATTCCTAACATATGCATTATCTGAGGTAGAGTCCTCCAGCTTAATCAATTTATGCGACCCCACAATTATATCTTTTTGTAAAGGTACCACCGAATCCTGCTCAGGATAGTCATCATCCATGGGTTCATCTTGTTCATCGGATAACTCAAATAGATCATCATATTTTTTTACATTTCCTGTTTGTTTATTTTGAAGTTTTACACTATCTATTCCAAGGTCGTTATTATTGTTATAGTCACTGATATGATCGTAACTCTCGTCTATGTAGTTCATGTCATCATCTAATCCATCCTCAGCGTAGAAGTCATCTAAGTAAATACTGGGTTTTTCTCGATCTTGTTCTACTTCTTCTTCATTGGTTTCCCCTGGTGTTTTATAATATTTAACCGATGATGTCCTACCATTAATGGTCGAATATTCAAATGAGAACTTTGATTCGTCGGAGTCAGAGTCACTACCAAAAGTGAGGTGGTTTGTATCTTTACTTACTTTAGAATGATCATCCTCTATATCACTATTATTATTTTCAGGAATTTTTTTAGGTGTGGATTCTTGTATCTCAAATTTTGGAAGTGATGGAATTGATAGAGAAGGGGTTTCTAAACTTTTACTTCCCTTTTGTAACGTTAATAAGTCTCCACTAGAATGAATTTTAATCTTCCGATTCTTGTTTTTAATTTTGTTTCGAGAAATGTTTCCATACCGTTCACTATCGGTTGATTGAAGGGTATCTACACTTTGGTTCTTGCCAGGTTTTAAAATAACCCTATTAACATCTACGGTCTCATTAGTGTGTAAATCGTTCAATGATACATATGATTCAACATGAGTATTATTGGGAAAATGTATTGGTCTTGATACTTTAAAGGCTGGGTCTAGCTCTATATTATAGGTTTCAGTTTTCTTGATGGTGTGTACGCTCTTATTCGAACTTTTGTTTTCATCATCTTGTTCTTGTTCTTTTTCGAAAAAATAATTAGTGGTTGGAGATGTTACAAAAGTTGGGTCCCAGGAGTCTGAAGAAATTCGTCTTTCGTTAACAGGATCTTGGTTATCAAATGAATTATTCAAATTAATAATTGGCGAAGAGCTATGATGATCACCCCAAGAATGAGTAATTGTTCCCTTGATGGTTGGTAATACTTCGAACGTACCTTTAGCCTTTCTCGTTGGAGAAGACGATGCCGATGTACTATTACTTGTCATAAATGGTTGTTCTTGTTGTTGTAGACCTTGTGGTATGCTTGCTGTTGAATTTTTATTAAATAGCTTTGAGGTCAATTTAGTTTTTGATGCAAGTTTATGAAATGATTCAAAATTTGGGGATGAAATGGAAGGAGAACCTTGTTCTTGACTACTATTCGATTTGTGTGGTGTTGTAGGGACAAAATCCAAAGTCTCATTTTCACTTTCTCCCCCATTTAAAGAGATTCTTGGAATTATATCGGAGGCTCTTCTATCATAAGATACTTTTGTTGTGTTGACAGTATCATTATTAGTGAGTGATGGTTTTGTTGAATATTGGGACGTATTACTATTTGTTACTGTTTCATTTGTTTTACTTCTTCCTAGAGAACTTGACTTTCGATGTGCCTTGATGAATGATCGCATCTGTGAATATGATTCATCGATCGTTCCGCAATATATATCTATATCTACAGTGAAACAGCTATGCTATTCTATACCCAATGAAAATATGAATACTTCTTTGTTGTAAAATAAAAATAAATAAGTTAGAAGAAGAAGAAGAAGAAAAGATGTGTTAATGTTTATTTGAATCGGTTCTAGTTTTCAAAGTTTCGATTCTTTTTAATGCATAACTTTGTATATTTTATTTTTTCTCTTTATCTTTCTTTGTATTCACTGATTCAATGTAAATAAGAGATCTCGTTGTATGATAAATAATATCGTTTGTTGTTATGATGAACGTTATTTCAATTCATGTAAATTAATCGACATGTACATATTTTTTTGAGTTATATTGTGTGATAATGGTTGCTTATAGTATCGCAGTCGCTCCCTTTTGAGAAAAAAGTAATATAGAGATTCGATTACAAAAGATCCACAATCTCTAAACAAGTAAAAAAATAGATTTAATTGATTTATATGTAATTGATATACAAATTAGTCAAAATACATGAATTGAAGCAAATATATATTTCATAATTTTGCAAGATATCAGAATGTACCACAGAAATGAAAATAAAAGGATCAAATTATAAATAAATTATATTATGCTAAAGTATATTTATTCATAAAATCTTAGCAAGAGCATTAGTCCATTGATCTTCTTCTTTATTATAAGTGTAAGATAATATATCGCCATCACATGGAATGTTCCATAGATCATCATAAGTCTTTTCAGCAGAGACTTGTAATCTAACTAAAGCAGACCATTCTTCATCATACTTCAAATTTAAACAAAAAGATGTAACTTTAGAGAATTGATCATTTTCATTGAACGCAATAGTTAAAACTTTTTCAATTTCTTCCCATTGGTTATCACCTGCACATTCATATTCTTTAGTTTCACCTGCAAAGACAACATCCCAAAATTTACCTGAGTTACTAAAAGCATATTGTTCACTCTTACAATTCAATCTAGTGAAGAAACGTTTATACATAGTACTAAAAGAATGAGTACAACTTGGGATTGCATCCATTCTATCAACTAAATTATTCAATACTTTTAGATATAGACGTAACAGGGCTACAAAAGCCATTGTAACCTTATAACATATTTGGAATAATAAATTACCAGATAATTCAGGATGTAAATCGACATCCAATGTATTTGAATCTCTTGGGAAATCAGTAATATTACCAACTTGAGTATCTAGACTCTCTGGAGTAATAACATTTTCTTCGTAATCGGAAGCTGTAACACCAAGGACAGCTGTAACACTAAGTAATAGTAAAGCCTTTGTCAGGAAAGAAGATTTCATTATTTTATTGTTTTCAGGGGATATTTGTTTTATTATGATAATTCAATCGGTTTTGATAAATTTGTAACCTATCAAAAATAAAAATATATATAATAAATAAGAAAAAAAAAGTTTATGCTATTGATTAAGAGATTGTCGTACATTATGTATAGGTTGAGAGCCCTTTATTTTTCCTAGTTCTATTTATTACTTTAGAATCTAATTATCGCTTACGTATTACGTTTCCTTATTATTTTTTTCACTTTTCGCATGTGTAATATCTAAAGGAGAGCCAAAAAAGGACAGAAAAACAGCCAACCTCACACAGCGAGAAAACAATAAATAAAATTAAGAGACATATGTTCCATTAAAAATGTGTGCTCCCTTTGTTTGTGCTATTACTTTGCATAAACTGTTTGAAAATATTCTACAATTACTATGAGCATTAGCTAATTGTTATAGATATTAAATTAAATTAAAAAATGGTAAGATAAGATCTAGTTCTTCCCAATCCTCTACTAATCTTACGTAATGACGATATCAATAGTTCTACTAATTAACTAAATGTAGTCTGTATATGTTTTGTATTATGTTGATGGTATTCATCAGTTATAATAGTAATAGTAATAGTAATAATAATAATAATTAAAAGATGAAGTTAACGTCACAAAGACAGAAGAATACAATAAATACACTTCAAAACATATATATGCATGCACTTACACAGAAAAGTTAGCTGACTTAACAGATTATACTAAAGAGAGACGAGGCGGGATACACGGAAGACTAGCCCGAAACAAGTTCCGTCTCTACAAAAAGGAAGCAGCCTCCCCCCACAGTTCGATCAAATAGGAATAAATATTTGTAAAGACAGTTGAACCATATTTCTTGTGATTATGTAATGGCAAAAGCAAATTTAAGAAACATCTCTATTTTAAAATTATATTTAATTCATTGTTTATTTGCAGATGGCACTGAACATATGAATTATTCTTATTCCATGGAGTAAATAGGGGTAATGGGTTGTTCCAATACCTGTGTACATGAAGAATACTTTTTGAGCATATTGTTTGTAATCAATTCAATCATTTAAAATATTATTGTTTTTTTCATTTATTTATAAAAGGTGAGTTGATTTCCTTAGTTCAAATTATTTGTAAATTAAGTTGATCATTATATTTTTTATATAATCCTCTTTTTTATTGTTATTATAAAAGAAAGTAACATATATACCTATATATATATTATTACTACTATTATTATTAATAATATTATTTACTCAATTAAGAATGTCGGTTTTCGTATCAGGGGCTACAGGTTTCATTGCTCAACATATTGTTGATCAATTGTTAGAACAAGACTATAAAGTAATTGCATCTGCAAGAACTGAAGCAAAAGCTAATGAATTATCAAAGAATTTTAATAACCCTAATTTGACTACGGTAGTCACCGGTGATATGTCTAAATTAGATGCTTTTGATCCTGCTTTTAAACAATATGGATCTCAAATTAAATATGTGATTCATGCTGCCTCTCCAGTTACTTTTGAAGTAGAAAATACCGAAAGGGATATTTTAATTCCAGCTGTCAATGGTACAAAGGGTATACTTGAATCCATTAAGAAATACGCTGCTAATACAGTGGAACGTATTGTGATGACTTCAAGTGTTGCTGCTATATCAACATTTTCTGAATCACTGGACCCAAAGGCTTTTGCTAATGAAGATTCATGGAATACTTATACATGGGAATCTGCTCAAGTTTCACCAATTGATGCTTATTTCGGTTCAAAGAAATTTGCTGAAGAATATTTCTGGGAATTCTTAGAGAAAAATAAAGATACATTGAACATTAAAGCATCTACAGTGATGCCTGTCTTTGTCTTTGGCCCACAGATGTTTGATTCTTCTGTGAAATCAAAATTGAATGTATCATCAGAAGTGATTAATAAGTTGATTCATACTCCAGTGGATGGCAAGATTTCTCCTTCTCTTGCCAAATTTATTCATGTCAAAGATGTTGCTAAAGCACATGTTTTAGCCATGCAAAAAGATGAGTTGATTGGGAAAAGATTACTTCTATCCGAAGCTAATTACAATTCTCAAGATATTCTAAACTATTTGAACAATGATTTCCCTGTATTGAAGGGTAAAATCCCTGTCGGTGAACCTGATCAAACTGCTGAGGGTAAGCCTTCAAAGGATATTACTTACGATAACTCTAAATCTAGAGAATTGTTAGGGTTCAAGTTTAGAAGTTTGAAACAAGCTGTTGACGACACTGCTGCTCAAGTTCTAAAACACGAAGGTCGTATATAGCTCAACACAAATAACTCATAGATATATATATATGTATATCTTCTCTTGCTAAGTATTCTTTTTGCTACTCATCAAAAAAAAATATTCATTATATGAAACAAATCTGTTACTTTTAAATATTTTATAATCCAACATTCAATAACATTAATTAATCCTTTTTCCCATCAGTTAGTAAATATCAATTCTCAGGGACAAAGAAAAGCATACCATGGCAAAAAAAAAAAAGCATACTACGGAATTAACACAGCGAAATAATAAACGCAGATAGTGAATGTTTTATAGTTATTGAAAAATTACTTAATATATATATGTGTGTAAGGGAAAATGAGGACGAAATTTTCGAAAGATTAGAAGTAAAGAGAGAGAGATATACAAGATATTTTATAAAGGGATTCCAACTTTTAAAAGAATATAAATATAGGGATATCGATATTGATCATCTTACAAACTATTAATTGTAATAGAGACATTTACAAAAGTTTAGCTAGTACTTTTTTTTATTGCTACCGCTTTAACTGTTATTCGTAGGTTGTGTTGATATTTTAGGTGTAACCTTTTTGCTAGTTTTCTAAAGAACAATATTATAATTAAATATGAGTTGGGAAGGGTTCAAAAAAGCCATAAACCGTGCAGGGAATACTGTCATAGTCAAGAACATTGACAAGACAATAGATAAGGAGTATGATATAGAAGAACGTCGTTACAGAGTCTTGCAAAGGGCAGGTGAGGAATTACAAAAGGAGGCCAAAGGTTACTTAGATTCTTTAAGAGCTGTCACTGCATCTCAAGTTACCATTGCTGAAGTCATTTCAAGTTTATATGATGACTCTAAATATATTAGTGGTGGTGGTTATAACGTTGGTAATTATTATTTACAATGTGTTCAAGATTTCGATTCGGAGACAGTTAAACAATTGGATGGTCCATTCAGAGAGACTGTTTTAGATCCAATTTCTAAATTTTCTTCATATTTTAAAGAAATTGATGAAGCAATTAAGAAAAGAGCTCATAAGAAACAAGATTTTGATGCTGCAAAGGCAAAAGTGCGTCGTTTAATTGATAAACCTTCAAAGGATGCTTCAAAGGTACCCAGAGCTGAAAAGGAATTACAATTATCAAAGGATATCTTTGAACATTTGAATTCTCAATTGAAGACAGAATTACCTCAGTTAGTAGCTTTAAGAGTTCCATACTACGATCCAAGTTTTGAAGCTCTTGTCAAGATTCAATTACGTTTCTGTACAGAAGGTTATACAAGATTGGCACAAATTCAACAATATTTAGACCAACAATCAAGAGATGAATATGCAAATGGTCAACTGGATACTAAGATAGAGGACTTGCTGCAACAGATGGCTACTCTAGATATTTGTGCCCTTGGTCTTAAATGATCCTGCATACAACCAATGAGTTTGGTAACCTTGAATACCATTACATCATATACTAACACTTTTCTATAATTATAAAACATGTAACGTCTTATGTACTTTTAATTAAATCCTTTTTTGTTTTCATTTCAATTCAATCGATACCCTGTTATTATGAAAGTTCAGTTCTTTCTTCCCAACATCTGTGTATATGAGGTTCAAAATGAATCAAGAATATATCAACGTAGTGTGTTTAGATTCAAAAATATCCTTATTCTCAATATATGAGTTTGCAGATACAACATCTATCAATAGACTATATGATTAAGAATTAAATTTAAGTACAATTCCTAGCCAATATTCCTTTTCAATATTATATAACTCCTTTCTAAATATATAGAAAGTGAAGCCAAAATTGATATAGAAATAATTGTGAAAGTTACAATATACAACGAATATAATAAAATATGTACGTATGCAACAATTGATGAATATTAAAAAAAAAAAGAAAAAAATTTGTAACCTTATCATGCTGTAATTAACAGTTGATAAATGGTATTATAATATCAGAAGATGTTCTGATAAATCGCAAAAAAACGTAGAAATGCAAAGGTATGGATATGAAGAATGACTTGGAATATAAAGAATTGGAAATGCAAAATTAGGTGTAGAAAAAATATTACAAGTGTGTACTGGGTTATTGTGTGAGTATATTGTCCGTGAGATGATTGGCAGAAAACAAAAAAAGAATATGTTAAACCTTAATTGCATGACTGTCATGACAACATTTAATTTCCCGACCCCATTCACTGTTTAGGATTTGTTTACTTGTAATTCTTCTAGATGGGCTAGGATCCAACATTGAGTAGATAACATTTCTGCATCTAGCTCTTTTCAATTGTTCCACTGGCTTATAACCACCTTTTTCCTTACGACCTTTCAAATACTTGGAATAGAATGGGTCTTCCTTCATGGCAATACTCCATAGTTGACGACCGGTTCTCATGGCCATATAGATAACACCACATGACCAAATATCAATAGCCCTTGGGTCGAATTCTTCTTGAACATATTCTTCTGGAGCAATATATGGACTGGAACCACAGACACCACCACTTAAATGTATATCTCTTTCCCAAGCCATCTTGAAACATTCACTATTACCAAAATCTGTAATCTTTATAACACCATCAGAGGTAAGCAATAAATTTTCTGGCTTTAAATCTCTGTGGCATACACCCATTTCATGCATGTATGCGACACCTTTGATTAATTGTTTGAAAAAACAATCAGCCTCTAAGTATTCTATTTTACCAGCTGCGACAATCAAACTGAATAAATCACCACCTGAACAATATTCCATAACTTGTAAGAAATCACCTTTAGCATCTTTCAATAAATCAATGGTACCAACAATATTTGTATGATGTAATGAAGAAGAAATACAATATTCGGCAGTTAACCTCTTTTTGTATCTTTCAGCCGATTCATTGTTTTTCTTTAAGAATTCTTTCACTGCAAATAATGTTTCACCTTCTTGTTTGTTTGAGGATTTCTTATGGCAAATTCTGACAGTACCAAAAGCACCTCTACCGGCAACTTCCATACATTTACCATATTTATCAGCGAATCTTTCACACATTTTAGATTTCGAAGAGCTATTATTGTTCGATTGTGATACAGATAATTCATTTGAAGTTGACCTCAAAGATCCTTTCTCGCATGCGATGTTAGTGGTAGGTGTCAATGAATTGTTATCCAACGGCAACGTAGAGTTACTACCGGTTCTCGCTATGTTATCTTTACTCTCTAATCTCTTTAATAAGCCAGACATCAATGTTGGAGGATCCATATTTCTCATGCCAGCGGTCATTGTAGAAGCACCGGTGGGGACACTACTCAAAGGTGTTGGTGGAGCATTACTTATCGACATTAAATCAGGTACAGCAGATATAGCATCGCCTCTAGTCTTTTGTGAACTTATTATATTTTTCAGCATGGAGGTCAATTTTTCTTGTCTCTTTGCAGCTTTTAAATGATGCTCATGCATTCCATTTTCTAGAATAATAAATCTTTTACAATTATTACCTGGAGTGGCAGTTGCATTTGTTGAGTTGGAATTTGCAGCAGGTGTAAGAGGTAAGCCATTATTATTGATTTCTCTTTTATTTTTTTCCGTTGTTGCAGCAGTATTATTAGTTGAGTTAGTAATAATATGAGGTAAATATTTTTCACCATGAGAATGAGTAATTGATGAAGCAGTAACAGTAGAAGTTTGTAAGGATCTCATTGGAGATAATGGATTGATTCCATTATTAGCAGTGCCTGTAACCAAGTTTTGATTTGAAATATCAGATCCTATTGAATCTCTATCTAGTGATGACCTTGAAGATGAACCCTTTGAAGATCTATCAATTTTTTTGGATAAAGAAAAATCTGATGAATGAGAATATGTTGGTGAATTAGAATTAACACTCTTTGCATTATTATAGTCATCGACAGACCTATTAGCATTCTTAGAACCATAAATATTGTGAATCTTAGTATTAGTTCCAACTGGAGTTGGGGATACGGTTGTGTTGGTGGAGGTAGAAGCTTGTTTTGAACCAAACAATTTCTTCACCTTAGAAGAAAAGGTATTCTTTCTAGAAACATCAGCTTTAGTTGTGGATGACATCTTATCTTATATTTTTAATTGTTATTGCTGTTTCTGTTCTCGCTATGAATTTGTATGATTGTTATATTACTCAGGAAGAAGAAACCGATACCAGTTTAGTAAATGAGATGAGCTTATAGGAATATATTTAATATAAACCAAAGAAAAGAAAAAGCAAATATAAATTGCACACTTACACGTGTGTGTGTGTATGTGAGTGAAATCAAATTAATCTTAATAAAAGATATCAATCAATCTATCTTATAGATGAGGTTGGATATTTCTTGAAAAAAATAAATAAATAAAAGAGGATTTTTCTTTTGTAATAAGTGTTTTAGCTTATACTAGTAGTATGGATGGATGTTAATAATTTGTATTAGTTATCTTTAGTTTGATGTAATAAATGAAGATAATGGCTAATAACTAAATAAATTGTTAATAAATGTGGAACTTAGCTTTTATATATCTATGTGCCAAAAAAGGACTCTCTTTTTATTACTAATTTAATCTAATTTTACCCTCTGCAATTATTATTTTTTTTCCTTCACTTCGCGGATAGTAAAAAAATAATATCTGTATTGTGTGCTTTCTGCCTGTATTTTTCAAAATATTATTTCCTTTGTTCTCTTTGTTCTCTATTTTTTTGCTCGTGCGAGATATTAAAGCAGTGATAATCTTCTAGTTCTTGAAATTATGATTGTGATTTTATGATTGTGAAGAACACCACGCAGAAATAATATATTGATATATATATTGATATATTTTACACTCTCTAGTCGTTAGAAGTGAGGACGCGGCGGAGGTATAATTTGTTGTTGTTCTTCTACCCTATAAATTTATGGATTAATTAATAAGTATAGATTTTCTTCTTTGAAAGAGGCGTTGTATTAATGTTTTCCAATAGTAAGAACTCTTTTGTTTTCTATTTATCTATCTATCCATAAAAGGTATAAGGAAGCGATGCGAAGAGTATTGTTTGTACTCTTAATTAATATAATTACGTATATTTCGTCTTGGTACGGTTGTTGGTTATTATTTACAGTTGATTAATCAGTATCAATATTTTTTGCAATACGTAAATAAATATAATGGGAAATAATGGGTAAAATAAAGTATTCTATTATTGATTCTTTTATTTTTTATAATGGGGTGTTTGGTTGTCGCAATACAGATGAGATTTAAATAGATAATGTAATAATAATTAAATCATTAGATGTATTAAACAACAAGATAGTCATACCGTATTTACCAATTTATCTTCCTTATATATATATATATATATATNTATATATATATATATATATATAAGATTATTAATTTGTTCTATCTTGATTTTAATTGAATACTTCTTATTTGAGGTGAATGACCAGAAAAATGTATCACTAATTCTTGACCTATTAACAAATGTTATCAGTATTGAGTAGAGAGTGTCAAAAAAAAATCAATTAAGAAAATTAAAAGCAGATGGGTGGAACGGATCAATGTAACTGTTTCCGTCTAAATCTATCTTCAATTTTATTGACAGTCTCTCTCTCTCTCCCCTCAAAATAGCGTGTACGTAAGATATATATATATATATTGAAACATCGGTCTATGACGACAGAAAGAGAAAGAGGACCATATCTTCTTCCCTCCCCCCCCTTCCTCAAAAGAATAAGAAAGAAATTGATTGTCAGAAGAATAACAACATTTTTAATTTTTTCGACAACGAGTCTATTTTCATATCTCATTTTGTTTACTATATTTGTAATGCTTGTTCTTGTTGTTCTGACTTTACTCTGTTTTATCAATTTTTATCCCACTTATTTAATATGTATTTAATGAAAAAAAAAATCTACTTTTGTTTTGTACGCATTTTCATATCTTTGTTACCTAGAAGAATAACAGAATAGAGAAATACAATTGAAAAATGTAATCCTTTTAGAATCTTATTTTTTTTTCGCTCCAAGGGTTTCTGAAATATTAATTAATACGTTTTTCATAGTAAGATAATTTACGTTTTCAGTTTTTCACTTAATCTATTAAGAAAAATAAAAGCTTGACTACGTCAAATTCACATATAATTTTGCTTCCTCTTTCACTATTGGTGGCTCTCGAGAAGAAGAAGAAGAAGAAAAAGATGGTCAGGCGTTTCTTTTTTTTCTTTTTTTTGGCTTACTTACAATAAAAAGAGTTGGACAGAAAATCATCTTACCAATCCTTAATGTTAGTATAATTTGTGTACGTGTGTGTAGGTTTTTCTAGAATTGCACTGTAAAAAAGTAGGAAATTTTTACATCAACTTCTTTTTTTGTTTTCGCCCTTTCGTATTTTTATTACAGGTTCACAGTTATTAAGTGAAGAGATGATTTGCTGTTCATCCCACGCGCATCACTCTCAGTCCCATTACTTCTAAACCCCCACGACTGTATGTAATAAATACTTGGTATTAAATTTCTACCACACAATATATTAATAATAAAAGCTTCAATATGAATCACATTAAGAATATGCTAATTTCTGGGGTAGTTCAACTATCGCCTGATTACATGCTCATTGATGTTAGTATTACGATAAGTTTAGTCAATTAAACTATATTCAAGTCCCGATGACGGTATAACGGCTGTGTGGGATGGCTAGATAACGGAAGCCTGGCATGACAGAAAACAGGGTCTCGAAGATTCTTGGTTCATTATTTTGTTGTGTTTTAAGCCGTTCACTTAATAAGAAGATATTGGTTTATAATACGGTTGTAACGGATATTAATTTTTGTTTATAATATTAATTATGTAAAATATGACGTTTAAGCAAGGGGGATGGTTAATCTATTTTATTTAATGAGTAATGTGTTGCAATTATTTTCAATCATTACTTTATTTATCTTATTGAAAAAGACACCATCCAAAGGTTTTAAACAGAACAAAAATATATATTCCAATGCAATTTAACTTCGTTGGATTCCAAAAAAAGAGAGATATTTCGAGTAAAAGTTGCTGGCCGTTTGGAAAAGTAATTTGTAATAGTACATAAAAATAGCTAGTGGGTGACCATTCATTTTCAGCCATAAAGGAAACAATAAACTTATATAATTTAGTTTCTATTTTTTTTTAAATGCTGGAATAGAATGAGAATTGATCTGACTTGAGGAAAAAGTATTAAGTGTGATTATAGAATTACCTTTTCTTTGCAAACTTTTCATTACATTTCAAATAACGAAATTATGATTTATCGATCACTTGCTTAGAAAGCAAAAAATAATCGACCTCGGTGAGGATTGAACTCACGATCTTGCGATTAACAGTCGCACGCCTTAACCAGCTTGGCCACGAAGTCTAATATTTTGAAAAAAAAAGAAAATATGTTATATATTTGTTATACCCTTATTTTGTTAACCAACTAACTATTATAAATTTATAAATGTATATTTTAAGTATAAATAGGGAAAATGATTGGAAAATTTAATATTAGACATCTTCTATTTAACTGAACAAATTTTATTATATTACAAAATCAACTTATAGTTGTTAAACAGAGTTGCTGTTGTTAAACTGCTCATCTTTTGTGCATAGTAACGTTGGACTATGTAGCTCCAATAAACCCAATGTAGGGGGAACGAATACTACATTGTGCAGTATAT